GACGGCGTTTCGATTATATTACGCCGGGCTTAGCTTAAGAGGGAAAAGGGAGATTAAGGAACGGCGTACCGTAAGCGTATTAATAGTAAGATAAAGGGATAGAAATAATAATACGAAGGTACGTCGACGACTTTTATTTAGTTATTTAATTAAAAGAAAGTAAGATAAGTAAACGTAACGAGAAGGAGGAGAGCCGACGGATAAGAGAAAGGAAAAGAATTAAGAGGAGCGGGCGTAACGGTAGAAAAATTTTATATACGCTTAAGAGATAGCGGTTAGTGGTATTAATCGGCAGAATTAGCCGGCTATATTAATAAAGCCCGATTTAGTATTTAATACCCTAAGGTAATTAATGGAATTAATAATATAGCGTAAGCGATATTATATCGATTCGTAATCGGAACGATTACTTAACTTAGGGGGGAATAATTATAAGGAAGCGATAAGAAGGTACGCGATAGATACGAGGGTATAAGATATTATAATACCTATACCGGTACGAGGGTACCTCCTAGGCGGTAACCGTTTTAGCTTACCCCGTTTCTCGTTATATAGGCGACCGCCTATCGCTAGGTACTCGCCTTCTTATCCTTTTAAAAGGTAAGTACTTATTTACGTTACTACGGGAAAATACTTATTACCTAGCTTAAGGATTCCATTATACTTAATTCGGTTATTACGATAGCGGGGGCAGGGTATATCGAACGAAGATAGATACGATAGAGTTCTTTAGGCTAGTAAGCGCTTATAACGAACTACGCCGTAAGAAGGACCCTAAATAAAAGCCTATCCTTATTAACCCCGGTAATAACCTAACTATAGCTAACCCGCTAGAGGGTAAGCGGCCCGTAAAGCCTTTAAGAATTAACTACGGAATAAGGGCTAACGCTTATAAGAATTACTTACTCTTCGATATAAGAGTTAACGTTTACGTTACGAACGATTTAAAAGATCTAAACCCGAGAACGGTAATAACGTTACTACCGGGTTACGTTATTAATATAAAAGGAGGCCTTATAAACGTTACGAAGATAAGTAAGGTTATTTATTACCTTACCGGTAACGATAGAGGATATAACCGAACGTAGCTAAATTATACGTTATTTATTAACTCCTTTTTAATTAAGATCTTCTCGGGAGAGTTATTTTATCGTAGCGGAGATTAACTAGATAAGAATAATATTATAAATCCTAACGGAACCGTTCTAACGACCCTAAATCCTAAGAAACGAGGTTTCCTATTATAAGAATATAAAAAAGAGGAGTCGAAACTCCTTTCCTTTAAACGGTACTAAGGGAACGCGTTAGGATACTAATTCGGTAAGCTTAGCGAAATATTATAAGCGATATTAATATAGCTAGACGATAATATTATAAAATAATTAATACTATAGTATCGCCGCTTTTATTACTTTAATACGGAGAGACTTATATAAACCATTAAAAGGTCGATAGGGATCGACCTAGACCTAGTACTTATAAAGACGGTACCTTATTACGCGTATAATCGGGTAAAGATTACTAGGATATCTTCGAAGGACCCTTAGGAGCGTACCTAAACTCCTAAGGAGATTACTTAATGCGACCTCGGAAAATTATAGCCTCTATCGATCGAAAACTACCGTTATTTTATATTAATCGTAGACGACGATAACCGAAATAAAGAATTTACCTAATATAAGTCTAAGGGAGAGGCTTAATAAGTATTAATAACTTACCTTACCCGAGTTTATTAATTATTCGAGGTATTACCGAGCGTCCCGGATAAGAGCCGGCGACGAATAAGAATATTACGCCTTAACGGCGGCCGAAAGTTCGATATAAGCGCTATCGAATAATTCTATAACGAAAGAGGTATTACGTTAAATGCCTTTACGTTAGATAACTAATATTAAAACGACGTAGCGGAAAGGAGTATACGCTTTTTATAGGATGATATTAAAGTAGTTTACGTTTAAATAAAGATCCTTATTTACTTTTAGAACTACGTTTTCGTAATAACGGCGTATATAATTAATAGGACTAGCGTTTCGTTCGTAAAGGAGCTTACGTTATACGAGAGATTTATAAACGATATAAAGCTAGGAAAGAATTATAAACCTAATAACGCGTATTTACGTATCGTCGGTAGCCGTTACGTAGCCTATATCGATAAGAGTTATCGGATAGTTTCCGAGAAAATAAAATTACGTAAAGCCCGCGCCGTTTTCATAGGTTACGAAGGGGAGTATAACTACCTAGTTTAACTCGTAGAAGGAGGTCGTTTCTTAAAGACGCCTTACGTTATCTTTTACGAAAAACTAGGAGACTCCGAAGGGGCCCTAGACCTAAGGAACGTCGTTAGGTCCTTACTTAAATACGTTTAAAAACGGCTACGGTATCGGAAGAAGATCGCGGCGATTAGCGTTCGTAATAAGGATAATAATATCGTCGACGAAAACGTTATAAACGAAGATAAGGATAAGATACGCTTCCGGAGAGAGCGCCCGAAAAAGAAACTACCTTAGATTTATATACTAGAGGTACTACTTAAGTTAAATAAGGTACGCTCCGCCTTAGCGCTAGGCGGCTCGTAAGAGGATAAGTTAGAAGAAGTATTTAAAGGCGAATAAGATACGCTTAAAATCGCGTCCCGAGAGGAGCTATATTATATTAATACGCTTATTATCGTACCGTAGGAGTAAAGCTATAGGTAGATAGTATTAGTAACGGCGGGTTTATTTAGGATAAACGAGAACGAACCGTTCTTTAAAGAGGTAATAAAGGAATTAGAGCGTAATCTTTAAACCTAAGCCGTTTTTAAAGAGATCCGAGAGAACCTAGAACGTAATACGTTTAAATTTATATAACCGAGCGAAGTAGTTAATAGCTATTTTATCGACGTTAAATAAATCTTAAAAAAGAAGTTCTTATCTAACGGAAATCTCGATAAATTAAAGGTATGGATTTACGCCCGAGGATTTATATAAAGAAAAGGCATCGATTATAACGAAACTAAGGCGATAACGACGAGGATAGTATCGTAGAGAATGCTAATGGCGTTAGCCGTTATTTATTAATAGTATATTCTTTAAATCGACTTTATTACCGCTTACCTTAACGGGAAGCTAAACGAAAGAATCTTTATAAAGTAGTTCCTTATATTAAAGGAGTATTTTAAGGCCTATAAGAAAGAAAAATAAACCTATAGTTACGACGAATCGAAGATTATCGAGCTAATTAACCCGTTATATAGCTTAAAATAAGCTAAAGCCGCGTAATAATAACGTATAAAAAGTATTTTAAAGAAATACGGCTACGTTTTATTAACCTTAAACGACGTTATTTATATAAGACCCGGAATAGGAAACGTAATCGCCTCGTATATAAACGATTTCTTATTATTCGGACTTAAAAAGGAACGACTTTATAAACTCGCGAATATAATTAAAGAAGAGGTTAAGGTAATTAACCTAGGAAACGCTAATTAGTTTCTCGGGGTCCGGATAAGACGATCGTTTCTTACGGGGGACGTCCGGCTCGATTAATAATAATATACGGAAAAGGCTTTAAAGGAGCTTAATTACGGCGATACGAAGCTATACCCGTTACCGTATAACCCGAAGAATCGGAACGCGGTTATACCGAAAAAGGCTAACGATAAAGCCGACCTACGAGAGGTTTAAGAGTATACCTCGTTAGTAAGAAAAGCGAACTTTCCGGTATATATTATAAGGCCTAATATTAATTACGTAGCCTCGACTTAAGCGCGTTTTATAAATAACCCCTTATAAAAGTATTAAACGGGAATTAAACGCGTAATACGATATCTTAAGGAAACGATAAGCCGAGAGATCCGATATCGGTAATTAAACGAAAATTATCCTTATAAAGAGTATAACGAGATAAGTCTTTACGGCTACGTAAATTCGAATTACGCGGGAAATATTTCCATAGCTAAGTTAACGAATAGTTACGTATTCTTTATAGTAAGAGCCCCGATCGTATAAATATCGAAGCTTTAGTCGGTAGTCGCGCGAAGCTCGGGAAAGGTTAAGTATATAGCCTTATTAACGGCGGTAGTAGATACCGCGTAAATACGTAATTTCCTTACGGAATTAGGCGTAATATCCGTAGGCCTTATTATCCTACGATACGATAGTACGACGGCGAATACGTAGGCGAAAAAAACCGCGATAAATAAATGAAAGCGGTATATTTAAAAGGATTATTACTACGTAAGGTAAGAGGTAGAAGAAGGATACGTTAAGCTAAGATACGTACTATTAACTAAGAACGCGGCTAATAGGCTTACGAAGCCCTTAGAAGCGAAGAAATACTAAAGGTTTATTAAGTTATTATATCTAAAGGACCCGTAATAGCCTTAAACGAAATAGGCATATAAATAAAGCAACGAAGGAGGAAAATACTACGGAATTAAGGCCTTACGCTATTTAAAAGCCTAACGATAGCCTTACCTAGGTTAAGAAGGCGTATAGGCGCGTAAGTACGTAATCGGTTACGTATAGCTATAGGGTAAGCCCTACCCTAGCGAGGGCTAATCGGGATATAAAAGGCACGTAAAACGGCTCTAAAAGGCTACGTAAATAACTATAATTTAATTAACTATTTACCCGTTCCTTAGATGGCCATAAAAGCACATATTATCTGCGCAAAAGGGGACCAAGTAACAGGTAGGAGCCGAGTAACAGTTCGGGAGGAAGGAGGTGGGTAACCGTGTAAAATGGTATCATGGGCTGCGGGAATGTCGTCACTTTTTTTCCCAATTTCGGTACCTACCTATAACTTTTATGTACTGGGAGAGAAGAGGAGAGAGTGATTTAGGCACCTAGGAGTTGCATGGCGTTACCCCGTAACACCAAAGTAGGCAGGTATCTTTGTATACGCCCAATTAGCGGGGATTTGCATAAATGTCTAATGTCATGTCCAATCTATGAGTATAATTCAGCGGTCCCCACCTAGCAGAGTAGGCTAGGTAGGTACCGAAGGTATATCTACCTACAGGCGAGAGGATACCGATCCCCCAAGCCAAGCCAGCCCTAGAAGCACAACCAACCCGCCATCCGCTTTGCCCTCGCCGCCCACCCCCCTACCTCCGGCTGGACCTCCTCCTTCGTGTACACGTCGGCGACGAGGTCCATCTCCCCCGCGCGCCGGAACCGCGTGCGCTTGACGAGCTTCCACCCGACGAACATCAGCGCGAAGGCGGGCAGCTCGATGTAGAAGCTGACGAAGTCGACGGCGCGGAAGCGCGGGCTGAAGCAGGACCAGCCCTGCACCAGCACGATGAAGGTGTTGAGCGCCACAGCCAGCGCCGGCCCCACCGGGTACGTCCAGTTGCGGAAGGGCAGCAGGTGCTCCTTGCCCTGGGCGCGGACGCCGGCGCGGAACCGCAGCGACGCCACGCCGATGCTGATCCACGACAGCTGGTTCGACACGCCGACGATGTTCTGCAGCCAGGTCCACAGCTCGCCCGCGCCGACGAACGACGCCCCGAACAACAGCCCCGACACCAGCGACGTGAACAGCACCGCCACCCACGGCACCTGGAACCGCGTCAGGCGCCCAAACACGCGCGGCGCGTGCCCGTTGACCGACAGCGTGTACAGCAGCCGCGAACCCGCGAATAGCGCGTGGTTTCCCGCCGATACCACGCTCGTCAGGATGACGGCGTTGACGAAGGAGCCGGCCACCTTGGACCCGGCCATGCTGAAGGCTATGGTGAAGGGTGACGTGAGCGTCTGCTTCTGCGCCAGCCCCTCGTACGTGTACGGCACATTGAGGCCGATGAGCAGGGACGAGAGGATGTAGAAGAAGAGGATACGCCAGAAGACGTTCTTGACGACGCGCGGCAGCTGGCGCGCCGGGTCCTTGGTCTCGCCGGCGGTGATGGCGATGGACTCGGTGCCGCCGTAGGCGAAGGACGCGGTGACGAAGACGCTCGCGAAGCCGCCGATGCCTCCGACGAAGGGCGCTCCCGGCAGGTACCAATTGCGCGCGCCGATGTACTCGCCCGTTGTGTTGCCGCCGCAATTGACCACGATGCTGAGCACGATGAAGATGACGATGGTGACCACCTTGAGCAGGCACAGCCAGTACTCGACCTCGCCGTAGACGCGCACGTTGACAATGTTGGCCACCACGAGCAGGAACCAAACGACGAGGCCGAGCGCGTACCACGGGAAGTTGTCGGTCCAGTACTGGAGCAGCAGCTGCAGCGCCACCAGGTCGGCCGCCGTCGAGACGGCGTCGTTGAACCAGTAGTTCCAGGTGAGCGCAAAGCCCCAGGCGTCGTCCACGTAGCGGCCCGAGAAGCTGCAAAACGATCCGGCCACTGGTTCCTCGCGGAGAGTGTGAATTAGCTTGAGAGCTCCCTCTGAACCCGATCTTTTAAAGGTTCTCTCGGGGTCTCCTTACCTGGAACGAATGCGGCCATCTCGCCGAGGCACAGCATCATGACGAACACGACGGCTCCGACGATGGCGTAGCAGATCAGCAGCGACGCGGGGCCGCCGGTCGCCAAGGCCCGGCCGGTGCCAAGGAACAGGCCGGTGCCGATGGTGCCGCCGATGGCTATCATCTGCACCTGGCGCGCCGATAGCGACCGTCGCAGCTTGTCCTCCAACACGACATGTTCGACGTCGTGGCCCGCGGGGACCGCGTTCTTCTCGGAATCGACTTCCATGGTTGCGCACAGAGACTCGCGATGTTGGCCTGCGGCGCGGGGTAGGGGTAGGTATTGTTATATCGAGTCGGGTTTGATATTATGCACCTGGTAGTAAACCGAGACTTTACTAGCGGGGGTTTTCGATCATCGCAAGACTCACGTCTCAGACTGCACGACAACATCTCGCCTACACGCGGGCAAAGCGGCGGCAACGGCCACGAATTCCTGCACTTATATACAGCCATATGATCGAACCCGATCTCACGATACACGGCACCGAGAGGAAATTCTGGACGAGCACGTCATCTCACGTGCGCCCCCCTTCCTCGTGGGAGGAGAGAGCGCCGGTGCGGCCAGCGGGTTGCAAAACGATAGTTACATCCGCCGGGCGCCGATCGCCAAAGAAAACGTAACCAACGGTCACAAAGGCGCAGCAAACCGCGATGGAATCGGCGCAAGGAGTAACGTGGCCGTGGGGTGGCCCGACGCACCGAAGTGCTCGACCTGCCTAATCCGGCACGACGCCACAGTTTATCCGCACCCTCGTCGCCGATCGGTCACCGAGGTCAGGCGTTGTTGCTACGAAGGTCGGTAGAGAATGCATGCCTCTGTATACAATACATGAACACGTTCGGTACAGGTACTATACGGGTATGTACCCACCTTACCTCCCTCTCTAACTGATTGAGCCCATATTTACGGATGCTTAGCGTCGCAATCCCAAGCCATCCACCCAGAGCTTGTCTCCCTACTCTCCTCTCTAGGTACCTACTCTTTGCTTCTCTACCTGTCCATCCTTGGTACGTTTCGGGATGTCGTCAATGGTGGTTTACAGTCCGCCCCCCGTCGACGCAAGTTACCTACGGGTAGGTAGGTATGATTCGCCTTACCGGCGCTACGCTACGCGGCGAGTCGTGCAGCCATCATCATCATACTTAAGCTTATTTAGCTCCCGCAACCCAGAAATGATAGGGATGAGAAAGACGGAGCGCCGAGTAACCTCGCACCGCGATGTAACCGCAGGTATGCCCGTCCCGGCACAGATGGCGGCTCTCGATCGAGACTTCTTCCTCGCCATCCATCCTCCCCGTCCACCAAAGCAGAACAGGGCCTCGTCGGATTTGCCGCCGTCGCCGCGTCCTACACTATACCCTGGCATATACCTGAAGAATCGCTGGAACGCCACTTCATTTGCGTGGATGTGTCCGTCACGTGAAGATGTAGACGTTAGGTGGTATCGGCATTTCTTTCCTTTGCGACGTTATCGCAATAGCAGATGTCACCTATAGCCTAGGTATAATGAATGCATCCCCGGGCAATTAACGTCGCCTCAATCTCTCTTACCACCCGGGCGCGTAAGTCGGGTGAGTTCTCGTGCAGAACCAGACATCTGACCTCCATTTCCCGACTTGGTTCTTGAGAGAAGTTTTCCGCCCTAATAACTACACTTCGAGGGACGTTCTAGGTACATTGCCGTCATGCAGCAGGGGTGGCGGCAACCGTGACTATACTCCGAACATGACCTTGACGATTACCGCATTCGCTCACACATCACGCCGATTGTTAGTGAGAGAAGGAGAAAAAAAAAAGACACCAACCGTGATGTCACGGTACCTTCTGCTGATTCTTTGCGGCTGGGTAACGCAATTTACGAGAGGGACCTTTTACATTACCTACACGAGTCTATGCCGTTAGGGGACGCGGACCCAGTTAGAACGGTCCCGCCTTGGGAGACGAGGTGACATTGAGAGCTTGCGCGCGCAAGACCCGAACGAGCCATACGCGCGTTTGACATCGCACCTCGTAAACGCGAGAGGCCTGGCGAGGAACTAAGTAGGGCTGAGAAAAGCTGGTTTCGGCGGGCGAGCGACGCGCGCCGGCTCAACCTCCGAACGACGTTTACGGAAAGCAGACGGCCTACCACCGCGCGAATTTGGCGGTGAGAGAGAAGAGAGAAACATGGCCAGACGGAACGAGTGTCCGTCCCGAGGTCCCCAATTTTGGGTGGAAACGGGAGAGAGGTCACACGGCTTGGACCCGACCAGGCTGACTGGCAGCGAGTGGGCACCGACTTCTCCTGGGCGGCGGTAGGCTCTCCATGTCTTGGTGGTGCAGCTAGCCGGCGCGAGGAGGCGAGAACATACGGCCCAAGAATGGCCCGCGAAGCGCTCTGTGTGCGTGGGATGTCTCGATCCAGAATCCGTGGGTCGGCATCAAGGCACGACTCCGGACTGGTCGTGTGATCACGACCACGTAAGCAGGCAATCTTGCTACCTACAGCGAACCTGCATAGGTGGTCGCACAAGAGAGAAAGGGGGGGGGGGAACGAGAGAGATGGAGAGAAGGCAGAAGTCTTTCGGATCTACACTCAGCAGGACGAACATCTCCGAGATCAGGTCTCTCGCAACTTGTGACCCGAACTCAGCTAGACTAGCTAAGAGTTATAGCCGGGATGCAGACAACCTGGTAGGTAATATGACATAGGTGATGTTCCCTTCTGATCCCGCATTCCTGTGAATAGATGCAAAATTCACAGCCCTTACCCGTTACGCGGACACTTCCATCTGGGCCTACCGTGCTAATCGTATCTACGCCTTTATTTGTTCTGTTAGATAAATCGGTTTCCTTCCTCGTTTCTCCCCCTTGTAAGCGAGACTGCAATGGAACGCCATTCCCAGGTACGCAGCGGGTCATCTATACCCAAATGTTGGGTGCCCCCCCTCCCCTGGCCATTGGCCCGGCTTCCGGTCTTAATCTACATATCGTCACTCACACACACACACACTTACTCGCACACCCAAGTTCGAAGGCTGTTGGGTTATCACAGCTGCATGAGGCCTTGGCGTATGCAACTGCCCCTATACTCCACGGATTCCCAGGCTCCCGTCCATCGTCGACACCACCGGACTGGCTCTGACGAGCAGTCATATGCTTGGGGGTGGGGAGACGCCTACTGCAAGCCACAAAACTTGGCAGCACGATCGGGCCAGATTCTTCGCTCAGCTCGGGCATCTCTCGACAGCAAGCACGAGATCCTTAGGGGGGATCTCCCCCCTTCCCCGCGAGATGCCAGTGCAGAAGAAGAAAAGCGCCACAATGGATATATGGCTCGGGCTAGACTCCCCTCCCCTAGCAAAGCCGCTCGTTGCAGGCTCGTTATATAACTGTATATAGGCCTGTCCTGAGCCACGTCGCGGTCGACGCTGCTCGTTCGAATCCGCGCGTAGGTGTGCCGGCCCGTCCCGTGCTCTCGCCGTCTCTGCGCGGACAGCCTGCCCTGATCTACTCACTCGAGTTCTATGACAGATCCATCTACTCTGGCCCCGGCAATCTGGCGTAGAGCGTTACATCTACCAGCCCGGTGGTAGGTATCTACGTCCCTGTCAGACCTGTCAGACCGTTAGACAGCAACTCTGGCTCCCCGACCGTACCTATTGGTCCAGCATGGGATAGGGAGGGAGGGGGATGAGAAAACTGGCTAGCTCGGCGCTGATCTACGCGCTCCCCCGGTCCCTAGGTAAATGATCCGTATCTATCCCTCTTAGAACCCCATGTGGGATGGCGCTCGCTCGCTGCTACCTAGGAATTTAAATCATATAGCTGAAAGCCATTGGTAGGAGGGTGATCGGGGGGCAGTGGAGATGAGATGGCGTTACGGCTTGCTGCCCCCGGTTATGACGTCCTAATCCGGCGAGTCGAGAGCGAGGGACCATGAGTAAGTAAGTCTGTCCGGGGTCGTGTTCTCGGCCTTATAACAGCCCCTTAACCGCCCTCTCTCCCGTCGGCTGAGAAGAAAGGGGGAGAGACATGAGAAACAGCAGTTGCTAGTGCCCACCTATAGACGCCCCTGGCTCGCAAGATGACGATCTCGACCCGAGGACTCGTTTCCTCAACCCTCCTCCTGCTCGGACGGGCCCTCGCCGACACGTGCTCGGTGATCGAGGACACATCCACCATCGACGTTGCTCGGCCCCTCGACCTCTCGTACCTCGACGAGCAGGCCGGGTACTGGTCCAGCTCGTGCTCCGCCCTCAAGCCCTCCTGCATCATCTTCCCCAAGGACGCCGCCGAGGTCGCCGCCGTCGTCGCCGCCCTCGCCAACACCACCGAGCAGTTCGCCGTCAAGTCGGGCGGCCACAACCCCAACAACTACTGGTCCAGCGTCGCCGGCGGGCCCCTCATATCCACCCGCAAGCTCAACCAGGTCATCCTCAACACCGAGACTGGCGTCGCCCGCGTCGGCCCCGGCCAGCGCCTCGACAGCATCGCGGCCGAGCTCCAGGGCACCGGCTGGACGTTCGTCGGCGGCCGCATCGGCAACACCGGCGTGGGGGGTCTGGTGCTCGGCGGTGGGCTGTCGTACATGTCGGCGCAGTACGGGTGGTCGGCGTCGTCTGTTCTCGAGTTCGAGATCGTGTTGGCCAACGGCACGGTGGCGACAGCGTCGGAGAGCCACCACCCGGACCTGTTCCGCGCGCTCAAGGGGGGCGGCAACAACTTCGGCGTCGTCACCGCCTACGTCCTGCAGCTGTACCGCCAGGACGACGTCGTCGCCGGCAACCTCGTCTTCGCGCGCACGCCCGGCACTGACGCCCGCCTGCTCCGCGCCGTCCGCGACTTCACCGAGCACAACGCCGACGACCGCGCCGCCATCATCGTTACCGCCGAGCGCGGCAACATCGACCTGCTCGACGCCTGGATCCTCTTCCTCTTCTACGACGGGCCCGTCGTGCCCCCCGGCACGTTCGACAACTTCACCGCCGCCGGCCCCCTCCTCAACACCCTCAAGGTCCAGTCCTACGCCCACCTCATGGGCACCAGCAACTGGGTCGTCGTGCGCGGCTCCGTCGTCACCATCGCCACCGAGACCGTCCCGCTGCCGCCCGCCGCGAGCGTCGACCGGGTCCTCGGCGGCCTCCACGCCCACTGGCGCGACGTCTCCGGCACCACCCTCCTCGTCCCCGGCATCATCGCCTCCATCGCCTGGCAGCCCTTCCCGAAGCGCATCGCCCGCGCCGCCCGCGCTCGCAGCGCCGACCTCATCGACACCGACGACACCGTCGACCGCCTCATCGTCGAGATGAACTACAGCTTCCTCCTACCCAGCGACTATGACAGGATCGACCAGGCCATACAGCGCACCGTGAGTAGCCCCAATTTCTCTCCCCTCACCCTCCCCACTCTTCTCTCTCTCTCTTTCTCCTCTTCACCCTCAAATCCCTCTCCTTCCCCTTAACACTACACCCCCAGACCTTGCCGCGTCCGCAGCCCCGCTAAGCCTCGCTCCTCCTCCCGCGCCCGCGAGCAGTACGGCGGCATGCGCGACCGCGTCCTCGGCTGGCAGCGCGACGGCACGCTGCCCGACGCGTACCTCCCCATCTTCATGAACTACGGCTACCACCGGCAGGACTACTTCGGGCGGCTGCGCCCCGAGAGCCGCGCGCTCGCCAGGTCGGTCGCCGACCGCGTCGACCCCGACGGCCTCTTCCGCACCCGCACCGGCGGCTGGAAGCCGTAGACGCCCCCCGCCCCCGGTAAGGGGGGAGGCGTGTGGGCGCGTGGGCGTGGACGTCCGGGCCTGGGGATTCGTCGACGGCTGCCGGCTGCCGGCTGCTGCTCTGCCCGGCTGCACGAGGTGGCGCCGACTCGCCGGGACAGGCGAGAGGCAGGATTTCCTTGGCGGGCGAGACTGCTGAGGTACGAGTCGTTGTGATGGAGAATAGTCCTGCCGTGGGAAAGGGAGAGAATATCACAGACGGGGGGGGGGGGGACAGGGGTAGTAGGGAACACGACATACCTACATTATGTACATATCACGGCAACATACACGCAAGGAACACGTTCACAAACCAAGTCAGCACCCGCGCAGTTTTTACATGGCTCGCTTGTGAGCCCTACCACGCGAGCCAGCCATATTTACCAGCGTCGAGAGAGCTGCTAAGAAGTATTGATTACGAATATATATATATATATATATATACCTAGGTGCGCAGACTCGACGGGAGCGCCAGTACACATTCAGGCGTCTGAACTACTTCCCCGTATCCGTAGACCGCTTGCTGGTTTGCCTGTCTGCCTTCTCTCCCCCAACAACCGCTGGCCCGACGCGGTCGGTAGCTGCACATATACCTACCTACCTATGCAGGCAGGGGGTGTCCGCATCCCGCATAGCCGCCCTCCCGCGTCCCCCGTTTCTCGAATTCGAAAATGCTTCTTCGTACATTATACCGCGTCTCCCTCTCTCTCTCCCTCCCCAGGATTATTACCTACCTACCCTCTCCCCCCCCCCCCCCGGGCGTCTCCGGATATTCATTCCCTATTACATATCGGGCCCGACCTCCCCGCTTCCCGCGCCCCCCTTCCGGCCCCTAAGCCCTGCCTACGACAGCTCCCGCCCCCTCCACCCGCCGTCGAGCTCGCCCACCCCGACGCTGCTCAGCTCGTAGCGCGCCGCGAGCGTCCCGGCGTCCGACGCGCCCGGCGAGTACGCGTAGGCCGGGCTCGGCGTCGCGCCCTCCTCCGCGCCCGCCTTGGCGCCCCACGGCTGCAGGGCTACGTATTGCTGCTGCGGCGGCGGGGACTTGTCGTCGCTGTCGCCGCCGGCGGGGGGAGGCTGCGGCGGGAGCGCTTGGTTCCGCTTGCGGCGCTGCCGCCGGAACACGAATGCGACGGCGGCGAGCACCAGCGCCAGCGCCCCGACCGTGCCCACCACGATCCCGGCGATCTGGCCCCCCGAGATCTCGCTGCCGCCGCTCGAGGCGTCGTCGTCGGTCGAGGGTTGCGGCGATGGCTGGGGGGTGGAGTTGGGGTTAGTCCGCGTGTATGTACATCTAGGCCCCGGGCCCTCAGGCCCTAGGCTCGATGGGCGAGACAGGTAAGTAGGTAGGTAGGTAGAGGGTAACTTACGTCGCCGAGAGGGAGTTGTGACGCGGGAGAAGATGGTGGTGAGGATGAGGATGTGGATGTCTACTCGGTCAAATTGTCAGCAATACGCGCGCTCCTCCCCGCCCCGTCGCCCCGTATTCGACGAGGGGGATCGTCTGTGTGAGGAACTCACGCTCTGCTGTATCCTGAAGCCGTCGATGGGGTGCGCGTAGGCCTGGTCGGTCGAGGCTGCGGCGGTCCAGATGACCGTTGCTGTGACGCTCGCGCTGTCGTACGCCGTCACCCTGACGGTCTGCCCGGCCTGGAAGTTGCTGTAGCAGGTGCCGCCGTACGCCGGCCGGTTCGTGTCCGCCGGCGACTCCGGGGGGTGGAGCAGGAAGCCGCTGGTGTCGCGGTTAGACGGAGCTACACAGATCGCCGTGCGAATATATTCTCCCTACATGCTCTTCGATTTACCCGTGCTTCAGTCTTTCCCCCGCCACGGTACCCACGCCAACGCGATCAACAAGCAACTCCACGTAGGTACATCATACCTAGATGGATCCGTCAAGGAGGCAAGAAATTCGACTTACGAGGCGCAGCAGGCAATGTAGCCGTTGGGCCGGTCCATGACCGTATTCCAGCCCGACTGGCAGACGAGCGGCGAGAACAAGGGAGCGATCGAGCTCGATTCTTGGAATAGCTAGTTACGTGCGTCAATACCGCCTCCTCGGAAACCCCACCCGGCCTCTCTCGCCTACTACTAGAGCACCCCGAAGGCTGCTCGCTGTTGAGACCCGCGAACGGGGGCTGTAGGAGCGCGTAGGAACATGTGGGAGCACGTACTATCGAGCAACAGGTTAGCAAAGCATACTATACGTCGGCCGGTCTCCTCAGCGCAGCCTGAGGGTGCTCGGTCGCTGTCTTCCAGAGATGATGATGCTGCTGCTGCTACTTACCACTAGTATATCCCTCCACAAAGCCTGGCGGGTAGCATTCGCCGAACTTCGAGCTGGGCACGGGCTGCGGCTCGTTCAACCACAGCTGGTAGCCCGGCGAAGAGAGCTGGGTGAGCCGCATCTCGGCGCACGACGCCGGGGGCGTGAACGTCGTGGTCAGCGGCTTCACGGTCACCGTCAGGATCGATAACGGCGCCGTCACGCTCGGTAAGGTCGAATTCGTCGACATCGTCGCCGTCGTCGTCGTCGTCGTCGTCGGGACAACTACAGGAAGGGAAAAGGAAAAAGAAAAAAAGAGGCGAGACCCAGAGGGAAATCGTCAAGATCATGGACTGAGGAGGAGTGGTAGGTGCAGAAAGTCAAGCTTCTCGGGAGAGGGGGGACGACTGCGCAGGATTCAAAGGCGAACATGGGATAGACAGCGTGGTCTGCTGATCGGGACTCCACAAGCGGGCATCTGGACTTGGGAGCGGCTGAGGCCATCATGTACCTAGTGACAGGCCCAGGGCTTTTCGAGCATGGCGGACGCGCGCATTCGACTAAGCTTGGCCTCCCCCCAAGTATCGAGGATCGCGCGTGTAAGCGCCCGCTTTGGGAACCCTGAGCCGCCTCCTTCCACGCTTTCGTGTCTCTCGTAGGGCCAAGAGCCCAGGGCGCAGAGTCCAGGGCGCAGAGCCGATCCCTCTGCTCTCATATCTCCCTCGAAGGCCGTCGCGTCGGATCCTTCGAGCTGCACTACTACACATCCATCCAGGCTGTCTACGCCAGATTCCTCCCCCTCCCGGTCGCAGTTCGTTTCACCTAGCGTGAGAGGCGGTATCGTCGTCTTTTGTGACAGGAGCACACAAATTAACGAGCCATCCTATACTGGCACTACGGGTTGACAGCAGAGCGGCACGACCACATTCCCCCCCCCCCCACCCCCTTACCCTCTCCTGTTTACTACGCAGTAACCTCGTAGCTTTCCTGTAGTCGGCTGCGCCCGCAGAGGCGTGTTCTCCTGGCCATCCATTCCCCTTAGGCCAAAACCGGGCGGTACCCCCTTGCCCAAGTACGGATAGGGTTCGTGGATCTGTAAGGCGTTGACGGTTTTTTTTTTTTTGGGGCAGAACGAAAGTAGATATTTCCGCCATTACGGAACGCCAGCGCGAAATGACTGCGAGGAGTTGCTGTCACATTTAGCCCCCAACCCCCCCTTTTTTTTCCGACATTTGATAATTCCCGTCTAAGACGACGATGACACCTAATGCCTTGTTCCACGGGTAGCGTCTCGCTCATTGCTGACTTAATGTGTCCGAAAATAGACTGTACCGGGACACCCTTGGCGAATGAGGTAAGTACATAATAGATACCTTGCCTCGCCTTCGCCCCAGTGAGCCAGTCGTCGCATTACCTATATTTGATGGCGAAATTTATCGCGCGCGGAGGTCTACTTCCGAATCACGGGAATAGTCACCAAGATCGAGCATCGTAGGGGCGCGACGTCAGAAAGTAAGTTGCTATCTCGACATCCGTCACTTTCGAGCTATCACCGCTATATTTCCAACAACATTATTTCGTGATTCGTGAAATCGCGCCAGGCTAGCCGCGAGGCCCCCTTGATGGCTTTTGCCAGCCCATAGTCCCTTTTTTCCCCAATGTTCCAGCGCTAGGGGAGGAGAAAGAAAGGAATCAAATCCGAAAAGATCAGCTCGTGGGGCGTCTTCAGCAGCGCTGAAAAAAAAAAAGCCACGTCCAAAATAAAACCAAGACGCTAGAAAACAAGACAAGTAGCCAGAGAGCAAGGCGGGATATCAAATCGATACTGCTTACGCGTCCGAGGGTATCTCTGCTTCCGCCTCTAACCCAATGCCCTCGGTCTCGTCCCACACGACCAGAGTGAGAAATGGGATAAAAATGTAGAATGTGTCGCGAGACAGTGAGCCACACGCGGGTACGCGGAGGTCTTTTCCGGAAATCTGAACAAGGAAATCCCGCCATTCGGCATATGCCAGATAGAAGGATAGGGGGACGCCACACCGCCATCCTGTCCCTCCGCGTGGGATACGTCTAGTATCCCGAGCCATCCATCGAAGTGAACGGAGGGGGGTCCATGGCCATGAACTCGAGCAAATCCACGCCTCCCACGTTCACTCCCTGATCCGTCATCGTCACATTGGAGTTCTCCCCCATGCTCTGGAACAGGCCGGGTCCCGGGGGCAGGTACCACATCTGGTCGTCAGCACTCCAGTCTCCGCCGGCCTCGAAGATGTTGTCACCGAGATGGGACGTTTCCAACACATTTCCGCTTAGCGCTGGCGTAGAGGGTCCGAACACGGAAGCAGAACCGGTCGGGTAGGGAAAAGTGCCGGTAGTGAGGTCGAAAGGAGTTGCCGATACGTTCCCAGACGGAGTCGAGGAACGCTCTGTAACCGAGTTAGTCCTAACCCCACTAGCAGAGCAGGGGCGGGATACGCGAAAGCGCCAACTTACCGGGGACGGAGAGGGCATCTCGAAATTTAGCAGAGTGGCCCGGGTACCCGTTCTCTACGCCGTTCACTTGGGTGTGGCCGTTCGTCGCGGTGTGTTTGCCCGTGTCGCCGTTCGGGCGTGGACTCTTGCCTTCTGCCGCCACCGGCGCGTACTTAAAGCGGTCTCGGAGCCGCGTCGTTAGAGACTCGAGCAAGTCGCCGAATCTCGTGCCCAGGTGGATGTCGTCCACGACGCAGTTTCGTAACGCGTCGACTGTGCGGTCCAAAAGACTGATGCTCACCTCCACATCCGACTTAGGCGCGCCCAGGGCAAAGGTCTTGAGTAAAAACATAGCACCGCTGACGATCCGGAAGTATGTTCGCACGGGTGCGTGTTTCAGGTAGCCTCGCTTGAGCAGGCCCTCGACGACCGTCCGCAGCAGGTTTCTGCACCCGTCCACCACCTCTTTGACGTATTCCTGGTCTTCGTGACCGAAGCCGCCTAGGTGGCCGAGGGGCAGGTTCCCGAGGTAATTCTGCGTCTGGGGGGACAGTTGCGCGCTGCCCACTGCTACACTAGTAGACGCCCCGGCGTTGACCGTACAGCGCTCGACGACGGCCTGCAGGGCTAGAGAATTGACGTATATGCGCACGTATTCGTACTCGATCGTCAGGATATGACGGATGTTCTCGGGTATGTCGAAGCGTTGGAATTCCCTCCACCAGTTCCTAAGGATAGGTTGGAACTCCTTCAGCGCTCTCGTGTAATTCCCGCTCTGGATTATCTCTGTGGTGTGCTTCCGCGAGCGGAATAGTCTCTCGTTGCCCAGCTGCATGGCATCGCTGACTCCCACCCAGCAATGGATGATCTGGTCGTCCAACTCGACGTTGGGCACGTAACAAAAGGTGGCGGATGACACGGACGGGTTGGTCCCCGGCGTGTTCCCCTCGTTCGAGATCGGACGCCTCCCGGAAAGAGCTGGGTCGGTTTTCCGGATGCTCTCGGGAACCATATTCGTCCACCCGAGCCGACCTGCCAGCTGGGTCTGGTACACCAATAGCAGGCGCTTAATCCGCGTCGCGCGGAGGCGATAGGCCTCGTCCTCGTACTCGGGCCGCGTGATGGCATTGGTCTCGAGTAGCTCGCCAATGTCGTCAAAGACACCTAACTCGTAAGCTAGACCTAACGCGTTGCTGAGCAGCATCCAGCACATGCGGTCGCTCCTCCAAGCGGGCTCGAGCCAGCTTTCGATCCTCCGACCGCCGACATTCCCGCCGGGGCGGGGCCCGCCTTCGTCGTCACCTAGATCGTGAGGGTGCACGTCACGGGAGGGAAGCATCAATTCGTCAATGGCCTCGTCAGGAGGGAAGTGAAGCGCTCGGGGATGCCACTCCGTCAAAATCATCAGTGATTCGATTGTTCCTAATGTACGAAGGCTCCCCTTCCTCAGACCTCTCCACGGCGCAGTGCTCGAGGTCTGCGACTCGTCGGCCCCAGATCCGCAGAAGCCGCCGCCGAACGCCTCCTGCCCCCAGAGACACCGTTCAATCATCCTCCGAAGATACCGCCACAGCTCTTCGTGGATCGCGTGCGACCTGCAGTGCCCACCGGTGGTTTGTATACGGTAGTACCTCGAGGCGATAGTCAACAAGGTCACGGTGAGAATTGGCTCTTCAGTCAGCAAGGTGATATGCGAAGAAGGACTGCGGAACGTTGGCGGCGAGATGGGCGTCATGGGGGATAAATACTCGTAGTAGCTTCCATGCGAGTTAGCGGTTGACATTTAAGCCGAAATAGCCGTCATTCTCGACTTACTATACGATGTATCTCACGGCCTCCTCCTTAGTGAACCATCCAGCCCTAACGAATCTAAACCTCGACCAAGCATCGAGCGCTTCCTGGTATCCGGCTTCGTTCTCGACATTCAGGCGCCGTTCCATGTCGGATGCTTCGTCGGCCTTCGCCGACGTTTGCAGGAGCGGGTCGATGAGGTCCGCCGATTTCGATGTTGTGCGACCATCCGGACGGCTGGCGAAGTTCGAGCCGTGATCTCGAGGCGTCTTGCGGCCCTGGGCAGACACGGGTGACGGCTGGACGACGGAGGCCACAGTGACATTTTCACGAGTCCTGTTCAGGTCGTGCGGGCTATCGAAATTAGTAATTCGCACGCTAACGGGCCGTATCGGATAGATGGGGCGGTATGACGAAGAGACGGACCTGTCGGTGGCAGCCTTGTAGAGGAGGTCGAGGGCGTCGTGGGGACCGTATACCTCCTTTCTCATAACGCTCTGAGCTTCGAGGTTCTCCAAGTGGGCGTTGGAGTCTTCGCCGACATCGGTGTAGCTCGTGCCCCGGCTGGTTCTCCTCCCATCTTCGTGGTCCGCATTAGGCCGTCTCAAGGGCTGCGTCCGGCCGGTCGAGCCACCCGGGGTCAGGGGAACGCTGCTGTAAGATTTCCGGTCGACGGGGAGAGGGGGCGTGCCGTCGGTGTGGGGTCGCTTCCGTGCGTTACGAAGAGTATAATCATCCTCCTGGTCGTCGAGCTCGTCGTCGTTCTTCCGCTTCCGCCGGGTAGCACTGAAAAAGCACTCCTTGCTCTCGCGACGGCAGCGCACGCACGGGGGTTCGTGGGGATCGTCGACGCTCCCCAAATCGCATCGCACCTTTCTCCTTCGGCACGGGATGCAAGCTTGGTAGACTCGTTTGTGCTGGGGCTGTTGGGGCAGCTGCTGTTGAGGCAGCGACTGAGACTGCGATTGAGCCTGGGGTTGGGAGTGCGAGGTGTTCGCGGGAAGGGGTTGGCGAGGCTGTTGGGCGGCAGACGATGACGACGACATAGTGGCAGAGGGTGCCGCGGGGTTTTCATATTTCAGAGACATGGTCTGATCCAGTCGTGCTATCCTGCCGGGTTGGTTCGGGATCCCGCGCCAGCTTCTAACTCGGGCTCAGACTTGCCGCCCGCGCATGAACACAACCGCAGGAAGCCCCCCGCGGGCGCCGATGGCTGCTCGGCTTACGACGGGAATTCGAGGCCTTATAGGAGGGCGCGGGCGTAGAAATGTGTGGGTGTGTGTGTGGTATGCAATAGGTGCGCAGGCGAAGTGGGACGGGTCGAATCTATCAATCGGGAGGCCAAACCACAACCCGATACCTACTTTAGACAGGAGGTTCGCTTCGCTCGCGGAGGGTGGTTGTGGGTTTCCTCGGACTTGCGGGGTTTGGAGGCCAAAGTCGACGCCAGTTTGGTTTGGTAGTGAGAGTAATAACAGGTGGTATAATACCAGCTAGCCTAACAGGGTGCGAGACTGGATATCGCACACAGTACGCGGAGGATCTGCTGTACGGTACGAATACGGCCCGGTCCCACGCACGCGGTCGCGAGGCGATCCGGAAAAGACTCTTATTAGGTAACGCGGGCAGCAGGTGGGCGTGCGAGACCGGGTTTGCTAGAGCGAACCACTGCGAAGACGTCCCAAGATCGTGATGACGACAACCGGCAATTGGCAGAAGGACAGACGTACGTGTGTGTGTGTGTGTGTGTGTGTTGTAGACGGGGCCCGGCGGTAAGGTCGGTGAGACAGCGGTGGGTAAGATGATAATAAGTCTAGCTACAGAGCCAAGTCGCAATCCGGTCGACGCCTAGTCGTATAGCGGCTTCTCCGTCCCTTTCTCGCCTTTGATGAGCCGTAGGCAGTAAGGGTCGTTGGCTGGCCTTTCTGTCTGCCTGCCTGTCTGCCTTCTTGCCTGCCTGCCTGCGTGTCTTATCTCAAATCAGTATTCGGGGGGAGGGGACGCGGACAATGGCATTGGCGAATGTTGACACACAATTGGAGCGGATGGTGGGTACCGCGGGCTAGGATGTCGAGGGAACCCAGATATAGTAAAGACGATGACCGGGGTCGGTGTCTCTATCTCGTCGCTCCCAGTGGACGGATAAGACTGGAGTGGGATATATGCTACAATATGTATGCGCGCCCACGATGGGAGTCCAGAGGCGGGAGGGGTGTGGTGTGCGTGAATGGAGAAACGAGTTGGCTGGTTGGCTGCGAGCGAGCAGAAGTTGGAGATTAAGCCGAGCCGGTTCTCTTTAGGTAATCGGCTTAGCATTCTAGGCCTGCGATGGGAGCAACATACGTGCCTGTAGGTAGGTACCTACCTCCTAAGTATAGGCCTACAGCGCGTACGAGGAAGCACACGATTAGGGTCACCTTAGGTACTCAGGTAGGTACCTGTACCTAAGGTACGCACCTACCTACCTCTAACCTACCTAGGTACCTACTTCTTCCAGACGGACAAGCCTGGCTAAGGAAGGTACCTACGCACCTGTGTCGACATCTTGTTTAGGCAGGTATTATGCTAGCTACCGCCTAACGCACCAGGTAGGTACCTAGCGTGGCACACTTAAAGCTATCAGAGGTACTTAATCGCATGTGCACTGCATCCCTTAGGTACCCCATCTGTACGTGTATAGCAGCGACCTCTAGCTTATCCCCTGCACATACCTTAGATTAGGTACCTCCTACCTCTCACAGCGTTAGGTACTAAATCTGATGTATCGATGGCGTCGAGGGACGGACCGGAAGTCGGTGGGGACACATCCGGGGGGACAGGAATAGGTATGCTGCAATAGGTACCTATGTTGCAGTTCTGTACGTAACTCCCATCTACCTATCTCGGATCTTCTCAACGTCCCTCCTCTGCATCCTGTTAGGTATATACACGTCCCTTGGGTACCCGACGAGAGAGGCGCCGTCTATACGACGTGTTAGGAAAAGTCGCTTACCGAAAAAGGTGCTAATATTCCCCATTCCCCCTCTGACCGCGTTCTGCTTACCCCCTTCTTCTTCCTTCACCCCTCCTCTCCACAGCCTCAGCTAGGCCCGACCGCCAATAGCAGCCGATAACGGGCCATTGCGCGGCATGCCGGTTGGGCTTGCGAGCAGAATGACTCGGTCACGTTACCGTCGGGCGTGATCAATAAAATAAAAAAATTTCAATAAGCGGTCATCCATACATTCATATCATTCGGAGAGCTTCCTTTCTTCCATCCCTCCTTCACCTCGTCCGGTTTTGACTCACCTAGAGCTGCAACCTACTTACCTAGGTGCCTACCTTACTTACCTAGGTAGATACCTGCGAGGCACCTGGCACCAAGCCCTTCCCACAGGTTCCTAACCTAACCTCCTAACCGCACGTGGGCAATTCCAGGTTGTCTATCCCACCTGAGCTACTTGCCTTAAGTTAGGATCGCAACTATAGGTATTGATTGTATCCAAGGTAAGGTGGATGTAGGCATCTATGGGATGTACCTACCTATACAGTGCTCAGGATGCGTATACATTAGGTACCTTACCTCTCCTCTCTGGGAGTCCCACGCCCTATTCCCCATGCCCGTCTCCTGCTCACCCTTCTCCTGAATCGACGGGATCAGGGTCCAACTCCCTCCACGCCTCCGCCCCCCTTCTCCCCACTAAATAGAAGTGATTTATTCGACGCTCCCAGCCGTCTTCACCGTTCCTCAGGGCTGGTCAGGTGACGATCCTCCCTCCCCAGCCTCGACTGTCGCTGCTGTGATGTCATATCCGGCTCGGATGTGGCCCGCGCGCTAAGTCCAGTCGCCTCCCTACCGTGTTGGAACTCGGGAATCCAGGTCATAGGGCCAGCCAATCGGCCCCTCTCCTATCGTGGCCAGCTGAGCGAAGTCCGGGGAAGCCGGGGGAGCCAGGGAGGCCAGGGGAAGCTGGCAATCCAATTCAGACAGCAATTTTCTCGCCAACCGGCTGAGGCCTCCAAGCCACGTAATGATGTGCATACCTAGCCTCTGTTCAGCGCCATCCGCACGCAATATGACGATGCCTGCCTCGGAAGCGCCGCGTGCATTGTGCGCACGCCTTCGTGTGCTTTACATCATACGCCTCTGCGTACCGGTCCGTCCTAGAGCATGGCGCATCTCAGCATCTCAGGTCCAGATGCTTACCCACGGGCGACACGCCTCAAGCGTACCTTGGGGCAAGACACGTGGCGCAAACGGGCGCCGGCATGACCACTAGCGGGCAGTCCACCCGCTCAAAATGCCTTCATTGCGTTATGGTGAGACTATCTGCAGGGTATCTTCACGATAGATCAAGCGTGAAAACGCAAAACCATACTCCATTGTTGACCAGTGCCACCTACCTACCAATGCCAAGTTCTCGTCGGCCGACCGTAAAAGAGGCGCATTCCCTAGCCTAGCAACGCCGGTGTAAATGCAAATGCAATGAGGATTAATAGCATCATCGATCTGATCCCTAAGCCGAATCGCACTTGGGACGATGAGACGACAGGCGAGTCCTTCATTCTAGTCCATACACGCGCATCGACGGGCGAAAGAAAAAAAAAAGTTCCATGCTTGGCCCTAAGTTAAGCAACATCCACTAGACCACCTTGACATCCACCTGTAGACGTACCGGTTAGCCATCGAGACTGTTAAGATTGGGCGATACCATCTAGAATGGCCGGGGCGGCCAACTTACCAGAAAATCCCAGATCATCTTGGCGAGGTGATCGGGGAGCGTAAACAGGTCCACGGTGAACTCTCCCGCGTCGATGTCGTTCTTGGTATACGTCTCGTCGGCCTTGTGATCATGAATCATTTGGATGACGTGGAGGAGGTCGTCCTCGTTCAGCTTGCCCAGGCCATCCGCCATCTTCTCAAAGTCGCAGACTGCCTTCTTCTTCTTAAGGTCGTTCGCCTTACGAGCCTTGGCCGCCGCCTTCGAGTCGTCCTCGTTGGGGATCGGACCCGTCTCACGGAGGACGGAGAGGAGGGCCTGAGAGGGGTTCTTAAACGTGATGGGCTGGACGACCTCGTACTCGGGAGACTGGAAGTTCAGGTCATGGAATATCGTGTTCTTGCCGCCTTTCTCAGTCGTGAAGAGGTCGATGGACATCTCAAACTCACCCCAGCCCTCGTTGGCGCAGGTGAAGGGGGGTTCGGTGAATGCTACGCTCCGGTCAACACTGTTTTTTTTTTCTTTCTTTTTCTTCCCTATATTCTACCCAGATCCGGCTAAGCCGGACTCCGCGCAACTCGATGAGGCTGCTTACTCTGGTGGGTCTTGTCTTCGAAGGAAGGATGGAGGTTGTAAGTGACCTTGGTGAAGCAATTGGCCGGGTGCTCGTTGCCAGCCTGATCGAGGAGGTAGATCTTGACGCTCCACTCCTTCATGGGGAAGTCCGCCATAGGAGACGGCTTCGGGCTGGGTGGCAGGCGTGGCAGGTCAGCACGCCGGGAAGAAGAGAGGGCGGGCAGGACGGTAGCGCTGCTCACATGTTATGCTGCTCGGTAACGAGCTTGATGTTGCGCTGCAGTATCATGGCGGCGTCAGTATTCCGTCGGATCCGCGGTAGTAGACGATGCACCAGAATCCCCCAATCCGGAATGCCACAGGCAGAAAGCGCCGAGGAAGTCAAGGCGACGTCAGAAGCCAAGGCGGTGGCTCAATTGCCCAAGTGGTAGGAAAAGGCGCGGGAAAAAGAGTGAGAGCAACGGAGCGGCGTCGGGAAGAACGGGGTGAGATGAAAGAAGGCCGACCTACTTCGACGTGCATCTTGACAGACTTGTCAGCTTCCGGTCCACCCTGTTGCGAGCTACGTCTGGTCGAGCTCTGATGCCAAAGATGAATTAGCGAGCGAGACTCCACGGAGGGTGGGAATGTTTTTGTTAGTGAGAACGCGTACTCTGGTGACACGAGTGGTTGGAAAAGGCTGTGCTCCCTCAGCAGCACGAGCGCGCGCGCCACCACGAGCCGGCGCTTCGCCCATCTTCGGAATGCGGGCGATCAATTTCGCCGATGGCTGAAGGACAGGGGGGGAGAGAAAGAGAGAGGGTGTGCCGATTCAGGGGGTGTGAATTGAGTCGAGGAACAGGGGAGGGCGTGGGTTGAGTTGGAGGGGGGCAGAGGAACCGGGGTCGGATGGGATTGGGACGGGGCTGACGGGGTTTCGAGTCAGGCCCAGCCAGGTCAACAACCCAGGGGGGGACCAGAGGTACCTACGTACCTAAAGCCACGACGGGGCATCCAGTAAGGTGTACGTGTAGGCACCTAAATTCCCTAAGGTGGGTACCTAGGGTTAGGGACGTTAGGTACCTCCCTTCAACCACCACGGATCCGAATCCATGCCACCACAGCTAACAACCAAATCTCTGTCATCGTGTCCGCGTGCCGCCGCGATGCAGGCCATCCGCTCGGGCTACACTGCAGCCAGCTCTCCGGGCCCTTGCGAGTCCACATCGCGTGCTGATCCGCCTGGGTACCTACCGTGTCCCGCGAGCCGCCGTCTATCTGTCTTAACCTCGCGATCCCTAGGCGTTGCTACATGGGCAGGCCGATATAAACCAGCACGCGGGGAGCATCATCAGATTTGGGCCCAGGTCAACTAGCAAGCACCCGTCACCGGCGAGTTGGCTTTGAACCTCCCCAGAATCCCACAGCCGAGCCAGATGTAACCGAATCCAAAGGGCAGCAGTAACCAAGGCACAGGCTGCTGTAGCATGCCACAGCATTGTGCTATGGTACAGATACATCCTCTCGACGATCCCGTAAGTAGTAGCCTATAAAACACCTCTGGGGCCTGGGCCTGCATCTCGGGAAGACCCCCACGATCTCCCGTCCTAAGGACACGCAGGCTTCGACGGCGTCACAGCCGGCTAGGGTCTGCCTAGGTAATACCTCTCCAAGGAGGGGTGGTCGAATCGGGAACTACATCGACTAACCAGCTGCTCATCTGCAACTGAACCACCTATCACATGCCACCATATCATGATGAGGCGACTTGAGGCTACACCGAGTAAACAGCTCCCCGTTCGTAACTGGGCCATCCATCATATGCCACGATGCCGCGGTGAGGTAACGGCGGCATTCCAAGGGCAAAAAAAGGATATGCTGAGGGATATGCCGACCATCAGGGTTGCTAGCTGGATCAACGGTGGCCAAGAAAGAAAAACAAACCCCGACCTGGCTTTCCTTCTTCGCTGTAGCCAACGAGGGACTCTCCGATCTACCAGACAGCGCAATGCTCCCTTTGCGACGAGGCCTTCCGTTCCTGCGTCGATGGGAAAGCCTCTTCGGAATTCCATTCCATAGAAGCGCCGAGTAAGATGGGGAGAGGGGGGATACAATCTTGTCTTGTCAACACCGCTACCCGACCTTACACAGAACGTACATATATCGTAGGCTGCCCATTGGCCCGAGAGCATCCAGATATCTATGTATGCAGTCACAGCTGGGATCTTTCTTCCTCGTCCTCGCCTTCTTCTTCTTCTTCTTCTTCCTCTTGCTGGCCACTTCGCGTAGTACATGACACCTTCTGGGCAGCTGGCTCACTGGCAAGCTCTGCCCACGCTCAAACCGTAACAATCAGGACGAGTGATCGAGAACACATCTACACACGCAGCTCAGCAGACGGGTACTGACGTGGACTTTTTATCTCAGAGATATAGAGGACGGCTCGCCGCCAGGGAGACCTCGACCAGCTCGCAGCGGTATATCAGGTAGATAGGTTGGGCGTAGGCGGCAGAGATCTTCCTACGAACGGCCAGGTCCAGCTCGCGGTATCTCCCGGACCTCGCCATCCACATGTGACAGGCGCAATTTTACTATTAGCAACCCCAGTAGGACCGATACAAGCATGAAGTCGATGGAGAAGGATGGGCGAGCACTAAGCATCCGCGAAGCCGCTGGCCCTGGGGCTGGGGGGGATAAGGCAATGCTCGGGGCCTCCTCCGCATCCACGGGACTCGTCGAGGCCCAGGAGGAGCAGTTTGACGAAAAAGAGACGAGGCGTCTCTTGAGGAAGATCGATTGGCATGTCATCCCCATCATGAGCGTTGTCTGCTTGTTAGTTACCCCAGCTCCCTTCTTCGGCACAGAATGAGAGAAAGAAAGGGGTAGAGACGGAGACGCAGAGACGAGAGAGAGAGCTATACTAATAGAACCCCGGACTAGATTGTGCTTCCTCGACCGCAGCAATATCGGGAACGCGCGCCTCCATCACCTTGAGCAGGACCTTGGCCTCGTCGGACTCCAGTACAACAACTGCCTCGCCATTCTGTTCCCATTCTACATCGCGGCCGAGATTCCGAGCAACATGATGATGAAGGTTAGTTGATTGGTAGCCTGTTAGACACACGTCACCTCCATTTCCCTGCCTTAACCCTCTTTCGACTCCTTTTCTTCCTCTTTCTTCTGCTCACCCCCCTCCCCCCCCTTTGCTGACCAACTCCTCTCCAGCGCATCCGCCCCTCGACCTGGCTCGCCTTCATCATGCTCTGCTGGTCCGTCTGCACCGTTGGCCAGGGCTTCGTGCGCTCGTATGGCGGCCTGCTCGCGACGCGCGCTCTCATCGGTGCCTTTGAGGGTGGGCTCTTCCCCGGTATCAACTTCTACATCACGCAGTGGTACCGGCGCAGCGAGTGCGCCGTCCGCATGGCCGCCTTCTTCGGCGGCGCCACCGTCGCCGGTGCCTTCGGCGGGCTCCTCGCCCGTGGCATCGCCGAGGCCGACGGCGCCGCCGGCCTGGCCGCCTGGTCTTGGATCTTCATCATCGAGGGACTGCTAAGCCTGCTCGTCTCCTTCGCCGCCTTCCGGCTCATCAGCGACTACTACCCGACGTGAGAGAATACAAATGTCCCTTTCATGATATCGGAAATGTATATATATGAATGTCCAGACGCCTGAGAAACTAACCTTGCGCCCTAGTGCCAAATTCCTAACGACCGCCGAGCGGCGCGAGGTAGCGCGGCGCCTCACGGGCGATTCCTTCGCCGGCGACCCTACTACCGCTGCTGCTGCTACCGCGTCCGACGACTTCGACTCGCGGTACGTGTGGCAGGCGCTGGCGGACTGGAAGATCTACGTGCACATGCTCATCTGCATGGCGGCCTTCTGCCCCATCTACTCCTTCTCCATGTTCCTGCCCACCATCGTCGCCGACATGGGCTACTCGGCGCACGACGCGCAGCTCGTCAGCGTGCCGCCCTACGTCTTCGCCTGCCTCTTCTCCGTCGGCGGCTGCTGGCTCGCCGACCGCGCCCGCGCCCGCGGCGTCTTCCTCCTCGCCTTCCAGGCCGTCGCCGCCCTCGGCCTCGCGCTCCTCGCCGCCGCCCCCGACCCCAAGACCCGGTACGCCGGCACCGTCGTCGCCGCGATCGGTACGTCCTCGCCCGGCAGCTGCCTACCCTCCTATACAGCCCCAGCTAGCTAGCTAGGTCTCGTCACCGTCGTTGCGGACCTCCCCGCGCTCCAATCTTCCCGACTGATACGGGCTGGAACCACTCGACTGATAAACAGAACCAGGCATCTACCCGCAGATCCCGCTCGGCCTCGCCTGGAACAGCAACAACATCGGCGGCAGCCTCAAGCGCGCCACCGGCATCGCCATGCAGGCCATGGGCGGCAACTGCGGCGGCATCGTCGCCTCGTACGTCTACCTCGCGCCGGACGCCCCGCGCTACACCGCCGGCCACAGCATCCTCGTCGGATTCGTCGGGTCAGTTCTCTTCCTCCCCCTCTTATTCCTTCTTTCATTCTCTTCCCCCTCCCCCGCCCCCTCCCCCTCTCCCTTCTTCTCTCTTTACCCTGTCCCAGCTAACCCACGGCCTCCCCCCCTTTATTCCCCGGCCCGCCCGAGCCCGTAGCATAGCGTTCCTCTCGACGCTCTTCATGACGACCTGGTATCGCCGCGAGAACGCGCGTCGCGACGCCGCCGCCGCGAGCAGCCCCGGGACCAAGACGACCCCGGAGCGGACCGCGCTCGACGTCGGGCTGGCCGACGACGCCCCCTCGTTCCGGTACACCGTCTGACCTCGCTCGTGGCGTCGCGAAGTCTTTTTTTTTCTTCATCCAAAATCAAAGGGACGTAGAGGACAATGGGAGAAAACACGGAGCGAGTTTTAGGGGGCGCTGTTCGAGGAGTGGCCATGGCGGGGTATACCTACGAGCGAATGTGTTACTTCGGACCACCCGACACGTAGGCGTGAAGACATTCTCAACTAAGGGGTTAGAGAAGTGCCTTTTTTTCCGGAGTATAAGTAGAATGTTCGGCAGCATGATTGGGATAGAGCTAAATGTATACAAGTCTCCCCCTGCGACGACTTTGTACAATTATCTCTTAAGGCCTCGTTTTTTTTCGCAGCCGATAGCACACCGGAAAATCACACCCACCCTGTCCATTTTCTATGTGAACAGATAAAAAAGATTTTTATTTTGCTCCAGGCTTGAATGAGGAGATTGGGTCGTGTACAGTATTTAGGGAACACCAGATAGACAGCCCGCTCTGCAGCGGGAATAAACGACAAGATTGATCTCATAAGTAGAACCGAGCGAGAAAAACCAATGCGTGCACGCTATGCAATCATTAACCCACTCCGACAAGACGCATACGCGTCTGGTGTTGATAAATACCCAGGTCATAACCTATCCCAAAAGTTTTTTCTTCTTAAATATTGATGACATATCCAGAAAAAAAAAAACTCCGACCTCTGTAAATTTGCAGGATGTACCATCGAATGTCAAATCGCTCGATCATATGATGCCGCCGGGTGGATCGTAGCTCACGCCCCTGACACCTGCGGAATTCAGGCCGGCGCTCCCAGGGATATCGACGTCCGCCGGCGCCGGATTGGTCTTCCGTAACATGAACATTGGCTTCTTCCCTTCCTTATCCAATTGCTTGAAAAGGATCAGCGGTTTTTCTTGAAGGCCTAGGCAGCGCTCTTGGTCGCCGTATACAATGTACAATGCATATTGGTCCCAGGGGGCGTTGATTTGGTATTTCTTCAAAGCAGCAGGAAGGACCTTATAGCAGGGGTCGTCCATGCTGACTCGGAAAGACTTGAATATCTCCACCGAGGCTGGGCTAGAGCCGGGCGTTTCAAGCGGGGGGTTCTGTATCCGCCGCGGAGCCACGGGTGGCTGCTTCGCGCTATGGCTGTGATCGTTCTCGGAGAAGGTCGTGCGGCTAGACGGCGTCGGCTGGTCGGAGCGGTACGATCGGGAGCCGAGGGTACTGCCGCCTAGAGTTGGTGGTGAGGTTGGAGAGGGCATATTGGGCGAGTAGCCGGGAGATGTGGCCTGGCCGGAGCCGTTCATCGCAGCCAGATGTGACGAGGATAGGACGGCTCGTTCGGCAGCATTCGCGGGGTCCAGGGTTTGTTCTACCGAGGGCCGTTCGTGAGTGGTTTGTAAGTGAGTGGGGGAAGTGCTCTTGGGATTCGTACCCAGGACAAACTTCTTGGTAGAGTACTGGCGCTTGAGACCGTCTGGAGATTGGTTCGACGCGGCGGAGGTGGGAGCAGGAGGCGACACAGTCGACGTCTCGTAGCCGTAGGCCCCCTGGTTGTTGTTAAGGTGAGGTAGAGGTTGCTGAGCATCCTTTGCGAGGCGCAGGGCCGGCAGCATATCCTCCCTCAATCGCTTGAAGTCCTCCGTCATCCGCCGCAGATCCTGCTCTAGGAAACTCATCCTCTCATCCCGGAGGCGAAGCTGCTCGACCAGCTGCTTTATGTCTTTGATGGTCGCAGTCGCATATTGGGCTTCGGCATCGGCAGCTACACAAGCAGGGTCACGAATTAACTCTCGGTTCCTCGGCACGTGCCATCCTTATCGGCGAGGACCCGGGGTCGGCCGAGAGAGGAAGGGAGAGGGAGAGACGTACATAGCGGGACATAGTGGTCGCTCTCTATGGGAATGTCCTGGGCCTTTTTCACATCGTAGACGCTCTTCAGTATCGTCAGACGATGGCCGACGCTCGCCACTCCCATAGCTTTGAGGTCGTCGTGCAGCAGAGCCACCAATGCCTCGCCGACGATCTCATTCTCTACGTTCGCGTTAGAACCGACATCCCACAACCACAGCGACGACTGCAAAATTACAACGGCGGGCGCGAGGCCGAGAAAACCCACCGATAAATCGATCCGAGTATTGCGGCAGGCCGATGGAAGCAATGAAATCGGCACATTCTTCGGCGTCCCACTCGGATATTATAGTTTCGGGAAGTCTGTCGGCGCTGTTCCGATAGCTGTAGGTGGTGGGCGTGTGTTCGGTCGAGGAGCGGCCCTCCGAGTCGGTTGGGGATATCTCGGAGTCGGTAACAAGGACGGGCGAACTCGTGTGGACGCTCCTCTCGTACTCGTCGTCGGCGTCGGATTCCGCATACGCGGTGCCCGAATCGAAGTTCATCGTCGGCTAGCAAGGGCGGCAGCAGCAGCAGCAGCTAAGCAAGGCAGTGCAGAGCAGAGCAAGGCCGAGCAGAGCAAAGCATAGCAAGCAAAGCGAAGCAAGCAAGGCGAGACGAGGCCAGGCAAGGTGTAAGGCAAAGCCGGCGTAGAATTGAGCGGGATCTTGGCGTAGATAGGTTTATGTCGTCTCCTGGACCCTCCCGTTCCGAAACTCAGTTTGCCTCTTCTTTCCCCCCCTCCTGGTCTTTTTTGGGACGGGGCCGTCGAGAGTGGGCGTTCGATGGATGACCTACCCTGGGGAGAGAGGGGGGGTCCTGACCGATAAGGATCTCCTGAAGATCTGTGTGGTGGTTTCTGTTCCTACCAGAAGCTCCTCTTCCTCCTGTTCCTGTGTGAGAGGGGGAAGGGAGGAGGGGGGGGGGGGGGTCACCCGAAAAAAATGCAGAAAAATCAAAGCCGGGATAATAAATAAAGTAATACGAATATACAGCCGACGTGGAGATGGGGCGACGCGGATCGGACGAGGAGGCAGAAATTGGCTTGAGCGGCAGGCAGAAAGAAGGGTACGAGACAGGGTAGCACGGAGGAGAAAGGCGGTTGAGGAGGTTTGTTGTAGGATGGACCGGAAGTGGTGAAAGGTGCATTTGATTTGAGGTTGCGAAGTGCAGCGCTTTGCCTGGACCCGCCCGCATTTACGCTGGTCGTCCCTGATGGTCATTGCCCACTCGCCCGCTGCCCACCAACTGCGACTTTGCCCACATCGACGGTGGTAGGCTGGCCCGGCTGGCCACCGATAGGTACCTAGGTAGGTAGGTACATGCCTATAGTAGGTACCTACCTACCTACCTCCTGGGATGTGCCCAGGCAGGTGTGAACCCGAGGTACCTTGACTTACCCTAGGTGTCCGGGTGGGTACCTGCCCCAAGGAACACCCATGCCGCCATCGGGGGGTTGCAAGGATGGGTACATGGTGTAGGTACAACGGTCTCTGTGGGAGAATGCACTGGAAAATAAGTACACAGGCTACATACGTACAGGGACGGCACCTTGCGTAAACGTAATTCCGCTAGGCTGGGTACCTGCCTAGGTACGGTTACATACTTTAGGTACCTATGAGCCTGGACTCTGCTCATAAAGCAAGAGGTACCTAGGCTAGGTACATTAGGTCAGGTACTGACTGACCTTTGCTCCAGGCACCTGAGGTTACAGGTAGGTAGATAGGCTCCGAGACGGAAATCCAAGATAGCGTCTCTCCCCCCAACGCACATCCACACATATACGCACATACGCGCACTATTTATGCATACATGCCTACTGAAGATAAAAAGATTTTAAGAAAATGAAAGAGAAAAAAAGGGGGGGAGGGGGGAGGGGATACACGGCCTCCGTCGCAGCTATACATGGTCGGCCGGGTGTTTCTGATGCTCGGATCGTGTACCTGAGCGGGTCTAGCTGGGTAGAGGTAGCCGCCGCGACCAGACCATATTGTGCCCAGATGGGGACTAGCTTCGCACAACTCGATGCTAGGTTCCTTCCCCCCCCCTCCCCTCCCCTCCCCACTGTCTCTTTCCCTTCCCTCTCGCGCCGTTGGCCCAGATGATCAAATCCTGAGGTCATCTCCAACCTTCTTTTCCCACGTTCCGTATCAGGTCTCAGGAAGGAGGCGCCACGCGTGCAGACGGCTATCGTCTATACCTACCTAACTTCTTTAGGTACCTACTACGTAGCAGACGAGGCGGTTTCACCCCGTACACGGACGGGCTATCTCGGGCCGTGTACCTTGCGTAGGTAGGCAGGCATCTCTCTCTGTGCGTAGGTGCCTCTTGGGTACTTCTCCTCCCCTACCATTAGGCAGGTAAGTACTATGTAGATATGTCTCTGTCTACCTCCCGCTGTATAATACGTGCTGCGAGTATGAGTATGTGCCTAAGATATATTAGGTGCATCATGTAGGTACCTCCCCAGGTAGGTCGTATGTTACACCTGTAGGCGCCAAAGCCGAAGGTGAGGAAATCGTTATACTCGCAACTGTTGGTTGGCGGCAGGTCTCGTCCTCACCTCACCTGCCTCGTAGCCGCCACAACCGGCTGGGCTAACTTAGGTAATTAACGTACATACCCGCGACGTGCCCACCTCCTCGTGCATTCTATGAGTATGTATCTACGTACTCTGGGCGTCTACATAGGTATACAGGTACCTACCTACCCTGCCCAGGGGGGGATACTTCTAGTAAAACACAAGGGAACGCCGTGACAACCAACCTCGAACAGTGTCCGTATGCCTACATTCACGTGAGGGGATGCCCTTCTCATACCTACCTATCTATTATCCTGCCGTAGGGAGCGCCGGCCACGCTGCCGTGACGCGTTGCCTGCGTCCTGCTCTTTACCATATACCTCTCTCTCCTATCCCGGACCCTAGACACACCTCACCTATCCCATAGGCATACGCAGGTTAAGACGCCGAATTGCATACCATAGACGGAGATTGCTCATCACAAGCATATAAACATATACGACATATACGATAAATACGATATATATATATATGTCTGCCCACCTAACATATACCTACATATATATGTAGGTGTGCGTATGTATCGGTACGCTGCCTCCCTCTTATAGACAGCGTTCCAAATGGCGCAATTCCACTTCCCGTCAGCCTGCCGTTACATTCGCTTCTGGCCAACTCGGCAGCGCCGTCCGTCCGTCCACCGACGTCGCCCTGGAGCGAGCGAGCGAGCACGCACGCACGCACGCCTAGAGGTGTGCTCCCTATATAATATGTAGGTCTGGATGTAGCCACATGGGCGGTCGTCGTCTAATACCCGTTATTAGCAATCCGAGGGGTAATCTTCGCCCGCCCTGCCGTCCTATACAGGCATAATACAGTGTGCGGCCGGTATGAACGTATGGTAGCTGATATGTATGTACCTAGGTAGGGAGGTAGGTAGGTAGGTAGGTAGGCAGGCATATGCATGTCCGCGATGCTACCTAACCCAGCAATGCCGGTCCAGGGGGAGGTTCATCCGTTCTTCACCGAACGACAGACAGCCAGCAATCGCTGCAACATGAGCATACCATGTAGGCACCTAAGGTAGGTAGAGTGAGGGAGGTAGATAAGGTACCCAGCCCAGGCCGTCTTCTGCCTCGAAGATCAACGTACCTAGATAGGACGACGGAGTCGCCTTACTCTCGTCCCCCGACGCATCTCCCGTCTCATCCCCAAGTCCACCCACCCCGTGCCATGCTCTCCCTCCCTGTCCCTCTCCCTGTCCCTCTCTCTCTTTCTCGCGAGAGAGAGAGAGAGAGAGAAAGACACCCACACATCCATCGCACACATGCACACATATGCATGTCTCAACCCATCTCAAGCTAAGCAGCACGCATGCCGCGACGTAAGGAACAGACCTAATCTGCCGCGTCAAGCCAAGCACGGATCCGGCGCCGGCGGCGACGCCACACGCATACAGACGCACTACAGGACCATCCATGCATCTGGACCACACCACACCACACCACAGCGCAAGGCGCTCGACGCGGGTACCCATTCGCCTTAGATAAGTCGAACACACCCTCATCGCTCTACCTATACACCCTCACGGCTTTTACGCCCGCACTTACACCCTTAATATGCGTCCTTAATATACACCCTTAATATACACACACACATACACGCACCCTCGCCTCAGGGCTCCCACCTCCGCATCCGCGTCCGCCAACCCGCTCGGCTAGCCCGCTGCACACCTCCCCCCCTCCCCCCCCGGTCCTCAGCCTTAGCGACAAACGCAGACGCGCGCCCAACCCAGAGAACGGACATACCGCGCGCACGAACCTACGGCCCATGTCGGAGCCGTCTGAGGGCATCGCCGCGCCGGGGCCGACGGAGAAGCGACGGCGAGGAAGGAAGGAACGAAAGAAGAACGCCTCCGCAGCCTCTGCGCCCCGTGTTCCTGTGGACGTGAGCGGTATGTTGCTTAGGTAGGTAGGTAGCCAGGGAGGTAGGGTTGGTGCTGTGAGGGTGGATGGTATATATATATATAGATATATAGATATCTACGGCATTACGTTACATATAACATGCGCATGCACGCTCGCCATATCATGGAGCCGACGGTGGGTGACAGGCAAGCACGTCAAGACAGGGCAGGGTTAGCCACGCCGGCCAGTGCCTCTCCAGCTCCATACGCAGACTGCTTCTCCTTTCATATATTACCAGGCACGCCCGCCTCCTCAACCACCAAGCTGCCGTGAGCCGGATCGGTATGGCCCAACGCAACAGAATCATCAACCTGTCGAGCGCCTTGCCGCCGCCGCCCGTTCATCTCTGTCCGTTGACAGGTAGGGAAACGGCTAAACACACAGATATACATGTACCCGCACGTCCCCTTCAGTCTATATACATGTGCACATAGGCTACCACCACATCGACGAGATATCACGGTTAACGAATGAACAGGTATGTGAATTCCTATCAAACAGAAACAGGACTATGGGTCAAAAATTCCGCGTGGAAGAAGAGTAGTATAATGTCCGCCCGAGGCACATCGCCGAAAGCCCCGTCCTCCTCCTCGAGCCGGGCCGAGGCTCGACTCGACGAGGGGCGCTCGCAAAAATATAAGCTGGTTCGAGCGTGGCGTGAGTATCGGCGACAGCGATAGTGCCAGAGAGGAAAGAGGTTGGATATCGTTGGACGTCGGGTGCTCGTGGCAAATATAGGAATGTGTGTGCGCGTGTGTATTGTCTGCGTGTGGGTGGGTGGGTTGGTTTTTGCCGCGCCTCGCTCGCCCTCCTTTGTTTTCCCGTGACGTACTACCAGCCCGTGTGCGTATAGAGAAGCGAACCGTGGTTTATCGTGAAGCGAGGGCGGGCCGACCCCTTCTCCGAGGCCCTTTCCTTCCTCCTCCATCGCACCCCAAACCAAACCAATTACCGGCCAACAGCCGTCTAAGCCCGCATACAACTCCGAGGCGCCCTTCAGTTTGACAATACATACACATTATCCCCATACCGTGACGTAACGCCGTGATGTAGTTCTCTTCTCGTCTGCTACGTGTGGTAGCGGATTCGTCATCACCTTCTTATCGTAACCTGATCTTGGCGTCATCCGCTCCTTGAGCGATGACGTCTTCGAGCGCCCAGCGCGGCGCTTCGAAAACGCCTTCGAGCTTGTTCGCTTTGCGCCACGCCTTCTCCTCTTCCGGGTGGACGCCCTCCGGCAGGGGCTTGAGGCCGCCGGCAATGCCGGTGGAGAACTTGAGCTGCAGGATGTCTCCGACTTCGTCGCAGGCGGCTAGAAGGCGGTCCAGGTCGTCTTTATTATGGGCAGCGGAGACGCAGAAGCGGGCGCGGGAGCTGATTAACGGGGTGGCGGGGTATCCTACGACGACGACGGAGATCCTGCGCTTGAGCATCTCGTGACTGAAGGCGGAGATCTTGGCCGGGTTGTACAGAGTAACGGGGATGATGGGGGAGTCGTCGTGACCGTAGACGATCAGGCCGAGACGCTTGAGGCCGAGACGAAGATACCGCGAGTTGAAAGCGATGCGCTGAAGACGCTCTTCGCCCTGGCCGGGAACGAGTTCGCCGCTGATGATCTTGAGAGAGGCCAGAATCTGCATCAGGACGGCCGGAGTAGGAGACTCTCCCAGCGAGGTGGCGGCGTTCGTGCTCTTCAGCTTGTCGATGATGTGCTTCTCGGCGGCGACGTAGCCTCCGTTGGCGCCAAAGGACTTGGTCAGCGTACCCATGAGAATATCCACCCGGCTGGGATCGATGCCGAAGTAGTCGCAGACACCACGCCCCCGGGGGCCGAGAGCTCCGACACTATGGGCTTCGTCGACAAACAGGGCAAATTTGTAAGTATCCTTGAGGCTTAAAACACCGGGCAAGTCACACATGGTGCCTTCCATCGAGTACAGTCCTTCCACCGCAACCAAAATCTTCTTCCAGGGACGGTGGGTGCGAGGCTGCCCCTGGGCAATGGCCTCGCGTAGTCGCATCTCCAGATCAGCCATGTCGTTGTGCTTAAAGGAACGGATAACCGCGCCGGAGAGACGAGCGCCGAGCCGGATCGAAGCGTGGTTCAACTCGTCCGACAGAATCAGACAACCCTTGGAGACGAGAGCGGGGAACGAGCTGGAATTCGTAACGAAACCCATCGAGAAGACCATGGCAGCCGGCTTTCCGACGAAGGAAGCTATTTCCCTCTCCACTTCGTTGACGAGATCCGAGGTGCCCGAATCCGAGCGGGGACTGCAGAAGCTGAGACCGTATTTTTTCACACATTCCTCGACGGCATTAGCGCACGGGCCCTCGGACTGCGCGAAGCCCAGGTAATTGTACGAGCTCATGTTCAGGGTCTCGGTCACACCACCCGTGTACTTGTAAGTCTCATTGAAGTCGTCCGACACACGATCTAAGAGATTGATGAATCGGCCGGGAACGCCGGTGCTGGTCCTGGCGAAGCAATCGTCGATACGCATCTTGAGACGCCGCGTGTAGAAGCTGTCGAAGTCATCATTGAGCGGCGCGTAGCCATCTGCGGCCCGGAGAGTTTTGTAAGTCGGCTTCTTGCTAAATCGCTTGCCGAAAAAGTCCCTGACATGGCCCAAGGCAAGGAGAAGTAGATAGCTGATATAGGTGGTCAAAACGTAGTAGTAGGGTGGCTCGTCGATGACGGGGGCCTCTAGTGGCTCCCCATGATGCTTGCTCACGTAGCGGTGGGTCGGGTGAATCAATGGGCCGAACTGGGCATCAAAGCGCCTCTGCCGAGAGGTTTCCGTGGAGGAAGGCGGCTGGAAGAGCGTGGTCGGCGGCTCGTTGTCATCCGGCTCGCCTACGGCGGCCGTAGACAGAGAAATGGACGGCAGCGACAGGCCCGAGGCCGGGAGGGAGGGAGACGGGCCGTTGTGCACGGCCATCAGGGCTTGCTGAGCCGATCCTTGATCCTTGATCTTGGGGCTGGAAGAGAACAATTGGCTAAGACGGTTGCCCCTGGATTGCGATGGTCTCCTCTCGCCACTCCTTTCGGGCTGCGGCATGCTGGTGGAATTGGAGAAAGGGTTGGAGATTCGGCGTGGCATCTCTACCAAGTAGCAGGGTCGATAGCGGATTTAGGTGAGATCTCTACGGAGGCCAGAGGGGAAGATTGCACCGGTGACTCTCTCAGATGTGGGTCTAGGGAGAGTTTGCGAATCTGCGACCGTGTTAGTAAAGAGTAGCAGCAGGGATAGCAAGCGACTAACTTGCTGTATGAGTAGATGTCGAGGAGAAAGGCGGACGCGGGAAGTGAAGCAGAAAGGCGAAGGGACAAAAGGGGAGAAAGAACACAGGCCAAGCTCAGCCGAGCCACCTAAGGTCGGGCGGCGATAAGCATCGCGTGTGTATGCGAGATCGAGGTGAAAGGTGAGTGTTAAAGCCCGGAATCAACCACACTTACTTACCTCTGACTATCTCGAAAAAAGGGTCGCCGGGTCTGGTACTAGGTTTACGGTGCCGTCTGTGTGGTGTCCGTGGTCCTTGCGGGTGAGCCGGGGCGGTCTGGGAGCTGGGAAGCTGAGGCTGTCTTGAGGAGGGCAGTGTCGGATTGGCCAGCGGGCGGATGGTGTTGACGCAGGGCAAGTTTAGGGATAAGCTAGGTTTTCCTAAGGAGTGTAGGAGGTGGGAGAGCAAGAAGCGAAATTCCCACTGGCACAATGACGACACGCAACCACGACGGCTTCCCTCGACACCGACAGCACCCTTCACTCGAATTGTCCGGGACGAGTCAAGACGAGAGGAGAGGTGACGTGAAAAAAAAGGGGGCGAGAGCGGGAAGAGGAGGGCCAGGTAATTTTATTCAGAGAGAGGTGAGCGCGGCTCGGATGAGATGGCGGTGCAATGAGAGGAAGCATGAGGAAAAAGGTGGACCTGATCAATTTAGTGCAATGATCAATATGCATGTACTGCCGTACCGAGTCTGCTGCGTCGAGCAGGTGAGTACCTGGACAGTACCAGGCCACGCCCTCCGGCGCCGGGGGGGCGACGCGGGTGCGTGTACTGGGTGCCGCCTTCGAAAACCTGCGTGGTACCTGCCCACCACCTGCGGGCCAGCGGGACGCAGACAGGCGAGGTACCTCGGAAGTACCCTCGACGCCGGGAGTGGGCGCGGGTGGTGTGATGTCGGTGATGAAAGGCAGCCAGCTACGGTGTGTCAACCTGAATAATCCCAGACCCCCCCGGACAGGAGCACTTCAAACGCAGCCCTCTCTCCATCAGACGATGCCGCTAGTCTTTTTTTTCCTCCCTTTCCCTGTCCTCCTCTCTTTCCGAGCGATCCGCGTCTCCACTCCGCTCCTAGTCTTTTTGTATATCCTCCGGCGTTGGCTCTCTTATGAGTTGACGCCGATCTGCTGTGAAATCTGCCGCTGAGGAGGGGGGGGGTTGGTGCGAGGGAACGGCTCTCTCTCCGGATCCGTAGATTAGGAAAATGGAGCGGGTGAGCTAGACGCAGACATCAATAGAGCGACAGAGATCTCGACAGGTTCGACACTTTCAGATGCATGCAGCGCCCAACCCCCTACCTCTCTGGCTATTCTTTCCCCTTCACGCACGACCGAGAGAGGGGCGGGTAGCATTGCCTACGAGTATGAGTAAGTGTTATGAGACAAGGTGGTCTAGGAATGATGTCCGTCCCGTTAATTTCACAACAGAGAAGGATTCAAGATGCGCGTTTTATTACCGATAACGCGGTAGGCCACCCCCTTCAAGCCCCTCCCTGGTCGCGCTTCGGGTTGGGCTGAGGTGCCGAACGAGGAAAAGCGCGTGACCTGCACGTCCCGAACGTCCCTGAAATGCCGGAAGACATAGGTAGGTAAGCAGCTAATCCTCGAACATATCATACCTAAACCCCGTGCATGTCTTGGAGACCCGCGGAGCAGATAAGAAGAACCAGAGTAAATACTCATACAACAACCAACATGTGAGTATCATGCCGTACGTAGTAGTACGTAGCATGCCCTGCTGGGTTCTGGGCTGCTCCCGGTTAGGTCCCCTGCCGCACGAACCCACGCAGGTGTCCCATGGGTAACGAGGCATACAACCGCTGGACGAGAGGTACCCCTCCTGCTCCAATAGATACGTGCTTCCAGCGGCCAATGACGACCTCCCTACTATACGTGTATAGGAGATAGGTACCTACCTAGATAGGTATCTAAGGGGGGCAGGTACAGGTACCTACCTAGGCAGCTTAACCCTCCTTCAGCTTGGTGGCTGTCAAGTTTAAATTAGGTAGGCAGCCGCATACACACCCTCTCCCACCCGGGCGTGTACCTTGAACATGGAGAGTCGAGGCCAGGCAGAGACAATCCGTCAGCAAACGGCGCAAGGTGCAGTGGTAGACAGTACCTCGCTACGTAACACTGCCGGACGAGCCCTACCTTTATTAAGCTTTGCCGATGCAATTGTGTGTACCTGCCTCATGTCTATATGTGCATATATAGGTAGGTATGTACACAGTATACAAACCCGACAGTTATCCGATGGGCGGGTGTGCCTCAGGTGGTTACCACCTACCTAGGTACCTAGGTAGTGAGCAATCGGGGAAGGGACGCTATTCGTTGTCCAAACGATATACCTTACCTTCGGTTAGGTTAGGTACCTACTGTAGGTACATTATAGTTAATTGCGGGCTGGATCTAACTTAGTGTGTCGATCATGTAGGTACCTAACCCAGGGTAGGTACTAGTGTACCTATGCAGACCCTTATGACATGCCCATACACGTATTCTCCTACGCAGGTAGGTACCCACCTACACCATTCTGAATCACAATCGACCTCTCGTACATCATCGTCCTACCTCTGCCTTCATCCTAACAACCAAAGCATGCTGCGGACACCCCTTCGTGATGGGTAGAATGTCAAGAATAAGGAATAGACAGAACCGAACTTGCTACTCATTCTCGCTGTCGAGTCCGGATCGTGTCGCTTAGGTGTCTTCCGCGCCGGGTACATGACGACTACTTATGTATGGGGGAAATCCGTCTAAATCGGCCTCCGTCGGGCTAGAGCTATCGTTGAATTGGCCTCGTGCATCCGTCTCAAACCTCAACAAACCGAGGCTGATCGACGGCCGCCGCGGTCTCCACGATCCTCGCAGGTCTTCATATTAAAATACTCCGCCGGCTCGGTCCCATCGCGAGAGAAATAGACAAAACAACCGTCCCCTTGCCCGTATCCCCCTCCCTCCCACGTGCCCAATAGTCACCCACGATGACCGTCGCCCCCGAGCCCGCGCTGACGCTGCCCGTCGAGCTATGGCGGCACCCGGACCCTTCCTCGACGCCCATGTACAGCTTTCTGCAGCACGTGAGGTCCAAGTACGATGCTGAGATACGCGACTACCCAACCCTGTACAAGTGGTCGGTCGACAACATCGCCGATTTCTGGGACGAAGTATGGCAGTTCTGCGGCATAAAGGCGTCCCGGCCGCCCTCCCGAGTAGGTGCATGTGTAGATCTGCCTAGCGCACCTTAGTCCCGGTCGTGGGGGGGATGTGAACGCAAACGAGCTGCGTTCTCGTCCTCCTCGTCGACGACGAGACATCGTCAAGTCGGACCGGCTCATTAGGATTCCCTCTCCTAGCACCCACCACCCCTTGCCTTTCTCTCTCTCTCTCTCCGTCTCTCCGCCTTGCTCCGGATATTCTGATGAGGAAGTTGAACAGGTCCTACCAGCCGACGCGCCCATGTTCCCGCGGCCGGACTTCTTCGAGGGGGCGCTGTTGAATGTCGCGGAGAACCTCCTGTTTCCCGGAAACGCGGAAGTCGCGGCGTCCGCGACCGCCGTCATAACGGTGACCGAAGCCGAGGGGCAGCGCGTGTCGACGACGTGGGCCGAATTGCGGGAAGCCGTGCGTGGATGCTCGGCTGCGCTGAGGGCCGCCGGCCTAGGACCCGGGGACGTCGTCGCCGGGTTCGTCTCTAACCACGTCCAGGCCCTCGTGGCGATGCTCTCCGCGGCCGCGCTAGGCGCCGTCTGGACCGGCATCAGCCCGGACACCGGCGTGAGCGCCGTCCTCGACAGGCTCGTGCAGATCGAGCCCAAGGCTCTATTTGCGGACAACGGGACGCTGTATAACGGAAAATCCTGGTCGAGCACGGGAAAGACATCCCAAATAGTCGACGAGCTTAAGCCCAAGGGGCTGGCGCTCGTCATCGTCGTAAACAACGTCCAAGACGTCGCCTTAGGTTTGGACGAGCTGCACTCGAAGGGAGTCGCGGCGAAGGAATACGAGAGTTTTCTACAAAGGTATTGTTAATTTCTCAGTGTTCTATACCAGCCCCGCCGAGGTTAACGCGGGTTCTAGTGGCGGCAACGCGCTCCTGAGATTCGAGCAGCTCCCGCCGTCTCATCCCCTCTACGTATTATACTCCAGCGGCACTACAGGCCTGCCCAAGGCCATCGTACACACTGCGCTGGGCACGCTGATCCAACACAAGAAGGAACACATCCTCCACTGCTCGATGGGCCCGGCTTCGAGGATGCTCTACTACACAACCACGTCCTGGATGATGTGGCACTGGAGCATATCCGCCCTCGCGTGCGGCACCACCCTGATCCTGTACTCCGGCTCGCCCTTCCAGCCCCACGGCCACCTCTCCCTGCCCAAGCTGCTCTCCGCGCTGCGGGTAACCCACTTCGGCACCTCGGCCGCGTACCTCACCGCGCTCGAGACCAACGGTGTCTACCCCGCCCGCTCGCTTGACCTCTCCCCCCTGCAGGCTATCTACTCGACGGCGTCGCCCCTGCCGCCCTCGACATTCTCCTTCGTCTACGAGGCCTTCCCTCCCCACGTCAACCTGGCCTCCATCACCGGCGGCACCGACATCATCTCCCTGTTCGGCGCGCCGTGCCCGCTGCTTCCCGTGCACGCGGGCGAGATCCAATGCGCGGGGCTGGGCATGGCCATCGCCGTGGTGGACCCGGCCAGCGGCGCGCCGGTGCCGCCCGGCGCCGACGGCGAGCTCGTGTGCACGCGGCCGTTCCCGTGCCAGCCGCTCACGTTCTGGGGCCGCGAGGGCGCGGCGCGGTACCGCGCGAGCTACTTCGAGCGCTTCGCCGGCGTGTGGCACCACGGGGACTTCGCGCGGGTCGGCGCGCGCACCGGCGGCCTGACGATGCTCGGGCGCAGCGATGGTGTGCTCAAGCCCGCCGGCGTGCGCTTCGGCAGCGCCGAGATCTACAACCTGCTGACGCGCTTCTTCGCCGGCGAGGTCGACGACGCCGTGTGCGTCGGCCGTCGCCGCGACGCCGACCGCGACGAGGTCGTCTGCCTCTTCGTTGCCATGGCCGGCGACAAGCCCTTCTCGCCTAGCCTCCGCGACAGGATCCGGGAGGTCATCCGGAGGGAGCTGAGCCCGCGCCACGTCCCGGGCGTGATCGAGGAGTGCGGAGCCGGCATCCCGAAGACGAGCAACGGAAAGAAGTAAGTTACCATGTCGCTACGGCCACATTCCCCCAATGGCCAGACCCTGGGACCCTCAAGTTAACCTCACTTTGCCACCCCCTTCTCTAGGATCGAAGTTGCGGTTAAGCGGATCCTGTCCGGGATCGATGTCAAAACGAACACAAGCGTAGCGAACCCGGAGGCGTTGGTTTGGTTTAGAGAATGGGCGGCGACGCATAGCTAAGGGGCACTCTAGCAGCAAGGCCCGTGGGCGACGGGGGCAAGAATCTCCCATCCAGGCGTAGCGCATCGAGAAAGTAGAATCGGTGTTTCCTAGCGGTAGATGGGGCCTCGGGAACGGATTTAGAACCATAGTCTACATTATCACTACGAAGCATCGAGACACGCGAGGGGGCCAGCGGCGGGGGGCGGGGGGGGCGACGAATAGGATAGGGGGCAGGGAATGGCGGCTACGTTCGCTTCGCTAGAGAGCCCGTCGTCCCGGGACTTAGATAGAGCAGAGTTCCAGTCATCTCCAGCCGCAGAAAGCGCCCTCAAGAAATCGCACGTACACCGCGCGCCGCGCCACTACTACCACATAACCCGTCGCAGCCTCTCCCTCTCGTCGTCGTCGGCGAATATGACGTCGATGCCCTTGCGCGCGAGTCCCAGGATCTCGTCCCGCCCCAGGCCGAAGTGCGCCTGGATCAGCCGCCACTCGTTCGACAGCGGGCTCTCAAAGACCCCGACGTCGTCGGTCTGGTGGCGCGGTCGGTCGTCGCTCGGGTTAGCCACACACATATATGCACAAAGGAAGGGGGAGAGGGAAAGGGGGGGGGCTCACGCAAGGCACGACGACGGGCCCCTCGACGTGCCACCACTCGCCGAAGTGGTGGGCCTCGAAGCTGCCGACGATCATGCGGGCGTGGACGTTGCAACTGAGGCAGAGCTCGAGGCCGAGGGGGCGGGCGGGGAGCGGGCGGGGAGCGGCGAGGCGGCGCTTGACGTCAGGGGGCACGTGGATGACGTGGCCGAGGCGGTCGGGCTGCCAGGAGAGGATCTCAGCGAGCTCGGCGGGCGCGCAGGCCTCGGCCTCGGCGAAGTGGGCGGTCAGGCGCAGGCCAGCGGCGCGGGCGGCAGCGAAGGCGGGCGCGAAGGTGGCCACGTCGCCGCGCGACGGGTCGCCGCACAGGTCGACGCCGACGACGCCGCGGGCGCGGAACCGCGCGGCCAGGGCGACGGCCTCGCGCGCCCCGGCGGGCGTGTCGCGCCGGTCGACGGACAGGATGAGGCGGGTGCGGAGGCCGGCGCCCGAGGGGTCGGCGGCGGCGTGCTCGCGCATGACGTCGAGGACGGCGGCGACGTAGCCAGCCTTGTCGAGGCCGGCGGCGGGGAGGGCGCGCGGCGTGGTGCGCAGCTCGGCGTAGACGACGCCGTCGCGGGCGAAGTCGTCGAGGACGGCGCGCGTGGCGAGCCGCAGCGCGGCGACGTCGTCGATGAGGTGGTAGATGTACGACGAGAACAGGGGGAAGAAGCTGCGGTCCGAAGGGGCGGGCGCGGGCGCGGAGGCGGGGGCGCGTTCTGTTTAGAGAGGGAGAGAGAGGGAAGAGACGAGGGAGCGGGGGCGGGCAGAAAAGAGAGGGAGGGGACCCTTACGTCGTCAGATCGTAGTCGTGTCTGCCGGGCGGCATGACGACCAGCGGGTCCTCGAGGTCCGTCTTGCCGGCGGCCTTCTTCGCGGCCCAGATGGCGTGCAGACATTCCCGGCTGATGCTGCCAGTGAGATGAGCGTGGAGCTACGGCGGAGAGAGGGGGGGCCCGGCGTTAGCGACGAGCACGTATAGATATATAACAGATAGCAGGTATATATATAGGTATACAGATATATACGTGGACATAGACAGGATCTAGACCCGCGAGCCCGGACAGGTGGCGATCGTCATTACCTCGATCTTCGGCATGGCCTTGAAGTCAAACTCCAGGTCGTGCTCCGCCATGGCCGTTATCAGAAGGGAGAGCGCCGGCGTTCGGAGCCGTCTACGAGAAGAGCTGTCTCGGGTCAGAACGTCTTGTGTTGGTCTCGCCTGCTCGCGCCGACACGACTCGATTGCAGTGCCTGGTCGGACGCGTGCTTCCCCTCTCTAGCGACCGCGATATTCTCTGCCCGCGGGAAGAAGGAAACAAGGAGAGATGTCGTGATGCGAGTTGGGAGGATAGAGGAACAGAGGGGCGGTTATCGATTGCATCGGGTTCTGGATTCTGCTGGTGCTGGCGCTTGGGTTGTGGTGTGACCTGCTTGCTAGTTGTTACGGGCGCTACAAGCGTGCAAGTCGTTACGAGCGTTACCAGCCAAGCCTCAGTGACGGGGCGCGATCGGAGACGTTGCTATTATCTCGCCTTCTAGCCCTTTTCCTACGCCTCCTCTCTTTACTTTTACACTTGAAGGCGCCGACGTTGCCGACTGGTACCGACGTCGACGTCGACGTACGATATCGACACATGGGATCAAGCAAGATTCTTTTTCATTCGGGGATCGACGGGTACGAGGTCGTGATTGCGCGCAGAAATATCGACGCTCTTGTTATTCTCTCTCCCTCTGCGTTCCGTCTTGGTTCGGTCAATCGCCTTCGACGTCGTGGCCTGACTCGACGCTCTCCGTCATGCAATCACCCAACCCCGTCGTGTCATGAGGGCGAGCAGAGGAGGCCGCAGATCGGCCAAGCCGAGATAACATTCGCGCCGAGGCCACACCGATCCATGGTTTGTCCGCGGGCTAGCCAGGGGATTGTGAAGAGCACACACACACACAGTGTCGAACGGACCCGTCGTCGCTCGGGCGGAGAGGAGGCGGGGCCGTCTTCCTCCCTTCGCTGACTTATATACCTACCTATGCACAGGTCTGTAGCATGGCTTGCTTATATGTACACATAAAACGCCCACTTACCCCCTCGCACACTCCTCTCGCGGACACGATGTCTAATGTGTACATACGCATACGAATGTAGGCGTGTGTGTGCATGTACCTATGTGGGCTTACATGTACGAGTAGGTATTGCTGGGCAAGGTAGGGGTGGCGGTAGGGTAGAGTGTTTCCAGAAGCCCGACCCGCAGGATGCTTGGGTCTCCTCGGTCGATCACAACGCGCGCCGCCGCACGCTACGTAGTAATATAATACGCCCAATTTATTTCCCTGGACGCTCCTCCGCGGATAATAGGTATAGGCAGACGGGGGGGGGGGGAAGAAGGGGGCTGGAGGCTGGAGGCTGGAGATTCGTCGGCGAAGTGTGACACGGTATTGCCCATGGTTATCATTATCATCACCTCATCACCACCATCGTGTCCGCATACGCATCACGCATGCAGGCATACGTAGATACGGTTGCGATACGGGTGAGCTCCTGAGGCTCTGTTCTTTAGGGGAGGGGAGGGAAGGCTTTCCCCCTTACGCGATCCGGCGGCTCCTAGGCAGGGTCCGTGAGAAGAAAAAAAATTTACCGAAGCGCTCCTAATAGATAGTTTCTGGTCAGTCTACCGAATATAGACGTAGGTTAGTTCGTACGGAGCGCTGTACGCTAACTACATTCCTGCTCCTATGCAACATAGTAGTACACATATATGCATGGATGGAAGAAGACTGGGTTGCAACGGGAGCTACGAAGCTGGGGGATGAGGATCCCGTCTGTCTGTCTGCCTAACTCATATATCGGGACCGAGCTTCCCTGGCCTGTTCAAGTCGAGGAGCGCTGCGTAGTATAATGATTGCGTTTGGATTAGCATGTCTATACAAGACACACGCATCTACGCACGTCGCATCTCCATACGCAGCTCGGCGAGGGTGAGGTGGGAAGGCCTCCGCCAATCTTGTTTCCCCTTTACGTGTTTGAGTAGAGCTAACAAGCTTGTCAGGAACTCGAGGCTAAAGCAGCTAGGAGGACCGGCTAGAGATACTATATGTTGTGCCGGTATGAGGAGATCCCCCAACCGGTATAGCCCGTGGCCCCATAACAGGGGAGAGAGATATCAAGGTGCTGCGGAAGTACGCAGCCAAGGGACCGGGTGGGAGCTAGGCATAATCCCTACGTCGATATATACCCGCCCGCACGTACCCAGCATGTAGCACGTATGTTATGTTTCTGTGCCGAGGCGTAATACAAATAGTATTATCCTCGCGAAGGAACATTGGCGGACCCCAAGGACAGATATTCGTTCATCCATTCATACATTGTGTGTACGTCCACAGTGACTTGCGAGAAAATCCCGGTAGGCAGCAACAAAGAGAGAGAGAGAGATTGACTCGACCGGGTTATGGCCTGCGGACAATAAAATACTGCAGACATGCGCATACGTACATATACTCTGCCCCGCAGGCGCCCTCTCCTCGGCTCACTTATATATACTCTATACAACTAGGTAGGGATAGGGTGAAACTGAATACTAGTATATATATATATAATGTCAGGGAGGGCGCTGAGAGACAGACAGACAGGCATTTCCTCCAGACTACCTTGAACGCGTCGCTCGGCGGTAACAAGGTCCTCCACTCGTCCCAGGGGAGAATTAATAAGAATCTACCTGAGGAGAGTATGAGTAGAGCGCGTAGATTTAGTAGTATTATTAATCGACGGCTGTGCCGCGCGACGAGAGGGGAGGGATTCTCTGTGAGTAATAAGCGGCGAGGGAGGGGGGAAGCCATGGGAAACGACGCGAACGTTTCGCAGTTCAGCACCCGAGGCAGTTCTACGGTTAGCAGGACGCACATCTCGCTAGGAGCCGCCGCGGTATGTGCTCATATACGGACGTACATAATATATATATATATATATCCGTATATATAGTATACAACCTGCCTGGTATATATTATTTCTTTTTCTTTTCCCTACCTGATACGCGCCCAGTAGCATTCTTAGCATATTCCTCTTCTTGGTATCATGTGTACACGTAGGTGAAAATCGAAGAAGAATGAAAAGAACAAGAAAGCGAGCCGATGCTTACGTGAGTAGCTGTGCTTGATAATAAGAGTTGCACTATGCCTACAGCCGACAGGTAGGTACCACCTAATGTTAAGTACTGGAGGTACGAATGGGTGCGCGTCATGTAGCTACGAGATGTGGGCATATGGTGTCTATATCGTGTGTGTGCTTAGGATTATTTAGAGGTAGGTAGGTACCTGGAGGTACCTAACCAAAGGTAACCCGCAAAGCTGTTCCTTGGCGGCCGGTCCCCGTAATAAAAAAGAGCATCGAAATTGCGCAGGGATTGGGCAGATTGGATGGATGGGTTGGGTTGCGCCGGATTGGGACGGACGAGATTGGTGCAGAGACGAAGATCTACCCAGGAATTAATAGCATCCGGCTCCCCCCCTCCCCTCCCCTCCCTCCTCCCGCCAAACCAGCCCAGCAGAGGCGTCGGTTGGCGCTGCGTACTCTGTACATGGGCGCGCGCATCAGGACGCAGCGCTGCCACGGCTTGCCGATCACAGCGAGTCGGGTAGCGTGTACGCGCGAGGCGGGCGATCTTCGTACCAGCGTCTGAGTGGCTCGGTTACTACTCATACTATATGAGTAAAGGTTCCGGGGACCATGAACCTCCTTCATTACATCAACATGCAACAATGTACAATCCATCAAGTACCCTGCGTCCATACAGGCATGTGGGATGCCGCCATCTTTATTTTGGCCTCGCTGCGGATTCCACCTACGCGTACCAAGGTATACCGGGGTGAGCCGTCGGGACGGTCACGGCCAGGGCTCTCGCCCGTCGTCCGACTTGGTCGGGAAGACCGCACTGCAGGAGGCGCATATACATATATGTGCAACGGAAGTACGCGCCTTATTTGCCGCCATTCGCTCCGTCTGACTGGCCGTTGCGATTATCCGCGTTGTGGAACGGGGGTCCCGCTGTCTTGCGTAGCCGGTCCGGGGTAGGGAGCTGGGAATTCATACGTACTAGTATGCGTATAACAATACTGTAGGTAGCGGAAGCCGAAAAAACTGGTCACAAGGGGAGGGGGGAAGAGACGAACGAAAAGGAGCCGCACGGGCCGCGAAGCCCCCTATACAGTCATACAGTCACCTCTATGGCGACTCGGTGCCTTATGAGTATTCACGGCGGTCCTGGCGGGCAGTGGCTCGCTGCTGCTGCTGCTGCTGCTGCTGCTGCTGACCGTTCATTGTAAGGCTAGTACAGTGCGTTTCCGCGCGGCGCCGCACGGCAGGATGAGTATATGTACCTATCTATATGAAGTATATATCAGGTGAATATACGCGTAGATAGATACCTACCTAGGTAGGTGTAGGTATGTGCTCTGTTTTCAGCTGTATATGTATTGTAGACATCCTCCTTACATCAAGTTCGAGACCTGCTAACCCACGCAATAGTAGCGCAGTACCTGCAGTAGCGACCAGGACGTCTCCATTGCCTTATCTCGTTGCAGGCTAGCGGAAGGACGAATGGGCAAGGTAGCTTCGGCCTAGTGCGCCTACTCGAACTCCCCAGGCGCCGCTCGCGTATAGTGTGGGTTTGATGGCGGCCACGGCCATTTCACGTCAATCCTGGTTAAATTACCTATGAGCGAGTACTCATATGTATACCTGGTATACCAACAGGTGCTTGCCTCCAGGTAGTCCTTAGCCAGGGTTACGTAAGGCACATCATCTCTCTCTCTCTCCGGCCAAATCCAGGCTGGCGCAGAGCTTCCCAACCCAGCCTGCCATTGGAATTGCCCTCCGCGCCGACCCGCACCGACGGCAGGTTGCCCACGCAAGCGAGAGGAGGGAGGTATTCTTATACCTAGATAAGCATGATGTATGCAGGCGGCATGCAGCGAGGGAGCGGGCTGCTGACCGAGAGAGGTTCTAGAGTATACGTATACTACTGGAGTAGTAGTAGAGGTACGTGACATGCCGCCGGGCTCGCCGCATTACCTCAGATGGGTACTCACTCATACGCTACCAGCGCACACGCCCGAGGTACCTCCCCGGTGGACGCAGTATGCCCCAGGTACGTGCCTAACGCGGTACCCTACCATCGAGAGGTACGTAGTATACCCATAACTTACCTCATGCGGACGGCGGGTCTGATTCAGTTATACCGCTGCAGGCAGTTGCGACGCTACCATCATTTGATGCAGGACGCATACATGCCTGCTCGCAGCCTGGTCCAATGGCCGACTCTGCTCGAGTCATACCCTGATTTGAGTGTATTTTTTTGCAAGGAGGAGGAGAGATTTCGCCAGATTTTGGACAGGAGGCGGTGTTATTATGTACCTACCTACCTACCTCCTCTACCTGCCTACCTGTAGTACTATAGGTAGGTAGGTACTTTACGTGGTAGGCACATAGGTACCTACCTCCTCAGGTAGAGGCACGCAATTGGGCACGCGCGTATAAGCGTCTCTCCAGCTCGTCATGTCGCAGTTCCAACTTGTATCAACTTATAGGAAAGCCAAGGACGTAGGAGGAGATACATACCTAACCCGGCCTCCATTCCCCCCTACTACGTATATGTATATATATATACACATACACACACACATAGTATGCATATAATATATTGGGTAGGCAGGATGCAGGCTTGCTTGTTGTCATGTTATCCGCCGGGACTAGCATGCTAAAAACAACCGCCTGCTGTGCATATCTCCTACCTCGAAGGTAGTAGGGATGGATGAGCCACACCAAGCATTCTCTGGACTGATTGACATACATTAGGAGGTAGTATGTTTAGGTACCTGCCTAACCTCTTATACAACATGTCCGTCGTATATATATATATATATAATGTGTATATATATATATATATACAGCATTACAGGTTGTCGGGTTTAGATGCGTACATACCTGTCCCGTATGGGTTTGTCTCCCCCCCCCCCCTCCCCTCCCCTTCCGACGCGCCCACCTGTTGTTCCCTTCATTTACGATCCATTGATGGGTTAGGTAGGTAGGTACCTCAAGGTACCAGACCGGTCTTAGAGGACAGCAGCCCGCTCTGTCGGATCCATTCATCGTCTGCAGTTTTCGTAGCAGAGGTACCTGAGTACATAGGTAAGCCGGACTCGCTGAGGTACTCCCAAGGTACTCCACGTTGAATACAGTGGCCAGTCAGATCTTCTCTTCCTCCTGCTGTGCGTGCTGCACCTCAGTCTCCCTGCCGCTGCCAGAACTCAAACCGCCTTGCGCAGCATCACACCTGCCTTATGTACGCATGGTAGGTACCTATGTACTGTACAGTGTACCTGCCCGTTAGCCACCACCGCGCAGCTTTCCCGTCAACCAGTAGGTACCGACCTACCCACCTACTACCTGCCTACATGCCTACCTACCTCCTACCTGGGTAAGGTAGGCCGGTAACCTAGTACCAGCCTGCCTACATGCCTACCTACATTAGGTTCCTACCCATCTACTCATACGCCTTGTACCCGAAGTACCTCCTTTCCCTCTCCCCTCTAGGTCTCCGTTCCCTCTCTCTCTCTCTCTCTCCTCTCTCTGGCTCGCCTTTCTCTCCTTTAACCCTTTACCCTACCGTTGCCTGCCTTGCCTTACCACCATAATACCTACACGCACACGCACACAACACACATACATGTGCTACACTCGCTCACTCACTAACCTTGCCTATTCTCACTTACCCACCTACATCTTTTTTTCTTCCTCTCCTTCTTGTCGTTCCCCCCCTCCCCCCATCCCCGAAACGCATCGCGGACGGAAGTCAATCGGCTCTTCCAACCTCGTCTGCGGCCTCTATCCCATCCACAACCGGCTGTCCCCAGCTTCCTGAGCCTTCTCCACGCTAGCTGCTGAGCTGCGAACTCGTCGTTCGCCCGGCCCATCTCCACAATTCACCTCGTCTTCCCGTCCTAGTAACCAATACATACATAGTCGTCGCGTACTCGTTGAGTCCAAACCTCTCCAAGACCCGTCTAGCCGGGGGGCTTCTCTGAACTGTCGTTTTTCCCTCCACCCCCCTTTGAACCCCATAGTACAGGTCCGCTGGTCAGAGCACACAACTCGACAAGGCACCCCCCCCTGGAGCTCACACTCCTCTCTCCGTCACCCTTACCCCGAGTTGATCCAACCTCACACCTTTTCCCTCTCTTTTTCTTAACCTTCCTTTGGTGTTCATCTCAGCTACCTGTGAATCTCCCCCCCTCCCCCAAAATCAATCCATCCACACCGCTCGACGCTCGACGACCTCTCGTCGCCCATCAACCCCCCTCCATCCCGTTCTTCCCTGCTGCTCCTCGGTCCTCTCGCTCTCCGACACATTGTCGTCAGCCGCCATGGATTCTCAACGGCCGAACGATGTGTCGCCGGAGGCCATGCAGGCGCGCATCCAGCAGGCGCGACGCGAGGCTGAGAACCTGAAGGATAGGATCAAGCGGAAGAAGGATGAATTGGCCGACACTACTCGTGAGTACATCTCGTCTGTCAATTGACGGGTTCCCTACCCATCCCGAGATTGATCGCGTCAACGCGAAATTGAGGCTCCCGTGCGGCTCCGTTCTGACCCTCGTTACCCGTGATTTCCAGTCCGCGCTGTTGCGCAGCAATCCCACGAGGCCATCCCCAGGAACCAATTAATGAAGACCAAGAGGACACTAAAGGGGCATCTGGCCAAAATCTACGCCATGCACTGGTCCACCGACCGAAGACACCTGGTTTCCGCCTCGCAGGATGGGAAGTTAATTATCTGGGATGCCTACACGACGAACAAGGTTCACGCCATCCCGCTGCGGTCATCCTGGGTCATGACCTGCGCCTACGCCCCCAGCGGTAACTACGTCGCTTGTGGCGGTCTCGACAATATCTGCTCCATTTACAACCTTAACCAAAATAGGGACGGGCCGACGCGCGTCGCCCGCGAGCTATCTGGCCATGCCGGCTACCTGTCGTGCTGCCGATTTATCAACGACCGAAGCATCCTCACCTCGTCTGGCGACATGACGTGCATGAAGTGGGATATCGAGACGGGAACCAAGGTCATGGAGTTCGCCGACCATCTCGGCGACGTTATGAGCATCAGCTTGAACCCCACGAACCAGAATACCTTCATCTCTGGCGCGTGCGATGCTTTCGCCAAGTTGTGGGATATCCGGGCCGGAAAGGCTGTGCAGACGTTCGCTGGACACGAGTCCGATATCAACGCTATCCAGTTCTTCCCGGATGGGCACTCTTTCGTCACCGGCTCCGACGACGCGACGTGTAGGCTGTTCGACATCCGGGCGGACAGGGAGCTCAATCTCTACGGCGTAAGTGGACATGGCCCGACGAAACAGCTCTCCGTAGCCGGTATTAACCTCGGTGGTGTAGTCCGAATCTATTCTCTGCGGCATCACGTCCGTTGCGACGTCGGTCTCGGGCCGTCTACTCTTCGCAGGCTACGACGACTTTGAGTGCAAGGTACATCCTGCCCCCCCCCGGCTTGCTGAGATGGATTCCCGTCAACTAACCGCTCTCGTTAGGTTTGGGACATCACGAGAGGCGAGAAGGTCGGATCCCTCGTAGGCCACGAGAATCGTGTCAGCTGCTTAGGGGTCAGCAACGATGGCATCAGCCTATGCACGGGCTCCTGGGATTCGGTGGTAAGTGCCAGGAGTCATCAGTCGCAAGCTAAACTTCATGCGCGCTAACTCTTGTCGCAGCTCAAGGTCTGGGCCTACTAGACGGTACCAGTCCCGGCGACGCCGGGAACTGTTGCGAGGACCGCCGGCGTCATCTCTCTTGTTCGGATGAATACTTGAATCTAATTTCAACCTGGTAACGCGCTCGCGAATCGCCGATATTTTGATAATACCAGGACGAAGTCACGACAGCCTTTCTCATCAGCCATTTTCCTTACCGCCCTACGTTATACTCGAATCCCATCCGACGATGTACGCCGCCGCCGACCGAGGAGCCAGAGGAGTGTGTAGTTCACGATCCCGATCGCTCTTTTGACACCACCCTAATACTATTTCTGCCTCTACTTTCCACCCGTCGGCCATTCTGCTAATATACGCCTCGCACTTCAAACCGATACCGCACAAGTGCATCTCGATGTAGCCTATATTCTGCCAAGACCAGAGTCTGGCTTCTCGAGTCCCCTCAAGACGAGGATACGATCTAATGAGAGGAATTCCTCTTCGGCACTCAGCCTTTGCTTTCCTTATGATTTGGTTTAAAAATTTCGGCAGCTCGAAAGGCGGACGGCGATCGCCGATTGCAGGGAGATTTGTTGATACGGAAAGGTTTCCCTCCCGGAAAAAAACAATTCTTGCGCGTCTCCTTGATTCTTGTTTGTTGCCTTTCCCCTACCCACACCGATCTCGCTGCGGTAGAGGGAGTGAGTGGGAGGAGGGGATTGCTTACTTGGGGTGGAGAAAAGGGGTAAAGATCGACGGGAAGAGGGGAGGGGGTGTGGCCCCAGAAGTTTCAGTCCGGCGGAAGAGAACAGCGCAGCATATTAGGCCTCCGTGAGGGTTGATCTTGCAGATGTTCCCTCGAGACTGTCCCACCCGTTCATTGTCATCTCGTTCCTGGCATTGGAGGGGTGGGAGAGAGACAGGGGGAACCAAGCCAGCTAGGTGCAGGTAGAGTAGGGGCAAAGGAGAGGGAAAGCACATTCGCATTTGGCGGGTACCACGGCCCTTCACTTACTGTCTGTACCATAGTCATGTCATATTGAACGCTGAAATCATCCAAACTAATACGGTATATGAAGGGTTTTGCTTGTTTCTTATTATCTCGTAGTCAGGATTTCTTTTTTTTTCTTGGTCGTGATTAAATCGACATACCCAGGCGGGATGAGAGGGCGCGGTCTTGGAGTGTCACGCCTTTCTGCGTGGCCGGATAGATGACGTGGTCTTTGCGTGAGCCCGCGTTGAGATTAGAAAGAAAGAGGGAATACCATATGTAGCCGTTCTGGTAGAGTCGAGATGATGCGAGATGTCCGCCGGTGATGGGGTATAGATTATAGGAATGGTGTGTGCCTCTCGATAGATCGTGATGTGTCGAGAGGTAGTAGTATTCATTGCTACGTCAGCCAGTTCAGCCAATCTGCTTGTTTCGCCCACTTACACTTGCTCTGTTTACCCCCTTTTCTCCCTCGTTATCACGGGCGTGGGTGTAGTAGTGTAGTTAGTAGAGACGACGGAGTTGGATTAGGGAAAGCAAGATGAAGTCCCCGTGGCTACTACCGCTCCCGCTGCCTGCTACTACGCATGTTGGCAGTATGGCTTCCTCCCCTCCCCCCCTTCCCCTCTCTCCCCCTGATTCTATGGGGACGGGATTGACGGTTGTAAGAGGGACGAGGGAGGGCGTGTCGGTAGGTAAGGTATAAGGACAAGCCGCAGTGTCTGGCCTCCAGCCCGGCGAGCATTCGGGCTCGGGACACTGCTAGTCGGTCTCGGTCTCGGTCTCGGTACCAGCGCTAGGGTGTATGGCTCCCCCTCCTTCTCAGTTCCGTCCGTCGCGAGCAAGGGGTTGACGGCGGTGAAATGGGCAGGTGCTTCTGGCCCAGCCATCCCGAGGACCAACCGCCGGGGAGGGTCCTTATCTCTAAGGGAAAAGGGGGGGAGGGGGTCTGCTCACGAGTTCACCGAGACCCACGGAGGGCCCGGGAAGGGAGCTTTGTTGTTGATTCGCTGCTGCTGCCGGCGGTACGAGGAGACGAGAGGCTATGCGGGTGGAAGTAGGGTGGGTGGGCGAGGCGGGCTTGCTAGCAAGGAGACGAACGGATGGATGGCCCCCGAGCAGGCGGGCGCGGGGGCTTCGTAGGCGGGTATATGGATGGGTGCTTGTGGTAGGGCGCTGGCGTGACGCGAAGGATGTTTCAGCCTTGCGCACAAGAGCATTTCGGAAACGTCCTGGTTTCTCACACAGGCGTAGGTGGCGGCCCCGGCGGCCCGGGGGCTTCGGAGGGACCGGCTGCGGCTGCGGTGAGGCTGTCGAGCTAGGGGCTCGCCGAGGGTGAAGGCTGCGCGCTCTAGCTCCGAGTCGACGCAGGAGGATCTGGCTCGGACGAGTGCGCCCTGGGATCTTCCTCCTGGCTCGCCATGCCCACCCACGCCTGGCGCCCAGCAGGCGTCTCACAAGTCTGCCATGAAGGCTGAGGATCGGCGCCGGACCGACTGGACAACTGTACCTGGCAGCCTGGCGTATGGGGGCGCTGACAGGTCTGCCTGTGTACGCCTCTCTCCCTCGGTGTGCTCGTTTCCCTCGAGTAGTACTAGGAGGAGCTCGTGGCGTATGTGGGTGTGCTGAGCTAGTACTTGTACACTGCAGTGAGATATTTCCAGGACTCTGTCCAACTGCCGGAGACACGAAGAGGTCCGAGGAGCCCGCAAGTCTACCGTCATCTAACAACATGACCGTCTGCTTCGGGACCTGAGAAGTAGGTATATCGAATCCTTATGTCGACCACGTCATTTTGCACTCTGGGCATACGTGGCGTTCTGAGTGGCATCCTCGACAGCTTTGCTGCTGATCGCTACTGCCGATCGATAGTTGGATAGCAGCGTGTCCAGCGACTAGCACCGGTGTTCCGGCGCTCAGGACAAGATCTATGCCACAATCTATTCAGCTAGAGAGGTGGCTACCGGACCGGGTGCTTCGAACGCCTCTTGAATATCCGTCCAGACTGGCGCTAAGTGGTATCGATATGTCGGTTGATGAGTGCTTTGAGGAACCCCATCCGTATCACCGTGGAATCGTGGAGTTTCCGCTGAGCTGGACGGCACTTTGCGAAGAGCCGTGGACGCTAATCCGTGACGAGTTACGGCCGCTCCCCACGTCGCCTGCGGGATCACCTACCATACGGCAAAATCTAGCAAGGTCAGTTACCAGACAGGACAAGCCGGGCGAGGAGGACACGACAGTTTCCCACCGTACGGCCTCACTAGGCCTGGCTTCCCAGAGCAGTCACATGGGCCCTGGTTTCGTCTCGAGAGAGGGTAAAACGAGCCAGGTAGCCAACCCGGAGGACGTAACATCGTCTTGGTTGGCGTCGTCACGGCATAACCCGGGCGCGAGCACATACTCATAGGTGCTATGCGTGAACCGAACGCTTAAGCCGGGCCAGGCAGAGAAATTCGCCTTCATCTTATCCAAGATGTCTGAGTATGCGTTATCTCGCACGCCCCAGGGGAAAGAGAGACAGGGTGACATGGATTCAAAGTGACAGGCCACCGGGGTGATTAGTAGTTTATGCCACTTAGGTACTGCCGCGGACATGGGACGCGAGGCCTTGCGCAGCGGGTTACGTGCCGGCAGGCACTTATTTCCCGAATCTTCTGCTAAGGCTGGCGAGCCGCGGACAGTTGGAAAACTGGCTGGCTGGCTGGCTGAGCGGGCGTGGTCGTTGGCCTCGGGTTCCCGTGGGCGAGGAGGGAGGACGGAGAGCGTATAGGAGCTGTCCTTTTTCTCACCCCACCCCCTGAGAGTTGGAAGTGCGACGCTGTCTTCCTAGCTGGCATGAAGGAACAGGCTGTTCTAGCCCTCCAAGGTATACATAGAGGCGTATTTGGGTGGATGCAGATTCTTGTAGGGGGAGGGGAGGGCGCCGACTTCGACCCGTGTCCCTGTCCTTTTTTAAATACATGGCTATAGATAGACACATATACGCATGACTAACTAGCTGGGGACGCAACGTCATAATATCTATGCCGCTCAAGCCATGGCCAGCAGCTGGCGACACTTAGCATGCCGCGTATAGAGAGAGAGTGAGAGAGCGCTCGTGTTTTTATTATGCTCTTCTATATGTAGGTATATGGATCGGTACGGATTTCGGTTACTAACAAGGACAGTGGCGGGGCCGTGTTCGTATTTCAACCTGCTCCTCTGCCTCCTCTCCGCCGGCTTCCTTGCCCAAGTCTGTAATCTCGGCAAAGCATGCGAAATACACGCCGCGCCGCGTAATCTCGTGTGGCGACGTCGAAGCCATATATACAGTCCAGCGTAGCATCTACCCGCGTGCAGTACGTACGTCTACTGTACATACAATGCAGGGAAGAAGACGCCTCGTTTCTCTTGTGTCCGTGGCAGACGACAGGCTGCCAAGGGCCTGTGCTTGCCCGCCTGATTCCTCTCGCCTCGCAGCTTGGGCGACAGACACACCTTCAGAGCGTCGGCGAATGGTCAGAGGCTGCCGCCGCGGCTGACCTACGTAGGGAAATACGGCGGGTAACAAGCAACCTGCCCCTCCCAGACTGTAAAGCACTCGCCTCGACGGCACGTACGGCGCAGGTGTAACACAATCACGAGGGCCGGAAGAGAGACAATAGAAAAGGGAAAAAAAAGGGGGTGTGGGAGGTGGGAGGAGAGAAGAGGGAATCACGGAGCATTTGGGTTGACCAAGTTCACTAGGTAACCTGTTTGTTGGACGTCGGCGTGGCCGATACGGACGGCGCTGGGCCGACCCGTTTTCGGAAGGGCGAGCAAAGCCCTCTCTCTCCTCCCTGAGCAACGCCTCGGGACCAGCTGGGAGCAAGTTGAAGGGGTGTCCCCCTCTCCCCCCCTGGATCTAGCTGCGACTCGGAGATGTCAAGTTGATGCAGGTTGCCGGGAGCCATGTGGCAACCAAGTTTTCTAGAACGCTTCTCCCGGCTGTTGTGCGCCACGCCTAACGCCAGACGAGCGGATGGGGCAGGCAGGCAGGTAGGTCGACGAACGCCTGGAGCGGCGACGCAAGGTGTGATTTGCTCAGGGGGGGAGTCCCCGGCTCGTCAGGGACTTTTTTTTCTCTTTCCTTTTCCCTGCGTTCGGCGGGATCGAGAACGGATTCGAGAACGGATGCCGACGAGAACGCGAAGAGTGCCTCCAGGGTACCAGGGTACTACTACAGGTAGGTACCTCCTGCCTACATCGTGTACCTGGGTACCTGCCTCTGGCACTAGCCACTTGCAGATAGCTTCTTACCAGCCTCTTACGCACTACGTACCTGCTAATGTACCTAGAGATCGGGGTGGACGCATATGCGCATAGTAGGAGGTAGGTACCTATATTTATATCCACGCAGGTTGCGTCGGGGCTGGCGTCGCATCGCGCCGAGCTCGACGCTGTCTGCGACTTGAGGCCGCGAGTCGGGGTTGTCTCTATGAGTACGACTTCTTACTACCTACCTCCGTAGTAATACTGTATAACCCCTTAGGGACTTTAGGTAGGTAGGTATGCATTGCCTACGTGGATGCAAATCGGCCTGCTTAACTACCTACCTACCTACCTACCTAATTCATGCCACCCTACGGAGGCATCTTCGTCGCCTAGAACCCGCCTCGACGCGCTGCCCACGTGGAGGCAACGAGGGAAGAGGATGCAGTCGGGCCTGCACGAGTTCGGCATATGCGTAGTAATAAAGGACCTCACTCAGGATGAGGCCGTAGTAAGATAAGGTTGGGAAGCGAAATCTCGATCGTCCTCCTTAAAATAACCCCGAGAACCCCCCTCCGGATTGTCGTAGATTAGCACGTCTCTCCCCGAGACGCTACCGACATTACTCATAGACACCGCGTATCCGCATGCTACCTGGGGTATACCTGATGTGGTCGCCTAAGCTTGAGGTAGATTAGGTACTGCTGTGTATATGCAGACACATCTCTCTCGGAACTTGGTGAGCGAGGGCGTGGCGGTGGCCTGACTGACGGCACCCGAACAGCCGGTTGGCAGGAATGACAGGAACAGCCAGCAGCGTCCACGTTCTCTTCCCCACCCTCTCCGGATCATGTCGTGCTATATCTTCCCATGGCTATATCTATCTTGGTCCGCTACGCCAGCCCTCAGCCTCCAGCATCGTGTGCTAAGACCCCAGGCTGGGTCTCCGACATCCTTCTGGATCCGTCCGTGGGAATCCTCCGCAAGTCGCGTGCTGGACTTAGCCGACTTAGCCTATGAGTAGACGAGCTCCTCTTCTCAAGGCGAGACCAGCTGGGCAAAAAGAAATTTTAATAAATTCCCCGACTCGGTGATCGCACGTTCGACCGGTCGACGAGCTAGCCCGATGGGTGGTTAGCCAACTAGGAGGAAGCCGGGTGGGTGCCAGGTACGGAGCCATCGAGGTAATATGTGCTCACGAACAAAAATAGATACTCCTATACATCCATCTATCTGGCTTAGGCGCGTCGTGGATGATCTGATGTGATGGGCGAGAGAGAAGAAAAAAAAAAACCTCTTATTACACCACGTCAGGCGCTCGTCTCGGTGCCCACGTTCCAACGTGGCCACGAAGGGAGGAGGATGGATACCCTCTGCCCACCCCACGGGAAGAGACGTGGGAAAGTCCGGCAGACCCCTCCTGGGACTCGACCCCCTATATGTGCCGGCGCGCAGGTGTCCTCGCACTTGGCCGCGTCCCCTCAAATGCCCCGTTGGGTAGTATCGGTATGGAGGTGTCCCATTTGCCAATTTATCGGCTACAGCTTCGTATATCCATTACCGGCAGCACATTGCGTGCGCGTTCCACAGGGTAGCATCTTGTGATCTCGAGGTAGGGTAGCGGCTGTTGCGAAGAGTCGCAGGTGAAGACATACGAGATTCGGCTGGTCCTTATAGGGCCGGGTTCTGCGATTATATGAGCTGATCACTCGTATAGAAGAGAAGAAAGGTGGTGGTCGACGTCGACGCACATATGAGATGAGTACAGGCCACACGGTAGTGGGCACCCCGGTCCGTTCCCACGTTTTCTTTCTTTCTTTCTTTCCAAGCCTAGCGGGTGTTTTGGAGTCATCACCCATCGCATCCATGATTCGATGCGATGCGGCGCCGCCCAGGCGTGTGTGTTGTACATGCCTCCTCCTCCTCCTCCTCCACACACGTACCCCATGCCCGAATCGCGACACACGCACACACTCACACATATGAGTAGACACACATTGGGCGTTCCCCAGATACCTTGCTTACAGTGCACGTATAACATGGACCTACATATGTGGGCATATGTAGGTTCGCAAGCACATACGGAGGAGGACAGGTAGGCGAACAGGTACCTAGGCGAACAAGTTTCGGCCCCCCACTACGCAATGCCGTTCGCAACGCAGGCGTCGGCCTAGGATGCCTAAGCAATCTCCGGATCCGAATCGTTGAGGCACTTAGGCAGGTACCCTGTCCTATGCCCGCTAGCTTCGTTAGGTGTTTAATGCCTTCCTTAGGCGCCTGTACTCATAGACGGACCTAGGTATGAGTAATAGCACGGAACCGTACCTATAAAAGTACCGGCAAGTGCGCGGTTGACCCGCGCAGACGTGCGGGCGTACACGCGCAATACATGCCTATATATATACAGTACATAGGTAGGTACCTAGCAGACCCTGCGCTCCTGCAGCCTATGGAAGGCACGAGTGGTACGTAGGCAGGTGGAGTCGCCGTACATATTCTCTAACAGCACCAAGCGCACCTGCCAGGCGCCTACTGGATTGCCCAGCCAGCCCTGCTAAAGCCTGGCCAATCCAGGCTCAGCCGCCACACGCTAGCCTAGTTCGGGCACGTCTGAAACGCCCTGACGCACGTTGTTGCCAACTTCCTCCCAACTCCCCCCGTCGCGTCTGTTCTTCCTTCCCAGGATGCAGCCAGCACGCAGTTGTGCCATGCAGACAGACGGAAACCGCGCCGCGTGCCATTTGTTCCAGAAGCATTCCTTCTTTTTTTCTTCGTCCTCGCCCTCCTCTCTCTCTCTCTCTCTCTCTCTCTCTCTCACACACACACACACCCTCCCACCCCCTTGCATTCCACTATCATTTCATCACATCCCATCTCACCCCATCCCATCCCATCACCTAAACAGAACCGCCCTTCCTCCTGGCACCCTGGTCGTCTTTATCCTGCTCGCTCCGTCTGCCTCCGCCTCCTTCTCTCTCTTTCCCCACCAAAGCCCTGCAGAACGACTGCGGTCACGCCCCCCAGACGCCTCCTACCCAGTCTACCGCCATTACCCGGACACATAACCCGTAGCGTATATATCAACCCTCACCCCCCTCCGCCTCTCACCTCTGTCCACTATGGCTTCGACTTCTGCTACCACCAACACCAATCCGACTCCAGCTCAGGAAGAATTCCAAGACTTTCTCGAGAAGAACACCGACAGCGGACCACGAGTACATCCCGAGGATAGAGACGACGCCCACAGGGACGGAGAAGACACCGACGAGGACGAAGAAGACAGATACCGCAACGCACAGATAGACGCCGCAATGCGCGTTCCCAGCTTGGCAGGAGACGTGAAGCTTCCCCCGGTCAGCTTCGACTCGGGCCGCAGCACCGGCGTGAAGGGCGTCATCGCCGACGCCCGTGCCTACGAGCAAGCTCGCCAGAACAAGTGGCGGAACAGGGTCCACGCCGCTCGCAAATCCGTGTTCGGCAAGGGCAACGGGCCGAGATCCTCGGACGCCCAGAGCGGCGAGAGTGAAGGCGACGATGACGAGGATGCCTTCCTCCAGCAATGGAGAGAGTCGCGGAAGCAAGAGCTCGAGAGGGACGCCAAGAACAACGTCCGCAGCCGGAGAACAAGCCCGAGCCTGAGGATGTTCGGGCGCTTAGACACCGTCGACGCTCTGGGCTACCTGGATGCCATTGAGAAGGTCGGGCGGGAGACCGTCGTCGTAGTGTTTGTCTACGATCACGAGGTAAGTCGATCCCCGGCGGCGTCGTGAGCACGAACGGCATACTCACGAGTCCATAGTGCCAGGTGTCCAGTCTCATCGAAGCCGCCATGCGGCCGCTGGTGAGGGCCCACCCCGAGGTTCATTTCGTCAAGGTCCACTACGAAGATATCGAGTTCGACAATGCCGCCGTGCCTACGATCCTGGCGTACCGTAACCAGGGTGATCTCTTCGCCAACTTGACGGGGCTCATCAATATGATTCCCGACGAGGAGGATTTTGACAGCGACTCGTTGAAGAGGATCCTACACAAGAGCGACGTCCTATAGAGACGTCGTGCCGCACTAAAGCAGCGTCTTCCGGTGCTACGGCGCCGAGTACGTGACGATCCCCTCTATTATACATATACCCCATACATACACTAGTGGATGGTGCGCCCAGCGATCGATAACCGTCGACGCAATGCGTGGCGCGCTAGGGGAGGGCCACGCCGTGACAGCCGCATATCTACGCGACGGATCCGCATAGAGCCGCCCCTTCCTAATGTGGACATTGGGCGGGTGACATTTGCGGCTTCGCCCTGTTGGGCCGCGCGACTAGCGGGCCGGGCACATGAGAAGGCAGCCGGGTCCGAGAGGAGATGTTCTTTTCTATATACTGTGAAGTTCGTGGCATGTGCGTAGACGTACGTACCCGGACTGCGGAAACAGGAAGGGGAGGCGTCGGGTAAGGTAATGACGATAATGATGAGGCAGACGGGTGCTGTACGAGTACTGCCATTTGGTTTTGGAGGGGGTTGATGGTTTAACTACTACAAAAGTTGCGAACTCGCTGCTTCTCACGGTTCCGGAGTACTGTAGACACGGAGGGCGCATATTCGACCTAGAGCAGGTTGTCGGTCTGCCAGAGCATATTCCCCCGCTGGCTAATTTATGGGCTACGCGAGTGGTCCTAACCCACACGTGCAAGTACATGCAGAGAGAGATAGACACAGATTATACCCACATATGAAACCGTCCAGGAGAAATCTAGAAAGAATGAAAGTCATGGCTACGCCCAGTGCGTCTGTTACGCGCAGCGATGCTAGCGAACTCAGCCTTAACTGGTGGTGGGAAAATCCATCCCCCTCCTCTGATTGCTCTGTCTATTTTACCGCGCTGGCCGGCGTTTTTAAGGGGTCACCGTAAAGGGGGGAGGGGGTAGGGGGTAGGCCCCTTCCAAGCCGTCGCCACCTTGTTCTACAATGTATGAGTACTACTTCTCGGACCGGATGCAACACGGTGAAGAATCTATCTATATACATATTATTGTGTATTATACATACCTATATATATATAGGTGTGTGTGTGTGTGTGTGTGTGTGGTATATATTACGTAGGTAAGATTCATTTCGGAAGATGCGTATTGGCTGAATCGCGTGTTGGATGCTAACCTCATCTCAGACCTTGATGTGCCTAGTTCTAACCAACCTCCGCCTTGGAGGTTCGGACGGGCGAGTTATCTACCTACCTAACTCTTAGAAGGGGGGAGGCAGGGGGGCATAACAGGTATGTTAGGAGGTCGAGGTAGTAGGTAAGCTGATGGAATGGAGCCCAAGCGTCCTGACCCCCTTCGATGGGCCGCAATCGATAAAGATAGGTAAAACACAAGGGCGGGAGGAGAAGCGCGGCGGTGGCCGAAGCCGGCGTCTCCCAAGCCCGTGTTACTATTATGCGCATCTAAATCGTTTTGTGATGGCGGGTAGGTGGAGTCGAATGGGGCTGGGTAAAAGCGCAGATTGCAAATGTTTCATACTGGCGCGGAATTCGACATGTGCGTTACCTACCTCCTACACGTACATACATGTGTGCAACACGTTTACGGAGGTTATACACGAGGCATACACATGAGGGTGGATGGGTGGCTCCATAGATGAGGATGTAGGTTGCCTACATCTTGATGTCGAGGTAGGCATGTGTACCTACGCAGATGGGGAACCCCCTCCCTTCTAACTATGAGTATGTCTTATCAACGCTCTGCACCTCTTGAAACCCGGAGGCACCTCGCGCCAACCACGTACCCACACAGGCATCTTCTCTCCGTCATCTCCCCCCACACAACCTGGCTTGGCTTCCCCCCCCCTCGCCTTTGCCTATCGACATCTTGCGCGGGGGAACCCATACCTACATGTGACCAGCTGTTTTCCCCCCTGCTCTGGGCGTCCGACGGAAGAACTCGACTGGGTGAGACGCTATTGCTATGTTTACTGCTGTAGTCGGTCCGAGGGCGGAACGCTGGCTGGCTCGCTGGGTAGAGGCGGAGAGGCGAGGGGGTGAGAAAGGCAAGGCCACCTAGAATTCGGCTTTCTGATGCATCCTCTGCCTCTGCGTCAAGTTGACACCCAATTAGAGAGTTGGTGCCTCATAGCCCACGGGACAGTGTCTTGGTAGGTAGGTACATAAGGTGCCTAAGGACCTCAGGTGGGTAGGTATCTGAGGTACGTGTGTGAATATATACCCCTCTAGGTAATGGTTAGTATGAACCCGATGCAATGCGACATGGGCCATGATGTATGTGTCGTCCATCCAGCTATAAGTTGCCGCTATCTCACCCACCCCTGTGGGGCCGAATATAGAAAGATGTCACTTTCCAAAGCTCTTACGCATGTCTCTCTCCCCCCCCCTTTGCCCCTCTCTCCCTCTCGCATTACTTACCACTTAAAGTTGCCCATCCTGCCTCAGGTACCCATGTATCTGCATTCCCGGATACCTACGTGCGATTCGCGCATCCGGGCGGAGACAGTAGGGTTGGGTGATGCGATGCGTGCCGGAGTGATTCGCGGCGGGTCAGCTTCTACGGGGGTGGGCGGGGTGGTTTTGAGCGAGGCAGGCGACAGGGCGATCAACCGGTTCTCTTGCGAGAAGTGCGCGCGGTCTCTTCGCTGGGTAGACAGGGCGGTAAGATGGTTGGTGCCTGTGGGAAACGCGCGTGGCCCGACTTCCAGTAGCCCCCTCGGTCGCATTCTCGAATCGCTGCCGGTTCTAGCCTCCTGGATGTAGCCTGCTGACCCGGACATTACCGGGGTGCCTGTCCAGTCGGACTACCCCTCGGCCAGCTCACTTATACATATGTATATAGGTTGTATATAGGCACAGGTATATATATTCTATCTTATTCTTCTCTCTCTCTCTCTCTCTCTCTCAATTCTCCGTCGTCGATGCGCGCGCGAGGCATTAGAACTGGGGGCTCAGAGAGGAATTAGGGCTGCTAATTTGCCGGATGTGTAGTATGTACCTAGGTAGGTAAGTGAGGTAGAGGTACCTACCGTAGGTGGTGACTTATAGGGCGCCTTAGGTACCCCGCCTGTGGATCGAGAGATACTTCCTGCACGCAGCAGACATGCGTATAGTGGAGCCCGCCTGCTTATCGATAGGTACCTGATTAGCAGCCCATGTAGTTACGTCCCGAGGTACGCGTGCGGATAGCAGGCAGACGTGCGATAGGATCTGCGATAGGAGGTATCGAATTCGAGCTCTGTACCGAAGATACATAACCCCGCCCCCTCCTTGTCCCTCGCACGGCATGCGCGGGCGCGGTTGTACGTAACAACAAGGCTTCGATTTAATAGGAGGTAGCCGAGCAGCAGCTGCGTAAGTCCTTCTTTCCCTTACCCCTCGCGGACCCGTGCCTTGCCTTGCCTGCCTGCCTGCTTTCCTGCCTGCCTGCCTGCTTGACTTGCTTACTTTCTTACGTAGGGTACCTACATCCTAAGGTACCTACCTCTTACTTGCCAGCCCACCTACGCACTACGTACCTGACCTCCTCCCCTCCTCCCCTCCTATTAACGGTACCTGCCTCCCTTCTTTACCCTTCACTGGGCACCTTCCACACGTCCAGGCCGCCTACATACGTGCATAGCTCTGTTAATCGCCTAAGAGGACGAGGGACTGTCCCCGGTCAGACAATAATATCCCTCCGTCCAACGGCGACTCCTCGTACCCCACCATTATCACCATCCACCATCCACATCCTCCGTCGAACTGTAAGGCGGCACCATCTTGCCTCCAACAAAAAACCCTCTCGACTTCGACGAACCTTGCGACGTGCCTGCATTCGTGCATTGCTCGCTCTCTCTCTCTTCTCTCCGTCCTCTTCAAGTGAGTCCTCGCCTGTCCTCGCCTCGCCTCCGCCTTGTTTCGCATCTGTCTTGCCTTGGCAAGTCATCCATCCCTCCCTCTCCCCGCTAGGTATCTTCTACCGTCAACCTACCTCCCCTCCCCGATCCTGCTGCTTTATCCACGTCCTCTTTCTTTGGCTTCAGCTGGTTCATCTAAGCCCTTCTTACCCTTCTGCGTAGTTTTCTCTGCCTGCTACCTTATCCGAATCTGCCCTGCACCAACCACCTTCGTGCGCCTCCGATAACGAACCTAGCCCGGTAAATTTACCGAGTTCATCTTCTATTTCATCGCAAGCATTTTTTGTCTGACCTAGCCCAGCCGACGATAAGCCTTTGCCGGAAGGACGAGGCCCGTAGTACGCAGCTATCGAGGAATCCCGACAGACGCGCCGTCGACTAGCCCACGCTTGTTTCCTGCATAGGTATATCCGCGCCAGCGGCTCTGCCCCTCATCTGGTATGTGCAATTGGGGCACCTTGACTCATACCTCACTATAGGTTGCCTGCCCGCCCGATACTGGTATTCCCGCCTCCATCAAAGACGGCTCCCCCCCTCCCTCTTCGTACTACGTGCCGTTTGCCTGTGCATATCCTGCTTGCGTCTCTGTCATCCCCGACCCAGTTTACCAACAGTCTACGGTAAACTCGAGGGATGACGTGATCTGGCAAGAGGAACTTCTATTCCGCCACGTAATGGAACAGCCCGAACTCTCGACCCCCGCCGATACACCGATCGCTGTTCCACCCCCGACCGCCGACCGTGCTGCCGATCTCGCCGAAGTCGAGTCGAGTCAATCAAACAGACTCGACCCTCTTTCCAAAGTGTCCAACTCCGTCCCCTCTCTCCGCTTTCCCCGACCGCTGGGCAACCGGCAGCTCACCAACTGGATTTCCTCAAGCTCTCCCGCCATCATGCAGCCCGAGAACAACATCATCGACGATGACCCTAACCTGGCCGAGCTGGGCTACGATGTCATCGGTACCGATGGAGAGAGCCAGGCTGAGTCCACGGCTAGCTCCTTTGACTACCAGAGACCCGATGACGTCCAGAGCCTAGCCGGCACTGATACCGGCACCGATGTCGACACTAATGAGGCCGATTCCGACTCCTCTGACGACGACGAAGGAGAGGACGCAGCCACGCTGAACAACACGGCTGCAGCTAGCATCATCAGCAGTACCGTAGTGGAATACGATGGCCAGTCTGGCGGGGAGGATGACGACATCGAGAGTCCCGCGAACCAGAGCCTTGAGAACCCCACAGACGTCTCCCAGCACGGGCTTCCGCGCCTAATCCCCGAGGACCGGGACCTGACATGGAAAGCCACGGCGGACTTGCAGCAGCGGTCCAGCCACGATAACGGTCCGAATGAAGAAAAGACTGCGGTGTCGCTACCTCCGCCGAGCTACGACTTGAGGGATACCGTCTTAGAAAGCTACCATGTAGCGCTCGGATACATCCGGCGGAACCGCCGTATCATCGGCGCTCTGTCTGGACTTGCCCTTCTCTACAGCCTCGCCATCGTCGGCAAGTACTTTGTATTTACCCCACCCGCCCCGAAGGTCATATCTACAGTTCCGGTGGCCGCAGTCTCTTCTGCCGCGGTACCCTCTCCTGTGGGAACCTCTTTATCTATCTCTGCACCCACATCGACTTGGGTGCCCGCCCAGACGCACAATGCGTTGCAGACGGGCAACCCCTCCAATAGCCTAGCCTTCATGACATTCGGGAGAGAGAGGACGCAGACAAGTCTTATCCCGCTAGCCCAGCCACAGACTATCTGCTCGGCGGAGCTGTATGACCGCAACGAGATCGTGGTCAAGATCCCCCTAGATATCAAATCCACCTGGCTCGCCAGGGACGCTATTCTAATCGCCGTGAGCCGTGGTCTCTACGATATTCCGACTAAGGTTTCGTCTGTGGACGAGGGTTTTCTCATAGAGGTACCGCAGGGCGAGGCACACGGCATCTTGGCCATCTCCATTGCGACGACGCGTAAGCCCAAGGTTCAGGAGACCTTCCATGTCAATTTTGGCAGGAGCAAGTTCACGGGCGCCCTGGATGCTGGGAAGCAGCTTGTCAGGGGGTTCGCGCAGAAGTTTGTCGACACCGTCAACGAGACGACGGCATGGGTTGAAGAGACCTACATTCCGGCCCTAGACGTCATGTCGAAACAGGTCTGCATCCAAACCTCATCTGTATCCGGCTCCTTGCTACAGGCGTTCAGGGAAGCTTCCAACGCTGCCCTCGATCTCCCGACGCGCCTCACCTCTCAGCTTACCGCTCATATCAAGCAGTCGCTCGACCGCGATAGCCTGGCCCATCGCCACCGCCAGACCCGGCTACAGTTGACGCGGGAAGCCCAGGACCTCGGCGACGAGCTAGCCCTGCGGTACCTTTCGGCACAGCTGAGCTCCAAGCTCTGGTGGCTGCGGATACAAGGAAAGACCGAGGAGTACCAGCGCTACCTATCCAAAGCTGAGGCCTACCTCAGGGAGAAGGTTGCGGACGCCAAGGCTGCCCGACTCGAGAGGGCCGAGCATGTCAAGAAGCAGATACGATCTCAGCAGACGCACGAGCGTCGCGAAACAAGAAGTTCCTTCTGGGGTAAGGCTCGGGCTTGATTCGGCGAAAGCCTGGGTAAGAATTTACAACATGGTCGGCTAGGATGGACTGAGTGGCAGGACGGCGTTTGGTATTGGTGGTGGTACGATATTTGCTGGTTATTATGTCCTCGTAGTTCCCCCTGTCCCGGCAAGGCACACTCTCCCCCCTTTTTTTATTTAACGTTCCCCCACCCCATTTTTTGCTTTGCCGGCGATGAAGGTACCTAACCCTGCGACTCGGTATGGGTGTCGAGTAGCAGTCGTCTTCAGATAACGCAGCAGCTCGCTCTTTACGAGGATGCCGTCGATAGATGTTAAGGATGACGCCGGATGGATAGTCGACTGGCTGACGGGGTAGTTGGCCGGTGCGGAGGGCGTCGATCCAGGGCCGAGGAAACTACAAAAGTAGACAGTCGTCATGTAGAGCCCGGACAATGCATTGCTGTTATGCTCATGTATTCTCGTAACGCCGCCGTGGAAGAATTGCGACATGTGTGACGCGTAGAATGTACCTAGCTACAAGTACCGGCGTTCCCTACCTAGGCTTGTATTCACGCGGTCTCCGATGAGAAGCACGTTTTTTCTTGCAGATTTATCTTATTTTCTTGACTACGGATGTTATGCGACGCAGGTTCAGCCAACTATCCGACAGTGCGTAGCCGCCGCTTACGACCTTTCGTCCCCCCCATTTGCTGGGCTATCAGCAGTCCTGGAGACCCATCGATCAGGCGCATCTTTAGAAGAATGTTGGGCCGTCGAGCGCGTACCTACATACGTAGGTGGCTACGTTACATACCTACATGCATAGGGGTGGTAGGCACCGCTGGCACCGCGGCGACACAATATTTCCATACGTTGGCAGGTGTAGGTGATGTAGGTAGGTATAGGAGGTGGGAGGGGGAGCGCACAGTATCGACGCAAGCAACCAACGTTCTTCAACGCATACCTACCTACCTTCTCTGCCTAACCGGCGTCCAATATCGCCACGCGCTTCCCCATCACCCAGCGATCCAGTGCCAGATCTCGTCCAGGGCCGCGGGGGGGGGGGGGTGAGGGAGGGAGGCGATGATGTAGCCTGACTCGGGCGGCGGGCAGGTCCGGCACGGCGCCCAAACTGGGTCGATTGCTCACTGACGCGCGCAGGTGGTCGCACGAGACACGGGGGCGGCGTGATTGGACGCTGCCGGGTGGCCGGGTGGCGGTCGCGCGCGCGCAGGCCGGACGTGGAAGGGGGCTAGACTGGGTCGGGGCCGCGTTAGCTGCCTCCTCCCGACGGCGTGGGCAGGGGAACGGGTGATCCTGGGTCGCGAGGTGCTGCCCGCGATGGCGGTGGTGGTGGTGGGCGGCTTGGTGCCCAAACGACGCACGAGACACGGGCGGGGCGCCCCCCTGGAAAGCCCGAATCCGGGAGACGGGGAGAGGAGGGGAGGGGGGAGGTGGCGCCGGGCCGACGTGACGATAGATCTTACGTAGGCCGAGACATATGCGGGTTAGGTAGGTGGGTAAGTAGGCAAGGTAGATAACAGAGGAGGATGTGAGGGTTGAGAAAAAAGGAGAGAGAGAGAGGGGGAGGGGGAGGGGAGGATGAGTAGGTATACCTACTCTGGAGGAGAACCTACGTCTCCAATAGGGGTGGAGGTGGAGGTGGAGGGGTCAAATGTCATGTTAATAAGACGGAACGATTTGATTCTACCTACCTCTGTATATGCTACTACCTCGATTGGGGAATCTACAGGTGTATTTTTTATTTATCAGCAGTGCTTAGGTGCCCAAGTTAGGCCGGGTACTCACCTATCGGGTTAGTAGGGCCGGTAGCTAGGCGTGCGCATGCTCCGACTGAATTATCGAGTTGATGGGCCAATTTTTCGCGGCAACGCCCCTCTCTCTGCCCTCCCTCCGCCCCGCTCTCGTCCTCCCCCTCCTCCCTACACCACCACCTCTCTCTCGCGCTTCTCGCACATAACCCTACCAACTCCTCTCACCCTCTCCGATCTCCTGAACCTAACCTACGTACTTACATACGTACGTCCGCAACCCCACTCCCGTTGTTCTCCTTTGCCGGATCGCTGTTGTTCCTCGCCTCTCGTCTCTCCCCTGCGCCGCCCAAGCCGTTCCCTACCGTCGTCGACTTACCTACCACAACCGCAACAACCAGCAGCACACGCACACACGCACGCAACGCACATCGATCGCACGTCTAGCCTGCCGTCTACCTACTCTTACCGCGCCCTACCTCGCAGCCTTCTCGGAACCGGTACGTTGCGCGCTTCTACGCTAAAATCGCCTACATCTCCTCTCCTTTTTTCCTCTCCCTTTTTTTTTTCATTCACGTCCTCTGGTTTGGCCAGACGGGACGGGGAGCCTGGTTCTTTTGGTAGTGTTTGGATGCATTACGCGGGTGGCGGGGAAAGTGGCATTTCTAGCGCCGTGCCCTGATTCCATTTATTTATTTATTTTTAATCTCCCTTTTATTTATTAGTTATTATTTATTTTCTTTCTTTTGCCTTGTGTCATTACGTCTATTGTCTTTTTTTTTTCCTTTTCGCATCTTACATGTCTGCCACTACTACTGCTTTCCTTTCACGTACTTTTCCCCCCCTGCTGGCCGTTGCCATTCTCAACCCATCAGCCAAGCAAAATTAACAGACATCGGCCCAACGCTTTTCGTTGTCGTCGTCGTCCTCATTCACCTCCCTTTCTCTCGTTCCTAGTTCTGACGCATCGATTTTAGCCTACGCCCAACATGACCACCGTCGAGAGCACCGACCCCAAGGTCGAGGGTACCAAGCCCACAGAGGTCGCCGAGACGAAGCCTGTTACCTCGGCACCGGTCTTCTCTATGTTTGGTGGTGGCGCAAAGAAGGAGAAGAAGGAAGACGAGGACCGCGGAGACAACTCTGGCAGTGCCAAGGCCCAGCGCGAGGCCGCTGCCGCCGCGAAGGGCGACGACGAGGTCCGTAATCGCCGAGATCCATATAACCATCTGCATACCTATACAGGCATCTTTCCCCGTTGTCCCCTTTCCCGGTCGCCGCCGAATCGCATTGCCCTGGCTTTGCTAATCTAACCTCGTGTAGGAGGATGTTCCCGAGTCGGAAGACGTCCACTTCGAACCTGTCCATAAGCTCACCGAAAAGATCAAGACCGTGACGCACGAGGAGTCCGAGGAGGAGATCTTCAACATGCGGTGCAAGATGTTCCGATTCACCCAGGACGCCGACGGCAAAGGAGAGTGGAAGGAGCGCGGGACCGGCCCCCTCCGCCTGTTGAAGCACAAGGAGAACGGGAAGATCCGCTTGGTCATGCGACGAGATAAGACCCTCAAGGTCTGCGCCAACCACTACAGTATGAGCCCCCCCCCCCCCCCCCCCCCCCCCGCCTTTGACCACCTCAACGCCCCATCGGTAACGAGTCCGAACTAACCATGGCGATTTCGTAGTCACCCCGGACATGACGATCGCCCCCATGTCCACGAGCGACCGAGCATGGCTCTGGAACGTGGGCGCCGACGTCAGCGAGGGTGAACCCGAGGCCATCACCGTCTCGATTCGCGTTGCCAACTCTGAGAGTAAGCAATATCGCACGGATTCTGCACCCCACCCAACCCCCCCTCCCCTTCCCCTTCCCTGAAGCAGGCTAACCTGCCGTTTCCGACAGATGCCCAACAGTTCAAGGAGGCCTGGCTCAACGCCCAGAAGGCGAACGCAATTCTTTTTGAGCAGGCCAAGCACGACGAGGCCTCGGGTGAAGAGGCGAAGACGGAGGAAAAGAAGGAGGAGCCTGGTACTACTGCCTCGTCGTAAGGTTGACGGTATGCGGTCGGCCGGTAGCATCTAGACCTCGGCCCACGGCCGTGTTATAGGGTGCATAATCAACACACCTCTACTTCATTACGCCTGTAGTCATGTCGAACGACAACTGTGTTGCGGATGGCTGGGTAAGACGGGCTTGTCTCAGGTCGGGCATGTTTGATGGAGCAAGCCTGTGGTAGCAGAGGACGCTGTTAATGGTAAGGAAATAGTGAGGCAGAGAGAAAGAGAGAAAGTGGGAGAGAGAAGTAAGAACAGAGACGGAGAGAGAGAGAGGAGGAGGAATGGCGAGGAAGAGAGGGAAGATATTATTAGATTAGGTTAGTGGGAGCCGTTGAGCATCAACCCTGACCACCCCCCCCCCCCCCCCCCCCCCTTCCCCCTTCCCCCCTTCCCCCTTCCCTCAACAACCCCCAGAGAGTCACGGCATCTTGTCTCCCCCTTCCCCTTTCGAGAATCCCACTACACACGATGAATACAATGCCAAACCTTTCTGCCCGAGGCACCAGCCTGCCTGCCGACGTCTCTGTGTGTGATATTAGGATGACCTGAGAGGTGTGTGTTGGTATGGCTCTGAGCAGGTCAAGCTACCCAGGGTACCTAGGTACATGAGGTAGGTAGAGACGGGAGGTACCTACCTGTAGGTGGATGCCTGTCCACCTGGCCTTGCGTAAATAAGTGAGTACCTCATTACAAAGAGAGTGTGTGTGCTGCCAAGTGCCAGGCTTATAACACGTGAATGTTCATGTTAATATAGTGTTGTTGGTGTAGGTGAATTCCCAATCTTGCTTATGTTTACCTACCTAGAAGCAAGGGGTACTTACCTGCAAAGGTACATATATATGCGTCTAGGGAGGGTGTGGAGGTACCTCTTCAGGTAGTGTCTTGAGTACTTGAGTTAGGTACCCAAGTTATGCCTCGTTGGTTTGTATATGTTGTTTGCTTATCAAGGCATTGGCTGTAGATACTCGTATGGATCTTTACGCCTCGAAGGGGGGTAGCTGTCGGTAATAGGTAAGGTGGTACTTACGCCTTAACTAGATGAGGTACCTAACCTACATAGGTAGGTACCTATATTAAATTAGATACTTTAGGGTATAGATGCTCTCTACCTATGTAATCAGGTACCTAATATTACTAGATACTTTAGGTAGATAGGTATCTAGGTAGATAGGAGGTAGATTGAGCATAGTACACAATAGGACAATAGATAATAGGTGCGGTGGGCACGATGAGCACATAGTGGGTACGTAGGTAGGTATAGTGGGGCTGCTTGTTGAGCCGATGAATGAGTTGAGGTTAAAGCTTTTGCACGTGACTTCGTGACAATGAACAATAGGCATCGGAAGGCGGCTCGCGACTGCCCCCAATAAGGCGCCATAGGCCTGGGAAACTGCTGGCATCACGGTGCATCAGACCTGCCGTCTACTATTTAGGTATTCCTGACCCTTCTCCTCTCCCTCTTCTTCTTTCTGCACAACTTCTCAGTTTCTCCTCTGACCGCACATCACCAGTCCCAACTTTTCGGTAGCCCACCTTCCATCCACCTGCCTCATCTGGCCTCTACTCGCCATTGTCTACTAGCCATTGTCGACTTGCCAAATCTCCTACCATTTCTAATCCCGTACCGCGATCCTCTAGGTCCCTGCGGGGTGTCTCCCCTCATTGCCTGCTTTCGGGCCTCCATCCACAAGCTGCCTACTTTCTGCCCACATAGCAAATCCGGCGGGAACAGTGTTCTCTAGTTGGGTCTAAGCCTAGGGTCTGTGTGAGTCTGTGAGCTTGATAATACCCAGCTAGCAACCCCGGATCAGATCAGCACCGCACCGCACCGCACCGCACCCCTTCGCATAGGGACAGCCAGCTTGGTAGAGAATACGGATGCTCCAGGCCGCAATTCCTCCTGTGATGCACTCACAGCCCCGAAGCAACCCGCCTGCTTCTTTGGCTACCTCTTTTGTTCATCGAGTGTAGACAATACATTGTGATATACATACTCCCACTCCTTACTCAACACCGAAAACATCAGCAACTGCCAAGCTCCTTACTTCCTTGGGACGCATCTTGCCTCGGTATTCAGCACAATACCAGGCATTACCCTCGCCATTTACCTTCTCATCTAGTCACCATTGGCCAAGTTGGCCAACCGTTGCATTTGATCTGGACTCGGAGCAGCAATGGCGCCCAACAAAAAGAAACGCCAACCCAAGGTCACCTTTGACGATCCCATTTCTCCCTCTCCTCGCTCCACCGGCCGATCCACCTCATCAGTCAAAGGGTCCGGCCGCCAGACTCGTTCCCAAGCCCGTGCACTTTTGTCGGAGAGTAAGCTGCAAGCTTCCAGTGGTATGTAAACCTGCTACCCCCTCTCCTCTCGCTAATCCTATCCATCAAGAGATGGCAAGGTCCCCTTGGTATCTACCTAGTTGTGATGCTTACAACTGTGTAGCAACGTCGCAGGGCAATGCCTCGGCAGAGAAGCTGCCACTAGCTAGCTCCGCTGGCTCGACGTCTAAAGTTGACGATGGCGGACAGGCCCCTGCAGGAACTGCGCCCTTGGGTGGTGCCCCAGACTTGATAATTGAGGAGTACATGGGTGACGATGAAGCACCAGAAGACAACAACACCTCTCAAGTCGAGCCTACACGCAGTTCTGCTATCACACCCGTATCAATGTTGAGACGCCGCACTGCCAAAGTCAAGCTCTCAGCGAATTCGGCAAATACTGGAAATAATGAAGACGACGACGATGCTGAACCGGTTGCCACACCACATTCGAACAGGCGAAAACGCAGGGCAGCTGTCGAGCCTAGCCAGGATGAGGAAGAGTCCCCTGTGAAGGCTAGGAAAACGGCAGAAAAGACCACGCCTGCCCGACCCCCGCCAGGTCTGGTTCGAGGACGTCTATCACCCAGAACTCGTTCAGCCAGGAGGGCTGCGCTATCCGCAAAAAATCCAAGCTCCTCCAGAGGCCACCGTTCTCGAAAGCAGAAAAACCTTGAACTCATTCGTCGTCGCCGGGCCGGGGAGAAAATTACGGACGTCACAGAGTCGGAGCCTTCCTCTGACGAACAGAAGAGGAAGCCAGCCTTATTTGATTCCGACAGTGAAGCGGACCTCCACGTTTTGACTGTATTTCATGATGAGGAGCCGGATGTCGAGCCACCAGAGCCGCAGTCGGCACCCGACGACGCCCAGCAGAATGCCAATGCCGACGTCGAGGACGACCTCGACGGCTTTATTACTCATGACAGCAATGCTCTTCTGGGAGCCCCTGCCGATATTGATATCCCCCTGCAGTTCACCTCGCAGGCACACATGCCACTCCGGGTCCAGTTTACACACGTTGTGGAGTGGCTTGTCCAGAACAAGGTCAACCCGGTATTCGACCGCAGGGACGAGTTGTATCTGAACGCCTGGCGCAAGCTGGGGGATGAGTTTATTGCTCTCGCATCGTCCAAGTTTTCCTCCGCAGCCTGGAAACCCCAATTCTACCTTTCGCTCAAGGCTAGACCTACCATGGAGGTACTGGATGTGAGCGAGAGCGGCAGCGATGCCACGATGTGCGAGGCTTGCGGCCGCAGCGGCCACCCTGCTAAATTTGAGATTCAATTCTCGGGCCAGCCTTACTACAAGGATACCCTTACGGAAATCGAGTCCGACTCAGAAGAAGAGGGCAATAGTGGGCATGAATCTGTCGACTCCAATGGCGAGGTCTTGCCGTCAGCTAGGACGCGGTGGAGAGTTGGTGCCGTGTGTTGTAGCAACGCTGAGACGGCGCATAGCCTGCTTCACTGGAAGCATGCACTCAAGGAACAGGTGGAGGAGCAGCTCAGAAACGACGGCTGGATGGCACCGGACAAGCTTAAGGAGCGAGAGCGTATGAAGTCCAAGGCGCGTCGAAGGCTCGCTGACAGCATCACGGATAGCTGGGACCATTTTGAAGGTTTCATACCGAAACTCTTCTTTAAGTTTAAGAAGACGCTGGAGGATGCTCGGAACAAGAACACAACTGGACGCGGCTACAACTGGGGCCGCTAGATGGAGATGTTTTGCTGCTATCTTCTCGGCATACTTTCTTTTCTTCTCAATCTGAACTGCCCCTCCACCCCTCCCCCCGGAATTACTGTTTTTTCCCCAGGATACCCTGATCCGGGTCTCTCTGAGACTGGATATAGTTGCATACAGAAGGGCACGAGGTCGTGCCCACACACATACCCACGCGTACTTGATAAAGATGCGTCTTGTACGCTTTTCTATCTCTGGTCCTCTTTTCCTTTTTTCCCTTTCTTTTCCAGGATACCCCCAGGTCTCTTTAGATGAAGTATTTCATCTAGACAATTCGGCAAAACCAGACTTTCGCACGTGCACGAGCAAGCACTACGTACGATATGCAGGGATTGCGCACACATACCACACAAGCATACATGCGTGGCGAGGTAACTGGAGTGGTGCCGGCTGACGGGGTTTCTTCTCTGAGTTGGTGTCGGAGGCTGAAGGTTACGGGTGGGTGTGGGCTGTGGCGAGGAAGGATCTTTGTACGAAGGTGGTGTGGCCTATCTATCTCGATCTGCACTTCTGGATGTCGCCGATGATACCCCCAAGAAAAAGGGGGGGAGAATCGGTAGGGGATTAGGGAAAGGAACCAAGTCTAGGAAACCCCCTCCCAGGCTTTGCGAACTGATGCTGACGCCTATGGTGGCTGCGTCGTAGGTGCCTGGTTCGCCCATTTCTACTCCATAGTGATGTCCGTAGTAATGTAAAGATTCACACTGCTTCTTCTGTTCTGCAATTCTCGTGTCTTTATTTTTTGTAGACTAGCAATCCCCTAGTAAGTGATACGTAAGTGTCTTTTTCCTCCTCCTTTCCTCTCCTCCCTCACTTTTCAGTCCCTGACCCCCCGTTCCCCCTCGTTCCCTAGCCTTCGACACACGTCAATTACCCGTCCACCACCAGGAGATAAGCCCTCTGCAGAACCCACATCATCTACAGACACATCCCTTCCTGCCCGCCTTACCTAGATAGCCTTAGCAGCGCGGACGAACGCGCGGATCTTCTCGAGGCTCTGGGCGGGGTCTTCCGCCGGGCCGTCGTCCTCGACGCCGGAGCTCACGTCCACGCCGACGACAGCGCCGCGGGGGCCGGCGGCCGCCACGGCGGCGGCGACGGTGTCGGGGGCGAGGCCGCCGGCGAGCAGGACGCGGAGGCCGGGGTGGGCGGCGAGGGCGGCGCGGACGCGGCGCGGGTCGGTGGGGCGGCCGTGGCCGGCGCCGGCGTCGAGGAGGGGCGCGGCGTGGAGCGCGCGCAGGGCGAGGCCGGGCTCGACGGCGCTGCTGCTGCTGCCGCCGTCGGCCGCCGCCGGCGCGAGCGCGAAGCGCCGGATCACGGGCCCCGGGATCGCCGCCGCCCACTCGGCCGGGTCGCCGACGCCGTGCAGCTGCACCACGTCGAGGGCGTGGCGCGCGCGCAGCCGCAGGATCTCGGCCAGCGGCTGGTCCTGGAACACGCCGACGAGGAGGGGCCGGCGCGGCGACGCGAGCTGCAGCGCCGCCGAGGTTGCGAAGAAGTCGGTCGCCGTCGCGGTGGGGACGGTGGCGGTGGTGGCGGTGGGTGTCGGCCGCGCGAACCCGTGGATCGCCCGCGAGATGGCCTGCGCGGCCTCGTCGCTGACCGTGCGCCGCCGCCCCGGCGCGAAGATCATGCCGATCATGTCGGCGCCCGCCTCGGCGGCGGCGAGGGCCGCCTCGGGGGTGCGCGTGCCGCAGATCTTGACGAGGAGGGGCTCGGGCGGCGGAGGCTGCGGCGGGGTGGCGGCCGCGGCCGGTCCGGCGCACAGCTCCCGGATGAACTGCGAGGCGTCGGGGGCGCGCATGATGGCCTCGCCGACGAGGACGGCGTCGACGCCGTCGCGGTGGTTCGCGACGACGTCGTCGTGGGTGTTGATGCCGCTGAGGGCGCAGATGAGCGTGCCGGGGGGCACGAGGCCGCGCAGGCGGGCGGTGGTGCCGAGGTCGACCTCGAACGACTCGAGGTTGCGGTTGTTGACGCCGACGACCTGGGCGCCGAGCGCGACGGCGGCCGCCATCTCCTCGGCGTTCTGCACCTCGACCAGGGGCTCCATGCCGAGCGACTGCGCGTACCGGTACAGGCGCGCGAGCAGGCCGGCGTCGAGCATCTTGACGATGAGGAGCACCGTGTCGGCGCCGGCGAGCCGCGCCTCCAGGATCTGGTACTCGTCGAAGACGAACTCCTTGCGCAGCACCGCGGGCCGGTTGACCAGGCCGCCGAGCACTTGGCGCACCGCGCGGAGATCCTCGATGCCGCCCTTGAACCAGTCGGGCTCGGTGAGGACCGAGATGACGCTCGCGCCGGCGAGGGCGTACTTCCGCGCCTGCGAGGGCGCGTCGATGTCGAGCGCGAAGACGCCCTTCGAGGGCGAGGCCCGCTTGATCTCGGCCATGAGCGCGACGTCGAAGGGGCTCTGCCGCAGGCGGTCGACAAAGGAGACCTGGGGCGGCGCGGCGCCGAGCTCGTACGCGGCCTGGAGGTCGCGCGGCCGCTGCGACGGGGTCTCCTTCTGGGCCGCCACGGCGACCTTTCGGCGGGCGTATATCTGTTGTAGGATGTTGTTGCTGCTGCTCTTGGTAGGCGCCGACGGCAGCGGCTTCTTCTCGGCGTCGCCGCTAGGCGAGGCCGGCTCCTTTTGCAGCCGCTCATTCTCGGCCCAGGTGCCCCCCTGGGTGTGCAGGAAGTTCTTGATCATGACGCGGCCGTCGGCTGACAGGATGCTCTCGGGGTGGAACTGCACGCCCTCGACCGTGTACTCCTTGTGGCGCACGCCCATGATGACGCCCTTGGAGCCGTCGTCCTTCGCGACCCACGAGGAGACCTCGAGGGACTCGGGCAGGGTGACGTGGGTGCCGGCGAGCGAGTGGTACCGCGTGACGGGGAGGCCCTGGGGGAGCCCCGCGTAGACGCCCTTCGCGTCGTGCGTCAACGGCGAGGTCTTGCCGTGCAGGATCTCCCCGGCGGAGCTCACGTCGCCCCCGTAGACGTCGAATATGCATTGTCTGCGCACGTGGGGACGCGGTAAGCGGTTGCCTCACGGCACGCCGTGCACCCGATATGCGAGAGGAGGAGGAGAGAAGAAAGAAGAGGAGGAGGAGGAGAATAAGAAGGAGGAAGACGAAGAGGAGAGGGCGCGGGGGGGGGGTGTGGGACTTACTGGCCCATGCAGACGCCTAGTATCGGGATCTTCCCGGCAAAGTGTCTGATGGCATCGCGGCTTATGCCGGAGTCGGTGGCGGGATGGCCGGGGCCGGGGCTGATGACCAGCTGGGTGGGCTTCTTGGCGACGAGCTCGTCGACGCTGATCTGGTCGTTCCGGTACACGGCGACGGTGGCGCCCTCGAGCACCAGGTACTGGTACACGTTCCAGGTGAAGGAGTCATAGTTGTCTATGAGGACGAGATTCGAAGCTGTGGGGACAGGAGGAGCCGGGTCGGGATGATGGGGCGAATGGTCTATGATATCGAGCGAAGAACCAGCCATGTTCGCCTAGGTATCCGTTTCTAGTTTTCCGTTGCTCGCTTGTCCTTTTCCCTCTCCCCCCTTTTTCTTTTCTTTCTTTCTCCCTCTTTTTCTCTCCGCGTCTCTCAATGGTGTGGAGTACTCGGACGAGGAACTGGGGATGACTCTCTTTACTAACTCGCGATCGACAATTGGCAGACCTTTTTCCTACACTCAGTAGCTCAGACAGGCGTATATTCCCGGACGGCCTTTGGATAGGGAGTGAGAGAGGAGGCGAGAGAGGGAGAGGGAGCGAGAAAAGTGCTTTGTGTGCCCTGCTGGCGACAATCTCACTCAACCATTTCCGCCGGTTTGGTTGCTACTATGTTTGTACTCTTCCCCCCCCTTCTTTTGATCGGTATTTCCGTTGATCGGAGAGGCCACGAGAAAGCGGCAGAATCGATAACAGCCGAATCTGGGCGGTGAGCCTGCGAAATACCTACCTGAAGGGCTCTATCGAGGGGCAATCCTGGCCGTCAGAACGAGGGGCAGCAAGCTCAAAGTCCCTACAGGTACCTGCTAGTTGAAAGCCACATCTAGTGTACCTTGGCTGATTTTTTTTCCTTCCCTATTCGGGTTAGACACCATGGAATTTCTATCCTTAGGTACCTAACCTGTCCCGCATAGGTACATAGCCTTGCCTACCTCCTGGACAGACCTGTATCTTAGATACCTAGGTACCTCTCATAATCCATACCGATTCAGTATCTGCAGGTACCTACCTAACCTCCTAGCCATCCAATTCAGCATAATTTCATAGCGTATACTTTATGCAACTTACTCAGGTACCCGTAACAGCACATGGGTAACAGCAACATGGGACCGCATTTGGCCTTCAGCCAATGGTAGCAAGGAACCCTCACATTTCTCACTACATGGGTACATCTCCGTGGAGAGCTCCGGCAAGAAGTTGTAAACCCGTCATTCTTAGCATCTTTTCTCGAGAGGCGCGCGCGTGCCGTAGCTACAGTACAGAGTCGATCAACAACCATCCCTCCCTCGCTCTGCCGCTTCACATGCATCCCGCGCGCAGTATAGTGTCCATTGCCTGCTGATAGCTGCAGCAATGGCAGAGCTACTATCTGATGACATTTATCTGCCTCCGTTGGAACCCTGTCTGAAGGGCGAGACCGTCGTTCTGTAAGCCCAACCCGAGCGTCCTCCGTCTTGCATGCTGCCGCCGCCGGTCCTGTATGGGCGTCTTTCGGGCTATGTATCGGCGAGATCCCGCCTGCTAATTGTACGCTTGCCGCTTCTCCCAGGTCGTGGAAGCTCGTCGCTTCGGCATTGACCGACCCGTCGGGCCGCCGACAGAGTAGCAGCGCCGTCATCGACTACCTGACCGACCCTCTCGTCCAGTCCTTCTTCACCAAACCCGGCTCCGCCTTCGATCCGCCGGGCGGCGACCGGAATCCTCACCATGCCACCTTCGTCAAGAAGACGGCCGCTATCGAGGTCACTCCGACCCCGAACGACAAGTACGACATCAATGTCATCAAGGAGGATGCTCTCTGGCTGAGCAAGGTCGGCCGCATCAACGAGGTCGCCGCTCTTCGCGTTGTCGTCGTCGAGTTCCAGTCGCGCCCCCAGAGCCAGCTGCGCGGCCCCATATCGAACCAAGATGTCGCGAATCTGCGCGAGGCCGCCGGCGCCTCGAATGCGCAAACGACCAACATCCTCCCCGGGCTCAGCATCGCGAGCACGCGCGACGCGACCGAGATCCAGGCCGACTTCGAGAAGCCCGAGAGCAGGAAGCGGCGCATATTCCAGACCTACCTCGACGAGCGTCGCTACTATGCTGCCACGAACGACTACATATTTACCTTGATGCTGCACGAACGCCTGCCCACGTCGCCCGCCACCGACGCGTCCAGCGCGATCCGAAGGTCCTTCATGGAGGCGTACGGCATAAACCCCAGGCAGCCCCAGAAGTCCTCGATCGACATGCCCACGAGAACGTTCCATGCCCTGGCGTCCCAATACTTGAACCTGCTTCCGTTCTCTGTACAGAATTCTCAAACGGCTATCGGCGCTGTCGTCGAGGATGAGGCCTTGTTGACCGAGGAACTCCACGAACAATGGATGCAAACCTGGTTGACCGATGCCTTACATCGGATGGTCGTCGTATTCCAGCTCCTGGATCTATCAAGCGATGCCTTTGTGTCGGAGCAGCTTGCCCAGCAATGGTTTACGCTTGTCGGCGCGTTCAGCTTCTTAGACCAGCTCCAGAATGTGAGTCGAACTAGCGAGGCTGGATCGGGTTGACGTGACGGTATTAGATCTCTACTAACGCTGTCGCTAGTTTTCGGCCAACATATCGGACCTCGCTGCCCCGTTGCAGTGTCTGGTTTGCGTAATCTCGCTAACTGTTCTCAATCTCCCCAGAATGATGGGGTTTTTTGAGGGAGACGTGGAGCTGAATACCGACGACGAATATCTCGCTTCGTCAAACCTGCTCGAACAAATTCACGACGTCCTGGAGAGTGCGATAAGTATGAACTTGGCTTACACCGTTCCGGTATTGTTCGCGTGGGTTCCCGTTGTGCATGCCATGTTTTCTTCGTACCAGGAGCGCGCGGAGAGACGGGATGCTATCCAGAACGAGAAGGCGGTCGAGAACTACGATTCGAGCACGCAGATGGTACCCGCGGGTCGGAGAAACTCTGCGGGGAGCATCACCACCATCGACAAGCGGCGGTACGACGATTTTCTCATCAACAAGAACCTGGACCGCGATGTCGCGCGAGTGCGGATGCTTGCCTCTGTGGCTACCGACGAAGCGCACGTCTACGATGTCATCGCGGCCATGTCGTTGTGTCTCGGCGCCTCCGATCGCGCCATATTCTCCCCGTCGGTAGGGTCACGGATGCGGACCACGTTTCTAGACCTACTCAAAACCACCTATCCTTTCGTGGGGTATAAATCGGAGCCGGTTTGCGCTCTGCTCGCGGTGCTCTCCGGTGGCCAAAGCTATTGGGATCTCTCGCGGCCCTGCAATATCCTCGCGCAGCAAGACATCCTTCACATAGCCTTGAACGACGAGATCATCCTCGAAAACTACTTCCAACAGGCCCTCAACCGCTTTCCCTACGAATTCGTCCCGTTTCTCACCTTATGCCGCACCCTCTACTGCTCTCAGCACCACACCGGAGAGGGCAACCACGAACGCATCCTCGGGCTGCTGCAAAAAATGCCCACGCTCACGTTCACCTTACCAGACCACTTTATCGACTATCAACTCGCCAACGAGGAAGAAAACTCCAACGGTTTCCAGCTCCTAGAACCTTTCCCTCTCTTTTCCGTCCCGTCGAGTCGGCAGCGAATCGCTACCGAAGAAGAGCCGTTCACCATCCCGGAGGGCACCTACGGCCGCTTCATCGTCGACGAGGGGAGAATTGTGCGTGTCGAGTACGAGCATTCCGTCCTCGCCCTTCTGGGGAAGAGGCTGGACGCCAACCTCACCGCAAACAAGTATCTCTTGGAGCTTGGGGAACTCGGCACCGAGGAAACGGCGGAAGCAATCGCGTTATTTGCCACGCTTATACGGGTAGAATGCCTCAAAACCCCGGCCGCGGCGGGAGTGCCGTCAGAAGCCGGGTTAGCCATCGTGGCCGAGGCCAGTCGAGCACTGCCGCGGACCAAGGACATAATATCGGTCGTCTGCGACACGCTGGACGTCCTTTTGGATGGCGAGCCGGAGAGCCAGGGGCAGGCCACCATAGTGTCCTGCCTGCAGTTTCTGCATGCTGTCCTGCCGATATGTCCAGGCAGAGTCTGGTCGTATATTTCGCGATGTACCATTCTTAGCAACCAGGACCAGGGCGGCCGGCTGGCTAGACTGGTCGGAAATCTCGACTTATCCAGTTCCCAGTTCGAGTTGCTGGTGTCTGCTGTCCGCCTCTTTTCCAGCCTCATTGATAGTGCCGTGGCTAGTTCAGTGCGGCGGAAGACGGGTGTGAAGGCAAATGCCCGTCAGAAGCAAAACCACGACGTCTGGCTCGGCGTTTCAGACAAGATAGTCAGTCAGATATCGTTGTCGATTGCGCGGGCGGCGATGGATATCCTGGAAAGCTCGTCGACCTGGCGGTTTGCCTCCATCCTCGATCGCATGGTCCTCGTTCGCGACGTGGTGCCCATCATGGACAAGGTCACGATCTATTGCTTCAGTGTGGATGACATAAACGCCAAGGACACGAGGACGTTTCTGATGTCAGCTCTCGAGCCGGCAGCTAAATACGTCGTTGATAGCTTTCTAACGCCGTCGGCGGGGAGTCTCCGCATGCAATCACTGCTGGTAACGTTGGTGGTCGCGACGCAACCGTTTGACTCTACCGTCTACGCCAACAGGACGGCGGCCTTCCGGGCCCAGACCGTAGCCGTCCTGAGACTCGCGAAAAGTCTGGTGAGGGTCGCGAATTACCTCGACCGGCCCTCGACGACGGTGGAGCACCAGTTGTTCAAAGCAACACCGTTTGTCGCCCGCGTCTGCGCCTGCGACGATGCGTTCCGGGGTCCTGCCATCGAGCTGTTGGAAGCGCTGGTCATCAGCGCCGGAAAAGCTGTCGGCGAGCCGCCCTCCTTGCTAGGATACCTCGGCCCACAAATATCCCGTTCGTTCCTCCAGCTTTTGTCGACGCTGGATAGACCCTTCGACCAGGCCGGCGAGGTGAACACGATATGGCGATTCTTTTCTACTATCGTGAGGAATAGACAGCAGTGGATGGCAAATTCCCTTCTCACCGGCAGGACGCCACGCGATGCCAAAAATAGCAGCGGCAAAGCAACAGAGGCGTCGTCCAGCTCCATTCTCGCGTCTGCCCTCGAGAGGCTCACGTTCATATCTAAGATCGAGGAGTCCGAGACACTCGCCATTCTAGACTTCATCACTTCGGCCCAGAACTTTTGGCCCTGGACTATCTTTACGTTGCAGAAGAATACCAGATTCCTGGAGCAACTCCGGAGTTTCGTCCACGACTTACCGCCTTCGTCCCTCACCTCGAAGTCCAATGTGCTGCGAGCCTGCAACGACGCTCGGATCGCAGCCTACATTGCCGAGATATTTGCCATGCAGCTCTTCCATCTTCGGCAGATAGACCAAGCGGACTCGTTCGCCAACGAGCTGACCCGCGATTTAGACTACTACCTACGGGATGGCGTGGCCGTATCTGGTTACAACCGGGGCTTACATGTTAATTTCGCTCGGAACTTCAGCAACCAGTACCCCGGGTTTACGCTCGACAACTTCAAGCGGACGTTGCTTGAGCCTCGGTCGCTGGGAGCTGACTTTTACTACGCCCTGGGCTTCGCCGATGAGATGCTCACATTTGATCCAGGCTGGGTTGGCCCTCGAAGTAACGGGTTTAGAAGCGAGATGGAAAAGGCTAATATTAACCTGTCACTGGTCGACGCTCAGATCGTAAGCTCTTGAGACTGCGTTTGGACTAAGCGATAGTAAGCTAACATACCAATAGTCTCTCTACCACGCCTGGGAATTCCTACTGCTTGAATTGAGTACTTGTCTGCCAAGCAATGACACTCTCAAGAAGCATTCGCTACAGGTTGCCCGGCAATGCCTAGAGGCAAACGAAGAGACCCAAAATCACGATCAGGTCTTTGAGCGACTCGCCGAGTCACGGGTGAACCTGGCGCTCATGCTGGTGCAGAGGGTCGTGAATAGCGCCCCGTCGGCTGGTGACATCACGCAACTCCTGACAGCCCTATGGGCAACGATAAGTAGCATTCAGGAGCCGTATGCACCGCATAACATAACCCTGTACCGCACACTGCTCAAATTGCTCTACGTCACGTTGCGAGCCCAGGTCCGATCGTTGACCCCGAATGAGCACGCGGATGTGGCTTCTGAGAAGCATGGGGGTAATGCGGCGGCGGCGGCTGTCTCTCAGATCGTCCTCAGCATTATTGACATCGCCGTCGCCAAGGGGTTCCGAAGTCTAGTTTCCCTAATCCACGACTCTCAAACTTTGGTGTTACCGAGTGATGTAGGGTTGATCAACGCCATCTTGCAAGCCTGTCTCTGCATCCCCGGGATGGACCAAAGCCAGACCCAGATCCTCAACATCCTGGCTACGCACGATGCGGTGCAAGCTGCGGTATCACTGTACTCGTGGTCGGACAAGTTAGCCGACCAGGGCGACCCTATCTATGGCGAGCTGTCTCTCATCTTCCTACTAGAGCTTTCTACGCTGCCGCTGGTAGCAGAACAGCTAGCGTGCGACGGTCTCCTCAACCAGATTACGTCGGCCAACCTGGCGGCCTACCTGCGGCGGCCGAACGTGTCGCCCTTCGCGGACTCGGTCGGCTCGCAGCGGTGCTACAGCATATGGGCCAAGGGGATCGTGCCGCTGCTGCTGAACATCCTGACGGCGCTGGGGGTGACGATCGCGCCGGAGGTGGCGTACGTGCTGAACCAGTTCCCGAACCTGATGCGGTCGAGCGTGGAGCGGCTGGAGGCGCCGGACGAGGGCCGGCGGCGGGGGCGGGGGGAGCGGTCGTACGTGACGCTGCTGTCGGTGTCGGAGATCCACTCGCTGGCGCTGATGACGCGGGTGCTGGCGGCGCTGCGGGCGAACAACGCGCGGGACGTGCCCGAGGTGGCGTGGGACGCGGCCGCGCTGCTCGAGAGCGTCGAGTTCTGGATCGACCGCCGCAAGCTGCTGCGCGAGAAGCTGGTGCCGCTCGGGCCGCGCGAGGCCGAGTGGAAGAGCGCGCCGCCGTCGGACCGCGCGCGCGCCCGAGGCGGCGGCGGCGGCGCTGTCGAGAGCCGGCTCGAGGAGAAGCTCGTCGAGCAGCTCGAGCTCGTCCGCGTGGTGCTGAGCGAGGGCGTGGAGTGAACGAGGTGAGGCAGAGAGGAAGAAAGATAAAGGAGAAATGATAATATAATGGCAGGCATAGACCACGGGCGCACGAAATAAATGTCATCAGTGTAGTGCAACTAACAGTGATCGATTCTAATGGTTTTGTGGGGTTTTTGGTACCTGTTCGTCTCTCTCTGATTTAGTTATCGTGACAGTGCTTCGAACGAGTTCGCCTACGCGTTCGTCTGTCTGAACAACGTTGGACTCATACAATAGTAGCAGTAGCGGTTGGAACCCTCTCTCTCCTCTCACACATGAAATTCGAGTTAAGCTCTGCAGAATTATAGACAACCAGGGGAGGCTCCCCGTCGACCAGAGCAGACGATACAAGGGGAGAGCAAAGAGAGCGACAGACAGACAGAAGCAGGACAGGGCCGGACGGGATGTAAGACGGGAGTTGAATTTAGTTCCACCAGCGCGACTCGACGCCGTCCGCCCGCATTCTATCGCACGGCGGGTCATGGGACAGCCTCTCTCTCGCCTCCTCGGTTCGTTGTATAAGGCAGGTACCATTACACCTGGGGCCCACTCCGCGCCGCCGAGTCCAGCGCCACCCGTGTCAAGCAACAAGCGCGCGCACACCGCGCATCGAGACCGGCCCGCTCTGCGGCGAGACTCGGGCGCCGAAGCTGTAGATATAGGTACACACATGTACACGCCCCCGCGTCCACCCTCCGTTCCCAGGCGGACGTAGGTAGGTAAGCCAGTTAACCAGGTTAGCTAGCTCGTCGCCGACTCCGCCCGGGCCTTCTGGAAAGTCGTTCTATGATAATACAAGCACGCGAACACGCGGGCTTTTTTTTCTTCCATCGCCGTCTTTAGCAGACGGAGGGGAAGAAGAAGCGTGTATGTATGTTCGTATATATGTAAACACGCGCAATTCTCCCTCTCTCTCTCTTGTCCTCCCCTCCCCACCTCCCCTTGCCCCTGTTTCCTTATTCTTCCCGGGCGGGGAGGGGTCCGGCGATAGCGACGAGGGCGGGGCGGGGGAAGGGGGGGCTCCATTACCGGAGGCCGCCGCCGCCCTGCTGCTGCTGCTGCTGGGTCATCTGGGCGTTGTGCTCCTGGAAGCGCTCGCTAAGACGCTGGGACAGGGCCATGTGCTTCTGGACGCAGCGGGCGACGCAGCCGCTCTCGCGCGACGACAGCGACTTGGACGTGAAGTCGTCGATGCACGACATGAAGCAGTGGTCGACGAGGTTGCTGAAGAGCTGGTTCGGTCGGAGGCGGGCGCGCGCGGACACACGGTTAGATTGGGGTCGCTGGAAAGGTTCCTTCGTTTGCGTGGGCAAAAGGGGGGGGAGAGGCAGGGGGAGGAAGAAGAAGGAAGGGAGGAGAGAGAGGGCGAGGACGTACGCCGAAGAAGACTTTCATCTGCTGCTTCTGCATGCGCTGCTCGAGCTCGCGCGACTCGGCTGCCGTCAGTCTGAGGAGGAGACGAGGGATATTAGCATGGGGGATTTGCGCGGAGGAACATTGAAGATGCTGCAGCTATATAGACGTAGCAGCGGGGAGGGGGCAGGGTAGGACAGCAGGGGCAAGCAGAGACATATCTGCTGCTGCTCCCACGGGCCCGGTCAGAGGAATTCTCTGCAGATGTCGCACATACCCGTCCATAGTGCGTGTGTTGCGTCGTAGCTAGATACCGTCCGGAAAGGGGGGCCGGGTCGTCAAGAGAAGCCAAGGGCGTGAGAGCTGGGGCTGGAGTCGGTTGTTCGCGGGTGAGGCGGCGGTAGGGATGGGGAGGGCGACGAGGGTGAGAAGACGAAGAAGAAGGTCGAGTTGCTGCTATGACGGCTTTTAGCTGGTGGTGTGGGAAAAGCTGCTACGTCGGGTTTGTACCTGGCTCTATCTGAGGTACCTACGTAGATAAGCGATAAGCAGGGCCTTTTATCTCTCCCCGGAGTATCGATAAGATATGGAGGTGTAAATCCCAGTGCAAATCACAGTGAGAAGTCGCCAGCTGGGAAGTTCTCTCGTTAGGATGAGGAAGGGACTATTTTGCTTGTCGCTGATTGGCTGCTACGATAGCTAACTAAAAGCTTTGGGGGGGGGGGAGCTTATCGATACTGATTTTTATCCATTTCCTACTTTTTTTAAATTCAAGCACTGAGTATTGCCCTTATCACCACCACCTCTCTACACCTACGCAACCTCTACCACCACTACCGAAGCAGCAACAGCGCCGTAACAGCACAATAGATCAGACGACGCTCCAGAAAAACCCCCAATCCGGCCTCCGATCCCACGAGAAGCAGCGCACGCCCCCGAGGAAGAAACAAGCCCCGCGAGACCCAAGCCCGAGAACGAGAACTGCGCCGCCACCATGCCCAAGTCGAAGCGGTCCAAGGTCGTGCACATGACCAAGGTCACCAAGAAGACGCGCGAGCACAAGGAGCGCCTGTTCGACAACATCCGCGACGCCATCGCCCAGCACCAGTACTGCTTCGTCTTCGCCGTCGACAACATGCGCAACACCTACCTCAAGGACCTGCGCCAGGAGCTGTCCGACAGCCGGTGCGTCTCCTCTTCCCCCATCTCCCTTCTCCCTTCTCCCTCCTCCTACGAACCATACAACCTCCACACACCCACACCCACACCCGCACCCGCTCTTATCCCCACAACCCCGAGCTAACCCTGCCCTCCCCCCCGCAGCTTCTTCTTCGGCAAGACGAAGCTCATGGCGCGCGCGCTGGGCCGCACGGCGGCCGACAGCGCCGCGGACGGGACGTGGGCGCTGGCGGCGCACGTGCGGGGGACGGTGGGGCTGCTGGTGACGAGCCGGGCGCCGGGGGCGGTGCTCGCGCAGCTGGGGGCAGTGCGGCGGGCGGACTTCGCGCGGGCGGGGGCGGTGGCGCCGCGGGGCTTCGCGCTGCCGCCGGGGGCGCTGCACGCGACGGGCGGCGAGGTGCCGGCGGAGCACGACGTGCCGGTGGGCCACGCGCTGGAGCCGGAGCTGCGGCGGCTCGGGCTGCCCGTGCGCATGGCGCGGGGCCGCGTCGAGCTCGACGCCCCCGCCGACGGCGCCGGCCACGTCGTCTGCCGCGCCGGCGACGTCCTCGACGCCCGCCAGACCCGCCTCCTCAAGCTCTTCGACGTCTGCCTCGCCGAGTTCCGCGTCCGCGTCGTCGCCTACTGGACCGCCGCCACCGGAGAGGTCACCCTCGTCGACCCGGACGCCGCCCCGGAGCAGCAGGACGAGGACGCGGACGAGGAGCTGGAGGACGGGAAGAGCGAGTAGGACCCCAAGGATGGCTCTTCCCCCCGAGCTTACTACGCTCTCGTCCTTTTCCCCCCTCCGAGACCCGAGATATACATACGCGCACCTACATACATGCGCTTATTTTTGTGCCTGTTTTTCCTTTTTTTTTTCCTGCGGCGATACCATCATGGGGTTTGCTGGCGTTATTAGGCGGGACGGGGGGGGAGCGGGTAAGGGTGAAACTAAAAAATAGGGAACGGATCAAGCATCTGAGAAAGATGAAGAGAAGAACAAGAAAAAAAGCACATCTTGTATTCGCCCGGGATTCTTCGCATATATGCGGCGTACGGCATCCGTTCGCGTATAGATAAGACGGATGGACGAGTCAAAAGGGGCAGGCAGACAAAGCACGAGAGAGCCGTCCGAAATTTCCGGCCACGGCGTTAGCTAAAGGGCCTCCCGAACTCCTCTTGACTATCTTACAATTAAATGACGACGCGACGACGCTGCCTACTACTGTTGCTGCTTGGGACGTTCCGTCCCCGCCCTCCCCAAGTTCGTAAAGAAGCTATTTCTGTTGCTGTGCTACACAAAACACCGTGGCTACCTGTCGTGTTCCTCTTTCTATTCTCTCTCGCATCCCCCCAACGCCTGGCCTCCCTCCCTCCCTTCTTTCCGTTGGCGAGGCAGATTCAGGTCAGTAGGCATCTCTCGTCATCTCTTACCTCCGACCTTACCTGGGGATAGAAAGAAAAAAACATGTCTCTTCTCGCCGCGTAATTACTTGTGATTTTGGCATGTCCCTCTCCGTTTGCGCAGTCATCCCCTGCGGTCATTATAGATAGAATACATGAAAAGAGGAAAAAGACTAAAGTATTACCTCGCCAATTCCGGTAGCTGATGGGGTTCCGGCAATCCAAGAGACAAGCGGGCGACGAACTACCTTGGCCACGGGAAGTGGAAGTGTTCCGGGGGATCCGGCAGGCTGGGTGGGCTAAGATGATAAGTGGTGGTATCTTGTTGTTACCTTCTGACTGATCGCCGTGGGTGGTGAAGTTGCTGTCGTCCTTCTGGGAGTCTCTCTTCCTTTTTTTTTTGTCCCCCTTCATCCCGTTACTCCCCTTGTATAGGAAGGATCTTACCCTTGCTTACCCCTTGATGTCGAAAGGCAGAAGGAAAAGTCGGGGATGCGTTGCATGAAGGCAAGGGTGCGAGGCAGATGCAGCAGAATACGGAAGACAGACGGAAGATACCCACCAAGACAAAAGGGCTTGTCTCGATAAGAAACGGCGTTTTAGTACCGTCTGAGCTTACGTGGGTCCTCGTAACCGCCTTCGTAGCCGCGCTTTCGAGTGTCGTCCTCTCTCGACCGATCGTGGTCGCGGTGTTCTCGTCCGCCACGAACCGGCTCGAAGTTGGCGCCACTTCGACGGTCGCGATCGCCGAACCTGCCTGCGTCGCGATGTCCGCCTGATCTATCATCATATGAGCGACTGCCATTGCGCGAGTCATACCCACCGCCTGGTCCATTGCGGTCACGGTCGCGGTCGCCCCCGAATCCGCCCCGACCACCAGCGTTAGGGCCGGCCGGTGCGTTGGGAGGCGCGTTGTAGCCGTTCTGCGGGCCGAAGCCGCGATCGCGGCCGGAGCCGAAGCCCCCGCCGCCACCACCGCTCCCTCGGAAGCCGCGGTCACGACCGCCCGAGCCAAAGCCTCCTCTTCCGCGGCCGCCTTGAAAGCCGCCGCGGAACCCGTCACGTCCTCCAAAGCCATATCCGGGTCCCCTGGGTTGAGGGGGCGCTGCTTTTGAGTATCCACGGCCACCCAAGCCGCCGCCAAAGCGACGAGGCTTCCAGCCCTTAACTGTTCGGCCTCTTTCAACATCTACCTTGATGTGACGATCCTTGATGCGGATGCCATCACAACCATCTAGAGCAGCTAGTCACACATGCGCGACGACGCGCTTTTGTCAGTAAAGCCTTACCAATATATCATACCTCGTTCTAAGCGGGAAGAATTTTGGGGGAGAAGCGGAGATGGAGGAGAGAGATAGGCAAGCTTGAGGGCCAGAATCTCGAGTGAGAGACATGGGTGAAGCGGATCCGACGGATCGAGATGGATTTATCTGGGAAGAATCAATGGCAATATTACCTCTCATGTCTTTCTCACGCTCGAAAACAACAAAGGCATATCCGCGATGAGGCTTCTTCTTCTTATTTGGCTTTTCGTGGGCGTGGGTATCAGTGACAATCCGGATCTAGATATGCGGAATTAGCACGGGTCCTAGGCGAGGTGCGGCGCGGCGCGGCTTAGGGAGATACGATCAAAAGGGTTTATCACATACGCGTTCAATAGGGCCAAAGCGCCCAAATTCCTTCTCGAGGTCATGCTCGTTGGCCTCGTAGCTCAGTCGCGCGACAATCAACGTCTTAAAAGGGTCGCCACGGATGTTCTGGTCGTCGTTAGGCGCATCTATGGCAGTCGTTAGCTGGGCACAGACACCACAACGAACTCGGCTAGTGAAAAGTTCTAGATGGGAAGCGGTGCAGGAGACGCGGCAACGAACAGTGCAATGGGCCTTCGGTGAGCAGCTTCTCCTGCTGCGCCTGCTTCTCCCGCTTCTTCCTGTCGCGCATCTCTAACCAGCTCTCGGTAGGGACGAACCCATCGTTGTCCCTGTAGGCCGCGAGAGCTGGCAGATAGCCAGCGACGGCAGAGATGGTGTGGGTCTTGCGCTGTTCGGGGGGAAAGTCGAGAGCGGGCACCCATCGCAAGGGGGGCCGCGGCGCGAACAGGGCCAGCAGGTTAGGAGGAAGCTTGTCCGTCATGATGGCGTCGAATCGCGCGGCGGTACGGACGGAGGAGGATTGCTATCAACAGCGAAAGAAAGCAGAGAGTCGACTCTGGGAGTGGAAGCTTGTATTAGGGGAGATGAGGGGGGGATCGGAGTATGCGACTCGAAGGAGGAGGGGGGGATACTCTCGAGAGTTTTGTTGATGGATGGATGAAAGGAAAAAGACAGGAGTATAATGATGTGTCGCGTCCTTGCTGGGTCGAGGAGATTGTTGGAAAGCTGGAGGTGCAATTGGACCTCGACCACCTTTTTCCAGCAGGTAACCCCGAAGGTACGTAGTACATCGACGCCCTGTGCGCTTTTCACACAGGTCCCCGGAGCGCTAGCCCAAATTGGTTCTAGTCCGACATATAACCGAGTCGGAATTAGGAGAAGGGGCGACCCAATCAGGGCCCATCGCAGCCTCCTTCCCTGAACATCGGGTGGAGGAAGTACCTGGACATCGTAGGCGGTACCTACTCACTCTAATGTGTGCATATCGGACGGCAGGTACCTACCTAGGTACCTATGTGCACGCCAGCCGTACCGCTTACCTAATTCTACACATTAGCTGAGCCCGTCCAAGGGGAGATCGATTTGCGGGAGATCGATAGATGGATCTGCATACCTATGTCTAGATCCCTAATACTCTGTGTCCATCCCGAGGACCTGACAAATCGCCCATCGTGCCCCGAAACCCCCGGACAGCGGAAAACAGAGACGCCCGACGTGGTCAAGTCGACTCGAAGGGCGCAATCATGACGATCAGGGCGATCGAGAAGGTCTCCGTGGGCCGGGTACGTGCGACGGCGGCGGCGGCGGCGGCTAGAGATGCTCGAGTCCCCCCAGCTAACATGACCCAGAACGGCGTCGGCGCCTTCATTCTCCAGTGCAAGAGGATAGAAATCCTCTACTGCGACTATTCCGGGAGCTCGCGGGGAATGAAGTAAGACCTTCCTCCTTCCCCTTCCCCGCTTGACGTTCGAGAGCACGCCGTCCTGACAACAGCGTCTGCGCCCCCGCAGCTCCTTCATCAAGTCGCAGCTCTACAAGTTCGCCTCGTTGCACCCGCAGATCGAGTTCGCGGTGTCGCCGCGCCCGCGGAAGCACCCGGTCATCACTGGCTACTACATCAACGGCGCGACCAAGTCCATATGCGTCAAGAACCTGGACTCGCTCCAGATCCTGAAGAAGATGCAGTCCCTGCGCGACGCAAGCGGCGAGAAGGTCAAGAGGGTCAACAAGCCCGTCACGAGTATCAACGAGAGCGTGAGAGGCATCTGGAGTCCTTTCCACGGCCCTGGCATGCAGGTATGATGGGGCTGCGGTTGGGAACGGGAGCATCGTCCCCTGTACGACTGCGGCTGGCCCCTAGACGGCCACCAAGACGTAGAAAGACGCAATGAAGAAAAAAAATAACAGTAAAAGTACTCCATACCACTGTGTCCTGGGACCCGGTGTTCATCAGTTTCAAGAATCACGACGCAACTTTCCCCTCGCTTACTATCAATTATAGTATTCAGGTAGTGGTGAGAATATCCCTAGTACCGGAAGTAAACCCCCATTCTTATAGAGGCTCCGCATGGAGACGAAGGAAGCTAAATGAGAGGGGATATTTCAATTCACTTCCGTGTCTCGCCTTCGTTTCCCCCCCCCCCCCCTCCCTGAGACTGGCTTACGCAGATGAATTCCTCAAACGTCCGCTTTCCCTGCTTTCTCATGACTTACAGTTGATGATGTCGACGACTGTGGTCTCGTTAGCATCGTTGTTACGTAGTGCGAAATCAACAGCTCGTGATAAGCGGCGCACGCCGATTGGGGGGACGCTCACAGGCAGGCTTGAGGCTGGCACCGCCGACGAGGAAGCCATCTATGTCCTTCTCCTTGCTGAGGTCCTTGCAGTTCTTCTCGGAGACGCTGCCGCCGTATAGGATCCTGGTCTCGTCCGCGACGGCCTGGCTCACCTCCTTGGCCAACCAGGCGCGGATGGACGCGTGTACCTCCTGGGCCTGCTCGGTGGTTGCAACCTTGCCGGTGCCGATGGCCCAGATGGGCTCGTACGCGATGACGATCTTGCTCCAGTCCGAGATCTGGGCCTTGAGGGCAGAGAGCTGAGCGGCGATGACGTCGAGGGTCTTACCGGCCTCGCGCTGGTCCAGGCTCTCACCGCAGCACCAGATGACGCTGATGCCGTTCGCGGTGGCATACTTGGTCTTGGAGGCGACGGTCTCGTCGCTCTCGGCCAGGATGGTCCGCCGTTCGGAGTGGCCTAGGATGACCCAGTCGATGCCGATGTCCTTGAGCTGCTGGACGGAGATCTCGCCGGTGAAGGCGCCGTTGGGCTTGTCAAAGACGTTCTGCGCCGCGACACCGATCTCCTTCTTGACTTGTTCTCGGACGAGGGGGAGGTAGAGGGCCGGAGGGGCTATGACGGTCTCTGGCGGTGCGGATTTGTTTAGTAAAAATCACCATCGCGACAAGAGAGGAAGAGAGAAGCAATATCGTAAACCACAGAGGCAGGTCCGGACATAGTATGGGGGGTTGGCTCACCAACATTGGGGTCCAGCTGAGCCTTGTTCAGGTTGTCGACGATCTCCTTGATAGACGAGACAGTCCCGTTCCTAAACAAGCGATGTGACAAGCGCCTAGTTAGCTTCTGCGGCCCCTTGGATTTCGGTCTCGGGCGGGAGTATGTGGCAGGTAGGTATTATATGTGTCGAGTCCCGAGACACGCGTAGCTGACCTACGCGGGTTGCGGGGGCGTGGGTGGGCAGGTATAGAGGGGCCCTACATCTTGAAGTTGCCGCCGACGAAGAACTTGCGAGCCATGTTGGGCAACTGGTCTCAACTCGGTATGCAAGTGGGATGGTTCTAGTTAGTCGGAGAGAGTGTTGGGCGTGGATGTTGAACAGAGGAGGAAAGGGGCGGGATTATAGGTGAGTTTATAGGGACCTCAGGTAGAGATGATTTACCTACCATAGAAAATAGCGCGGGGGGAGGGGGAGCTTGGGGGAGGTCCCGGTACCCAATAGACGGCCGCCAATGTGGGATGTTGGACGGGATCGAGCCTTTGCCTTCGAGAAGACCCGGGATGGCAAGTTATCGGGTGTGACCTGCTGGTGTTACGTGGCGGGTAACAAACGGATGATGGCGTATCTACCTAGGCTCTGGGCTGGCTAATGGTGAATCATCAACCCCCGCCAAACACCTCTGTTACCTGCCATGTTACTCAGCCTGGACGGATGGTGGGGAGGGTATGGTATAAAATTCTTGCAATGCGGTACAGGTACCTCCTACTTGCTCCTACTTTACCCAGGGTAACCGAGGCCATCGTCAAGCCCGTCCAGGTTCACCACCACCATCTATTACAGGTACCTAACCCGCTACGCACCTCCCAGCTCCTCGGCACAGATTTGCCCCCATTACACCCTCCATTTCCCCGTCCGAAGCCTTACCTAGGTATCTTGAGGTCTCTACGCAGCTACACCATTAAAAGCTGGAAGGCTCGCATTAAGGTACCGAACCCGAGGCAGCTCTGAACCCAAGGCGTAGCGCGCTGGACCTACCAATACCTACATACCCGCAATAAGAGAATACCTGCGTGCAGAATATACCTAGGTAGAGCGCCATGCAGTGAGGATACCTAGCTTACTTCTCCACACTAGAATCGTCTCTCCCCCCTCTGAATCAGACTCGAGTCACTCTCAAAGCTATCCGGTGAGTATGACTCTCGGTACCGTCTGTCGCCATCCCTCGTGCGCGACGGCGTGTCACGGCCAAACGGATCCCCATCGAGCACCGAGCCGTCCTGCGTGAGATCTTCCATATCTCTGTGCCGGCGCTGATGACTAGTCGTGTCCTGCGAGGCTGTCCCGTAGCCATCTTCGTCGTTGAGCGTCATGTCGCTCAAACGCATTATCTCGTCGTCGAGACCCCTCCCGTGATGGTACCTCTGGCGCGCAGGGCTAGTCATCTGCCATGCGTGTCGGGCTGTCGGCGGCTCCGTCGTATGGGCGACAGGTTGTGGCCTATGCCACGGGTGTCGTGCCTTGTCGAGGACATGTTGTTGCGCAGTCCAGGCATCGTCCCTCCCACCACGACGGCCCGCTAGACGGGCGCCGTCGTAAAATCGGGCTCCCTCGAGAGCCGGCACCGGCGGAACCCCTGACTGTCGTTTGAGGAACGGGTTTTGCTCGCGACCGGAGTGCTGTTCGAGGAATCCCCTCGCAGGTTGGTTCCCCTCGTATCTTTCGCTGGTATCTCTAGTTGGTATGCCGCCATTGCTACGATCCAAAGCATGGTTTATATCGTCCGGTCGGGGGCCTCCAGGATACGGCACGGGGGGCAACGGGCCGCCGCCGCCGCTTCTGCCTGCATTCGACCCTAACACCAGTCCACCCCTCGGAAATTCGCGGCCCGGTGGTGGGCCCGGATTCCGGCGAATGGTTAGATCGTACTGTGGCAAGGCGCCTCTCCTATTTGCCTGATAGAGTGACAGGATATCAACGTTCGCCCTAGGCACCCGCTTGAAATAAGCAGTGAGCGAGATTCTCTCGTATGTCCTTTTCTTGGCCCCGCCCCTCCGTGAGTGGGATCGTCTCTCGGACGACTTGTGTCGCCCTCGGTGTGATGAGTGGCGCCCTCCTAGGGCAGCGGTATGATGGCGAATCTCTCTGAGCTGATGATCTAGTTGAGCGAGGACCCAATGATAGCTCATCGGGTCCGGGTTATGTGGGGCGAGATGCTCTTGTGCCCGGTCGACCTGGCGCTGGAGGATGGGGTTTAAGGACTTCAACTTGTCACCCAGAGTCGCCGAATACTGGTTCAAGCGTAGGATCTGGCGAGCTATCTCTCCCGGTGACATGCCGCGAACCCGAGTCCTGATAGCCCTCTCCCAAGTGGCGGGTTGAGACTTGCCCTCGTCGTCGTGTCCGCCCTGTCCCGGCATCTTGTCGAATCGGAAGACGGCATACTCCGTGAGCTCCTCCCTCATGTCGTCCAGAGTTAAGAGATCGTGGCTCACGTCCGAGATCTCGACAGTGGGACCTCCGATCAAATCTAGGGGAAGCCCAGCGTGTAGAGCAGCCATCGTTGCACCCGTAGCGGCTACTGATACTGGGTGTGCGCCTCGCCTGGGAAGAAGCCCGGTTGCTTGGGGTGGATGGGTCGCGCTGGGGGGGAAGATTCTTTGACTCTGAGTCATCATGAAAGACACTTAAAGTGTATTGTGGCAAGCCATGCAGGAAAGGGGATCGAGGCGGGGAAGATGCAGCCCAACACGTAGTGACACCGACGATATTTTGTGTGACGTTTCGAAACGTAGGGCTAGACGGGAAAGCTGCGGCTTTCAGAGCAGCACAGTTCGTAAAACGATCGTCAAACACTGGATAATTCCAGGAGGAGACAAGAGACGATAGCAGGTATAATATAAGGCCTATCGAGAAAGGGACGGCGGGAGTATAGCCACGAGGGGAGAGAAACCTTGCGAATTTATAAAGCTAATATGAAGCGGGATATGCTCTAATCCCCATTACCTACAGCTCCCCGAACTCGTTCCCGCGTAGGAGGTGAGTAAGTGAGGCTGGCGAGAACACCTCGCGCACCCATCTCTCTCTCCCTTTCCTCTCCCTCTCCCTCCCTCTCTCTCTCTCTCTCTCTCGCTTGCCCTACCGCCAAGCCAACCCGTAGAAGAGTCGTCCACACCGATACACTTCCAGCCGTCGGCCGCTGCTCGACCTAATGCAGCCGTTTCCGCGACTCGCGACGCTGGCGGATTCCTGCGACTCCCCTTGCCTGCACGCTCCACGGCGACAAGTTCGCCTGCCCGCCTGCTCGACGTAGGGCTTTGCGCGAAGCAAGTTGCAATCCCCTCTCTCCCCTCCCGCCGCCTGCCTCGCCGTCTCTGCCTTGCCGCCGGTCTCCGACGCGCGCCGTCAGCTGATCGATAGGTGCGTAGGCTGGTAGTCCGCCCTGTTTTCCCGACCTCTTATCTCCTCTTCCTGCGCCCTCCCTCTTAGTGCTGGTTAGGGGGTGCGCTAGGTCGGCCATTGTGAAAAGGCGGGGGAGGGGGGGGGAGGGTGTTCGTGGTAGATAAGGCAGAGGGAGGGGTGGACGCAGGTAGGAGGCGAGCATGTGTAGGTAATGTGAGCCGCGCGCAGGCTGGGACGAAGGATCGAAGGCGCAGCAGCGCGGACGGCTCGCGGGGAAGAGGGAGGGGAGGGTGTGGCAGCTGGGTCGACGACCCCACCACACACGTCGCCGGTCAGCATCGCGGTCCCTGCGCACCGCCATCCTGCGAGTCCAGGTGAGGCGGGCGGCCGCGCGGACGGGTACGTCGGTGCTGGACCGGTCGCGCGAGCTCACCGACCCACGTGTTTCCGCGAGGCGAGCGCCTGCGGCGTAGGAGTGTCGGCGAGAGGGTGCGGGACGCTAGGCTCTGGGTTTGGGGCTGGGGCTGGATGGGTGGGCGCGTGTGGGCGTACGTTGGGGTGGTGGTGGTGTTGGTGGTCTAGGACTAGGGACCAACATGTACGTGTGCATGCGCATGCGGGCGCCGTGTAGGGCCAGGCAATAGGGAGGTGGGAGCCTTGCCTGGGGACTGATGTTACCTATTATCAGACTGGGCTGGATAGGGATGCGTTTACAGGGGGGGTTGCCGATCGTCTTTGAGAGACAGAGAGGGGGAGTATTTGGGGCATGATATCTATTAGGTAACTCCAGCCCGGTTCAGCAGAGACGTAGGACGATCTCGATGGCTGATGACTGATAGGCATCTCACCGTGCTATGATAAATCGGTCACCGAGTCGCCGCGTTCGCCCGCCCGGGTTCTGATTCCTGTGGAATTTCTGGGGAGACTTGTTTCGTTGAAGACGTAGACGGTATTATATTGGGTATTAAGCAACGAACAAGGCCGGTTGAGTTATCCCGGGCAAGTCATTTCCTCGCCTCTACGAGTCCGGGAAGGACTTTGGGGGCGTAGGAGTGAAGGTAAGAGACGGGGTGAGTAATTCGGCAGCGTGGAGGTGCGTAAGATTTATTGTAGGTTCAGAGAGTATTACTGGGCATGTTGTAATGTTAATGTACTTACCTATATTCGTATAACAGGTAGCTTCTTGCGATCACCGACGTAGAGTGATCTGTAAGCAATTCTTCTCTGGACTTATACTATTACCTACTACTCCCGAAGAGCAGCGTATAGTCCATCCCGGGCGTGTTATAGCGAGAGACATGCATAACTACGTACTAGACCTATGCGTTTAATGGAACTCAGCGGGTTACCAAACCGGCAACTCACGCGTGTTACCTCTAGCCAACTTCCGTTACCTGCGTGTGTCCCATCTGCTATAGAAAGGCAGGAGCGGCGCGCTGTCTCGGGACGTATTATTCTATGCCTAGATATTACCCGAATACCCCGTCGTCCTCTCTGTTGCACCCACGGAGAAAAAACAACTTTCCTCACCTACGAGGCTACGCCGTTAAAGCCACCTCTTCCCTTCGTACACCAAGAAACACTCGCGCTCACGCCCACCCACAAGATCCTTGACCTAGATCGTGACGGTGTCGCGATCGATCAATCGGTCCTTATCTGCCGACACCACTCGACCCCACCACGCATTCTGAACGGAAGCACCTCGTGGGCATCTCTCTAGCTCTCGAGGCTGCAACTGCTACTCATCCCGAACCTCCTCTTCCTCGCCGTGGGCCGATATAAACCTCCCAGGCCGCCCCCCCTATTAATCAGCACGGGCTTCTACGAATTCAGCAACGGAAATTGTAGTAGGTATATGGTTGTATTGATCCCTCTGTTACGAGCGCGACGAAAAAAGAAACTCTCGGCCCATTACGTCCGAAGTGGTATATGCTATGCCAGCCACCTAATCTATGCCGTGCCGTACCGTGCCGTGCCGTCCTGCCTCAACAGCAGCATCCTAAAACCTAGATGCTGGTAACTCTATTATAGGTACACCGCGCGCGTCCTTCGCTGCGCGACCGGGGCGGGAGGTTGGGTGAAGCCCTCTATGCCTCCTCGCCGTTGTTGGCGAGAAGGTTGGCGGTGTTGCGGGGGACGTTGGAGATGGCACCGGAGAGGGCGCTCTGCGCGATGAAGCTGCAGAGGTCTTCGACCGGCGCCGCGTCGAGGCCGAGGTAGTAGGCCCCGAGGCCAGCGATGTGCGGGCTCGCCATCGAGGTGCCGGAGATGGTGTTCTGCGAGATCCATGTTGTTAGCAAGGGGGTACCGGCAACAGCAGCGGCAGCCGCGGGAATAGGGAGGGGTTGGAGGGGGGCCTACGGTAGTGCCATCGTTCCAGGTGCTCTCGATGTCGCTTCCCGGGGCGAGGATGTCGACGACGCTGCCGTAGTTGGAGTATTCGGCAAGCTCATCGTCGATGGTGGTGGCGCCGACAGTGCAGGCCGACTCCTCGGAGGCGGGTGACGAGGACGATGCGTCGGTGGCCTCGTTTCCGGCGGCGACGGCGAGGAACAGGCCGGCGTCGACGATGCTGGCCGCGGCCTGGTTCACCGCCCTCGAGGTCGCGCCGCCGAGCGACATGTTGACAACGACGCCCTTGGGGCAGTCCTGGCTCTCGGCGTCCTGGGCGACGAAGTCCATGCCAGCAATAACACCGGAGCTGTTGGTTCCCTAGTCAGCGAGCTGCGAATTCCAAAGCCTACGCCGAGCGTGGAGAAGATGGGCGACATACTTGGTGCCTGAGCCGTTGGCGTCGAGAACCTTGACGGCGAAGAGAGTGGTCTTCTTGGCAACTCCGTAGGTCTTGGAGCCGATGGTGCCGGCAACGTGGGTGCCGTGGCCGTTGCCGTCGGTGTCGTCGTCGTCATCGGCGAAGTTGGCCAGGAACGTGGCACGGCCCTCGAACTCCTGGTTGAAAACGTTAGTTGGATTACGGACGCCAACGGAAAGCAGTGCTCTTCCACTGCGTACCTCGTGCTCGGTGTAGATGCCCGTGTCGATGACGTAGGCGCAAGTACCCTCGCCGGCGCTGTCGTCGTAGGTGTAGGTGGTGGTGCCAGGCTCGGAGCTCGACAAGCGAGAAAGACCCCAGTCGGCGTTTTCCTGGGTAGCCAGGATGGTGACGACGGCATCCTGCTCGATGTAGTCGACCTACAGGCAACAGGTTATTAGCATCGCTCAGCTGCGCCAGAGAAAGATGCCCGTTAGCTGTCTGGCAGGCTTACATCGTCGTTGTTCTGCAGGGTCTCGACCTCCTCGGGAGACAGGCTGGAAGCGAAGCCCCTGAACTTGTTGGAGTTGTAGACGAAGTCGGCGTTGGTGGCGAAGGACTGGATTGAGCTCTGGACAGACGCGTCGTCCGCCTCGGCCTTCATCTTGATGATATACTTGCCCTCAATGACCTGGGCGCCCCGGGGCCTCAAAATTGGCGCGGGCTGGGCACGCTTCGAGGGAGCGGCCAGAGCCAGAGGCAGCAAGGCGAGGAGGGTAGCGGACAGCATTTTGGCAGGGCGTGCGCGAAGATGATGGGTCGTGGTGATAGGCTTAGGACGGACGAGATATCTTGGAAGCGGAGTCCTCTTGACGGTGCGGCTGTCCGGGTGTGGGATGGTGAGAGCATGAGAGAACTAAGGGGGAAGAAAGGCCAACCTTTTATAATCCTGATCGTGGCCGTTTCGACAACCAGAAGGCTATGCTGCGCAGGCAGCACGGGAGACAGACCTCAGCTGCGATGCCATGATACTATTCATGATAGCTGATCCCTACCGGGAATAGCACCTGGTTGGTGGACAAGTCTACCGGCGGCCAGTAACATGTGAGCGCCTCACGCGCAGTCACAGCGGAGAGGGTAATGGGCAAGGTAACGGTGTCAAGCAGGCGACAGAATTTCTTGTTGGAGACGGCCAATCCGACGTGTATGGCGAGTGCCGATCGCAGGAGGACCTCCTAGAACGGGCTTGGTCGTTCTCATTCGCCGGAGACGAGAACACACTTTCGTCCTTCAATCAGATCCCAGATCGGCCAGGAGCCAGTCGTGCTACCGTGGCCGACGAGTTGTCATCGGGATGGTGCCATTTGAGACCTGGGGGATGCAGATTCACTCAGGTGCCGCGAAATTAGGGGCAACGTTTTTGGATCGACGGGATGACCAATGGCAGCGGGATGGCGGCGAGGGCCAAGCTTCGTGGAAGAAGCCCGGTCGATTGTCCAGCAGGTTAGTGCCGATCAATGGTCAGCCTCGGCCGGGGGTCTCAGAGTGGACAGGGAAACGGCCTTCCTTATCGGGAACACAATGCCGGCAGAGACGGAGAGCGTGTGAGGGCGAGTGGTAAGACGGGTGCGAGTGGATATCTCGCTGGATATCTCCGAGATGTAGGAGGTGTGCGAGATGCAGGACACGGCGAGCCCATATGGGGGGACACGTCCTAACCACGAACAACGAGCCTGGCATCCGGGCGCGCCTACATACATGAAGGTGACGGACGATAAGCGGCAGCATGCCTACTATTTGCGATACCGCATACATCACACATCATGCCCATCTACCTATCACACGCGGCTCACGATAGCTGCCGCCCAGGGTTGCAGGACGGAATAATCCCAATACTGCTGTTACCTCGGGGGAACGTTCATATGTGGAACAGGGGTTTGAGAGGGTGAAGAAATGCGCAGCAAGTTGCGACACCCATCCCGCACATGATACCGAGAGGACGCGGAATGTGACTGTTTCATTACATCTGCTGGGAAATACCAAGGCGCGTCTACATCAACCGCACGCACGCACAGCTTCGCCCGCTGCCTTGGGGGAAGTCGTGAATGTCTCTCTCTTATCGCTGATGTATGGTGGCCCTCGGGATGGCCTTGCCCGTCGCCTCTCTCCGCCGAATTTTTTCCCCTCCTTCTTTTCCCTTTCCCTCATCTATGGCTTCGGAAAAGAGGTAGAGAGATAGAGGGGGGAAGAGGGTGAGAAGGGCCCCTTTTCCCCCCACATCGTCAACCCCCCTACCCCTACTCCCTCTTCCCCCTGGCCATCTTATCCTCCCACCGTCACGACAGATGCAGCAGAACCCCTGTAGCTGTTCGCGAATCCGCAGCCAACCCCGGTCTACGGGATGTCGGCGGCGACCGGATTCCCCCCCAGCCCTCCTACTTTAAATCACTTGCGCAAGTTTCCCGCCGGCTTGTTTTGCATATATTCCTATATACAGTTAAACCGGATTCGAAACCTGATAACACATGGAATATACATATAAATAGTTATGGAGTGGCGTAGCATGCTATTCCCTCCACCGGCGACATACGATGATATATTATTATCTACCTGTTCTAGCCTTTACTCTTCGTTATTGTCTTTTCATCTTATCTCTTTAAGATTCTCTCTTCGGTGTTTCCGCTGCAACCTAGAGTATCGGCATCTCCATCTCCACCTCGATGAGTAAGTACATTTATCTAGAGACTCATATAATTAGATGCAGGGACACACGTAATCCCGCAACCCGCAACCCGCAACCATGTCGTGTCATGTGCGGGCCGTAGCTCCTTTTATGTGGGCGCAGACGGGGGAGGGAGAGTGAGACGGAAAAGATAGACAAGGTGCTCCAGCGGTGATCGTCGATCATTTTTGCTTTTTTCAACCCCGCGAGGGCAGCCGGCCCAGCAAAAAAAAAAACCCCCCGTGATGAGTTCGTTGTCAGCGATCGGGGCCCTAGGTGCTCGACCACTTCGACAACCCGTCCTCCACCCCCCCGACCCAGCCTGTGCAAATCCCCCCCGGATGCGGCAAGTAACAGAGAGGTCCAGCAGCCGCTACGTCTCCTTCACCTGCTCAGTGCGGAAACCCCGAGCGGACGTCCTCGCGCAGCGGGCGCGGGCGCGGCGCTACTCCTGGGCGTCCGCGCCGCCGCGAGCCAGTTCCACTCGCCTTTCACTCCAGCCTCGGTATTTCCCTCTCGTTCTATTTCTCTCTCCCTATCTCTCTCTCTCTCTCTCTCTCTCTCTCTCGCCGATCTCTCGCGTAGTATCGGACGGATAGGCAGGTAGACAGGTACAGGACCGGCGACCGATACGAGCAGCCGCTCGACCGACCCGACCGACCTTCCCTCCACAGGTTGGCGCGCGTATGACGACGGAGGAAGAAAGGAGGACCAGGCGCGAAGGCCTCGCGCCGGGCCCCTACGAACCCCGTACCAAGGGGATGGGCGCGTCGGTGGCGTAGAGAATCGATGGATGGGCGGGTGAATGAGTGAATGAATGCTCTCCTGTCAGTGCCGGACACCGCCGTAATCCTTCTGAGGCTCGGCCGGCCTCTCTCTCTCTCTCTATGTGTGTGTGTCACTCTCCTTCGATAGGGACTCGCCGTCACACGGGAGTAAGCGGCTCTTGCCGTGGCGGGAATTTGCTTATTTGCCCGCCGGCAGGCTTCGTCCCACGAGCCGCCATACAGAGAGACGTCGGCGCTTTTGTGGCGTCAACGTCGCTATCCCGCACGTGCGGAAAAGACGTAGGTAATACACGTCCTGATTACTAGCTGCTGAGTCGCCCTGGGTGTACGTATACGTATGTGCGTACGTATCTACATACGTGTCTGCCTAGGTACACACCACACGTACGTACATGCTGCATAGGATACCCCCTGCAGTGGCTGAGAAGCCGATCCTCTGGGGGGGGGCGGTGCCTGGCCTACGATGGGACGGTTGTCCCCGTCACGTTTGATCCCGCGGCATCCGCGATCGCGCAGGGACTGGGGCCTGCTACGGGGGCCTGGCTGAGGCGGTAGGAGGGGGGGCGACGTGGACGCGGCGGTTGGGCGAGCATGATGCTGCCCGCGCCGGGGGATCGAGACGGGATAAAGAAATACCTAGTCTACCTGCCTAGGGCGAGTAGATGTGGATAAGTACGTACGTTATGGTGTCCCGTTCTGTGCGGACGCTGCTCTACTTCGGAAGTGCCCCCCCTACCCCTTGTGGGAAGGGCTGTCGCTGGTGCGAGGAAGAGGCAGATCGGAGGTCGAGACAGACTGATGTCTGCGTAGGCCCCTGTGACTCCCGGAGGGGGAGGTGACGCCGCTACTTCGCACTGCTCAGAAGATCCCCTCGGGCGGAAATGCTCGGCTGGGCTGAGGCGTAGGTATTATGCCGCCGTTACCGCTGGAATGGCGTCGCCGCCGCCGCGCCCAGAGGGACCAGCTTGATGTCTGGCTGCCAGAGAACGAGGCGGCGTGGATGGGGTGAGAGGTGGCGGTATCGTGAGATGGTGCACTCGCCCCTTTCTCTCTACATACCCCTACGATTTGCATCCCAGGTTCTTGCCGCAACGCAGGGCATCCGAGGCCTAGCTCGCAGCTCGCCGTCTCACAACTAAATAGTATCTACTAGGTAAGCATCGTACTAAAAGGACCTCGCCGGCTGGCTTAGCGGCCAGGAGCGTCTCTCGGCCGCTAGGTAAGCCACCTATCCGCCTTGCGCCGGGGCGGCTCTTCCCGCCTCGCAAAACGCCCCGAGAGCTACCTATAGCCTAGCGCGCCCGCTCGTTCGCATGCCTCGAGGGTGTAGGACCGGTGCACGGGGTATGGCCGTCTCGACAGACGCCACACGCTACTTGCCCCCAGCTCCGCGGCCGGCGGGAATCACTGGATCTAGATGCTGCGAGAGCCTCGTGCCCGCCCGACGCGTCCGGAAACGCCGTGTGCTTTGTTGTCGGAGCTCTCTTTGGACTGCCGCTTCTAGCCGCACAAATAGAAGGCGCCGTATGCGAACTCCAGCGGGGTCTCGGTTGTTTGGATAGGGTCGGGTGTCCGCCTTCGCGGTGGTGTGCCGTTGTCTCCCTCCCCCCTGCCCCCCGGTTACGAGCCTTCGGTCGTTGTTAGCCCCTCGGAATCGGCGGGCCATGGCTACTCCTAGGTAAGCTAGTACGGGCAACAGCTTCGAGCGCGAGTCCCCGCCCTGGCCCTTGGCGTTTTATTTTTCTCTCTTTTTTTACACGCCTTATATGGTGTCCATGAGCATGGCGAGACCTGTAACCCACTAGCCCCAGCCCGACCGCGGGAGAGACGGCCACAGGGCGGCGATATGCCTGCCCGCCTGTGCCCCCCAGGACGAGGGTTGGGGCGAAAGGAAAGGGGGTAAGGGGCTTGTCCGATTCGCCTATAAGACGTGCTCGACGAGAAGCTCTACGCCCCGCAGGCGGCAAGTTCTGGAGCCGCGAGATCTGGCGCGAGGTATCGATGGTTGTGTCGTGGTGGGCGGTTCGCTCTCTCGTCTCGTTTGCCGCCTTCTTCGGTCCTCCCTACGAAGAGAATCAGCCGCGGCGCTGGGTTCGATTCGTTCAATATCAAGAACTCGAGCCGTATACGGCTTGGCGCACGCCCTTAACATCCAAGTTACTCACTCGGATTATCACATATGCATACGCCCCCAGTGGCCCTTTAGCTAGAAGCTACTCCTACAGGAGAGCAACCTAGCTCACCCAAGTCCGTCAAGTGCAGGTATATTTCTCTCTTTTCTTCCTTCTCGTTATCTAGATAGCCAGTCAGTAAATGTCGTTTATCTGGTTTCAACCCACTGCTTGCTCCACGCGTAACCCTTCAGTCAACACGTTGCTTATAAATAGCTACGTAACGCAGATAAAGTCAAACAAGCCAGCTTTTATTAACTAAATAGGATTCTCTATACAGACGAAACGACTACGCTAGTGCCGAGACGTCTGGCCGACGATGTAACTCACAACACGTCTTAAGGGGCCATTACTTTGGTGAGCTATAAACTTAGTTAGCTACGGTAATATTAACGACGATGCGGATCCGGGGTGCGTGCCTTGGATTGATGCCCTAGAAGCTCGGGTCGTCGAGGAAGCCGGCATCGATGCACTGCCGCCGCTCTCCGAACGACAGCCTCTCGCCGGCGCAGTCTTCCGCAGTCGGGTCGTTAGGGAACCTCCTAGTCAGCTCGGCGATGATGGCGGGGTCGAGGCCGAAGGCGCGAGCGAGCATATCCTGAAGAGCGGTGGTGGTAGGCGCGGCCGCATCGCCGTCGGCGTTCGCGATGACACGCTGGCTGAGCGTTAGCGTGGTGTCTCGCTGAGAAAAGGGCGAGCTTGGCATGATCGCGCCGCGGGGTCGGAAAGATGGGGGGGACTTACAGCAGGAGCGGCCAGCACAGCGGTGCTGCCGAGGAAGAAGGCGACGAAGGCGGAGATCTGCATGTTGGAAGATTGGGCGGAGAAGGCGTTGTCCGGCAACAAAAGGTAAGTCGAAGGTCTGAATAGAGAGAAGAAGAGAATGGTGACCTGAGTGCAGAACCAGCTTGACCCGAAACATGCCAATGTCAGCGGCCGATAGCTAGGTATTTATTCATTTCCCGGCATACGAAGTCGCCCAGCGGAGCGTCTTATGATGGTAACCTCTTCGCTGAACCGCGAGGTGCTTTGAAGATGGAGACTGAAGCGAGAGTAGGTATCGCTTGTCAGCGGTTGCGATCGCACCAAGCGCCTTGGCGCGGCCGTGTTAGCCGTGGGAGCTGTGAGAATTGGGGTAATCAGCCGATAGGGGGCAGCGATCGGCGCGAGACGTCAATGATTCGATCTCCTGCCAAGGTGTGTCACCGACGCGATAGAAGCCATCGTGGAACATTCTGTCGGGGCGTTTGCCGTGTCTATCGATGGTCGTGCCCCTTCACGACGGACGGTGTCTCTCGCTGCGGGGCGCGTTTCTAAAGAGCTTCATAACTCGTCTCGGCGAGCTAGGTATCCTCTGAAACGCCTTCGCGCCCAGGGTAGAGCTAGGATCGTCGCGCTCAACTCCCCTAACCCGGGTCGACTTATGCGCAACATTTGGCGGCTCTGCTTCCTGCCCCCTCTCCGTCGAGTCCTAGAGAAGGCTACTGGCTTCCATTGCTCACCGGGGTCTGGGTCGGCCTACGGAGCAGATCCCATCGTCGTATCGCAGCCGACAGCGACCTAGCCAGATCCGACCTTGCGTCTCTGTTTAGCACGGCGGGAAACCTTGTCGCCCTCGGTCCAGCAGCAGCGCAGGCAATAGAGAAGGTAGGTAGGTAGGTGGGTAGGTATGCAATGCTAGACAGGCCGTGTCATGCCTTGGAGCTTGGGATTGCCTACTCATACTTACCTCCCTGTAGAAAAGCACGTGCGTTACATATTCCTGGCGGTATTGGCATTATGGCAGCAAAAATAAGGGAGTAGTGTGCTGGCGATGTAGAAGGGATGTGGTTTTATTTTGGTATCAGAGGAGCGTCTGACGCCAGTTTTCATCTCCTTGTCGAATCCGACTACGTCAAGCCCAAGCTAAGGCTAAAGCTTCCAGATTACATAAGCCCGCCACCTGCCTGCCAGTGCTAGGTACAGGTACCTACGCATTTTACTTGGCTGCCAATATCTTGCCTAATTTCTCCTGCCTTGAGTGCAAGTTGACTGCCAGCATTCACCTCCCTCTCAACATGTTGGCGCAATCGGATGTCCGTCTCGTAGGTAGTTGGTTGAATATCCGTGGCAGCTTTTTTCGGTCATGCCGCTTTCACTCAGGCTCGGCTCAGTCAATTAGTATCAGCCACGCGACCTGCCCTGAGCAGCCCGAGATGGGTACCATCAGCAACCTGTGATACCTCGTGAATCTACGCCTTCGCTTTCACGACAGGAGCTAGGTGTGAAATGAGAGTCCCAGGCTAAGATAAGTAAGTACCTAGCTGATGCAACGTCTAAAGGGATGCGTACCTATCTCAGGACGACCCAGCTGTTCTGCGGCCTCTCGCGGTCGCCGTCATTGGAGTTTTCAACGTCCCAAGCTCGCGTAATGATGATGTCCCCGTCTTCCGTTCTCTGACCTGATCTATACCGGGTGGTAAAGTCTGTAAGAGGGACTTCGTCGCCGTGTGGTTGGAATCGATGCATATTGCGATGTTAGACTGCGGATAAATCGCCGTTCTCGGTGCTCCCGAGCTTCTGACCCGTCCATCTCAATGTCTTTCCGCTGAACAGCCGATCTAGGGCATGTCGTATCGTCGGAAGGCAAGCGTTCGCGGCTCCCAAGAATTGCTCTAGCAAAAAATAAATACTAGCCGGAGGAACAGTATATGTCACGTCGATCGTGTCCCATCGAGCCAGCCATATAACTCCTGAGAGGGACATAACACAAACCGTGACGATTAATAATAATATCAGCATGGCTATATCTAATAGCCTTCTCCCACACACGTACTTACATTGCTCCTAGACTGAACATTCCAGCAACGCCAAGCTTCCTAGGCAGTAAGAGTTGCAGACCGAGCAACATAGGCATAGGTAATGCCACGATGAACGTGTCGATAACGAGATTGACGATGCCGGAAATGATAGTGGCAGTGCGTTGCTGGCCGCAACTACCTCCCGGTATGGATTGATCCCAGATGTAATGCACTGGCTTGCAAATCAGGAAGATTTTAAGTATGTTCATGATCAGATTGGCGGCGGATATTGCCATAGCACCATAACAGATATAAGCGAAACGCTTGTTCGGGAAGATGGCCATGTATAATGCCGATATCGAGAACTTGACACAAGTGTTCGCCCCGGCCCAGAGTGCCTGCTCTGCCATAAAGACCTGAACGGCCAGATCAGAAGAGAACATTACAGGGAATTCCCCGACGCGGGACATACTTTCAAGAAACGTTGGAGTAGGGCTGGCTCGTGGACAAGGACGTCCTGGAAATGACGCCCTACGCCGGCTACGGCGCAACCTCGGGACCGGCGTAGACTTAGTGAGCATGGAAGATTAAGAATAATAATAGTGAGGTAGCTCCTCATAACACCTACTTATCAGAGCGTTGACCAGGGCGCCGGTGTTGATCACCGTCGCCGCGATGACCATATAATCACTGAAGACAAGCCGTGCTGCCTTGATACGTCGCGACCAGAGTCGCAGCCCGAGACAGATGACGCTGAACACAAACGCGATAACCGACACGATGATTATTTGGACAGCGCCCAGAGGGGGAGCCATGGTATTCGCAAAGAAGACTTCTTACATGGCGGCATTCCACTGGTTAGTCCAGCGGCAAGTAGGAGGCGCGGAGCGGCGGAGTAGAGCAGATCCATCTCGGTGTAGATATTAACAAGTGACTTTGGAAGTTGGCTATTATTTATATAATGTTCCTTCCGGCAACCCACCATGTCCTGGTTATCCAATCTAGAGCTCCAGACTTGGCGCGCGGAAGAGCTTCGGTTAGGTGTACCAAGAAAGCCTTATAACATCCGTCAAGCCTCGGCCAATTGCCCCGAGATCGTCTCCCTGTTCGGCACAGCTGGCTGTAATATATGTAAGAATAATCCCACCATCCAGAATGGCCACACCGTATAAGAAGACATCCTGTCAGCTTCCACGGTCCTGTTCATAAGCAGGATCGCCAGCATACTAGCCTATGCGAGCGCGCCTTAAGCGGAGCTAGCTTCTCAGGCCGTGTTGCAAAATGCGACGAGGGCCGCTTTCGTTTCTTCATACCTGCTTGGCTCTCCACGCTGTCACTGTCCATACGACGGCCTATATATTAAAAGACGAATCTTACGCATCCCCCCCCAGATGGGGTCCACGGGATTTAGGATAACCTTTGTGGAGGGCGCACTGGCGCTACACGCCCTGATAGCTGTATGCTCAGCGAGGCTGCCTACAAGTCTTATTAACCAAGGGAGCCTTTTTAGGCCCCCCTTCAGCTAAGGCCTTCTAGGGGCTATACGTGACTGCTAATAACACAACCTCTAGCTTTACACCTTTTTGCTGATTCGACCGACTCTGCTGTCGTACTTTTACATTTCTATGGATTACTTAAGCTTTCTATATTTAAGCAAATATCGTTCCAGGAATATAACGGCAAAGACATCATTTGAAGTTCCTAACATAAGGAAAGCCTTGTATAAGATAAGTTAGGTTACCGCTTCACGAGCCACCCCTTCGCGAGCCGGGTATTTTGTATGGGTTTACATACAAACGATTTATCCCCGTAAAAAACCGGGAAAAAATCGGAAAATTCTAAAACTTACTTACGTAATCGATTAGCTTAATTAAATTAACATATAAATTCTTCGAATTTTCTACTTACTAATATAAGAAGTTATATACGATTTCAGGTTTTTTGAAACTGCACTAATAGTTTACCATATAATTTATTAGTAAATCTATTAACTATGCTCTATATCGGCCTCTGAACCTATTTTTTTCGCGGTAATAGAGTAGGTCTATTACCTAATTCTTTATACTATAGATAGAATAATAGTTAAGATTACGTAAACTTTTTTCCTTTTATTTTTCTAATTTTTATTAAATTAAATAAGTCTTAAAAACGTTGATTTTTAGTATTCTTTTTTAGAACTTCTTTATATGGAAAAATAGGACAGTCGGAAAGGTGGAATTCTTACTATGAAAATAGGTACAATTTTAGAAAGTTTTAACCTACTTAAAAACGTAGTTTTTTTAAAATAATAAATTAAATAAAAACGAAATCAAAGAATAAAAATAAAATTACTTAATACTAGCCATTCTTCTATTTATAAAATAAAGTATTAGGTAATAGACCTACTTTATTACCGTGAAAAAAATAGGTAAATATATCGATATAAGTACAGTTAATAGGGTTACTAATAAATTATATAGCAAACTATTAGTGCAGTTTTAAAAAACCCGAAATCGTATATAACTTCTTATATTAGTAAGCAAAAAATTCGAAAAATTCATATGTTAATTTAATTAAGCCAATTGATTACGTAAGTAAGTTTCGGAATTTTCCAATTTTTTCCCGGTTTTTTACGGGAATAAATCGTTTGTATGTAAACCCATACAAAATACCCGGCTCGCGAAGGGGTGGCTCGCGAAGGGGTAGTCTAGCTTATGATCCTTAGTTCGCAAGAAGTTCGCAGGGCTGTCCTCATCATCCGGAGTCGTGCGATTGATTGATTGATTGATTGCCGTCTCCAGGTACCTATGCAGCGTAAACCTACAAATAAATGCAGTGCCCGCTTCCTGCTTCCAGAAGTTCTGATCCTCCTGCTTCTGCTTGAGACCGTTTCGACAGAGTCGGAGCTTAACTAGGTGTGGAAAGATTAGTTCACTAGTGCACTCTGCAAGTCTATACACATTAGAGAGAGGAAGAATCCCTTGGCCAGCTCGTTGATTTACCTGTCCACCAACTGTTGTTATAGGTAGTTCATCAACTGTCTCGAGTAATCACGGTAAATGTTAGGCTGAGAGCGCTCGTCCACATGGCGATAATAGTCCTACTATAATCTGCACTCAAGGGGAGGATTAGGAGTAAGAGAAAGAAAAGGAGGAAAAGGGAAAAAAGATACAAAAATTCGATAGCAGTAGGGTTCGAACCTACGAGGCCGAAGCCATAGGATATTTGGAATGAAGTATTCAAGTCCTACCCATTAACCACTCTGGCATGCTACCATAATTGGTGGGAAATAGCGCTAAATTAGTCTTATGGCAGTTCGCAATTGACTAAGCACCAGGTTTAGCGAACCGAACAGTTGCGCACAGTATAAATACGATCGCGTAAAGTTTGGCAGTACAGTATGTATAAATACTCCTACTATGGGTGAGCCGTCTTCTTAAAGACACTCTCGTGAGGGCCTACTACAGACAAGGGAAATAAACCACAACTAACTCTATCAGCGGCTCTCCTCTTTGTATAACTGATGAACGATCTTAGTAGCATCTATTCATGCTCCAAGTTTCAACTGCTTGCTGTATGTCACCATGTATACACATGTCGAACTTGCCTCCGCCCTTCATTATCCCATGTACTCTGATGGCTATCACTTAAAGTTGGCTGGGTAGGTAGAAGGTTAAGCGGATGTGATACGAGGCGCTTAAGTATAGATATACCTAAGTCTAAAATCCTAAGATCAAGGACGCCTTACCTAATATCGGTAAGAGCGTAGCCTTCTACATTATGACGACATTCCGACGCGAAAGGATTAACGTATAACCGAACTCTATAAGAAGGATTTATAGGACTCCAGAAATGGAAACGTTAATCGGTTATACGGTTTATCTACCCTTGCTTATACGCGTTTGATCCTCCTAGATACGATGTTAATAGCATTATCGCTACCATAAGACGCCACCTAATGTAATACAATCCCTCCGATACCTATAGCGATACTCCAGATGCCTTATCGCAGATCCTTAGAGAGCTTGGAGCGACCATCTCCTATCCGGACGATTTAACTCCGCCCTCTTCGTTACATACTTGGGGCAAGACGGATGAGTGTCTTCCCACTGCTTTAGTGGATATAAAAGTCCCTTGAAGGCCGTTGATTCGAATATCTCCTCTCAATCTAGTGCAAGCATCGATCAAAAGCTCTCCGGCATGAGCGACTTATCTTCTCGAGTAGGTCCGACTCTTAAACCAAGGCCGCCCCACAAAGCTGACAGCGGTCGGGGAAGCGCAGGTCTACATCATGCAGCCAGTCTAGGACAAGGTGAGGTCGTCAGAATGCCGTTCGGTCCCCACGACGTTCCGCGGAAGCACATCTCCTGGTCCTGCCAGCACTTTGTCGTTGGACGGGGGTGTAGTCGTTCTCTTCATCGCAGTCGAGATTGTTATGGGCTCTCCATTCGAAAAAATCGCTCGCGTCCCGTATAGCGATCAGAACAATCATTATGGGACTCGTTTGGCTTTCTCGATGGTTCTGACGGCACGCCCCTTGGGCAAGGTTCGTCAGGCGTCGTCATAGCATCGCACTTGAGAGGAGAGACTTGATGGAACACATGTCGGAGCAGTGGCGGACCAGTCCTACCACTCGCAGAACGTAATCGGGGCCTGTAGACTTAACTTCTGGGCCCCAACGGCGGAGATCAACCTGATGTTGTGAAGAGGCGCAGGACAGGGCGGTGAGTCTTCGTTGCCTGGCGGTTAAGTGACCCAACCGCCCCGTTTAAAAATACGGCAGCGCTAAGCTACGACGAATAGGGGATATAGCTGTTGTCCGGATGTACTTTTAAATCGATTTGCCGAGCGGAGACGGTGCCTCGTTCCCAGGGCGGTGCTCTACCGACGTGGTTGGTTGATCTGTCCTCGCTCCTGTGGTCACTCTTTCGGGAACCCTTCCACCTTTACGTCCGTCGGAGGCTTGTGAGTTGACCATGGATAGTTGAACCTTGCTGACACCAATAGAAAGGCGCTGATTATTGGCCACGAGCCAACAGCACCTACGCTGTCCAGTGGGAGATCGAACACCATTACGGATGGAAACTAGGTATCGAATACACGCAGGATGTGCTGCGAAGAATCCACTGACCAAATCAATCTCCAAACCCATTCCACGCCATCACGACCAATATATACCTGCCCGATCTACTTGTCACTTTGTTTGGCTAGTTTTAGCTATATTTGGAATGAACCAACTGCGAGAACACTGCAGTGTGAAGCAGGAGAAACCCTGAACAGGCGCCCTCGATTTTCATCGTCAGAATCCTCAAGCCAGGTAACTTTACCATCGGAATGCCTATGGAAGTGTTGCCCCCTTTTTACGTCCCATTTCTCATACTCTTGAGTCTTTTGGATGATCCACAAGAAGGACTTTGCGATGACGAGGCCTTCCGTTTGTGGCCACTGCTACAGGAGACGTAGTCATCCACAGGTGGGGCCGACTTAGATAACGAGACAGAGGGTTTCTCAACCACTTCGTAGCCAGTTTCCACTTCGTTATTCTCCCCAAAAGTACTATCAACAACGGGCAACGGACCTCCTTCCGAAATTAGGTGGAGGGCACTGCTCTGCTGCTTCCAGCACTCCTTTAGCTGATCCCTCATGGCATACGACTGTTTCCTCGCATAATCCTGTTCATTCCTAAGCCCTCTTCGGCCGTCTTTGAGCCCTTGGTAAGAGTCTATGAGGTTTATCGACTTGATGGGATACTGGTGGTACTCAAGTATACCATCCTCCGATGGAGCAGCATGGTGTGTAAATAAGTTGAGATGTCACGTAAAACGTAGACGCCTGCATTACGCTTTGCGGTATGTAGGTATATAAGGGCTGATCCCGACGTGACAAATGCATTGTTGGCGACGATCTGGCAGGCAAGCAAAGCGGCTCTATAAAATGCACTCCAAAGGAGCCTGTTGATGTAGGTAGAATCAACACGTGGGAGGCGTAGTAGTCTGTTGAGCGGTGCTTAGTAGGCTTGGTGAAGGAAAAATATAGGAAGCAGAGTTGCTTCAGAATTCCGCGGAGCTGCGGTAGCCATCTTGAGCGAGATGGGGAAGAAGAGTGCGAAGAGAATTATTACGGAGGGAAAATGGGTGAAGATGGATGGATGAAGCCAAGAATACCTAGATTGCCTTGGCGCACGGGTTGTGGCCAATGTGGCTTCCTAGCGTGGCTCAGATTTGTGGCGCAACTCGCACGATCCATTTATGGGTGGGAAAGACAGCGCGGAAAAAGAATGCCCCGTCATCCGCGAGTTCTACTCATAGTCCAGCAACAGCGGGTGCCCTCTCCTAGAATCAACCATACCCCATTGTCGCTCAGTCAGCGTTTTCGCTGGCTGTCTTTGTCTCGGTGTCTAGGTTTTCGACAGCATGGTGGATGTGACCGAGGCCGGGCATGTTTTGTGGCTTTGCGACCGAGGAGGTGGCCCGGAGACGAATGCGGTTCCGACTTTTCCATCAAGTAGAGCGAAACAACATCACAAGCACGAAACAAGAAGCTGCTGTCCATCGCGGCCTAAAGTTTTCTAAAGTCCTCAATTGATTTTGTAGATGTGCCTAGGTGTGTCATAATACCGGTCTCGATGCCTATCTGTCGCATGCCTGCTTATCTAATGTCTAGTCTCTCTATGTCTTCGTCCAATCGTGCGTTTAAGAGGCCCGCCCCCGTTAGTAGGATAGAAGGAGGGAGCGCTGGGTCAACGAGCCCCCTTTATAAACAGCCAGGCGATCATGACGACTCCCTTGATGGCGGCAACAAGCCATAGGCCCGGCTGCACCGCGCCGGTCGACTTGAGCATCCATCCGCCGCAGATCCCACCGACCAGGGTCAGGACGAAACCCACCGCCCGGCGGTTGCGCTTGACGTTCTTCCGGAGCGGCTGTAGGATCTGCTCGTCGCTCACCAGATCGCACAGGAGGCTCGTGATCACCACCGTGGGCACCTCGCCAACGCCCAGGCCGCGACTGTTGACGATCTGGCCCGCCGCCTGGAAGCTGAGGAGCGCGACGGGCACAAACTCGAGTAAGTCGACGCTCGCTGGGTCCCGGTGGGGAGGGTACCGGCCGTCGACGACGCCGGTCTGGATGATGGCCGCGACGACGACCACGAGCGCTGTCTGGAGCAGGAACGAGAAGAAGAGCGTCCGCCGCAGCCGCCCGCCACCGATCAGCTTGTGCAGCCGCGAGAAGGCGAAGCAGCCGATGGTGAAGCAGCCTATCGAGCACAGAGAGCGGGCCCAGCCGAGCGGTCGGTTGTTTTGCCCCGAAGTGCCCAGGGCGACGAAAACGGTGTTCCCTAGTTGGCCGCGCCAGAATTAGTCAGGCCCCATTTTAGGCGCGTGCTTAGGTCTAGTATTGTGATCGGTAACATACCGGTCTGCATGGAGACGAAGGTGCCGTAAGCTAGATAGGTCTTACGTTAGCTACCAGGGCGCTCTCTCGAGGCTATACGGGAACTTATTAGGTTATTTCCCTGCTCTACGTACCGTTGTATAGCGTTCCATCAGTTAGACCCGTCACGAAACAACAGGCCAGCAGCGGGATGGCTCCCCAGTTCGTATCGACCTCGTCCGAAAGGCGATCAACCACCCCTTGGCTCAAAGGCCCTCTCTTCTCGAGAAGGCCCGGGTCAACGACTGGGTCGGGTTCAAATTTTTCTTCGTCTACCATGACTGTGTCGTTGCGATGGGCTAGCCGATTGGCTGGCTGTCAACGATGCTCTCTGAGCGAGGAGTTAAGAGCGAATGGTGTGTACCGGTATTTAAGGGGAAGATGGCAATCGTGAGGCTGAAAGGGTGAGTCTTAGTCTTAGAACAACCGCCTTGGCTCACGGCAGCCGAGACGGGTATATTATGACCTTGTCGATTAGCGAGCTTGGAAAGATATACCTAGATGGCTGCCGCGCCGTGGATGGGCGCGGGAAGAAACATTTTCTAGTCGGTGCTTGGCTGTCGACTAATACATTTGTAGGAAAGCTTGGACTATTGTTAAAATGCCTCAAGCCTCCGCTATCCAGGGCGCCAAGATATCCTGGTATAACTCATTACGGGCTTATTACGCCTACCTCGATCTCGACTTGCAGGGAGACGCGAAGGGGGATAGATAATGACAAAAAGAAAAGAAAAACGGGGGGTTAGCTGACAGTGTTGAGCAGACGCTTATCTTTCGGACAGAGACGATCGAGAGACAGACATGTGTGCGTGGAGAGGACGAATAAACCGCACTGTAGAGAGCAGAAGTGTCTTGGCTCGACGAAATGCCACTGCGAGTGTCCTCACGACGCGGTCTTGTTCGACGCTCTGGGCGCGCCAAGGACCGCCAATGTAGTAAGTACCTACGCATATCGGACGAACGCCGAGCACGCCAAATGCATGATCCGACTACGGCGGCCATCTCGGGGCCGCTGCTACGACCTGTCCTTGGCGGTGGAGGAGCTCGCTGTTTTCTCGCCCGCCGTCTCTCACGGCGTCTAGCCTTCGGGGGGGGGGCCAAAACAGAACCACGACATCAACTCCTCGCCAATGAGACCCTGATCCCTGAAACATGTGGAAGGGGGAAGAGCACCGTGGTACTCTGGCCTCGGGCAGCGACGTGGGTGATACATCGCCGGCCAACACGCCGTCGACCCTGCAGCTCAGGATCGACGACATGATTGGGTAGCGTTGTGAGCTCTGGAAATTATTGAGCTCGTCCACCAGATCAACTGGCCACCCTGCAAAGAGCAACCCCCCTGATCCCCTTCCCTTTTCTCTCCCCCTCCCCGCGGATAATGGGAGGTATCGAGGACCGAACTTCACTCTCGAGCGGATTGCCGTGGCTCGATGCCTGATCGAAATGGCGTACAGAAGGCCCGACCACGAATGTGACAGATCGCGTTTACGAAAGGAACCATATCCCTCACCTGGATGTGAAGCGCAGATGGGGCCAACTTGGCGCCAAGACGTGAGCTGAATTCGCGCCGGGCGAGCGCTGTGGCGAGCAAGGTAACCAAGATCATATATTAGATTAGACGCTCGACAACGTCCTCTTCGAGGGCAACAGGCCACTCCGCTCGCAGTAGGGGCCGCGTAGGAGGATAACTGGCGGCGCATAGGTGCCACAGACGTCTCGGTACTAAACAGCAACAGAACGCCGCGACAGGCCACTGAGGTTCAGGTTGACGTTCTACATGGATCTGCAATACAATCAACACCGTGCCGCCAAGAGAGGAGGGGATCTGGACAGATACACAGACGTGTGCTCAGTACGCCAAGCGAAAGCCAAGTCGGCGGATAGCATTCCTGATGCAAGCATACTGTCTACCGACGACGTGCAGACGGCGAGGGCCCCCCACGACGCCTCCTCCTTGCCCCAGTTAGCCTACTCCATATCACACTCGTGTCTTCCATTACACGCAGCTTACCAAGTGAAAAAGAGAAACACGGAAGAGAAAATAGTGGAGGCCGCAGTGTATAGAAGCCTCGGCGCGGTGAGCCACTTATGCCATTGCAAGGTGGGAATACGACTCAAGAGACTTGGCCAGCAAACGAATGTCGTGGGTGGCCGGTAGTCTATTTGATTTCGATGCAGGAGGCGCATGTTGGCGCTCGGAGATGCACAAGCTCCGACGAGATTCGGGAGGCACACCCGCCCTCGGAGGCGTTTATGTCGACGTGGAGAGAGAGAGAGAGGAGACCAAAAAAGAAATGGAAAAAGAAAAGGGGGGCGGAAGGGGATATGAGGGAAGAAAAGCGAGAGTAAGGTAGGTAAGTATATCTAGAAACTGGCGTCACTTTCTCTCAGAGATAAGACATGGCTGAGATCGATTTTTTTTTCTGCAAGTCGATACGGGATATGCATGCACCCGAAGGTTGCATAGGGAGGGGGGGACGGTGAGGCATCAAAGACAGCGACGTAGCGCATTTGGGAACCATCCCGGCGACGACGTGCGTCAGGCGGCTCGGACAAGGTGAAAAAGGGGGGATGTTGGAGGCGGAGCGAAGACGGAGGGGAGGAAGACGAAGGAAGACGGGAGGAAGACGGGAGCGAAGGGAGAGAGGGGGGGGAGGGTGGCATCGGGGATACTGGACTTCAGACTGAATCAGCGAGGATAAAAATTGCGGAGCAATATGTATTCGACATGCTGTACGAATCCTAATATAGAAGCTCTTCATGGACGGGCATACATCGATATTATCTTTCCTGTGCATGACGCTGTCTCTGCTTCCTCGTCGCTTACCCCTGTAGTATCTCAAGTAGCTAGCTATTACATAGCCACATTCTCTCTCTCTCTATTACCCTCAAGCACCCCGGAGCATGCCAGGCCCTTGCACCTGAGGCTTATTTTACCGGCTCGGCCCGCCGTGAACTTCCCTGTAGACTGGGGATACCTGCCTAACCAGTTCGACATAGCATCGACCCTGGACCATCGAACCGAGATCTGTGATGGTGGGACAAGAGGGGGGGGTTGCTCTAAAGATGCCCTCCCGGATGCTATCCTCACACTTCAGTCTGCGGCCTGGCCGCCGTGTACGACGGCGTTTGGGTTACAGATACAGCTTGCCATTTATCAATCACACTCTAGCTGTGGTAAGTAGTATTCACCTCACGGCTGACAGATCCGACCTAGTCCCCGGCGACCCCTTTTCACGAGCCAACAGGTTGAATAATATGCCGGGCCCGGAAACGTGCCCTAATCGGCGGGGACTTGGTTGGCTGCACGTTCCCGCGGACATAGATCCAGATTCTTAGAATCTGTCGAGCCTAGAACCTATTAGTCACGAACTGTGGCCAGATGCTAGGAGGGAAAAGAAAGGGCCCTCGTTAGAAGGCTGGGCACAGAGGGAAGCTTTGCCACGTGAGCTCCCTGAGGCGGCGCTGCTGATCTCTTGGTTCCAGCTGCTTATCTACAACCATAACAATAGCCATAGCCGCCACCACTACCGCAAAGGGATATATTAATTATACGTTATTAGGTCTCAGAATATCCCTCAGCCCAGCAACCTAACAGATGCTGGTAGGTTAGAAGTCGTAGAAATTATTTGTTCGTAAACCCAAAAAGAAAACCATCCACGGTCCCAGCAAGCCTCCTCTTTCTCCGATATATTGCTGGTTGTGAGGCCTCCATAGAATCTCTGCTATTGAGAAATACGACGTATACCCACGAAATCTCTGTAAAGAGCAATGGGGCCGGAGCAACACAAATACGCCAGGGGCTGAGGGGTGGTGTCTTGGTATTGCTCTTCTACGTTTACCCTCGCCCGGGGATGAAGTCGGATATCACTCACCCGAGACTACGCAAACGTGGTTCCGGTTTGGCGGAGGACGAGAGTAACATCCTAGAAGGGAGACCGAAATGGAGACAGAGTTTGCGCACCCGGTGACTGTTGAGGTCATCGTCGAGCACACGTCAGAAACAGGTAGGTGACAAGGCATGCAGGCATATAGACCGTGTGGCCACGTACGGCGACGATGTTGGAGGTCTCTACTGGCGCAATCGACGATGGCAACCAAGGAGACCAACCACAACCACACGCGGGTCATCTGCTTGGTCAGCGGTGGTTCATGCAGCTTCCCCCCCACGATCGTCCTCGTAAAAGACCAAATCCGCGATCTTCTAGCCGCTTCGGAGGTCCTCCACCCCATATGGAGGAGGGTGGTAGGGAGTCGATAAGACGATGGCCTCGTGAAAGCCAGTCCTGTAGCAGTCGGATGTTTTGACCCCCCTCCTCCCCCACGATATGCTCGTTTCCGCGTTCTTAGCAAGGACTCCTCGTCCAGAGGAATTGCTTCGCACTCGAGTCCACGACACTTCAGGGCTCACCATAGCCGCGGGGTGGCCGGTGTAAAGTGGTCTGAGCAAAGCCTGGCCTAAAACAACAATATCTACTGACCTGGAGAAAGCCACTCTTGTCCGGTGCGCGCTGGTATGGTAGTACCCAGGCTTGAGCAACCGGTGGTCGAGCTTCCCCTTTCTCGACGCCCTCACGAGAAACAGGTCGAATTATGGGCTAGATCTTAGACCACAGAAAAGGCAGCTTATGGCGAAAGCGTGTCACCTGAAACTCCGCAGACAGATCTTAACTCTGTTGGTATATTGATATCGGCGATTCGATCGTGGCCGGGGGAAAGGGGGTGAAAATCACATATGTGCCAAGTCGAGTAGTGTATGTCGGCTCATGCTGATTGCAACAGAAGACAGTTGTCCATTGGAGCCAGAGGGATCAGGAGACTGTGAAGGTGATATAGGCATATTAATAACCCAACCGGTGAAAAGAGTCGTGTCCGCGGAATATATAAACCCCATGTGTCTCCCTCGACCGAAGCATCTTTTCTCAGTTGTTCACCACAAGCTCGTGATTCTTAGCAACCAAGACCCAACACACTTTCCAGAAGACCAAGTTCATCATTAGCCATGGCTATCTCCACGGTAACCACCCCTAACCCTATGGCCAAGTTCGAAGATAACTCCACCGTCGTCCTCCAGACGGACGTGGAGCTCATCCCCAGCCAATTCCACGAGGCCATCAAGCCGATCCCGTCAGTCCAGACGACGGAGGTCGTGGTAGACGAACTGGCGGTCACCCCCGAGCCCGAAGTCGCCGAACTGCCGGTGACCGAGGGCGACAAGGTTGACGATGGGCCACTGCGGCTCAGCCGCGTCATCTCCAGCGTCGCCGAGCCAGCGTCTGGCGCCAAGAAGCTCAGAAAGATGCTTCTCGAGACCGACGAGCTCATCATCTGCCCCGGCGTGTACGACGGGCTCTCTGCCCGCACCGCCATGGAGCTGGGCTTCAACGCCATGTACATGGTACGTAGAGCCACCCCCCCGACGCTTCTCTCATATAGACGCCTGGCCATGAGGACCGACTAATAACTCGCTCGCCAACGGTTTCTAGACTGGCGCGGGGACTACGGCTTCTCGCATCGGGCAGCCAGATCTGGCCATCGCCCAGCTGCACGAGATGCGCGAGAACGCGGAGATGATCGCCAACCTCGACCCCTTCGGCCCGCCGCTGATCGCTGACATGGATACCGGGTACGGTGGTGAGTATAACCTCGGCAGCATCGGCCCGACGGTACAGCACCAGCGCTAACTCGCACCGAACCCCAGGGCCCATCATGGTCGCCCGCACGGTCGAGCAGTACATCCGCGCTGGCGTCGCCGGGGCTCACCTCGAAGACCAAGTAGGGCGTCCTTACCCCTTTCCCCTCTCCTCGTTCCTCTCCCCCCCTACCCACAGGTATTACTACGACGCAGGTGCGCTAACCTTCCCCCGCACCAGGTGCTCATGAAACGCTGCGGCCACCTGGGGGGCAAGAAGGTGGTGCCGCGGGAGGAGTACCTGTCGCGGATCCGGGCGGCGCACGCGGCGCGGGTGCGGCTGCAGTCGGACTTTGTGCTGATCGCGCGGACGGACGCGCTGCAGACGCTGGGGTACGAGGAGTGCGTGGCGCGGCTGCGGGCGGCGCGGGACGCGGGCGCGGACGTGGGGCTGCTCGAGGGCTTCGCGAGCAAGGCGCAGGCGGCGCAGGCGGTGCGCGACCTGGCGCCGTGGCCGCTGCTGCTCAACTCGGTCGAGAACGGCCGCAGCCCCGTCATCACCGTCGCCGAGGCCCGCGCCATGGGCTTCCGCGTCATGATCTTCAGCTTCGCCACCCTCGCCCCCGCCTACGTCGCCATCCGCGACACCCTCGCCCGCCTCCTCCGCGACGGCGTCGTCGGCACCCCCCAGCACATCACCCCCGTCAAGCTCTTCGAGGTCTGCGGCCTCCAGCACAGCATGGCCGTCGACATAGGCGCCGGCGGCACCTCGTTCGAGGGCGAGCTGTGAGCAGGGAGGCCTCTGCAATATCATCTCTCTGTTGTTATTGTTTTTTTCTCTCCTTGTGTATCTCCGCGGGGTTAGGAGGAGTCTCTCGCTGTACCTATATGGTGGACAATTAGGCGGCCGGCCGCCGGCGAGGAACTATTCTCTGTCGGGTTACGGTGTCATTTAGTTAGCATCCACGAGTATTTCGCCGGCCACCTATAAGGGTTGCAGACAATGTAGCGAGTTGAAATTTCCATGGTTAATAAGCTGCCTTGACGATTGATTAGATGACCATATAAGTTCTTAGCCTGCTGAGGCCGGCAGTCCTGGCAACCCGAGCGTTACGGTGTCTTCCCGTTGTTATAGGGAATGATCGTTACTTGCACAACTACCATGCTGTTCTCTCGCAGCGAACGAACCCGGCCATGTACACCGAGCCATGCGAGCGGCCTCTCTTCCGAAAACCGAAAAGGATTGGATCTCGGCACAGAGAGGGGTCCCTGGCATCTGTGTGGACCAGAAGAGCCGTATCGATGTTGCATCGACTGTCATCCTCTTGAGAGCCCATTGGTTGATCACATGCTGTACAGACATCCCATCGGTTCCTCAAATTGTCTCTTTAAGCAGGCTGGATTAAGCATTATTACCTGCTTGTAGATAGTTAAGCACAGGTAGCCTAGGTTAGGTAGTTACTCTGCTTTTCTCTTCTAGTTACCTCAGTCACGTCTTTAAGGAGAGGTTATGTAACATGGCTTACAGGAAAAACTGTGTATTAGATATCCCTCTCTCCGGCGGTCTCGTGCCCACCCACGCCTCCCGCCTTCTACCTCCCTCTCCTGTTTCTTAGATCTCCCTCTCCCTTCCCTTTCTGGAAAGACTTGACGTTGAGGTGGTTGTCGCCGCATGTGGGGGACATGCCGGCTTGCAAGGACAAGCAAGCATCCAGCTGCAGCAGGGCTAGCTAGTTGGGCGGGCAGGGGGGCCACGAGACGATGATGGGTAACCGGGGAGGCCGTACATATATCTCGGCAGCACGCACATACTCTCACGCAAACTTGGCGTCTCTATTAATTCCCGGGCGCGTAAGCTTCCAATGAGAATGGCTACTTTTGCCGTCGAAGCTGGATAGAGAGAGGGGGGGCTCGCGTGGCGGGTGGAGCGCGTGGAAGAGTGACACCACATCTTTGCTGGTCGTTCGGCAAAAACGTGCCGTGGAATGACGGGGGAGGTGGGAAAGCCACGGATACAAGATACCAAACGAGCGCTGACCGGAAGTTCGGCTACTTCGGATACAGTAAGTCAGGGGGGGGAAATTGATTCTTGATAGGGACACGGTCTCGGGTGGATGATCCGACCCCTACTGGAGAGAGAGAGAGAAACTGTTATAGTATTATAACATTTGTTGTCTTACTTATTGCAAGAAACCCTAGCTAACACTCGTGTAACAAGGATAGATCATCGGTGCCGACCCCGTTAAATAGCACGCACAGCTTTCTTTTATACTCCTAAAACTCGATATTATTACAATACACTCATTTACTCGCTTCAACGGACCTTGTGTGTAGAGACAGTGGCATGGATCAATCAGTAGGCAGGGGGTGGGCCGGTACCAACAGAGAAGTTGGCACCACCGGCAAACCGGCACCAACAGAGGAGCATAAAAATAAAGAGAGACGTCGACAAAAGAAAAACAAGAAAAACAGAAAATGGGCAGAGAGAAAAGGTATCAGATGCAGTCGGCATTTAACTACATCTATTTTCTAACCCCGACCCGATTTGAACGGATAACCTTTCTTTCGATAGCTTCACATCTAGGGTCAACGAGGCCAATGACATCATAGCTCCCCAATGCACACTAAGTAACAGCACCAGGGATCTCGGCAAGGCCCTGGAGCCGTCCAACTGCATCAGGGACAGCAGAGCATAGAGGAAAGGGGTCTATAGACAACCGCACTCCCGAGGATATGTGACTTCATACACGACAAATTGCTATCGCATTTTTCATTACATTCCTGTCTTATATGCTGCATTTCTATTAATTGGGATCGAGTTACGTCTTTACGTTGCCATGGAGGTTGCTCTTTGTAAGTCCTCTGTGTGTGGCTATTCGACTTCTCACAACGCCCGCACCGCGGAAGTCAAGATCACAACTGCCTGCGCAAATATGCCCTGCCTTCAAAGCCCGGGCCTCGCTACTAGATACGAGGAGCGTAATTTAAATTGCCTATTAAGACCCGACGTCCTTCCTCTGAGAATTAACCCACATGTAGGGGAGAAAGAGGCACAGCAAATCTAAGCATCCAATGGGGCCATGCCGTTGGCCCCGTCATATGCATATCTTGCCAATACACAAGCCTATATAGTCCACGACGGAAATGTAAGCCTCTACGTGTTAAGTAATACCCGTAAACCCGGTTGGAGTTTCAACGTGATCTTCGCTTGATGGCTCGATCCCGAGACCGCTCTTGTCCTGCTTCCTTAGGGCCAGACGAGATAGATGTAGCGGTAAGGCGTTGCGCCGAAAGAGGGTAGACTCGAAACTCAGCTATTATTATATCGTACGGCAGTGCCAGAAGTCTGCTGTGTATCCACGTTCGCGAGGTAAGAGCTACATTAGCGACTAACAGGTGGTGTAAGCCTACTCGTAAACAGTTGCCATCTAGGATAACAGGTCTCGCGTAAGGAGTCCTGCCCATCTGTAGGTGGGCCTATAATATAACCCACCAGGGAGATGTGAGAAATCATCATGCACGAATAATGTCAGGCCGAATATATCCGATTCGGCAGAGAGGCAAATATATAGTGAGCCGCTTACGAAAATATTCGCCTGTACTTGAAATTGCAGGTTGTGGACATACCAGGAGGGCACGTTGTCCGAATCGCTCCATCCCCAGCTCAGCGACGATGCTCATGACTTAGACGCCAGCATGGATGAGTCCGCTACGTGTACAAATTATACCTGAAATAATGACTATTATTAGCCCTCTGCGCGCTGTATTTTACTCTCTACGAGGCTTTAAGAAGGCACAGACGACGGAAGCGAAATTGGCCGTTGCAAGCGAACTAGGACATCGGAGCACAAGCGTAGCGGAGGATGAGGCGCTGTGCCTCGCCGTTCTGCTCGGCTTGGACGTCGCGGCGATTTCTAAAACCGAAACTCGCGCAAGGACGGTAAGACTACGGCGCATACTGTCCAAAGTACCTAAACTTTTAGCCTTCGCAACTCTAGAGACCCTTGATGTCCAAAAGTTCCGCTAGGTACCTACGATATTCCTTTAATCGTCTTCCAAGGAGTCGTCGAGGGGGGATCCGTCAAGCGGAGAGTGGCCGTCCAGTAGCGAATCAGTTGCGCGGACACAACACGGTATTTGTCTCGGAGGGATCGGGAATCTCTTCTGTCGTGGAGAAGAGCGGTTCCCCTCGCCTTTATTATAGGTATTTGAGAGACCAAGGCAGGATATGGTACCACCTAAGGTTCTACGGTGATGGCGGGAATATTATAAATCAACGGGAAGTAAACCTGAGCATCAGTGTTACATGCCAGGAGCTTTCAGTCGTTTCCGGTCGTACAGACATTTCCAGCAATATCTTAGCTGCTACTAGACATCCCGAGCCGCTGGCGTTTCCCGCGGTACTGGTTGGTATTCCGGAAGACGACTGGAACTATTTATTGCTAACAGCTTCAACCCTGTCTTGTAACTTGATTAGGCTCACAACCCATGGACGACACCATCAGGGAAACCCAGAATTTATTTGTCGATGATTGGAACTATAGGATTTCGGCGGCTGACGGAAGCTTAAGGAATTATGTCCAGGATGCGAAATTGCCTCGTTTACTAGGCCGTTGGTATTATGTCGGATAATGCTGACAATGACTTCATGTCTTCTCTATACTTAACCCCTCTAGGCTGTACGGATGCTTAAAGCCCGCCCGATATAATACTCCCTCTATTTTCTCTTAGGGATTTAGCGGCTCCTGTTTTATTCAAGCTCAGATCCTTTGCCGGATCGCCCACATCCAAGCCCCAGCCAAAGTCCATTCCCAATCACTTCACGGCACCCACGTGGGTAGCCGTCAGATAAGTGCCCGCCAACAGCATGGAAGCAAACAGATCGCTCGCTATCTTAGAAATACCGTCAGGAAGATGGCAATGATGTCACCAACGCTCCACCGGTCTACAGGGTCGCAGACATACAAAGGAACCCGCAGGGCAATCCCATCATGTCTGATTACAACTGTACCCATTTCGTGAGACCGGTTAGAGGCATTATTTCACCCCATATAACCAATCAGGCACCGATAGTGAAGCTAATAGTCACTCCCTGCCTTTGAGAAGAGAATGAATACTTTGAGGAGTCATGGTCCAACCCGGTTGATTATACGACTAAGCGCGACCGAATCGGAACTAATACAACGAAAGTTATAGCATCTACCCAACTAATAAGTAAACAAGGGTATTAACCGTAATAGAAAGGACATTCCTATATCTATGGGATAGAAATGATTTAATCGTCAGTTGGTGGTGTGCTTCACTAGCACCTTATATTTAACGCTAGCCGCGAAGTACTAACTCAAGGACGCGCCTAGCTACAGAAAATGCCCAGCACCTTATCCAGGTGACACTATAACTCACACGAACAACTGCTATCTCCCAGGATCCGGAGTAACATGTCACTCACCTAAGTGAGACAAATCTCCTGTTACCTACGTGCCAGCGTCCGCTCTCACTACCTCTTTCCGCCAACACGTGCGAGCGGCGTGCCCCCGTGTGCCGCCCACTTCTTCACCAGATGGAGCGGGCTGGCGGAGAGCACACGGGTACGGAGGTCGCGACGCCGTATAGATGGGACAAAGAGGGCCGCGCTGTGGGCTGTTGTTAGGGGGGGGGGCGGAGGGGGTTGGCTTGTACAGCCGTACTTAAGAGTTTTCCGCGAGCTTATCCTGCCGTCGTTCGCCCGAAGTCCGTCGGGATAGCTTCACCTGGGAACCCCTGAGACTCCCCTAGCAAGTCTCTGCTGCGCGCCTATAGTTTAGGTGGGGACCTACACCAATCAGCCTCGACGCCTCAGATGGACTAGAAGCCCGGACCCTGAGATACTCATGTGTATCTCGAGGAGGCGCTGCGCGTCGGCGCCAGTATATATCAACCCGCAACTCTCCCTTCCCAGCTTCGGGCAACGAGATGGGTCCCCGCTGCGCAAGTGCGCGATAGCAGATCGAAGCGACCAGCGAAGCAGAGCGTTATCTTTGGTTCACTTCCCAAGCCGTTACCGAGCCCCCCGGCAACGCTAGAGCGAACGCGCGACGCTCATCCCTCGAAAGTATAAAATTACCTCATTTGCAAGCAAGCGAGTCTCGCCAGCGACGGCGGATGCTCGGAAACTCCGGTTCGGGAAGGACAATGCCCGGCCCGCCCCTCTTCCTCCTCTTCCTCATCGAGCCGCTTGCTAGTTCTCTAGGAGAGCATCGATTCCCTCTTTGCACGCACCCACGCGCCCGCGCCCGCACACAACACATACGCACATCTACCTCGCCGAGGGGACAGCCGATACTTGTGCGAACCCATCGAACTAGACCCCGCCCATTACGCAGACGACAAGGTGTAAGTTGAGGCTAGCGTTCCTAGTAAGTAAGTACCGAAGGGGCAGTGTGCCTATGTGTGCAGGTCTGCTAGTTAGGGCAAGACGCGACACAAGCGACCTCAGGCACGCCGCCCTAGGACCGGGCGTGCCGTTCGCGATGGCTCTTTTCGCTTCGTAGACGAGGCCCAAGTACCTAGGCATCGATTGGGGTTGCGGTTCGGGGGGCTGGGAGGCAAACGAGCTGGGAATACATATACATATACCCTGCCTGCTGCTTCTGGATTATTCCCGAATCGCGTTGTTTATTTTCCTGTCCCTAACTCTTCACCCTAGCAGCCGCTACGGACGTGTTGCGACGGGGTTTCGCTCTTTGCTCGTATATCAGGCACCCCATCCCTAGGAATCGACCGGCTGATGCCGAGTCCGCTCGTAAAGTGCTCCCGTCGGTGTGCATATTTGCTGTTTCCGGACCAAAGATTGACAAAGGAAGGGCTATCGCCTGTGTATGCTGTGGTTTTTCTGACGCGGTGTCCGCCTGTTGGTTGCGTAATACTGAGTATGTGCCAGTGTATCGTGCTGCGAGCGTGGATTGCCCTGTTCGGACGTGCAGGCCCAGGCCCTGTCTCCCCTCTTCCTCCACGGAGGAAGGATCCGCGGGCTCGAAGTGCTAATACGTTAGGTAGTATGTACGTGTAAATAATGTCTTATATACGGGTGGGGTGGCGTGACGATCTAGGCCCGCGCACCTCGAAGCCAAAGGGAGGGAGAGAGCCAAACGACCTGCCTGAACGGTGCAAGCTGGAAAATGGCGCGGCCCAGTCGGCGAGAGGGATTGCGATATGTTAGATGCATGTGTACGCAGGTCGACTCTCTCCCAGGTCCCAGGGCGGGCCAGGGTCCTAGAGCACCGTGCTGTTGTCGATGAGCGCGCAATCAACGTAATTTCCGGGCTGCTGAAGCGGCTTCTGTTATTGGGCAATGCCGTCTTTTGCCTGGCTGGCTGCGCCGTCGAACCCTGGCTCATCCCGCCTCCACGAATGTGCGCCTTTGCTGCGGGATGGCGCTCCTCGTGCTCCGCACGCGTATCCTAGCACAGGTCTGGGTAGGGTATATAAGCCGCTTCCGAGTAGGTCCCGCGAGCTTGTTTCGCCCAGACTCTTGCCCAGCCGTCTTGGCCTTTCTTGTCCTCTCCTTGGGTTCCCCGTATACATCCACCCGCAGGCTTGAGCTGCGACACGTGTGGCTATGGTTACTTTCGCTGCCGTTTGCTCGGCGCTCTTGGCTGTCCGGGTCGCCGTTGCGAACCCGGTGCCGTCGCGCTCGGCGTATCGCGTCAAGGATGAGCACCACGTCCCGAGAGATTGGAGGCGGCTACGTCGTGCGCCCGCCGATCATGTCATTGACCTGCAAATTGGCGTCAAGCAGAGCAATTTCGGGGAGCTCGAGAGGCACCTGTACGAAGGTATGGGAGGCGATGTCTTCATGCGCTGTGCCGCTGCCAAATAGAAAAGAAGAGAAGTAGGGATCTCTAACCGTGGGCATCCAGTCTCGGACCCGGATCATCCCCGGTACGGCCAGCACCTCACTGCGGATGAGGTGAACGAGCTAGTCAAACCGACCGACGAGACACTCGATCTCGTTCGTGAGTGGTTGGAGGCCAATGGGGTGAAACCGACGGCCTATAGCTCGGCGAAAGACTGGATCACGGTCTCGCTCCCGATCAGGGCGGTTGAGCGCCTCCTCGACACCGAGTACCATGTTTACGAGCATAACAAGGGCGGCCTCGTCGCTCGGGCGCCCAAATGGTCCCTTCCGCACCATCTGCACGATCACATAGACACCATCCAGCCCACCAACTCGTTCTTTCGCGCCCGCGCTAATGTGTTTGACCACATCGAAGCGCCGGTATACCTCGACCCCGCGTATCGGCCGCCTTCCAATGAGACCTTGAGCAAGGTCTGTAATGTCAGCTCCGTGACGCCGGAGTGCTTCCAGACTCTGTACTCCACCAAGGGCTACAAGACCCAGGCCGGCGGCAGGAATACCGTTGCGTTCAACAACTTCCTTGGCGAGCACCCTATCCGGACCGATGCCGAGCTGTTTCTCGCCAAGTACCGGCCGGAAGCCGTCTCGAGCGCCAATGACTTCCCACAGGTCACCATCGCCGACGGCCCCGGCGACTATCCGCTAACCCCTGACGAGATTGAGTCAAGCACCTCCAAGGAGGCAAACCTGGACCTCCAGGCTATTGCCGGTATCAGCTGGAAGAGTACGTGTTCCGGAATCGAACCATTTAAAACCCCCCCTCCCCTGATTTACGAGATGTCGCAAGGTTTACGATCCTCTCGTATCGAACTTTTACCTCGAACCGCAATTATCTTTGCAAGCTGGGAATTTGTGGCCACCAGATCGACCCATCGGATAAAGTTCTTGCGCTAATTGACATTCCGGGTAGCCCCAATCATCAGCTACTCGACCGGAGGAAGTCCCCCTTTCATCCCGTCTCCGAGCACCCCGGACAACACGAACGAGCCATACCTAGTCTGGGTGAACTATCTCCTTTCGCAGCCGTCAATCCCGCAGGTTATTAGGTACGTATAATGGCGCCTTGAGTGATATCCCGCGTGTTCGGCTTTGCGTTCGGCCCATTTACATTGCTTGTTCTGCCGAGGCTAACTTACATTTTCGCAGTATGTCCCATTTTTGACCTGTCTGTTTTGTTCTTCTTCTGTGTGGACTTTCTGGGTAGCGAAATTGATACCGGAGGGTGTACTTCCGGGGCCCGCACAAGATGCTGATATGTCGTAGCGACCTCGTATGCCGACGACGAGCAGACCGTGCCCGTATCGTACGCTCGGCGAGTCTGCCAGCAGTTTGCCCAGGTCGGCGCCCGCGGCACGTCTCTGCTCTTCTCTAGCGGCGATAGCGGTGTCGGACCGTACGGCAAATGTCTGAGCAACGATGGGAAGAACACGACCAAGTTTATCCCCGAATTCCCACCAAGCTGCCCGTACGTCACGGCAGTGGGCGCTACGAAGAACTTCGACCCCGAGGTCGTAGCGTACCGGCCGGCGTTCGTCGGGCCCGACGGAATCCGGCGCGGAAACTACACGTCCGGCGGTGGCTTCAGCAACATCTTCCAGGCGCCCCCGTACCAGGCCAGGGTGACAAGCGCCTACGTCAAGAACCTCAACGGTCTGTACGATGGCCTGTACAGCAAGACTGGCCGCGGGTACCCTGATATATCGGCGCAGGGCCTCTACTTCGCGTATTTCTGGAATGGTACCGAAGGCACCATCAGCGGCACGAGCGCCAGTTGCCCGCTGACAGGCGGGATCATCTCGCTGGTCAATGACGCGCTCATCTCGACGGGCAAGCCGCCGCTAGGATTCCTGAACCCGTGGCTGTATGCGAGAGGTCACAAAGGCCTGACCGATATCGTGAGTGGGAGCGCCGTCGGCTGCGGCGTCGACGGCTTTCCAGCAACCGAGGGTTGGGATCCCGTAACCGGATTCGGGACGCCGGTATGTGAAATTGACTCCCTACTGGGATGGCATCCGCCCTGAGAATCCGCTCCCCTTTTTTCGGTGGGCGTTTAAGACTAACTCGCGACGTAGGTCTTCCCCGAGCTAGTTGCGTTGGCGGGCGGCAAGCTGTTTTATTGATGGGGGAGAAAGGAGGGTCATACTTGGCAATGAAATGTGTACCGTGTGTATAGCGCCGGCGGTGAGACGGGCGGTACAGATGTGTATATGTAAAAGCTTTTACGTATCCAAGGTATTCTGCTTATATACTTAATTTTTGACTACTAGTCTCACGCAAACTGCGGGACGTCCGAATCTGTAGAGGCGTTTCCTGTCGTGGGCACTTGTGACGATGATTGCTAGTAAAATAAACCAGAGTCGCCCAGCTACTACTGAGTAAGTTAGACGTAAAATGTGCTGCTACTGCATAATGTAATTATGGGGTAAAATACTTCCGGATAAGGGCAATGCATTTATCCAAGGTTTCTGACGGCTTACCTTTGAGCAGAAGAATGCCGCATTAATGCAGTCAAACTTAACCCTGTTCAACCCACCTGGTGTCATCGCCAACAATCGACCAGTTAATTAAACAAGGTCTGTGGGCGCTCTTCTGATTTCGCTCTTTGTCATCTTAACATCCTCTCGTCTCTGGAATCCGGCTCGATCTTTTCCAGATGGGGTCCATCGTCCTACCCCATCTCAGCACCGGCTGGCATGTCGACCAGGCCATCCTATCCGAAACAGAACGCGTTGTCGGTAAGTAAACCGCGCGCCCGAGGAAGAGAGAGAGGGGGGAGGGGGAGGCAAAACAGGAAGAGCGAGTAGGGGGACGAAGTCTGAAATTCGGAAATGCTAACGATGGTTTCGCTGTAGCGATTCGCTTCGGCCGCGACCACGATCCCGACTGCATGCGACAGGACGAAGTCTTGTACCGTATCGCGGACAAGGTGAAGAATTTCTGCGTCATCTACGTCTGCGACATCGACCAAGTCCCCGATTTCAACCAGATGTACGGTACGTTACTGCCCCCCGCCCTATTCGAGCGAGCCGCTGCTTTTTTGTTGCGTCAACTGCTGACGAGCCGGCCCTCCCCATCTATAGAGCTTTACGACCCGTGCACCATCATGTTCTTCTTCCGCAACAAACACATCATGTGCGATCTGGGCACGGGAAACAACAACAAGCTAAACTTTGTCCTCGAAGACAAGCAAGAGCTGATCGACATCGTCGAGACCGTGTATAAGGGCGCCAAGAAGGGTCGCGGTCTGGTGGTTAGCCCCAAGGACTACTCTACCCGCTACCGGTACTAATCCGGGCTGCGCCTCTACGCTTAAAAAAAAAACATCGGGCCCCCTCTCGATCTTCATCCCGTGCCCCCCCTAGCTTGTCGGCTCGCAACTGGGGATGGGATATTCAAGAGCTGTCGGGAAACGTGTCTTGGTATGTGATGGGAATAGGAAGGATGTCACGCCATAACTGTGCTAATGCTATTTCATTACACCTCTAGTAACATCCTATTGATGATGATGGTGAAGGTGATCAAAGCGGTTTTACTGCAACGCGGGGGTTTTCTGGTCCCCTCGCTCGTAGGCCTCGCCCAACCGCCCGTCCTCGTGAGCGGTCCGTCGACCTGCTGCCGTGCATCCCCGTGTGGAGGTTTCGTGTCTTGGGTTCGGTGGGCAGGCATGCACGAACCTGGACCGACCTCAGCTTCGCCTCCGCCGTGCCGACGTAGCCAATAGCCTAGCGGATGTCCGACGGATAGTGGGTAGTACCGCGCAGAGGCAGTATCTGTAGGACGATTCAATGCCAATGGCTGCCTGGAGAAAGCGTCTGCGTACGCGCCAGAATACAAATACACAGTAGCGACGACGGGCGCGTATGCGCGGCTCGGCGGGTGCGGTATGGGATGGCTACTTATACAGCGGAATGCTACAGCCGATTTGCTCAGGTGGGAAGGGGGAGAGAGAGGAGAGGAGAGGAGAAGGGTGGGCTCTAAAATTAGCACACGGTAGCATGGCATGGGCATGGGCATCCCTTTGCAGGTTGGAGCTGTGGACGTTTCCGCCAATGGGTTGCGTTGGCCCGCCTCGGCTGTGCGTTTACGAGGCACACACACACCCTTCTTTGCTATTGTCACTGCCCAGGTGGATGGGATGGGATTGTCTCTCCAGGGACCTCCAGGGACCTCCAGGGACCAGGCGTCGATCGCGGTGTCCAGAGGGCAGACGGTGGACGTAGTAAGGATATTATGGTGTTGTATTGCTTCCCTAATGCCATGTGCTATGCTGCCGAAGGATTATTACACAGGGCACCGAGTGCAGAATAGCAGGGGGATAAGGGGGATATATGTCTTCCCGCGATGTGCCACGACGCTGGTTCGAGGCTGGTTGAGAGAAGGGAGAGAGAATGGATCTTAGGTACGTACCTGTAGGTATCTCTAAAATGGGTCATTTTAAGCAAGCTGCCAAGTTAGGTACCTGATGTATGTACCTGTTTCATCCCGAGATGGGGCTGCCTAGGTACCTACCCACCAAGACCGTGTGCGGGTGTACACGAGGTACCTAATATCGGCTGAAGCGATACTTACCGTGCAAGTACCTACCCCATTACATGCATTAGGGCGCAACGAGGCACTGCCCGCCCCCCCTCGTGGCAGTGACGGGAAGCAGTGCAAGACACGCAATCTGCCTTAGGTAGGGTTGGCCATGTACTCTCGGCGTACCGCGGATATCTCCCGCCTGCCGACTCAGCCAGCGTCTTGGGAGTTCTCGGTGGCGCGGTACTGGAGAGGTACCTACGTTGCTTCTCTTTGCAACCCGGCCACTACAATGGATTGCTATTCATTGCTCGTTTGCCTCCCGCCTAGGTGCCTCCTAGGGAGGTTAGGAGAGGTACCTACGCCTCGTAGCGGCGATGCTAGGTGAGTTAGGTACTATACCACAGGTGTCCAAGTCTCCGGCCTCATGTTGATGAGCGCAGGCCCTGTTGATGGGTGGGCATACGTACGCCGTCGTCCGCAGTGCCGTCTCCAGCCTCCCCCCATGGCCGTTCACTGCCACCGGCCCGAGCTCGTCTCTCCTGCGCTCACGTACCCAGCATAGCTGGACTATATGGGGCATGTCGTCTGTTGTTACGCGATGATTGCGCGTTCGCTGCTCTTCGTGTCCCGGTGTACATACGTATGTGTCCTGTCTTATTACCTAATTCCACAACAAACACGAGGTCGTCTAAAGGATCTCCAGAGCAGAGAGGCCGAGAGGAGAAAACAGTCTTTTCTACCCCCCTCCCTCTTCCTCCCAGCTTCCCTTTCCCACCCTCTCTTGTTTTCTCCTCCTCGTCTCTCTTTTCTATTAATAATTAAAAATCTTACTCTGCGCTTAGTAGCGACCGTCGACGAACCCTGGCTTGACCATCCAACCCGGCCTACGTCTTCCTTAGCAAACCGCACCCTCTCTACCTCAGCTTTTCTGCTGGATTTGCTTCCCCGACCGACCCTCGTCCTGTGGTCCCTCGAGGCTAGATCACACACGAAACAGGCTGTCTCCATAGGTTAGTCTGGCCCTCCTCCCCCCTTCCCCCCCCCCCCAGACCCGTCTTTCGGGTCGGCTGGATCTGAAACAAGGTCTTCTCTATCTCTTCCCGATCTCTTAGCCAGCACCGGCACCACCAGTTGCCACAGACACACACTCACTCACACACTCACACACACACCTACATATATGTACCTACCTACATTCCTACGCACAACCCCAACAAACCGCCGGCCGGAGCCAAGACAATATTTATAGGGCTAACCGCATCCTCGACTAACTCTTATCAGCCAGGTGACGCCGGAGCGCAAGGGAGTGGATATCATGGCTGCCAACGACTACTACAACAACTCGTCGCGTCCCTACAATGCCTACGAGCCCTCTATAGCCTCCACGCAACCGCCCTCCTACACCTCCCAGCCGCCCCATCAAGACCGCCCGCTTCCCACCGTGTCGCCCTTCGAGACTGTCTTCGATGATCACGTCTACCCGCAACCCCAACGAACGCCCGATCCGATGAATGCCAACCAACAGTCTTTCGCCTACGACACGAGGTATCACGGCTCTGGGCCCGGCGACGTCTCTCCCGTCGGCACCGATGACATCCCCATGCGGAACCAGGGTAGCAAGCCGCTCGGCTACGCTTCTGGCTCCAATGACCATGTCTACGACGCCCCGATCGAGCAGGGCCACCAGCGAGGCACCTCGAGGGGCGGCGTCATACGCTTTGGAGAGATGGGCATGTTCGGATCGGAGAAGAGGAGGATACCGATCATGGTCTACATATTTTCCGTCGTGCAAATCGCCGTCTTTATTGCCGAGATGGTGAAGGCCGGTGAGTTTGCTCCCCTGCGTGCTGCCGTCGTTTCCCTTTTCTTCTTCCTCTTCCTCGAATTCGCTCAGGGATCTAGGCGCTGACCTGATTCGGCGCTCGTCGTCGTCCCAAGCTCAATTGACTGGCAGCCCGATCCAGACGCAACCTTCGTTCAACCCGATGATAGGCCCCTCGCAGCAAGTCCTCATCAACATGGGTTCGCGGTTCACTCCTTGCATGAAGAACGTCGATGGCGTCCAGAACTACCGTGCTCCCGCCGGCGCGGTTGAACCGGGCTTCGGATGGCCATGCCCGAATACGACCTCGCTCGATCCCAACAACGATTCGAATAAGTGTTCCCTGGCCGAGCTCTGTGGCTTCGACCCCGTCCAGAATCCCGAGTGGGACCCCGAGAATGGGCTCAACCAGTCTCCCGCGCCGAATCAGTGGTTCCGCTTCATTGTTCCCATATTTATGCATGCCGGCCTCATCCACATCGGGTTCAACCTCCTCCTTCAGCTCACCATGGGCAAGGAGATCGAGAGGGCGATCGGGTCTATCCGCTTTTTCATCGTCTACATGGCGGCCGGTATTTTCGGTTTCGTCATGAGCGGGAACTACGCCGCCGCGGGAATATCGTCTACGGGCGCTTCGGGGTCGCTGTTCGGTATCATTGCCATAACCCTGCTAGACCTTCTCTACTCTTGGGGCGATAGGCGCAATCCTGGCAGGGAGCTGATATTCATCATAATCGAGATTCTCATATCCTTCGCGCTCGGGCTCCTCCCCGGCCTCGACAACTTTTCCCACATTGGCGGATTTATCGTCGGGTTATGCTTAGGTGTCAGCGTCCTCCACTCGCCAAATTTTCTCCGCCGCAGGATCGGCGAGGATCACTTTGGCGGACCTTCGTACTCGAGCGTTGGCGGGGGCGTTACAAGCGTTGCGTTTCCCGCATTCTACCGAAACCCGGTGGGCTTCTTCAAGGGCCGGAGGCCACTGTGGTGGGTCTGGTGGCTCGTCCGGGCTGGATTTCTGATCCTCGTCATCGTTGTTCTCATCGTTCTGCTGGAAAATTTTTACAAGAACCAAAACAACTGCACTTGGTGCAAATATCTCAGTTGTCTGGTGAGTATCTCCCCTATCCTGAGTCTATAGAGGGTTGGAAATGCTCACGTGTCGATAGCCCATCAATAACTGGTGCGATATTGGGAACCTGACCATCTCGACGGCGACGCCCTCTTCCACCCCAAACAGACAGCGGAGCATCGAACTACTTTCTCTTGAGCAGGTCGCTAGGCTATTGGCGTAACATATGAAGTTTCCGTAATACGAATTATTCTTTTGCACTCTGGTAGCAAACAGACGGTGGACACATGATACCCGGATACTCGGCATTGCGCAGGAATCGAGCGAGTGGACCTACCAGTTGATACTGACGACTAGTCGGAAAGGGGTGCGAGGGCGGGCATACGACGAAAGGCAGATGCATTCAGCAGTGCCCATCGGACAACCTACATGGGGGCAGGCGACCGGGACGCATTGGGCTCGAGGCACATTTGTGGTGTTGCTGTAATTTAATTTACTAACGCGTAACGAATTCGACGGACTTTTGCGTACGCAGTTATGCCTACTAGACATGGCCAAGCATCCGGTTATGGATTCGGTGGGATAAGGGGAGGGGGAGGGGGGGGGCGTCCTTTGGTATATACCAACATAGACGAGGTGTATCATACTTCTTCACGAGGTCAACTTGTGACGCCCATACTTAATTACGACAGGCTTAGAGAATATGAGACCAGGCATCTATGGTGAGGGGAAAAAAAGCCTCCCGTGATATGCTTACGATGGATGGGAGGAGGGAGGTTTACTGCACCACCACACCACACTTAGCCGTTGTCGTGGCGTTTGAAGAGAAGGAAAGCGTAATTCGTTTCATCCATTACGGCCAAGCGTTCGCGCGCGAATATGGACTCATATATAACCAACCCAGCCAGTCCACCGCGGTTCTCTCCCATACCCTCACGTCTCCTCGTCCGTCAACAGGTCCTCGACGAGCGAATCGCCATCCTTGCTGCGGCGGGTCGTGCCCGAGACGTCGGGCTTGGCCTCGGCTTCGTCGTCGTCCTCGCCGTCTTCCTCGTCGATGCGCGTCTCGGGAGGGGGCACGACAGTCGCGTCGTCGTCCTCGTCGTCTTCCTCGTCGTCTTCGTCCTCGCGCTTGATCCGCGGGGGGCCGCGGGGCTTCTCGTCGTCGGCGGGGGCGAGCGACACGCTGCGGCTGGCGCTGCGGCGCGAGGACAGGCGGTCGTTGTCCTCGGCGGCGGCGGCCGCCGCGGCGGCGAGCAGGTTGACGATCTTGCCCAGGCTCACGTGGATCTTGTACAGCGCGTTGCGGCTCGTCGCGTCGCTCACGAGGCCCTCCTCCACCGCCGCCGACACGTCGTCGTAGAGCGCCCGCAGCTTCTCCTCGCTCGACGCCGGCGAGATGTACAGCTTGCCCAGCAGCGCCGCGATAACGCGCTTTTCTTCTTCTACGGGGTTGTTAGCGTGACGAGCGAAAGAGGTGGCGGGGAGGGGGGGAGGGAAAAGGGGGGAAGAGAAGAAGAAGAACGAAGGGGGCGTACTGCTCAAGTTACTGCTTAGCTTCTCGAGGATGTCCCTCGCGAGGTCCAGGTGCACGTCCCCGTTCACGTTCTTTTTGTCGGCGTCGACGGGCACGCCGGGGACGTAGCACTTGCGGGGGTCAGTCCAGTCGACGAGGCAGGAACCGATGGCGTTGAGGCTGGCCATCTCGTCGCTAACGTCGATGTCGTCGTCGTCGAGGCCCTCGCGGACGTTGTACAGGGCGTGCAGGGCGTCGAGCGCCACCGACCCCATCAGCGCCTGGTTCTCGGCCCGCGAGTAGCAGAAGACGGGGAGGAAGTAGTTGAGCGCCTGGCGCACGCTCTGGTTCGCCGCCGTCGCCGGGTCGAAGTAGGCGACGACGAGCGTCTTGAGCAGCTCCGACGCCGCCTCCGGGTCCGTCACCACGCGCCCCAGCAGCAGCTTCGACACCGCCACCGTCGCCGCGCCCTGCACCTCCGGGTTCTTCGACCCGGACCGCAGCGCCCGCACGTACACCTTCAGCAGCGCCGGGTTCGCCGAGAGCAGCTGCGCCCCGTACACGTTCAGGATGTCGGTCAGGATCTGCAGCGCCGTGATCTGCAGCGCCGAGTGGCCCTTGGCGAAGAAGTGCATGAAGAGCGTCAGGTTCTCCTCGGCCAGCGGCCGGTCGAGCAGCGCGCACAGCCCCAGGCAGACGAGCCCGCGCTCGCGCACCGGCGCCTCGTGGCTCCGCACCGCGGGGACGACCAGGTTGTTCAGCATCGACACGAGGTGGTCGTTCTGCTGCAGCGACCCCTCGACGTTGGACAGCATGCACTGGACGATGTGCAGGCACTTCATGTTGATCATGATCTCCTTGATGGCCTTGTCGCGGGCCTCCTCCTCGGTGAGCCCGTGGTCGCCGCCGCGCTTGGGCGTGCTGTCGTCGCTGACCTCGGACCGCGCCGAGTGGAAGCTCTCCTCGCCGTCGCCCACCGCCGACTCGTCCACTATCGTGTCGTGCACGTCCGCGACCGCCTCGAGCACGATGCTGCAGAACTCCTTCTCGCCCGCCGTGTCGGGCGCGCACAGGTCGCGCAGCACCTCGATCGTCAGCTTCGTGATCTCGTCCGGCAGCTCCGGGATCGACAGCGTCTGCCGCAGCAGCGCGAACATCTTGCGCCGCCCGACCTCGTCCGAGTAGTCGAGCGTCAGGATGATGTGCAGCAGCTGCTCGACGATGAACTCCTGCTCCACCGTGTCCTCCTCCTCCTCCTCGTCCACGTTGTCCTGGCTCTCGACCCGCCGCACCGCCTCGATGAGCACGTTGACGTAGCGCTCCAGGAAGAAGGCCAGCTTCGTCACCTCGGGCAGCTTCTCCTCGATCAGCGACTCGTACTTGCCGCGGCCCTCGGTCCGGCAGAAGTCGTTGAAGCTGCGCGCGATGAAGACCGACTCCGCGCTGAGCGTCTCCCAGAACTTGTCGTCGAAGTCGACCGCGTCGCGGTAGTCGGGCCGGCCTTCCCAGAAGCCCTTCATCGCCTCGAGCGCCACGCCGTTCTCGACGCCCGAGTTGACCACGTCGATGCGCTCGAGCAGCTCCAGCAGCCCGTCCAGGCTCGGCGCCGCCGCCGCGTCATCCGGCTTCTCGCCGTCCTCGGCCGCCGGCCGCACGCCCGCGCAGTCCTCGATCCAGCGCTCGCGGAACAGCCTCCCCGCCGCCTTGCGCACGTTCTCGTCGCGGTCCCGCAGCCCCCACCGCAGCAGCTTCTCGCGCATCGACAGCGACAGGTGCCGGAAGTCACCGAGCGCCGGCAGCAGCCTCGAGTACACGGCGCGGCGCGTGGCCGGGTCCTGGTCCCGGGCCCGCTCCAGGAGGTAGGGCAAGGTGTTGGGCAGGATGGGGAGGTTGACGAGGAGCGAGCGCCGCACGTCGGCGCTGGGGTCGTTCTGCAGGACCTCGAGGAGCTTCTCGAGCAGGCCCGTCTCGGCGTCGTCGTCGCTGTCGTCCGAGTTGACCATGCCCTCGACCTGGTTGCCGGCGAGGCGGCCGAGGCCGAGCACGGCCTGCGAGCGGACCATGGCCTCCTTGTCGCGTATCCGCTTGAGCAGGCCGTGGCGCAGCTTCTGGAAGAGGTCGTCGTCGATGGCGTCGAGGGAGTTGATGATGTGGGAGATGAGCTGGGTGGACCGGTACCGGACGAACTTGTCCTTGGAGGTGAGCAGGGGCAGGACGGCCTCCATGACCTGGGTGGTCAGGCGCGTGCTCGGGGTCTCGGGCATGGTGCTGGCGTCGGCGTCCTCCTCGCCGAGCAGCTCGTTGTCCTTGTCGTTGGCGTAGCGCAGGAACAGGCCGACGAAGCGGATGATCCTCTCGCCGACGCCCTCGCTCTTCTTGACGGGCATGACGCGCAGGACGCAGCGGGAGAACTCGCTGTTGAAGGCGGCCTCGTCGAAGTCGGCGGCGGCGGCGGCGCTGCCCTTGCCCGGCTGCGTCGGCTCGTAGCAGCAGGCCTCGTGGACCTTGCGCAGGTTGATAACCAGCTTGCGGTGCGTCGCCGTGGTCTTCTGCGCGTCGCGGAAGATGGCGCAGATCTGGGTCCGCAGCGCGCTGGCGGGCGGCTCTTCGGGGAGGTCGGCGTTGGCGGACGACGCGCGCGACGCGCGCGAGGTGGTGCCGGAGGTCTTGCGGGAGCCGGCCGCGGAGGCGCCGCGCGAGGATTTCGAAGCCCGAACCGGCATGTCGGAGGCGGTAGCTGGGGCAAACCGGGCTGCGGGCGCACGTATAAAGGGGGTTTGTTGGGTGTCTCAGTAATCTAGGAGGTTATCGCGATAGATTTGACATGTGCGATAACAGGTCGGCCGGTATATCGCCGGAAGCGGTGGGTGCGTCTATATCGACGTCGTGTTGGTGTTTACTTCTTTGTTAGGGACGTGTCTCGGCTGTTGGGACAACAAACCCATGTGCACCCCTCCATGTGGCGGTGCAGGTACCTCAGGTGAAGGAACGTGGGGAGTACCTCGCGGGGGACCTACAGTCAAGCCACAGCAGATTCTCGTCTCTCGCCAACTCCTGGAAGATAAGACTGATAACACTATCGATAGCAGAAGTATCGATAACGATATGTGGTTTATTCAATCGCCTAGCTTGTCGCTTTTTTCCCCTTCTATCACTCAGCTTCATCCTTTTCCCTCTCCCATCCTGCCCGTCTACGTTGCCTCTAGGTCCGACTTCCGATGTGTTAGGAAATATGGCCAAAGCCAATGATCTGAAGCGCCCTCGGGCGCAGCGCACCACCCCCAATGAGCTTGCGAGAGACGTTGAGCCTGTTGTCGAGCGGCCTACCAAGAAAGCCCGAATAGAGGAGAGCCGGTCTCTCTTTGTGCGATCGCTTCCACCTACTGCTACCACCGAGACGTTGGTCAACTTCTTTTCGCAGCATTTCCCGGTCAAACATGCTACAGTCATCCTAGACCCCCAAACCAAAGCCTCGCGCGGCTATGGATTCGTTACCTTCACCGATGCCGACGACGCCAGAGAGGCCAAGGATAAGCTTCATCACCAGAAACTGGACGGTCGCCCGCTGGTGCTGGAGATTGCAGAGCCTCGGCATCGCAAACCCGGCGCTGAGGCAGCCGACGCGACGGCCAAGAAGGCAGAGAGGCAGGCCATGCTAGCGGAGGCCCGCAAAGCACCAAAACTAATCGTTCGCAACTTGCCTTGGAGTATCAAGACGTCTGACCAGTTGGCCGCGCTGTTCCAAAGTTTTGGAAAGGTCAGATATGTCGATCTTCCAAATTCCAAAGGGAAACTGTCCGGCTTTGGCTTCGTCACCATGCGCGGTCGCAAGAACGCTCAGAGTGCGATGGAAGCTGTCAACGGAAGTATGGTCGATGGGAGGACTCTTGCCGTCGACTGGGCCGTCGATAAGCAAACGTGGGAGCAGCAGCAGCACAGCCAGGTGACGGATGGGCCTAAAGATAAAGACACGAAACCTACTGATTCAAACGAAGTGCCGAATGGTGAAAATGCGCCGTCTGATGACGAGGGCAAAGATCAGAGCAATGCGGAGGACGAGGAAGAAGACGAAGATTTAAGAAACTTTATGAAAAATCACATGGATAATCTCGAAGAGGAAGACAGTGATGCCGATGCAGACGAAGATGGATCCGAGGAAGACGATGCTGCCGCGGAGGACGAGCCCGCTCCGTCCAAAAAGCCATTAACAACAGATAACAAATCGACCCTTTTTATTCGCAACCTGCCGTTTACGACGACGGACTCGGAACTCAAATCTCACTTTGAGCAGTTCGGGCGTGTACGCTACGCTGGCATAGTGATGGACCGGGCGAGCGACCGACCGGCCGGCACGGGGTTTGTCTGCTTCGCTAGCGAGGACGATTCGAAGGCATGCCTTCGAGGCGCACCTCGTCCCCAACAGGCCGCCGCAAACAACCGGAAGTCCATTCTGCAAAACGAAATGGCGGACCAGCAGGGCAAGTACACGATCGATGGCCGCATCCTCCAGGTTTCTCAGGCTGTGAACAAGGACGAAGCGACTCGCCTTGCCGAGACGGGCGTAGCCGCACGACAAGGCAAGGACAGAGACAAGCGCCGATTGTATTTATTATCCGAAGGAACCATCGCCACGAATTCGCCCTTGTACGCCATGCTCGCGCCGTCGGAGGTGAAGATACGCGAGCAGAGCGTTTCGCAACGGAAAAAGCTTATCCAAAACAACCCCAGCTTACATATAAGTCTCACCCGCTTAGCAATTCGCAACATCCCGCGCGACATCGACTCCAAGAAACTCAAAGCCTTAGCCCGCGAGGCTGTTGTCGGGTTCGCGCGGGATGTCAAAGAAGGCCGCAGAGAGCCTCTTTCCAAGGAAGAATCCGCTCGAGGTGGCGAGGAAGACCGAGAAGCAGAACGTCGGCGGAAGGAGAAAGGAAAGGGCATTGTTAAGCAAGCGAAGATAATCTTCGAGACCAAGGAGGGTTCCAAGATCTCTGAGGCAGACGGAGCAGGCAAGAGTCGAGGCTACGGCTTCATCGAGTACTCCTCGCACCGATGGGCGCTGATGGGATTGAGATGGCTGAACGGACACGCATTGAAGAGCCCGGCGGGGAAGACTCAGCGATTGATTGTCGAGTTCGCCATAGAAAACGCGCAGGTTGTGGCAAGACGCAGGGAGCTACAGACGAAGCATCAGAAGCAAGGCGGCCAACGCCCCAAGGACCAAGATGAAGCGAGCGCAGGCACGAACACGGCTAGCACGAGAGGACCACGCTCTGGGTTCAAGGGAAAGGACTTTTCCGTGTCAAAGGGCCAGCGGCACAGGCAGAACGGGAAGGGGAACAAGGAGGATGTCGAGGAAGAGGGGGGCAAGGACGGTTCGGCACGGGATACCCTACAACAGACGATCATCGCGAGAAAAAGGATGATAAGGAAAAAGAAGGCCCAGGCTCGGCGATAGCAGGTACTTCACATATATCTATCATCAGTCTCAGGCACGGAGAGCGCTTTCTCTCTCCCAGGGACGTTAATACTCGGATAGATTCAATTAGTAACTTTGACTACTACCGAAACCGTGATGGAGAGTGGTACGTAAAGGATCGTATTATGTTACTTCAAGGAGCTGAGTGGCCGTTTTCTTTTTTGTCATTCGTCTCCTCCGAGAATGGGCGCGAGCGAGCGAGCGAGCGCGTGAGCAGGCGGGCGCGACAATCTCCCTAGCGTCCCGCCTGTATATATCCGACTACCTTCATTACCTTCATTTTGTCCAGAACCAACCGCCTAGTTTCTTATGCATGCGCGCCGTGGATCCCCCGTCTGCGTCCTCGCTGACGCTGGAGGAGGTGACGGACTCCACGCCCGACGCCGCGCTGTCCTCGGGGAACATGCGCGACCACGTCCGCGTCGTCGACTCACCCCGGCCCACCAGGTTGCCGTCCGCATCGTACTGCCGCGTCGTCGTCGTGACCTCGGCCCCCCTTTTGTCGTTGTGCTGCTGCACCGTCTTCACGATCTTACCGCCGTCCGGCGTCGAGATCGTGTGTGTCCCCGGTGTTGTATCCTCCGCGTGTGCGAAGACGTCGCCCCAGCTCGTGTTTGCGCTCGCCCTCCCGGCCACCCGCGCTCGGGATGCGTTGGCCCCCGCGCGACTATCCGTCGCAAAGTCGGACTGAATCGCATCGTACAGGTCGCCCTCGGAGTCGGGCTCCCGGCGCGGGGACGCCTCGGCGGCGGGGCGGCGCTGGCACGCGCCGTGCCGCCCCGTCCAGGCGTGCGGGCGCTCGTCCCAGCCGTCGCGGTCGCCGCCGAAGAAGCGGAGCTCGGCGCGCGGCCAGGCCCAGACGTCGGGGGTGCGGAAGACGGCGTCGCGGGCGGGGGGCGGCCAGCCCCAGGGGAAGGCGTCGGCGCCGCGGCGGCGGGCCAGCTCGCGGCGGGCGGGGGGCGAGAGCGAGAAGTAGGCGTCCCAGAGCCGGCGGCGGGCGAGGTCGGCGGCCCAGTCGCCGACGGGCAGGCCGTCGCCCGGGAACTGGCGCGCGCGCTCGAAGCGCCGCGCGAAGAGCAGCTGCTGCAGGTCCGCCGCCGGCTGCCCCGCCCCCGCCCCGAGCAGGTCCTCGAACGCGTCCCGGAACGTGAAGCAGTCGGCGCAGCCCCGCGGGGCGTCGCGCGGCCGCGGCTGCGCCAGCGTCTGCAGGTTCAGCGGCGAGTACGGCGACGTCGCCGCCCACTCGAGCACGTCGGCCGCGGGGACTGCCTCGCGCGGTGCGGGGGGTGCGGGCGCGGGGGTGGGTCGGTCGAGGCTAGTGGTGGTGGTGGTGGTGATACTCCTGTTGCCGTTGGGTGGGGCGTCGTTCTGGTACTGGTACTGCGTCTCGGTCGACACGGTCGACACGGTCGACTGGACGATGGCCTGGAAGCCCCTGTGGATGTTGTTGTCCACGTGGTTCTTGAACCGGACGAACGGGTTGCCCGACGGGTCGTCGGAGGGGTCGCGGTCGACAGCCATGGCGCCGCCCGGGCCTTGCGTGGGCACGATGTCGTCGGTCTAGATTAGTTCGAGGCAGGCGGTCCGCGAGAATGCGGGTGCAGCGGTGTCGAGGAGCACAGGAGAGGAATTATTAGGCTTGTGGTGGCCGTGTGGTAATATAGGGGCCAGGTGCGGTTGTGGGAGAGAGAGGTTCTGACCGAGCTTGCCGGTGAAGTGCGGGACAATGTCACGGAGATGAACGGATTCCTCGGTCGAGACGCTGAGCTGGGGAGTGGGTGCCTAGGTGCCTTATAAGAGCCCCTCGCCTACACTGCCTCATGGAGTGCCGACCGGAAGAGGTATGGAAGTTTCTAGGTGAGAGGCTCCAGGAGAGTTTCAGAAGTGGGGTGATGTTCGGCGGACGCAACGGGGGGCGACAGCGGGGTCACTTCCACACCTACGTGTATATGGGGTTACTCCGGGCCAGGAGGTTAGGTTAGTGTGAGTACCTACGGTATTCGCAGTACAGGCACCTTTAGCACGTGGCGGGCGCTATGCTCATAGGTACGTTAGGCACCTCCTTAAGTACCTCCCCGCTATCGCATCTAGGTAGGCTACCCTCTTATGTACCTGATGCGGTTCCGGTTCCTGCATGGGCCATCGATGGAGCCTGTGGAGCGTCCATCCATGCGCCTGGATGGCTACCTGCCCGATGCTACCCTCTACCGGGAACCGGCTGTACCTAGTTGGGGACAGCTTGTAATATCATCATCCATCATCGCACACCAGCTACCAATCCTTCGTCCTTCGTCCTTCGCCCCATCGCCCTACTCACCGACCAACATCCCCCCCCTCGCAGACCATGGAGAATAGGTAGCGTCGGCGCCCTTCGTTATTCTGTTTTCCCAATCGTTCCAATACCCCGAAAACCACCCTGTGCGCTCGCTGTTGGACATGCACCGTCACTATGTCTTCTCCGTCTTCAGCGCCTCGACTCTACTCCTCGTCCTAGCCAATTTGCTCGTGCCTGTCGCCATCCTCACCTTTGCTGTCGGTTTCTTTCCCTACAAGCCCTTCCTGCCTGGTCTCGCCGAGTATGAGCCGCTCCCCGAATACGGATCCCCCCCCGATGCGCCGTTTGACCGCTTAGTGTTTATGGTCATCGATGCCTTGCGCAGGTTCGTGCCCCGGTCGCATGTCCCGCCAGCCAGGGCGTGCTGGTTGCGTGCACACCTCGGCCGCGACTGACTGTCTCTAGCGATTTCGTCTACCTCAATGGCTCCGGTTTTGAATTCACGCAGAGGTTAGGGGAACGGGCGAGCGCGGCGCCGGCTCTTGTCGCTGACATGGGAGCCTAGACTGATTTCTGATGGAGTCGCCATTCCCTTTACCGCCCGCGCGACGTCGCCGACCATCACGATGCCGCGCATCAAGGCCATCACCACCGGCTCGACTCCCTCCTTCCTCGACGCCATCCTCAACTTCGACGAGGCTGACACGTCCTCCACCCTCGCCGCTCAGGATACTTGGCTGGCGCAGATGAAGGCGAAGGGGACGGGAAAGCTAGTCATGTACGGCGACGATACGTGGCTAAAGCTGTTCCCCGGCGTGTTCGATCGCGCGGATGGCACCTCTAGCTTCTTCGTCTCCGATTTCACCGAGGTCGACAACAATGTGACGCGACATGTCCCCGGCGAACTGCGAAATGACGACTGGAATACCATGGTTCTGCACTACCTCGGCCTCGATCATATCGGCCACAAGACGGGGCCCCGGGGCCCGAATATGATCCCAAAGCAGCGTGAGATGGATGATATAGTTCGGCAAATCTACGAGGCCATGGAAACGCAACCCCACCTCCAGTCAACCTTGCTGGTCTTCTGCGGTGACCACGGCATGAACGACGCCGGTAATCACGGCGCCTCTTCCCCAGGGGAGACCTCGCCCGCTTTAGTGTTTGTATCACCCAAGTTGAAGGCTATCTCGAAACCCGTCAAGGTACCGGCAGACTTCGCGGAGGATTTCCAGTACTACGCCGTCGTAGAACAATCCGACCTTGCCCCGACGTTAGCCGCCTTGCTAGGCTTTCCGGTGCCCAAGAACAGTCTGGGATCCTTCATGCTGGATTTCCTAGATTTCTGGCCCGAAAGCAAGTGGATGAACACCCTTGGCCACCGGGGATGATCCTACTAACGGCTCCTAGAACACGATAAGCTCCAAATACTTGTGCGCAACGCACGACAAATCCTCGATATCGTTACGGCAACTTACGGTAACCCATCCCCCGCGGGAAAGCAGCACAGCCCGAGCTGTCTTCACCCTGCCTCGATAGCCGAAGAATTGGTGTGTGAATGGAGGCATATCAATCACCCCGCCGAGAAGATATCAGCGGAAGACCAAGAAGACCTGTGGATCGAGGATGCGTCAAAGGTGCGGGCAAATCTAGGAGCCTATTCCACAGCCGAGGCCGGCGTTTCCCCCCCCTTTTTTTCTAACGAGTAATAGTGGCTTGTCAAGGTGCAAACCTTGATGAGCGGTATGGCTAGCAACTACGACATGCCGAAGCTGCTATACGGTGGGGTGGCCGCGGCAGCCGCCTCAGCCGCCGCAGTATTGGCAGTTTTTGCTGCAGCTCCCATATCGATCGCTGATATAGCGCCGCTAAGCCTAGTCACAGTGCTCTACGGCATCATGATGTTTGCTAGTAGCTTTGTCGAAGAGGAACACCATTTTTGGTACTGGGCCACTTCGGCGTGGCTCTTTTACCTTGCCATTAGGTCGTAAGGGGTTCCATCCAAGTGCATGTTATCTCGCGCCGTAGGGCTAACCCGGGAATAGAATCTCCAGGACGACAGTCAAGTCTCTCGCGGTAGCCTTAACCGCGCTATGCGCCATGCGAATCGCCCGGGGATGGAACCAGACTGGACAGAAATTCGCCGGCGAGCCGGACATCGTGACGAGCCTCCTGGCGCCGAATCCGTCGCTGCTCTGGTTTCTCGTCATCGCGACGTATGCGGCGGTATCCCGGGGCTTGTTTACGAGCCTTGGGGATATACCAACCGTCGTGTCAGGATCGGTCGTCGCGGGGCTCGTCATCTCGGCGATGTCTTTCAAGCTCGCCTTCACCAACGAAGACGCACCCGAGCTGGTGGTCGGTTTTGCGAGGTTGCTGGCGAATATGTTTGAGGGCCCGCCGCTAGTCCATCGCGCCAGGGCCGTCTTCCTTGGCCTGGGGCTCACATTAATCTACCCCCTGTATATTCTCGGGGTTCGGAGGACCACAATCTCCAGAGACCAGGGTGAGATGCGTCGTTGTAATGAATAAGCGCGTTGGGCTCGCTGACGTCAATCTGTTCTAGCTATGCGGACTCTGCACCATCTGTATACGTTGTTTGCATTGACGCAATCTCGAGTGACGAACGCGCCGCTCTTCTTGTTGTTTCAGACCATCTACTGGTCCCTAAGCGAGCTGGGCCTAGGACCGGGGGAGATCACGATATCCTCACTGCTTCTGCAGTTTTCCTCCTTCTTCGCGATGGGGGGATCGAACGCGATCTCGGGCGTGGACCTGTCGAACGCGTACAACGGCGTGAGCGGGTTCAACATCGTCGCCGTGGGCGTCCTGACGTTCCTCAGCAACTGGGCCGGCCCCGTCTGGTGGGTGTCGGCGGCGAACCTGCTCCTGCTGGCGTCTGCGAAGCGCGGCGGCGGTGGCGGCCACGCGTATGGGCAGCACGCGGCGGGGCTGACAGCGTTTGCGACGGTCAGCCTCGGGTTCGTGATGGTGGCGTGCACGACGCTGAGGACGCACCTGTTCATCTGGACGGTGTTCTCGCCTAAATACCTGTACAGCATGGCGTGGAGTTTAGGGCAGCATCTTATTATCAATCTAGGGTTCGGGGGTCTGCTGTACGGGCTCGGCTGCTGGCGCGATGTGGCGCGTGGTAAGTAAGTCTACTACGTACGGTCTATGATCGCATCAGGCTGGGCACCACGGTGTCGGCACCTAATCTGCAAGGTCAGGCCTGCGGTTGGGCAATCTAGTAGCAGCTGTCGAACCCTGTCTACCTAGGTATCTGCAACCTGGCGTTACGGTAGTAACGAGCATCTCAAGACGATCATGCCATACTCATAGCGACAACTACCTTCCTGCCTGCCTATTGCTAATATAATTGTCCGTCAATCTCGGATCGTTTCCGCAAAACAGGACAAATGACCATGATGTGACAGCAGACCCCCTCTCTCTTTTGTTCGTCCGGATAGGTTGATCAGTTCCCATCTTACGGAGGGTATTATGGAGGGTATACACCCCCCCCCCCCCTGCTAACTGGTCTACTGAAAGGGGTTGGTACAGGTAGGAGGTACCTAATGTAGTGTGGAATTAGGTACCTATAGCGGGACAGATCAGTCAGCCAGCATATATGTTCCCAAGGTGGTTGCTCTATACGTGCCTAATCTAGGTACTACCAACATGGATGTTAGGTACCTTAGGTACCTAGATACCTCCTAGCAGCCGCTATTGCGCGAAGCCTAGGTGGGCCCGTCCGGTACTAACAATCCCACGTATTGGGTGTCTACTATATGACCTCCTAGCCCAGATCTTGGGGGTCATGTGGCTGTCTTCCTAACCGGTTCTACTAACCTGGCTGCACGCCATCCTGTCACCGTCACCGTCACGGCCAGCGTCCACAGCAGGTTCGGCACCTGGACACACACACCTTTCAGGTAGCGTGATTCCGCAACCTGGCTAGCATCTGGCATCGCTAAATCCTCGCCTGTCAGCACGATCAGAACGGCTAAAATTACGGTAATACCCTGTATAGGATGGGTGGAGGGTAGACGGCTGAAAATGCTGTGGCATGCTACCTAAATAAACAGGTACCTGACCCTCAGAACGCAGTACCTCCGGTACGTAACCCAGTCTAAGGGTACCTCCAAAACGTCCATCGTAAGCTCGCTCGACGGGATATTATTTATCATTCTCGTTATTATTTAATTTTTCCTTCTCGCAGTTTCGTGACCCGTGTCATCTCAACGGCCGCCTGCCCGCTCTCATTCGCCCTTCTTCCCATCCAATCCCTCTTCTCTTCCCCTACCGAGTTTAATGCAGCCTCGTAATTTACCACCGTTGCTATATTCGGCCGCTTCTGTTCTCTGTCGCTCTCTTCCCTCCCCTTTCCCTTCCCTTCCCTTCTTTTCTCCTCTCTTTCCTTCTGCTTCTCCCCCTTTTCCTTACCCGTCCCGTCTACAGCCGTGTCGTCGGCTCCCGAACGTCTGTTTCCCCAACCTGCACGCATCGCGGACCTTTGTAACCGTCGTCATGTCCGCCATTCGCCAGCTCTAGAGACCGATTACGTCCCCGCTGCGACCCGCCCGTACCTCTTGGCCGGGGTTCGCCGCCAGATCGCGCGCCCACAACCCGCTACCGCCGCGACCACGAACCCGGCTGCGCGAATCGCAACCGCCACCTCGACCTCCGCCTCCGCCCCGCTCCGCACACGCACCGCCCCCCCTCGACGGACATGTTTCGCTGGGTTGAATCATGTGGCGGCGTATCTACATGCTCCTGCTTCTAGTCCGGCTATGGTTCGCCCTCTCGCCGAGCTATCTCCACCCCGACGAGAACTTCCAGGGCCCCGAGGTCATCGCTGGTAAGCGCAGCCCGCACCGTACCTGCTCGGCCCACCGACTGACCGGCTTGCGCATATCTCAGGTCAGATCTTCGACTACCCCGTGCGGCTGACCTGGGAATTCACGAGCGAACACCCCATACGCAGCGTCTTCCCCCTCTGGCCCGTCTACGGGCTACCTATGCTCCTCCTGCGATGGCTGTGGATCGGAAACGGTAACGATGGCGAGATACCGCCCATCGCCGTCTTCTGGACGCTGCGCGTTCTCATGTTCGTCGTCAGCTTCGTGCTGGAGGACGGGGCGATCCAAGAGCTGGTCGAGTCGCGCCACCGCGCCGCCGCCGCCTTGCTGGTAGCCTCCTCGTACGTGACTTGGACCTTCCAGACCCATACCTTCTCCAACTCGATCGAGACCCTCGTGGTGTTGTGGAGCCTAGTGCACATCGACCGCATCCTCAAAGCTCCGGTACGTTCTACGCGCCCAAGAGGCTGCCCGCATATCCGGGCTTGTGGGGGAAACCCGTCGCTGAACCCAAGCAGGCATCTAGGTCTTCCCTATCGGCGTCGGCGGCCGTCGGCATCCTAGCCGTCTTCGGCGTTTTTAATAGAATCACTTTCCCTGCGTTTTTACTAATTCCTGGACTTCAATTGATACCCCATTTTCTAAAAAAGTACGGCTGAGTAACTCCCTTCTCGTCCCCGCCCTGGGAAATTGCTAACTTGTCGGCCTTCGAAGACCTTTGTCATTCGTTGCCATGGCAGCGTCGGGGCTTCTCGCCCTCTTAATAGCCATCTCCCTCGATACGTCTTTCTACACGCCGCACTCGATTACTTGGTCGGATCTCTTCCTTCATCCGGTGGTTACGCCGCTGAATAATCTCAAATACAACATCTCGCCCGCGAACCTGGCACAGCACGGGCTGCACCCCCGGTACCAACATGTTCTGGTCAACCTCCCTCTGCTCATAGGACCCGCCGTCGCCCTGCTGTTCGCGAAGCCGCACCGATCCCGCCGCCTCTATTCGGCCATGTCAGGAACATTCGTCCTATCCATCTTTCAGCATCAAGAAGCGCGCTTCTTGCTTCCAGTCGTCCCTCTCCTCCTCTCGTCCGTGCGGCTCCCGAAGAACCCCACCTATCGGAATGTATGGGTTGGCGCCTGGGTATGCTTCAACGCGACCCTCGGTTTGCTCATGGGGGTGTATCATCAGGGCGGCATCGTCCCCGCCCAGGTATTCATGAGCAACCAGCCGGACGCGACGCAAGCTATCTGGTGGAAGACCTACATGCCGCCGATCTGGCTCCTCGACGGCAAGAACGAGGTCCTACGCACCGAGGACGTGGCGTCGATGGAAGGGGGCGCGCTCTTCGAGAAGCTGGAGGGCCTGGCGACGTGCGACACTCCGGCCGATAGGAGGAACCGCGAGTACCTCAAGGAGTCGAACGGCACGTACCTAATCGCGCCACTCTCGTCCACGTGGCTCGATCCGTTCCTAGATAACAAGGGCCTCGACGGGCTCCGGTTTCGGGAGGTGTGGCGGCACAGCAGCCACCTGAATCTGGACGACCTGGACTGGGCCGAGGACGGGTTCTGGCCGACGCTGACGAGGGTCGTCGGCAGGCGAGGGCTGGCGGCGTGGCGGGTCACGAAGAGCTGTGGCCGGCGCGGCAAGAAGAAATGAGCGTGAGGAGGATGAGAGCCGTCCAAATATGAACGGCGATTTCTAGCCAGCTAGCTAAGCTCTTGTACCTATCTACATATCTAGGTACCTAAAAAGGAATCTCAGTACATGACCTACGGCTTGTAAATAATCTTACTTCGTCTTCGGCTTGATGTACTTTATCCGGGGGCATGTACATAAGGAGGCTAAATACCTACGGATTTTGCCGGTATTGCGTGGGTATATCCGGCTAGCTTGCACACCTGGGCACCTGTTAGTGTAGGTACACCTAGAGAACACCTAGTTCACAACCCGTGATATATGCATCTCGAAATATATGCATATTAAAGCACCCCACTCGTACGTTATGTACTTACTAGGTGCCCGTCTCTCTCTTTTCTCCCCTCTTTCACTGGTCGATACAACCAATCAAAGCAAATCCGCCCGCCTCAATAGATACATACGTGCCTGTATAGGTAGAAAGCCGTCGGGACGGCCGCGCCAATGAGCAACTAAGCTTTTGTCATATACAACGACGTGAAAGCTACCCTCAAGACTTCGCTGCCGACGTGCTACTCGCCTCTTACCTCTTCGCCGTCCCCCATTGAAGCTTGCGCTTTCCGTTTCAACGTTTTTGCGCATACCGCCCGATCGGGTCGACTGATCGCACGATGGGCGGCGTGAACCTCGAGGTCTTCAAGGTACGCCCCTCCCCCGCCTCCGCCCCCTCCCCTTCCTCTCTCCCTCCTCTCCTCGGGGGTCCCCCAGGCTCTTCTCTCCCTCGCTAAAAAACAGCCACGGGGCACACGCAGTTCGGCATATACGTCATGTTCCCGATCGGGATCATGTACTACTTCGGGACGAACCTCGACGAGCGGTTCGCGGTGCCGGAGTTCTGGCCGCGGCCGGAGCAGGCGCACCGCGTGCCGTTCGACCGCGACGAGATCCGCGCCGAGCTCGAGCGCCTGCGCGCGCGCCGCCTCTACCTGCGCGACCAGCGCCTCCAGAACGAGCAGCAGCAGCAACCGCAGCGGCAGCAGCACGGCCACCACGAGGACGCCGACGGCGAGTAGGGCCGACGGCGACGGTTGGGGATGACTGCGGTACGGTGAGGGGGGGGGGGACTACTCGGCGGAAACGATTACAGTTACGGGCATTGGATCTAGGCGTTTACGGGCGTTTGGGGGGGCGGAGGTTTAAAGAAGAAGAGGGGAAAGAAAAAAAAAAGGGTGGAGGAGAGGGAAGATCTTTGGCCATTCTTAGCAGGGGTATATGTATATACGATTGTCGCCGCCCTCCTCCCGGGATGCTCGGGTCGGAGACGCCGGCTAACAGACTCATCGTCTCTCTCCGCTCTACCTGAAGGCGGATTTGAAACGGGGGGACTCTTCCCGGCCCCTACGAGATATGTATATTGTACAGTATGGCCGCTCGCGCATAAGAGGCAGTCCCGTTACGACACGCAACTATGCACTTAATACAAGAGCGGACTGGGTGGAATTAATCGAGGTACTCCTCTATCGTCCTCCAGGTGTCTTCCGATACCGCCCCGCGTTCGGCGTTCGCGCTAGATAGCGTCCGTTTGTCAGCGACATCGATCTGCGGAAAGCCCCGGTTTGCGGATGGGCTGCTGCTGCGAGATGTACTCACTAGATTCCCTGCACATCGGCATGTGCTCGCAGATCTAATAGGAATTTGCCTATAGCTGTCGCCTCTTCCTCGTCATCGAGCTTTATCTTGTCAGCCGTGGGCGTCCATACGATATCGGCGCCGAGGACCTCGGTGGACAGCGCCTTGCTCATGTTCTGGGCAGCCTGGTGGGTCATGTTGGGCTGGGTCCACAGGACGATGTCGCCGTTCTCGTCCTGCTCGACGTCATCGGCGCCGGCCTCGAGGGCCTTCATCAGGACGTCGTCGAAGTCGCCGTCCCGGCCCTCGAGCAGGACGCGGCCCTGGCGCGTGAACAGGAACGCGGTCGACGCCGGCGCGGCGCTGTGGCGCTTGCAGATGGCGCGGACCTCCACCATCGCGCGCGGCTTGCGGTCCGTCTCGACGTCGATGAGGAAGCCGACCGACGGCGGCATGATCACCTCGATCGTGAGGCTCTCGAGGCCCTCGCCCGTCGGCGACCGGCCCTGGCCCCTCGCGATCGCCCTGTCGATGTTGGCCTTGGGCACGCCGGCTGCCGCGCGCAACTTTGGTCAGAGACTGGCCGGCTGTGCGTGCGTATTCGCGCCCCCGCCGCTTCCGAGATCGGAGAGAGTGCACCTACCTTTCTTCGCGACCGCGATCACGGCCGCCAGCTGGGGGTTGTTATTCGGATCGGGGCCGTAGACTGTCGGGGCCGCATCAGCGCCGCGGCGGGACCGGGAGGGTAAGGGTGGGGGAGGAGGGGGGGCGGCACGGACGTTTGGAGAAGAGGGTCATGTTCTGGGAGAAGCTGTTTCGCTGGAGGTTCTTCTTCCGGTCGGCCGCGCCCTTCTCGTGGCGGACCTTCGACCAGCGGTTGTGGCCGCTGCGGGACGCCGGGCTCGACACGAAGGACCGGCGGCACTGGGCGCATACGGAGGAGGCGGAGGCGGAGATGGCGAAGGCGGAGAGGGGCGCCGCCGTCGACCGGGCCGGCGCCAGACCCCAGCGGCGGAACAGCTGCAGTTGCGTGGAGGCCGACATCTCGACGACACCGACTGCCTGCCCACGTAAAGGAGTGGTGGGAGCGGGCTGCGTAGAATTCGGCAGGTGGAGAGGAAAAAGAGATTTAAACAAACAAATAAATAAAAAGGTAGCGGTGCAGAAACAAATGTATCGTCGCCGCAATGTTCGCGCATGTAAGTAAGAAGCTATGTTGAGATAATAGGTGAGGTCTATCAACGATGGTATACGTCAGAGGGTGTCTTTTTTTTTCTTCGCGATGGTAAAAAAAAAATGAAGTAGCAATAACTAGGTACGCAAAGCGGGTAATCCAAGCTTAAAGTGGATGCGTCAAGTTAAGCTTCCTCAACGCGGGCGGTTGCATCGTTAAGCGCATATTCCCACCTAGGCAAGTGGGTAGGTTTGCGGGCAAATTTGTCTGCGATGATTTGCCTTCGAGGCGGGCAAATTATAGGTACGAATGGATGTTACCTTAGTTCGAGGTATCTTGGGTTGAAAAAAAGTAAAAGTTTCAAGTTAAGTTTCTATTTTCACAAACTGAAGCTAAGCTAAGTTAAGTTAAGTTTTTAAGAAACTTAACTTGAGAGCTTTTTTCTACAACCCTTGGTGTAGGTACCTCCTCTAGGAGAAGTATAAGCATGCATTTCGATAATCCCGCGATATGCATAGGTAGGTACCTACGTACCTCACCTAATTATGGTCTTATCGATAAAGAAAGGTCCCATGTACCCCCGTACACTAGCAGGAGAGTTGTTTCATCCCGTATATTCGTACCCGGGTACCTGTGTCCACAGCTCGCCTCCGTTCCTCCTACATCTACACAATTTCAATGCGACGAAACCCCCTCCTATACCATCCCGACGACACCACACCTTTCACCCTCTCTGGTCTCCTTGCCCTGGAATTCGCAACCGCCCGCTGGCCCTCCTCCTCCCGCGCGCTAGAAAGAGATATATCTCGTATCCATGATATCCCATGTCCTCGCCAGGCTCTCCTCCCCGCGACTCTGACGGGGCAGCTCCCCGGGCTGCGTCCCCTATCGCCGTCCACCCTCCTCCTCCTCCTCGGCACGCCGAAACGTCCAATCCGGAACTCGACCTCCAGAAGCTCCAGTCGCTCCCCGCCGAGCAGCAGGACCTGTTTCTCCTCAACTTCGTCTCCGCCCTAACCAAGCATGTCCACGACCTGTCGGCAGACGACTGCACCGCCCAGCAGTTCTACCTCAAGAAGGAGGTCTTCCAGGTCATCAACCTCGCCACGCCCTCGCCGAGCCGCGTCATAAGGACCAATCTGGGCAAGATACTCGCCCATGTCTTCGGCAAGGGCGATAGGAAGCTACTCTTCGACACCATCAACGAGCTGGTCGCCATCGCTTCCGGCGGCAAGACCAAGACCGACGCCGAGATCCGAACCAAGCACGCTGCCGTTAGCTGCTTAGGCGATGTCTATGCTGCTGCCGGTGACAGCGCCATCGGCTTGCACCAGCTGGTCTGCGGCACCCTCGTCAAGCTGCTCAAGTCGTCCCAGACCCATGCCGGCTTCCGCGCCGCCGTCCTCGTCTCCCTGGCCAAGATTGTGGGTATGGTGCGAGGGAGTCTGGACGATACTATCGCGAGAGACATCTGGAAGCAGGCGCGAAATGCGGCATCTAGCGACAAGGGGTCTCTCGTCGTAACGTCCGCCTGTCGCTGTTTGAAGCTGCTGTCGAAGTACACCGCGCACTTCGACAATTCGGGCGATTTCGAAAACCTCAAGTCAACTATTTTCAAGGCCATCGACTCGAGCTCCTCGCACGTGAGACATGCTGCTGCTGATTGCCTGGCTGAGGCCATGGTGAAGAACCACTCCGAATCCGCGCTCGCGGCCGGCTCCGCGCCCAAGATCAAGAAGCCCAAGTCCAAAGCCAGCAAGAGGATTTCCACCCAGTCAGGCGTCGTGCTCGACGAGGATGAAGAGATCCCGTCGCGGCCTGGGAGCCCGGCACCCGGGAAGAAAAGCCAGGATCTGGTGCTGTCGCTGAGCGACATCTTCAGGACCCTGAGTGCCCAGTACGTCCGGTTGTCTACCGCTAATAAGGCCAGAGCGGCCATCGGTGTTTGTTACGGTAGGGTTCTCAAGCGGCTGGGAGAGAAGTTCGTCGAAACCAACTATCTGAGGATTGTCGAGCACCTCACCGTCGACCTACTTGGCCACCAAAACATTATCAATAATCGGTATAGGCTCCTCATATCGCGTCGCATTGTTGATACTATCCTACAAGTCGTGCTCGGCCGCAAGATTCTGGGCGAGTCGGGACAGATGTCCGTAGCTAAGGTGCTGATCAACGACATATTGAAGAATTATCCTCAAGTAGTGAAAGAGCGGCCCGAGCCGACGAAGTACACCTTAACTGCTTCCCTCGGCGCCCTGGCTTCGCTCATCCGATCGCTCGGGTCTGCTGCGAACAACTTCGCCGAATCCTGCCGCGACGGGCTCCTACAGATATTACAGCATCCCAGCTATAGCGTTCAAGTTTCCGCTTCATATTGCATGAAGACCTTTGTTCTAGCGTGTCCGCAGCAATTATTGCCGTGTTTATCCGTCTGTATGAATAGCCTCAGTAGGGAGCTGTCTCTGCTCGGCGGCCCACGGAGCTCACCTAGAAGGTGTATCGGGTTTGCTTACGGGTTGGCCGCAACTCTCAGCGCGAGTCCGGCTCGTCCTCTGTACGGCTCCCTCGATATTAATAACCGAGTGTATTCCATGGCGACGAACCTCCTTAAGACGAGCGGGCAGTCGGAGCTTCGCGTCTCGAGTAGCCAAGTTCAGGTCGCGTGGATTCTCCTCGGGGGTCTCATGTCTCTCGGACCCAACTTTGTCAAGATACACCTTTCTCAACTGCTCGTGCTCTGGAAGAATGCCCTCCCCAAACCGTTGGCCAAAGACAATTTCGCTCATCGCAATATCCTCGAAGTTTCCTACCTCACTCACGTTAAAGAATGCGCGTTGGGCTCTATTCTCTCTTTCCTCCAGTTCAACGGCCGCTTGCTGACGGTCGACGTGTCGAAGCGCATCGCCACCATGTTGCAAAACACCAGCGCATTCCTCAAGATGCTCCCTCAAAAGAAGACTACCGACGACATTGCCCAGAGGTTGATCCCCGCTTTGCAACTACAAGATCTAGATATGATGGTACAGCGACGGGTCCTACAATGCTACATCATGCTAGTAAACCAGAGCCCCCCCGGGGGCAGCGAGGCATTGCTCCAATCTAACCTCCTTACCCTCGCCATATCCCTCTTCGCCGATCCTGAGAACTACGCAGCGAACTCGTTAAGCGCCTCCATCGCCAACGCCGCAGGGACTTTTGAGACCATCTGGGAGGTCGGCGACAACTCTGGCTTCGGGGTCAACCATCTCGTTCGTGGCTTTAAAGTCAAGAGACTCCCCGGGCAGAAGGACGAAACGGCCGAGAACCCGGAAACCGACGAGGCCGACGCCGACGGAATCATCGATGGCCTCCTCTTATCTCCAATCTGTCCATCGCTAGAACACGATGCCGCCATCCTCTACGTGGGCGAGGCGGACCCGTCCATGCGCCTTCCAGATCCCGCGGCCACCGAGGTCGTAAATATGGCCATTCAACTATTCGCTTTCGTCTTCCCCCTAACGCCAGCCAAAGTCCAGGAGAGCGTTCTCGAGCAGATCGCGACGTTCGTCTCGGCTGGCTCCTTGCAGCGTGACCCTGGACGCAAAGCGGCTATCAACGTCAACGTTGCCTGTGCCCTGCACTTTGCGTTAATCGTCGCGGTCAAGGAGACGCAGTCTCCGTCTGGCGATATCACGAACATAGCGGTGGAAAGACTCCTGCAGGAGATGGCCAGGGGGTTCGTGGTCGACCCAGACCAGTATATCCGCAGCTTAGGCTACGCGGCGATTGCTCGCCTCTGCAACGCTTGTGGTAACTCGTTCACCAACAGCGAGATCAAGTTCCTAGTGGACACCATCGTGAGCAATAGGGAGCCCACCGCTCGCGCGGGATGCGCAATGGCCCTCGGTTCCATCCAGGCCAAAGTCGGCGGCATAGGAGTAGGGTACCATCTGAAAACCATCACTGGCATCTTGATGTCGCTGTGCAATGATCCGCATCCGACGGTGCATTTCTGGGCTCTCGAGGCGCTGGCCCACTCGGCCGACGCTGCCGGTCTGGGCTTTTCCCCGTATGTTTCTGGGACCTTGGGGATGGTGTCCCAGCTCTATCTTTCCGACACCCACCACCCCGAAGTATCCTCTGCGATTTCCATGAGCCTAGAGATGGAGCTGTCAACCACCGCCGCGATAACGCGCTGCCTCGATTCCATAATAAACGTTGTGGGCCCAGACTTGCAAGACTCTACGAAATCGCGAGAGCTGATTCTCGCCCTTATCGGACAGCTACAAAGCGAAGAGGACATTCTGGTGCAGCGCGAAAGCCTAGCGTGTCTGGAGCACTTATCCCTATACGCCCCGGGGCACATGGTCTTCGGCGACTACGTCCGGACGCTACAGAAATATCTCAACTCCGAAGTCCCTAGCCTTCGGGATGTGGCGGTGGACGGACTTTATAATCTGATGAAGAGGGACTCTCGCGACGTGCTCGAAGCAGCGGAGCCAGGCTTCGAGGAGCAGCTATGGTTCGTCCTCGACGTATCGCCCGACCACGACGGGATTCGCAACGTCATCCGTAACTGGTTGCGCCAGACCGCCTTGACGGATACCGGATCTTGGCTCGCCCGCTACCAGAACGTGCTGAAGATGACGCGGCCGAAAGCAGCCGAGGAACCGCGCAGCACCATCAAGCCAAGCGCTACCATCGATCTGCAGGACGAGGAGGTCGCCGGTTTCGCTGCCGCCGCCGGGGCCGCTAAAGACGAGAAGGACTCGGCGTCGAGCTCTGAGATGGAACCTCTGCGTTGGCAAGTGAGGACGTTCGCGATGAGCTGCCTTAACGAGATATTCGTCCTGATCAACAAGGATATCGCAATAAATGGAGAGTCGCAGGCCCAGTCTGTCCTGCAGGCGAGGATCGCAGACGTCATCCGGATGGCATTTTCGGCCTCGACGTCGAGCGTGCTAGAGCTGAGAATATGGGGGTTGAAGATCATCGGCGCTGTGCTGAGGATGTTTGGGAAGACTCCGGATCCCGACTTCGACGAAGCAATGCTTCTCGAGCAGTACCAGGCGCAGATCGGCTCGGCATTGACCCCTGCTTTCGCTGCCGACTCTTCTCCTGAGCTCGCCGCGGAGGCCGTCAACGTGTGTGCCGCTTTCATCTCGACTGGTATCGTGACGGACGTGGACCGCATGGGCCGTATTCTGAAGACACTCGTCACGGCGCTCGAAAACTTCTCGACGGACGTAGAGAATGCCGGGATCGGCGACCTGAAAGGTCTCAGCTCCAACGCCCAGGTTATGGTCAAGATGTCCGTGTTTTCGGCCTGGGCGGACCTTCAGGTAGCTAGCTCGGAGCAGAAGTACCTGCTTGATGTGTTAAAGCCTCACATCGGGACGCTTACACCGTTGTGGCTGGCTTCACTGCGAGAATTTGCCCGACTGAGGTTCGAGCCGGATATCTCGATGACTCTCGGCCCGCCGTCCATGTCTGGTAGCCTAGACACTATATATGCAGCCCTCAACCGGGAGACACTGCTTAAGTTTTATCAAGAATCATGGCTTAAACTGGTTGACGCCATCGCAAGCCTCATAGAGCAAGACAGCGAATTCGTATTCGACGCCCTGGACGGAAAGGAAGCCGACGCATCGGCCCCCAACGGGAACGCTAAGAGCGCCGACATTAACTACCGCGACGAGCCGGTTGCCTTCTTCTTTGTACTATTCGGGATCGCCTTCGAGGCGCTCGCGACGAGGTCGAACCAAGCCGATTCGCTGGCCACCCAGGAGCAGACGCTAGAGATACTGCAGGCTCTTAAGAAGATTTTGCACCCCAGCGTCTCGGGCCACGCCATCTACCGAGACGCCATCTTCTCCGAGACGATGGATCTGCTAGACCGTCTCGTCCTGACCGAGAGGCTCGACGTGCAGGGCGTCATCGTCGAGATTGCTCGCGCCCTCTGCGTCGCCCACCCCTCGGCGAGGAAGCAAGAGCAGGCCGAGGAGGGCGACTTAACCGAAGACATCGAGCAACTCTTCGAGCTCACGAGGATCATCGTATTGGTGCTCTCGGGGCTGTTGCCGAATTTGACCGGAGCCAACCAACCGGTGCGCCACCATCTGACCGAAGAAGCCGTCCTCCTCGTCAGGACCGGACTGAGTTCCATCGTAGACGCGGCCGAGGTGTTCCCGACGATCATCAAGACGGACTTGCACGCGTGCATAATCCACATCTTTGCCACCATACTCGCGACGCCTTCGTGCCAGGAGATCATCGTCCCACAGGCTCTCCCCATATTCAAGAGGTTCATGGCGAGCATGTCGGGCTCTCGCGGCTCGACCGAGGAGACGTCTGTCACAGACATGCAGCTCCAGGGCTGCCTGCGCCGGTACCTCTCCATCTACCTCAACGCGCAGAAGCGCGAGGCCCCGACTTCGCTGCAATGTGTCAAGAACTGCCTCCTGGCGATCACGATCCTCTTCACCGGCGGAAGCTCGCGGCTCGCGGCCACCGACGGCCTCGTCGCGAAATTTCTCGACGAAGTCGTCGACTGCCTAACCGATCGCATGGTGAGTTGCTCTCTGTTTTTTTTTAATCTCTGCCCCTCCCCCGGGACAGCTTAGACCACGTAGCTGACTGGTTGTATTTCGCTACGTAGACTGCCAAGATCGCGGCGAACTGCATCCGCACGCTGCTGCTGCAGCCGTCTCCGACGCTGGCGGACCAGTCCATCGCGCGGTACCTCCTGCCGCGGCTGGTGGGGTTCGTGGTGGACACGGAGCGGGAGGACCCCGAAGGGGCGCGGGGGCTGGTGGCGCAGGCGCTGACGCAGTACGCGGCGACGCTGGGCGGAGGCGGGCACGCGCAGATCGCCATGTCGGTGGTGGCGCCAGCGCTGCTGGCGCGGGCAGCAGGGGAGGGGGCGGCGACGTACCAGGAGACGAGCGCGCGGCTGCTGGAGCTGGCGTCGGCGGACGCGGCGGGGTTCCGCGGCGTGGTGGCGGCGATGAGCGACGGCCAGCGGGCCTTTGTCGAGGAGGTGATCCGGTCCGGGCGGCAGGCGTCCGGGCCCGAGGAGGACGCGGACGCGGGCCAGCCGAGCATCGCGCTCAAGATGGACTTTGGCGTGGGGGGTGAGGGTGGATAGAAGAGAAATTAGAGAGAGCGAGCGGGCGGGCGGGTTTGGGATAGCGAGCGGGTTTTTGTACATGCGGTATAGAGATATAGATAGTGTAGAGACAATACTACCCAGATGTGACATATTCTTATATGATGGTCCTGTCCCTCGCCTCGGCTCTCTTTTCCCCCCTCGTTCTCGAGGTGGCTTTGTAAGTAGGACCTTGCTCCCTCTCTCTCTGCGGGTGTCCTATGAATGAAGCGTGGGCGAGGGTGAGTATGGATGCGTAACCTCTTCACCTCTTCACTCGATGCTGGCTCGCCGTGACTAGACTCCTAGATTAACCCCCCCATCCCCTCCCCTTTCCATCCCTGGGCCCCCATCTTGTCCGTCTGTCTGAAGAAACTTACCGGCGCCTACCTACCCCAGTAACCAAACTTCCCACCCCTTCATAGCTCTGCTTCCGCCAGCGCGTCTTTTTTTTATTATCAGGAAAAAAAGAAGGGTTACCCTATCTGCATGCGGGGAGACTTTTGTCGAGATGGCAAGTATGAAAAGGGACCGGGGGGGGGAGAGATGTCTACCTAGAACGCCGAGTAGAGCAGAACGCGGCCCGGCAAGTCAGACTTCCCGCTTCCCGTATAGGAACGTGGGGAAATGCGCTGCTGCGCCGGTGGATCGCCGGCTGGCAGCGTGTGCATAGGTCCCCAGACCACGCTCGGCGAGAGCACGCGGGCTTGGTGATGATGTGGCGTGGGTCGGGCGAGCTGGCGGTGGGGAGAGATGTAGATATGGCTTTTTACCTACGTGGTAGGGATGCTGTGCAGGATATGGGCGTATATATATATGCGCACCCATGCATAAGGAGATCTGCGGAACAGCGTGCGAGGCGAGGACGTAGTGTCTATCTCCCCGACCCGGCTCGCCTCTCCGCGGCCCGGCGCCGACGCGGTCCCGTGGGGCGATGAAAACGAACAAGACAGCACCCGGAACACGGGACGAAGGCGAGACAGGGAACCGAGACGACGAGAGAGACGAGAGAGAGGGGAGACGGATGGATGGATGGATAGATGTTATTCCTAAAGCCCGCCCACCGCCAACGCACGCCGGCGCCGCGGAACGAACCCCTCCGTCTACCCCCGAAGAAGCGCGTGCGAACGCATATCTAAGTGTACACACCCTCTAGACGCCAGAGCCTCGCAACGCCTGAACTCCTCCTCCTCCTTCCCCTTCCCTCCTTGCGTCCAGCCTCAGAAACTCCTCGCCCTCGCCGCGCCCCGCAAGTCATCGTCGGCCCCCCCCCCCCCCCTCGCCCCGCGGCGCCAGCGCCCGCGACGCGCGCAGCGACGACCGGGCGAGGTCCGCCAGCGACCGCGCCTCCAGCCGCTCCAGCGGCACGTCCGCCTGCCCCGTGCGCAGCTTGTAGCTCGCGAGCCCGAGCCGCAGCCGCAGCGTCTCTGCGTTCTGTGCGCGGCCCCGCCGGCCAGTCGTTAGCATGCGTCCCTCTTCTTCTTCTTCTTCTTCTTCGTATGCTTTTCTGCCTGAGATCGCGTGACTTACCCGCCGCGCGTCCGCGCGCGTCATGGTGGGCTGTGGCCGGGGAGGCGGTGCTAGTACCGGTACCGGTATCGGTGCTGGTGTTGGTGTTGGTGGGGCTGCCTCGGCGTCGGGCGCGGTTACCGTCGTGCTCTGCGACGAGGCCGCCGCCGGCGATGGCGACGGCGACGACTCGTCGGGCGAGCGGGAGGGGTCCTAGGCCGCGGCCGCGTCAGCAAACACGCACCCGGGGGAGGGGGGGGGTCCTATCAGTCGCGCGCGGGAGCGTACTCGTGTGGGCGCGCGCGCCGGCTCGGCGTCCGTGGCGTCGCGCGAGAGCCGCCGCCGCTTCGGCGAGGAGTGCTGCTCGTGGCCCTGCGGCGGCTGCTCGGGGGTGCGGCCGCGCGGGGCGGTCGGGCCGTGGTCGAGGAGGCGTTTGGCCGGGCTGGTCAGCGCAACAACCGGCGGCCGGGAGGCCTTGGCCTGCGGGTCGGGGGAGCGAGCGGCGGTCCGGGTGTTGGCGTCGACGGGGGCCAGGGCGTGGCGGCCGCCCGGTAGCGAAGCCATCGCGTCGGACGGGTGCTGCGCTAGCGTCCCTCGCGGTCTTCCTCTTCTGCGCCTCGCCGCCGCGGCAGATCCCGGAGCTACCTTGGCTAGCTGGCTAGCTGGCTAGCGAACTGCGGTGGCTGAACTACCTAGCGGGTACACGTCTGGCCTGGTCTGGTCTGGCTGGCGGGAGGAGCAGCAGCGCAGAGGAAGAAAGAAAGAAAAAAAGGTCGAGAAGCAGGGAGGACACTTCTGCTGAGGTGTCGGGCACGGGAACACGGCGCGGTACGTCGGACAGAGACGGGAGAGGAGAGGAGAGGAGAGAGAGAGAGAGAGAGTGTGTGTGTGTGTGTGTGTGTGTTCTCGTAGTGTCTGGCCCTGGCAGTTTGGTTTGGCTGGTGGCACCTATTTAAACAGGGTCCTCTCTTCCCCTGAAGTCGCGCGTTGCGCCGCGTCTTCCTCCCACCCCGCGGGCTCGCGCGCGTTGCGCTGCGCGCTCTCGCTCCACTCCGAGCATAATAACGGCCGGTTTCTCTTCTGTTGTGCTTTTGTGCATCGTCGAGCACATACCCAGGTATTTACATATTTCCTCTTTCGCGACGGGATAAAAATGCCTATGCATGGGCCCGTGCGCTGCTGCTACTTTGGTACCTCCTCGTATGGATACTGGGCACTTTTACTATAGAGCAGGTACCTACGCACGTATAGGTACCTCTATGTCTACATGCCCTTAGGCACCCAAGGCAGATACATACATACCTATGCGTGTGGCAGACTTATGCACAAAACAAGGTAGACCAGGGGATCCTACACATACACACACAATAGAGGTGGACGGAGAGGCGGACAGCCGAGGCCAGTGAGAACAACCGTCCTCACGCCGGCGAGCCCGCCTAGATTCGGCACCGGCCTGCTCCGTCGCGACACGTCCCGGATGCCTTCGCCCGCTGCCGGGGCCACATGCACATGGCGCGCCGTCATCGCCGAGTCCGCCCTCGGATGGAACACATGCACATGGCGCGCCGTCATCGCCGAGTCTGCCCTCGGATGGAAAGGGGATAGAACATGCCATTCGCTCGACCAGATATATATTATTTCCCTTGCCCACTCCCTATCCTTCTCCTTTTTTTGGTGGGGGTATCGTAAAGCTATCCAGCCCTATATAGTAGCCTGTAATCTTTTTTTGGGGGGGGAGGGGGAAGGGGGATGGGTTTCATGACTGAATTGATAATGGGGAAACGAAGCCCCAATTTCCGCTCCTACTGTATCTGAGAAACACAACCCTCTCCCCTCCTCGCTTTTTTTTCTCTCACGTTGCCGTCCCTCCCCGCGGTGCCCAGGTTGTCTCCCCGGTCACCGTCCGCAGAGACACCCGCGCATACGTCCCCAGAATGAGCGCCGAAAATTGAGCAAACGAATAACCCTACAACGCCTTCGCTGAAGACGTCCAACCACCATTCCCTCCCCTCCCCTCCCCTCAAAGCCCGAATCCGTTCGTAGTCCGTCAGTCCTGCCCGTGTGGTGATGTCGTCCTTCCTAACGCCTCATGATTCGTCCTTGAAAAGGCCCCATCCGCGTGCGGTGCTTTTCGGTCCCGTGTTACCGTCACCAAATGCAAATTCGCCCCCTCCCCTTAACCCTCGACGAACCGTCAAATTCCCTGCCCCGTCCTTCCCTATGTCGTGTCTAATGAGTAGAGGGAGGTATCCAACGCAAAAGGTTGTTGGAAATTCTGCATTATGTCGTCCCACGAAAAGATCCCTTGGGCATTCTCGCCCGAGTTCACGCCGTCCATATCCACGTCGATCGGATCAAAATCGGCGTTCTGTCCCTTATCGAACGGCTGCCACGAATCAAATCCCATGTCCAGCGTCATGTTGAGCGTCACCCCATCCGAGAGGTCGCTGTTCGGCTCCGACGATGCGCTGTCCTTGATAGATTCCGGCGTATCGTTGGGCGTTATCGCCCGGTACACGTTCATGTCCGAGATCGCACCCCCGCCGCCGCCTTCGAGACCTCCCAACTTCTGGAAAAGATCTTGCGGATCAACCGTCAGCGCCCAGTTGTTGTTCGCTCCGGGCGCCTGCGACGAAATTCCCTCCTCCGCCTTCGCTGCTGCCGCCGCGTTCTCTCCGCCCTTGGTCCCGGCATCCGTCTTGGGCGTCCCGGCCCTTCCCCCCAGCGACTTAGCCAGATCGGTAGGCCTAGAGCCTGCCGCGCTGCCCTGTCGCTTCATCGAGGGCTCCCGAGACATCGGCATCGCTTCGGCCCGGCTCGACGGCGTCTGTCCTTGCTTCGACGCGTCATTTGCCATCGGAGAAGCCGAGGGCGGCGCACCCGGGGCCGTCGCTGGAGTCTTCGGCTGTGCCTTCACCTTGCCGTTCGAGTCGAGCCCGAGCAGGTTGGCCAGGTTCTCGGTCGCGTACTTCACCGGGTTTCGACTTGGCTTCACGTGCTCTTCTTCGATATGGTTGCGCTGGGCTTCCTCGGTAGCGAACCCGATCCCGTGTGCTTCGCAGTTCAACTCGGGGCAGTAGTATTGCAATTTCGGCGGCGCCTTTACTTCTGTAGGAGCCGGCCGCTTAACCATATCCGGAGAGGGCATCTTCTGCACTTGCGGCGACGAGCTAGCACTAGCCCCACCTGAGCCGAGACCGGACTGCCCGGTCCTGGGCTTCTTCCGCGCCGGCAGGTGGAGGTCCGCCTGCGTGACGGTGGGCTTCCCGATATACGTTGGCTGGCCGTTAGGAGACTGCGCGCCAAAGGAGAACGGAGGCTGCGAGGTCGTTGGCGCAGCGGGTGGTTGCCCCCCTCTGCTGGAGGTTCGCTGGTGCGTCTTGCCTAGGGTCTGCGGTTGCTTTTCCGCGTTCGCCGCGTTCGACGGCGCCGTCTGGTTTGTCGGAGGTGTCACCGTATGCTCGGTCGTTCCCTGCTGGGGCCCGGATGATTCTGTAACGCTTTGTTGCGGGTTGGGGTTCTTCCTCAACGCTTGCGGATATTGGGTCGCCACGTCCTTGGCCATGCTTTCGAGCATTCCTCGCACGCCGTCCAAGTCTTTGGGTCGCACCGAGAACGCCGGCTTCAGGACTGACATCTTATCGCCGTCCACGAATTGACGGATGAGACGGAGCCGCTGAATCCTAGTTAGTCGTGTGTACCTTACTGAAAGCTAGGTCGAACATACCATCTTGAAGAACAACCGAGCGCGCACATCATCTTTCACGAGGCTGTACCACCGGCCTAGGATTTTGCTGAGCTTGCCCATCTCTCCGACTATCGACTGGATCTTCTGGGCCATATCTTGGTATTGTTCGGGACTCATCGGGATGTCTGGGAACGTCTCCTTGGATGCGTTTTGATGCTCCTCCTGTCCGATGGCTTTGAGGCGTTGCATTTCTTCCGACAAGGAGAGCGGTTGCCCGTTATTGCCATTAGCTCCCCCGGTTCCTGCCTGGCTCCTCTTGGCCATGGCCTCGTACCTGAGTCTTTGCTCTAGCTGCTGATGTGATAGTTGAACTTGTTGAGCCGCCGATCCAGGTGCGGAAGCCTGAGCCTGCTGGGAAAGGCTACGCTGAGCAGGGTTGCTTGAGGGGCTCGGGGCCTCCAAGTCATCTGTACTTGCACGCTTCAGACTATTCTTCTGAGGAGCAGCCGGGGGGGCAATTTGAGGCGGCCGATTGTTCGGAGGCTGCCTGGTATTTCGCGCGGAAGCGGCAAAGTTTGCCCCGTTGACGTCGAGTCCGGGATTCTGCTGCCGTTGCTGCGAGATGTTAAGGGCGTTCGGCGGCTGGATGGCGGCTGGGACGTTGGCGTTGGCCGGTTGGGATGCCTGGGCCGTCTGCATGTGGTTCATCGCCTGTGCATTGGCCTTGGCCTTCATCTTCATCTGCATCAGCATCTTCTTGATGGTCTCGTCAGGTATCCCTTTAAATCTCTCGTGGTTCTTGGCCGTCTGCAACTCCTGGGGAGTAACCACGATGCCTGCGAACGCGCCCATATTTGTATTGGGCGGCTGCGTACCCATCTGAGAACCCTGTGGTTGTGGTCCCTGGGGTGACATATTGGGCTGGGACATCTGGTTGCCGGCCCCGCCGGGATTCTGCTTGAGCAGAGCCTGGAGCTGGTAATTCTGGGCGTGTTGCAATTGACTGAGTACCCGAGAGTCGACGTTTCGCTGAGAGATCCACTGCTTCAGTTGGATCCATTTCTTGATCTCCTGCGGCAGTCCCGGAAAGTAATTGGGATTCCTTAGCGACATCATTACCTTCGGCGGTACGTCCATCGAATCCATCGTCGCGGCGAGATCGGAAGTCATCGGGGGCCGGTTTTGTCCACTCATAGCTCGCATCCTATTTAGCTGCTGCTGAAGCAGCATCTGGTTCTGGTTCATCGGCATTCCGGGATTCGGCGGCTGCTGGCCTCCGTTATTCCCCGGGTTAAACTGAGCCATAGGATTTCCTTGTCCGAATTGGCCGGGGAGGGGCTGACCGCGTCCGGGCATCTGGCCGGCCGCCTTATTCTGGTTACTAAGCCATTTCGCCATCATATCGTCTGCCTTGTCCCGTGGGAGGGAGAGGAACAACTGTCGAGATTCGGGCGGCATCTGGGACAGCATGGCGTTCATGAGATGCTGGCGGTTAACGCTCGAAAGTGCAGCTATCCCAGTCATCTGCGGCCTCTGGTTGCCATGGTTGAAGCGCGGGTCCAGACCTTGTCCGAAAGGTCCGCCGGTCTGGTTCATCTGCGCCTGCCCCTCGGCCTGACCCATACCGATAGGAGTCCGGCGGACCGGCGTGTTCAGGGTATTTATGCCGGGGCTCTGTGATATGGCGCCGGCACCGTTTAATCCGCCCGGTTGGCCCTGCACCTGCTTGGCCTGGGCTTGAGCCCTAATCTGTGCCTGCGTCTGAGCGGCCATTTGGTCCATCTTCAGTTGCTGAGCCTGAGGGTGGGTGAACTGCTGCGGTATCTGGCGAGGATTACCGGCTTGGTTAGGACCCGGATGGTTACCGGGGTTGGGGCCCTGCACACCACCCAGAGGCTGAGGAGTAGCGTTCCGGCCGGGCCCGTTGCTCGCCGGCACCACCATCTGCCCAGCCTCCTGGGCCAGCATTCCTGCCTTCTGCTGGTTCATGATGCTCTCCACGTTCGAAAACGGGCCAAATTCGCTGTTCGGTGCTGCGGCCATCTGCTGTCCGGGTTGGCTCATCTGCCGCTGTTGAGCCTGCATCTGCATGGCTGCTTGGTTGTTTCCAATGCCCGCAGCAGCCTGTCCCTTCGAATTCTGAAGGATCTGGCTCTGGAAATAGGACAAGACGGGATCGACACCGTCTTGCTGCAGCTGCGCCAACTGCTGCGCACCGAGTTTCTGCTGGAGTATCATTCGGAGTTGATTTCGTTGAGGCTCCGGAGTTTGGTTTAGTCTCGCGGCGGCTAACTGCGAGACTTTGGCTCTATCCTGGGGCGACAAACTGGCCATGGTAGCATGTATCGATAGCTGAGGGCGCATCTGTGCCGCGCCCACCTGCATGGCCTGCTGGTTCGGATTCATGGGCAGGCCGCCCGGATTTGCCATGCCCATGCCGGGTGGATGGGGTTGCTGGGGCATAGGTGAGGCCTGCATCGGCTGCTGGAGGTGTGGAAATCCCGCCTGTGGTGGTTGTCCCATCCCCCTCGACATTTGCATGTTCTGGTTCATCAGCATCTGTGCCTGGGCCTGGGCCGCGGCTTGAGCATTGAGGCTACTCTGAAGGCTCTGCTCATGTGCTTGCCGCCTCTTAAACAGCTCTTGCACACGGCTGCCAATTTTTTGATCATAGGTTCCCTGAGCAAACATTAGCCCCGTCGGCAAACGAAAAAGGGGCGGAGGGGGAAAAGTAGAGGGGAGGTAGGCAAGAGATCCGCGATCCCAACAGGGTCAATGTATATTACTTGCCTTATCTTGTGAACTGATGAAGGCGTCTCGTTCAAATGTCAAGCCGTGTGACACAAGCTGTTGTGAGTCGACTGTGGGCATGGCGAGGAACGAGTTGGTGATTCTTACCACGATGAGTCAGTCCTTCATCCTTCTCAGGGCAGGTGATAAACGTTCTAGGACATAGGAAGACCGGCTCGTAGCACTCACAAGTTCATCGCGTTGCTAACGCGGAGGTTGACTTGCACCTGATCTTGCCAGCCGTTCGTCTGGACGGCATTCTGCATCATCTGCGTATATACGAACTGTGACAGCTGCTGCTGCGGTGGCCGTCGCACATGGCCACCGCCACCCATCTGTGGCATATTAGCGGCCATGGCCGCGGGTGAAGGTCAACGCTCTGTCAAGCCGTAGACGGATCTCGGCCGTAGACGTGCCTCCCGGGACCGAGGTGGATTGGGTCGGGGCAGATTGTCTGGCGAGGCCGCGACGTCGTCCGGATATCGATCAGCTCGTCCGATACAAGACGGCGAGGTCCCGGCGAATCGTGGATCAGTCAGCGCGAACCAACCACATCCATATACGGCCAGCCTGCGGTTGGGCCCAATATATGCGCCACGAGTCGAGTACAGTCGGGCGACTTATAACCTGGGCGTTGTCGGTGTGAATGAATACTGCGGATTCCCCGACGGCAATCACCTCATTTCCGGGACGCCAGAGGTCGGGTAAAAGGTCTACACACTCTTGGGGCGGATTGAGGAATCCGACCAGAGGGCCTTCGGACCGAGGCACCTGGCCAGCGTTGCTTCGGAAAAGCCAGGCAGGAGGGACGAAGGCAAACAGTTGTGGGGTTCTGCCGGAAAGGAAGATCTGGCGCGGGCAGCTCGCGACGAAAAGTGGTAGAGCGTTCCGCGGCGGCTCTCACGTTCTTGCAGCCGAATATGCTTGTCGAGACCGCGTCCACACGGGCGGAAGAAGCTGGTGAAGGGGCAGCTCGGATGATGTTGACGTGGGGAGAGATCGGGCAGGTTAGGTGTGCAGGCAGAGATAGATTTTCTGTCCCAGCGACAGCAAGTGGGCCGGGGGTTGTTGGCTGAAACGAAGTGCGAGGGACTGGAACTCAGTCGGCCAAGGTTAGCATTGGCAGACCACGACGTCGAGGGTGATTGGAGGCGGGCGGGTGGACGGACGGAGGGCGCAACAAGCAATGCCACAGGTTGGGTGAATAGGGTAGACGACGACTCTAGCAAGCGGTAGCGGACGGGGCGAGAAGATGCGAAGAAAGGGTGTCAGCGTCGCCAGAGGTGCGGGAGGGTTGAAGAGAGAGAGAGGAGCGACAAGAAGAATCGGGATGGCGTTGGTGGCAGATGGGTTTGGGGAGTGGAAATGGAAGAAACCAGGTAGGTAAGGCGGCAGGACTGTGAGTGGAAATGGAACAGAACCTTGACAAGCACAGCAGACCTTCAACCTTGGAAAGTAGCGGCAGCCACAAGTACCTGGGTATATTGTGACTACCCTGGGTACCTCGCGGCCCTACGAAACCAGCCCGCGGCCTGCAGGTACCCCGTCGCCAGGAGAGCAGGCGGGAGGTACATGGCGCCAGGTAGTTACCAGGTACCTAGACGGGTACTTGTAGTGGGTGGCGATGGCACCAGAGGTAGGTAGGTACTTGAGGAGGTACCTAGTAGAGGTAGCAAGCAGACAGACAGGGCGGAGCTGGGACACATATGAGAGAGAGCACACACACACACACACACACACACACACACACACACACACACCGCACCCTAGGCCAGGTTGCCGCGTGCAAGTTGGTTGAAGGCTTCGACGCCAATAGTGTAAATTCGAAATATTGGTAAAAGTGGGCTGGTCCGGGGGTGTCGTCCCCACTCCCCTCGCAGAGAGGCCTGCACACTTTGTTCCCTGTCCGTACTGGTACTTGCGCGATATGCTAGCAGGCATTTGTGCCGTACTGCATGGTACTGTGTAGCATTCCCGCCCAGTGATTGGCGGCCGACGGCTGGGCCACCATCCCAGACGCACCCAACCAAGTCTCTACGGTACATACATACCGTATGTACATTGATGCCAGCCTGTAGGTACCTGTGCATACCCAGACAGACAGACAGACAGACAGACAGACAGAGACAGAGACAGAGGACGGACAGAGTATAACCCGCCTACCGATGGGCGTCCGATACGTATGTTACGGCTACCATTTCCTAACGATAGTTCTTATAGGCAAAGCCTCCCGAGGCACCTGAAGGCTGACATACACATACATAACCTATACCTAAAGTACATCCATCCATCCCATACGGCTCTGACGATTGGGAAACCTAAAAGTGACACGCTCCGTTCGCCACCTCGATCCGCGCCATGCCTACCTTCGAGGTACCGAGCCTGCCCATGTCCACGTACCGTCCCTGGCCCGGGGAGTTCGCTGGTGGCAGGTACCGCGTAGGTATCTACGTCGCCAGCGAGGTCGGGCACTAGGGCGACCAGGGCTTGTCAAGTACCCCCAAGTACATACCTACCTATCTCCTCGCCTCCCATGACTGGCAGATGGAGGGTGGGTGTTGTGCAGGACGATGATGCGAATGCCTATCCTAATCATTCGAGAATAAAGAAATGCCAGAGGTAGGGGGCCATGTACCTTAATATGAAGTATGCCCGTCTCCCGATTACACGTACCTATTTGCCCATAGCCTATAGGCGGACAGGTACCCAGGTATCTAACCATTACTCATATGCACATGCCTCTCCATACCTCACTTTACGTTATTATAAGGAATTCCCCGTGCGAAATTTCCTACCGGCCGACGCAGATGGATGTTTCGTAGTGAGGCTGGGCCCGTGAGGCTAAGAGCGGTAGGTACCTAAGGTGTGGTCTTAGGAGGTACCTTGGTCGTTCCCAGTGAGTCAGCATGGGCAAGGGTAAGCTTTCGTCTCCTCTACTAGTACGCACCTACAAACACCTATGTACAAGTGCATGGAGAAGTATATATATATATATATATATATAATATATATATATACTTCTCCATGCCCTGTCGGACGGAATAGATGCCTGCCTGAGGTACATACCGGACGAGGAAGACGGCGGCGGCGAGGGCTTTCGCGAGGGAAAACACGGGAAGGCAGACAACCGGCTCCGGAGCCACCCTGAAGGCGGGTGGTGAAGTCGAGGTGCGCGGAAGAATCTCCGCAAATGCAGATGTTCAATGTAAGGTTGTTGGGTCCCGCCCCTTGTCGTCGCTAAGCGCACCTACCTCTGGTGCCCGGTACCTATCTCCGTCCCCAGATGGCATTTCACGAAGCCCTGCGCCTAAGGTGATCTGAAGTGCCTTGTGGCGTAAGTATGGCATATATATATATATATATACCTCTACATATACCTATATATATTGTGGTATAAGGCATATAAGGTACCCACCTACGTATATAACGTGGAGGTCCAGCAGGCAGAAGAGGTACCCAAGGTAGAGGAGGTAGGTCGGTCGTCAATAAGGTTGGGACCAAATCGATCGGCAAAAGTGCCAACGGTGGGCACTGCTTGGAGCTCCCAGGCACCCAGGAGGTACGGAGTAAGACGGTCACGTCCACGTCAGAGATCATGTACATACATTCCAGGTAGGTAGATGTCCCGGACGTAGGGACATTGCAGGTACCTATACGTATGCGGGCGAGGAGGCGCACCAGCGCGTAGTACATACCTTAGATACCTAGGATAAGAGGTAGAGACCTACCTAACCTATGTCCCCAATGTCCCTATCCACATGTCGGCACCGGGTATGAGGTAATCAAGCACATTAGCATCTCCCGAGTTAAGAGGGAACATCTATGGATAGGTAGGTTAGGTAGATCTAGAAGTCCCCGAGTGGTAAAGTCCCAGTTCCACCAGAGCATGTACATATACACATACTTACCTGGGTACGTACCTTAGGTGCATGCAGAAGGCTAATAACGGTGCATAAGATGAAATTACCTAAGTATAAACTTAATTTATACAGGTACCGAATAGCGGCAGGGCGGGCTTCTGGGCGCATCAGATACCTTAGGTAAGTATCTACAGTACGCATGCACTAAATGCACCTAATGTACGTAGGTACCTGACGCACCAAAGTGCAGATTTCTACTACGTTAGGGTTAGTACACTCCCTCGTAGGTGGGGGAATATTTCAGTCAGTTACAGAATTTGTCCAAAGGGTTCTCTGGTCGGTGCCTCGGCTTAAAATTCCAGGTTACAGATTAATCTACACATCTACACCACGAAACAAGGTAAGGCAGCGGAAGTAATAGGCGACAAGATTTATTCGCCTACTTGTCTATGCACTCTTCCAAACCCCCCTCATACAGGTCATCACGACATCTAGTGTCTGTTTGGAATAGATACAGCTACCTATAGCATACGTGGTTGAATTTCTATCTCGTCCTCGCGCGCAAGGTTGCAGGGCGACATCCCTTCCCCAGCTGCCATCCGCTTCACTCGGGTGCATTGTGAAGAGGCGCCGGGTGTTACTTACGATGTTCCGTGTGTGCCCACCCAAGGTACTATACCTATAGCTTCAGCTGAGAGGTGACGATAAGAAGAGGCAGATACCGAGAAACGGCATGCCGAGTAGAAGAAACATCACAGCATACTAGACACCTCCATTCTATACCCATTACTCTCCTCCGCGCCTGATCTGAGGTCACGGTAGCTGGCACACGCCCGCATGCCCTTTGGTATTGGTCTTGTAGGTCATCTGAAAAAGAACGCGGCTCGCTAGGGACGCCCTGACGTACCTCCACACGATCCACATGCACTTCACTCCCAGCCATTCGCGCACACGTTCAGAGACGAGGGCATATCGACAATGCTAGGGCATCGATATACCTATGCACCTTCATAACGGCCTGGAGGCAGGCACGAAGTCCTCACCGACAATGGCATAACGATGCAGCCATAGTGGGCGTGGAAAGGCGGCCGATGTACTCCCACACACAGACATGGCCCCGGTAGTCATCCTGGCATTGGGATTCCACCGACGGGGCAGCCTGCAGAGAACTCCATTACATAAGGCACCTTAGGTACCTCCTTGCCTGTAACCTCCATTAGAGGTACCCAGTTAGGTACCTCTCCGCCCTAATCAAACGCCTGCCACACGCCGGAGCGAAATTGAAGTGCCTTACAGGCCCTATTTTAGGTAGACTTTTACCCTCCTCGACGCGCTCCCCATGCGAGAAGCTCCCCGTCGACAACCCGCTGGCAAGCCCTTCTTCTTCCCGCCTGACCTACTCGCCGTCGTCGACGGCCGGGTTCGGTGTACGCGCCTACCATCACCTTAGGGATCTAGACAACCCCCCTACCTCCTAGATAACACGGACAGTTGCTACGAGGCCGGAGGTGCGTGCCTATTGACGTATGAGGCACCGAGGCCCTTACTCACTCTTCTCTGCATACCCTGCTATAGGCGGGCAACGGCGGCCGTGTGTGGACTGACATGCGAAGGTGGGTATGACCACACGAGAATACCTGCCTACGTACACGCCGAGCTCGTGTTAGAGAGAAGTGTCCAGCGACAGCATGACCCTGTATCGGGTCGCACCGGCACCCTCCCTCTGTCATCCTCGTCATCCCGCCCCAATCGCTCAGTGCCCAACGCCGGTGCAAGCCCAGCCAGCCCCGGATCCGCGACTCCCCGGGGTCGAATAGCATCAGGCAGGCGTCGCATGCCACTCGCGCTCCAGACACATAGACACATTGGGCAGCCTCATCGCCGTCGACGGAGCGCATCTCTACGCCATGCAGCCGAGGCCAGGCTATCGTGGCCATGTTGCATAGGGAACCCGACCCCTACCTGCCTGCCTACATACGATAACCTCTCCTGACTGGATCTACATGCCAGACATGCTATGTAGCCATGTAGCCACGAATGTCGCTTACACCAGGCCCTCATCCTCGAGACAATTCATACGTATATATGCCTTTGGCCCCCGCGCGCCGCGCCCCGAGCGCAAGCCTGATTCCTCTCAACGGGAGAAGGAGAATCGGTACGGTAAGCTGCTGAACACCCTGTGTTTTTCGTTTGTCCTTCTCTCTCTCCTCTCGTTTCTTTCCTTTCCTTTCTTTTTCTCTTTTCTTTTTAAATTTCCTTCTGCTTCGTGTGGTTCAATGGCCCACTCACATGTCGCTCGGCTATGGCTATGGCTGGGTATAGCTGGGTTACAGCTGAACACTTGACCGCGCAAGAGGTGCTCACGATGCGCGAGATCATGTAAGCAAGCAAGGAAGCACTTGCGAGGGAGCGCGCGTGTACGTGCACACGAGTATGAGTAATGGATGTATGATTCCACACCGCGGTGATGGAGGGGTAAGTACGTAATGAGTCGAGTCAGCCTCACGCCCGTGTCAGCTCCAGGTCCATTCCGCTCCCGACTCGGCTCTCTCCTACGCCTCGGGCAGGGTTCGTCTCGCGCTCCTCGACCTACCCGCTACGTATGGCGGCCGTTCTCTGTTTTAACCCGACAGCAACGGCTCGGTAGCCTCAGACGAACAGTTCCCCGTCTGACCGGGTACGCAATCCTCCCTACGGCCAGGAGACTGGACATGAGGCGCCAGGCATGCCTACATAGGTACCTAAATAGGTAAGGAGAGACGGTAAAAGGGTGCGGGCATGGGTGTGGTGGGTGTGGGTGTGTGTGGACGTGTGGTGCCTCTGTATGTAAGGTATGGACATGAAGGCGGGAATCCTCGAAAGTGTGTATAGTCACCTTGGACGCCGATATGGCGATGCTTGCCTGCTCTAATCCGTCTTCCCCGCCCTCGGATTACTACGAAAGGGGGCCATTTCTAGTTAGGCGCTGTACTTATCGCTCACCACGTAAGATTCCCTTCCTATCCTTCGACATCAGATAGGAAGAACGCCATACACAGGTAGTATCACTCTGAAGCGCACACGTCCCGTCCCGTGACGAAGCAAGCTGGAGCGCTCGCTTGCTACCCCGACGACCAGCATTAGTTTCTAACGACCAGGCAGTTTTAAAGGCTGGGTCATGTCGACGAATGGAGGTCGTGCGAGACGGCATCGCTGTGCATGCATTCATTAGGTATTAATAGAGTTGAAGAAGCGCACGGGATCGCAACATTCCGCAGCGCTGCCAACTTGTGTTGGATTGAAATACGTGCCTGCAGAGAAATGCCTACTACATGGGCGAGTTGAAAATAGATTCAGCTTTGCTCGGCCTCCCTTCTTCTCGTTTCAAGGAGTGTCAGACTGACCACCCGACCTTTTTTTTTCCGCCCAAGCAAAATACCCATTTTAGGAGTGGCCCCGTTCAAGCAGATCCACGACGGCTTCAACGTCGGGGAGCGTAAAATTTTGTTGAGTCTGGCGTCGTCTACATATACACACAGGGTGTTTGGGTCCCCCTCCCCTACTATGTGCATAGATACCTAGCACACATACAGACAACCTGGTAGTCTGGATGGGACCCGACATTGTCCGTACATTGTCCATACATATAATTACATACATGCATCTGGTAGTCTACTCCTTATCTGGCTGACCGAAGAGGAGTTCGGTATTGTTCGCCTACAGATTCCAATCACCAGGGGGGGCTTGGACAAACTTGCTACTTCGCTCCAGACATGCGTAAACATACCTACCTACTACACGTCTCCCCTACTACCGACGTATAATTAGTAGCAGTAGTAGTTCTGCGAGAGCGAGCGAGAGACGACAGATGGAGAGGGGAGGGAAAGAAAATCAGAAAGGGAAGAAAAAAAAGGAAAAAAATAAAATAAAAGAAGAGTATGGATAGATGTAATTACATACATGCACGCAACCCAATCTCCTCTTACCATGACCCCCGAGTTGACCTATCTAATACCAGCTACCTCCCTTCTTCTCTCCCTACCTCTCTCCTCGTTGTCTTCTCTCTTCGTCGTCTCAATCGATAAAAACACGCCATGCCCGCCCACCCCGTTTTTAGCAAGGGCCCTGGTCCCCGTCGACAGACCGTGGGTGGCTTGGCCCCAGAAAAAAATGGATTGTCGACGAGGGAGGTACTTACAACCCATAACCTGCCCTTCATACACGCACGTACGTATGTACGTGTATGTCTATATGCCTACGCATTCTAGGTATGTACTTACTATGTAGTGTGCATATAGGCAGGTGTATCTTCGCGTTCGAAAGAATCAGGATGTGCGCTCAAGGATTCCAACCTTACTCTTACGTTGACTTTACCTACAATGTGTAGAGGTAGCAGGCTGACCAGCGGCGGATCTTGGGTGGTCGACGGGATATCTACATACAAGCAAGTACGGTAGTAGTCTCCAGCACCCCCCCTGGTCGTGGTGCAGCATCAGTACGTGCATACATATATATATTCGGGTACTACACACACAGGACATGGATCCATTGTGTTAGAATAGGTACCTGCTCATACTATGTAGTACATCTTCCCTAGGCACCTAGGAGAAGTGTCTACATAGGACGTAGATATGTTTAGGTTAGAAGATAGGTAGGTATGGAAGATACTTAGTATATAGGAGGAGGTCTGTAGGAGGTTATGGATATGTAAGTATATACGCAAGAGGACCTCCGTGCCGATTCGTATGTATACCGAAATGTACCGACGGTCTACACACACCATGTGCGAGCATACACCCACCTACATAAACACAAGCTGGAGGAAGTGTGCAAAAGGTATAGGCAGCGCATGTGGATTCATACCAACCTACCAACCTACCTACCTACCTACCTACCTACCTACCACATATATACGCAGATACCTAGACGACGAATAAATGTACCTATGTGAGGCAGGTGAGGTATGTATGAAGGGTCCATCGAGTTGCTGGGCATGCATTCGAGAGACGGATTGGGAATTTCATTTCTCGTGATAAGTACAGGTAGACATGTCTCCACGCAGATATGCCTACCTACGCACCACGTTTCTGCGCACCTAGAGTAGGGAGGGAGGAGGTGGTTGTCATCCGCGCCCAAAGGATCGGTATTCTAGTCCGCGATACTACTAGCGCCGACGTTATGTCGCATACCCAAGCCTCTCTCGGTCCCATGTGCGGATGATTCCCCTCGACTAAATATGGTACTGTCTGCAGGTCCCGCAATATTCATGTCAGCCAAGGTACATCCATCCTTCTCCCATACCACACCCTACACACACGCTCTCTCTCTTCTCTCTCTCTCTCTGTCTCTGTCTCTCTCTCTCTTTCTTTCTCTCTCTCCCTTCTCCCCCCCCTCTCTTCCTCTCTCCTCTCTTCGTCTCCTCTCTCCCCCTCCTTCTCCCTTCCCCTCTCCGGCATACTACCTCTATATTATAGGATATATATGCATACGCATGTATGTGCCTGGTACTTCACCTATACAGACAACTATAGGTGTAAACCATCAGCGAGAGCTCAGCACAGCTAAGCATAGAGGCGCCACATACCGTTGCCCCCCGTGGCTCACGGACGACAACGTGATCCAGGGCAGGCAGCGCATGATACAATTGCCTATATCCCATCGCGGTGCCGTCTCTCGTTACGTTCAGCAGACGAACGTACAGCATGTAGTATGTACGTATATACATGCATACAATACTAGATGTGCATGCGCTTCCCCTCTCCTCTGCTCTCCGAATTCCCTTCACGCGCCACCTGATGAATGCATTGTAGGCCGTGGAGTATGTGCTAGGTAGACCACGGTAAGTGGTGACAACGACTAGAATGAGGGACGCGAGCGGACGAGATGACACTAGCTACCTAACCTACATGCAGCTTTTAATTGAGGCAGGTTGTGTGTCCCTTCTTGCGCAATGAGGCGTTGTATGATCGACGCCCCCCCTCCCACCTCTACTCTGGCTCTCCGTGCTACGTACGCACTCTCCTCCCTCCCCGTGGATTGACTAGCTAGGTACCTAGAGGATGCCCTCGACGTGCAAACTCTAGAATAGGCAGCCTTCTACCATCTTTCTGGTAGATGACGAGCCCAATATCGCAATGCCGCAAGCCAACCAGGTCCGCGCCGCGCATCTACATGCCACCCGTCCTCCTCTGCCCACGTTCCACGGGGAATCGAATCCGCCTCTGCCCCTGGCCTCATAAAGCCCGTATGGGTCGACGATGCAAGCGACGAGGAGAGATGGATCGATGGCATCGTGCTCGGATCGACATTAGATTTCAAGCACCTGCGTCCGTCCCAGCATCTAGCGAGGCAGGTATAGTAGATAGATACCTCCCATCGTTCCCGGCTACAGAGCACGTAGCGTCACCGCCATCCATTGTCATCATCATCAGCATCATCAGCATCATCGTGGCCACATTCTTCCTCACTGACCGAGGCGTGCTACTCGAACCACCCCCTCCTTGCCGCAAGAGAGACCCCTGATCTTCCGGGGTGTAAAATGTACACATGTAGCTGGTATACATCCCTACGGTACATGCTGGGTCGAGTGCGTGATTGGCTACCTTCAAGAAGAACCAGAAGAACCAGCAGGCGTATCTAGAAGTACCGAAATTCTCTACTGAGCCGGCCTGTACTGCAATGTGTATGTACTTGAACCGACCCGTAGAGGAACGGGGGGGGAAAGGAGTTCATACTGTACACAGCCGTCGATGCATCTTCATACACTTACCTAAGTACCTAGCCAAGCAAGTATTTTGTGTACCTCTTCCGGCTTTCTCGCACGAACACCGGAATATAGCGGCGGTTGTTGTTGTTGTCGTCGTCGTCGTCGTCGTCGCGTTTTTTTGAGGAAAAAAAAGGAGAAAAAACCCCTATGCAGAGTCCGCTATGAAAAATGTTCCGCCCATCCGTACATACATATACATATCTCCATGTACGCACGTAGGTATCATTCCAGATAACTGACAACTGATAAAAAGTGGGAACGAGAGACGAGAAAGATATATAAAATCGTTCGAGGTGCGATCAAGTCATCTGCCATCGCCAGACCTAAACCGACTAGCCTGTCTTCGGTGGGAAAAGAAACAGGGCGCCAGAACCAAACCTCCCCCCCCCCCCAAAAAAAGACAAAAGAAAAGAGGGGGGCCAGAATCTTGAGGGTAAGACGGGTTGGCGTGTACCCAGCCCAGAATGCGGGAGCGCAAGAAAGCTAAAGAGAGGGAGAGGGAGAGGAGGGAGCAAGGAACGACAAAGTCGGTAGCCCGCTATTGTCCCGAATCGAGAGTCAGACGACGGACCCCGCGGACCACCCGGGCGATGTGTGCAACACAGATACGCCAGGATCGCATGACTATACTGTAAGTATACGTGCCTATGTTGCAGGAAAGCCGGCCGATCTTAAGGTCGAATATTGGAAGATGATTTCGAGGAGGGAGGGGGGTAGACGGGGGCAATTTCATCTCTTGTCTACGTAGGTACATATGCAGGCACACAGGAGTCGATGCGCATCTCAGTCCTTCTTCCCGTGTCCTCTCGTATGCCTAGGTGTAAGTTCGGGCCCAGGCGATGGCAGAAGCCATTATGGGCTGAGGCCGAGAGACACAGAGACAGAGAGCGAAAGAAGGGAGGGGGGCAGAAAGAGGCTAACAGGTACGGAATGGTGGAAGCGTTGGTACCTGTCAGTCCATGCCCAGAGGATGCCCCTTGGAGATCATTCATGAGATCCTGCATTCTGTGTTTTTAGCTCCCGCGTGGGTATAGATGTATGGATGAATGCGTGTATGTATATACTTATGTAGGTAGATCTCTACTCATAGGTCGGAAACTCTAAGCCAGGTAGCTCGACGACCACGTATAAGACATGCCTGTTCGTCTGTAGGTAGGTATGGAGAAGAAGGCGGCCAAGAAATCCCTTGCCCTGGCAGCGATTCATTTCATTTTATTTTGGTCTTTAGAATTCTTACTCTGCAAGTATCATTCGCTTACTGGGTTCAATGGGAGTTGCAGCCGGGAACAGACGAGTCCAGGGGAGGGGGGGGGGGAGGGGGGTGAAGGGGAGGGTTCCAAGAGCCAGGAGTGCCACACCCACCGGCTTAGACAGAGACACCATTTGACAGAGACGGAGACGTATTTGAGTATGTAAACACAGGCACTTACAACAACACATATACACATGCACACACACACACTTACGCACCATAGCCCCCCCTACTACTATATGAACAGACTTAAGGTGGGTATATAACCTGCGTGCATACATCTGGTACTTCGATTTGCAAATTGTACATATGCCTACCGGCCCTTGCTCGTCAGACCCCTGTCCCTCTTGTCTTGTCTTCCTCCGAACGCCCACCGCCACCACCACCTCGCCCCGGATTTTGTTGTGGTGTAAAAAGCCGACTCTTATAAGCACAACCAGCCCATGGTAAGCATTTGGCTGTCTAACGTCTGGCCATATAATATGTATGTATGTATCGCGAAATGCCGGCCGTCTGCGACAGCCATCTGCGATATGTAATATGCATATCCGAGGTTCCTGTCCTCGACGGCAATCCAAAACGCCACCTCACCCTGCAGCGGGTTGGCCTCAGACTCGTGTGGCGAGCTTCCCTGCCCTCCCACACCCTCTCTCTCCCTCTCTCTCTTTCTTCCTTCTCCCCCCCCCCCCCCGATCTTCCCAATGTGTTGGTGTGCATCCCTCGCGGTCGTGTTTGCTCGGTTCCAACCTGTCAAGCGCGCTTGCGTTATGTATGCGCAGCCCATAGCGCACAGCGCACCACACGCATCTACATACGCACACCCATCCGTACACAACACGTACGCATCCACACATACTTGCCTGTACACGGCCGGCCGGCGGGGAGGGACGGCGAGGGATACAGAGACGGAGGGGACGAAGGGGCTAGAGGTTGATGGGAGACGTGGTAAAAGGGGGGGATGGTAGCGGGGAGACGGAAGGGGAGGAGAGAGAGACAGAGGGATAGGTAATGAAAATGACAGGAACAGCAATAATAGCATCGTGTAAGGCAAGTTATGTGAGGGAATGAACGACAGAAACATCCGAGACGGGACGGCCAGGATGGTTTCGACTGATCCTCCGCGACTTGCCCTCCCCTCCTCCTCGCTCCCTCCCCTCCCCTTTCTAGAACTACCCGACAGCCACATCCCCTCTACGACACCCTACCTATTTTACAGGCGTTACACATGCCAGACCTGTTGCATAGCATACATGCTATTGCAGCCTCCAAACGGGCCTGACCTCCTCTCCCCCGGCCTGCGCGTGCGCGTGCGTGTGCGTGTGTCCTGGGAAAGCCCCGACGATGGTGCGCGAGGAAGGACGACGACCGTCACGCCCACGCCTCCGGCCAAACAAGAAGGTTGCCGTGGTAAACACGCGCGGAGAGCACGATGCGTAGGCAGGCCAGGTCAAAGGGACGTGTCGGGACCGGGGGGGGGGGGGGGACACGATATGACACGGCATGATGTTCGATGGCACTAACTACTCACCCAAACCACGCGTGTGCGTCTGCGCTGCCCCCCGTTCGGGTTTTGCCTCTACTGGTTTCCTGCTGGCCGCGTGGTCTCGCGGGGAATACAGGAGTTGGGTTCAACGGGTGGTGGGCTTGGGCCTACGAAGGGGAATGGGAAGGGAGGGGAGAGGTTTGTTCGACGATCGGCGGGATTGACAACGATGAAGATTGCGGTGCAGATGGAGAAGAAGCAGGAGAGGGACGGTGGAGATGACGGGTAAGTGCATGAGTAGAGGTAGGTACCTAAGCTAAGCTACAGTACAATTAACAGGTGGAAGATAAAGAGGTACAATACACCGATGTATTGGAGATAGGGCGCCTGTAGGGCAGGTACCGAGTACCTGTCAATGATCCCGGGAGGGGTGCGTTAGGCTCGTACGTAAAGTACCTACTTAGGTACCTATAACATGAGGTACCGAACTCCGCTTGATGGATGTAGGTAGGTACCTATATCTGAAGGTTAAATGCATACGTATGTACATACTGCAGCCCAAGTTCATATGCATGTACACATACCTACATTAGGTACCTATACGGTAAGAGTAAGATGAGATTGTGGGGAATTGTCGGCTTCCATTGCATACGGGTACCTCTATCCCTATAGCCTACATTCCCCTTATGCACGTATTCCGTATTTCCAGCCTGCTCATACGTGCCCATCTCCTAGGATAGGTGGAGAGGCATTCAGGCTGCGTACGTGCATATCTCTCCTATATACACCTGTCCGCGGGCGTTGCGCAGATGCGGTAGCTATCTTAAGATGTAGACGAGATACGGGACGTGGCGATTCAGCAAGTACCTCTCCCTCCCGCCTCGGATACTACCCGTTTCTGCACCGGCCAGTCACTGGCTGGGGTGAAAAGATCGCCATGACATAACCTATCTAGATAACTTCCACTTAGTGCATGCCGGGGTCGCCATCTCGACATTATGTAATTACCCCACACTTGGGTACGTACATCAGCACAGCTTCACATACCTCCTAGCTGGCATACCTTACCTAGGTACCTAAACCTGCTATCTCAACCCACCCGATCGAAGCCATCGGCAACTCACCGGCCACTGATTCAGCCGCTCGTCTTGTATTTGCTTACCCGCCCGTTCTCGCCCTCACCCTCACCCTCGGCCAGCGGCTCTACCTTTGATTAGGAGATCGCGACGCTGCGCTGGTTGACCTCTTCCTGGGCCCTCGCCGCTGTAAATGAGAGCCAGCGTCCCCTCCCGCTCCAGCCTCAGATCCCTAACTACCAGCCTTCAACGCTCTGCGTCACCCAGATCCGCCTCCTCCTTCGCCCGCCGGTTCGCTTCCTCGCCTCGTAGAATGTCTCCTCCCAAGTCCGCCCTAGATTTTCTAGACTTTGTCAATGCCTCACCTACTCGTATGAGCCCTTCTCCCCCCTTCCTTCCCCGTTCCCTTCCACTGTCGATATCTCTATACCTATACATGCTAGGACACGTGGCCTCGACCATCTCCCTTCTACACTTCCGTCCTTCCGGCTAACAAAAAGGACCCGTAGCGTACCATGCGGTTCAGTCCTCCATAGAGCTGCTCGAGAGAGCCGGCTTCTCGGCCATCCGGGAGCGGGACAACTGGTCTTCGACTCTCCGCCCGGGGGGTAAGTACTACATGACCCGGAATGGCTCTACCATCGTAGCATTCGCCATAGGCGCCAAGTGGAAGCCTGGGAACCCCATCGCTATGCTGGGAGCCCACACGGACTCGCCCTGCCTCCGCGTGAAGCCTGTCAGCAAGAAGAGCAGCGTCGGCTTCCTGCAGGTTGGCGTCGAGACCTATGGAGGAGGCATCTGGCATAGCTGGTTCGACAGGGACCTGTCCGTGGCGGGCCGCGTCATGGTGAGGGATGGGGAGGGCAACTTCGTCCAGAAGCTTGTCAAGGTCGACCGCCCCATCATCCGCATCCCGACCCTGGCCATCCACCTCGACCGGTCTTCCGAGTTCAATCCCAACAAAGAGACCGAGCTGTTCCCCATCGTCGGTATGGTGGCTGCCGAGCTGAACCGGACCGGCAAAGACGACGCAACCAAGGAGACCGACGCCGAAACGAGCACCGACGGGACCTTCCAGCCGCTCAAGGCCATCACCCAGCGCCATCACCCGTACATCGTAGAGCTGATCGCGGCGCAGGCCGGCGTGCAAGTTGCTGACATAGTCGACTTCGAGCTGGTCCTCTACGATGTTCAGAAGTCCTGCCTCGGTGGGCTGAACGAAGAGTTCATCTACTCGGCCAGGCTCGATAACTTGAACATGACCTACTGCAGCGTCGTGGGACTCATCGAATCCGTCTCATCGGCCAGCCTCGACGACGAGACCAGCATCCGCCTGATCACATGTTTCGATCACGAAGAAATCGGGTCGACGTCAGCCCAGGGCGCCAACTCGGACCTCCTACCCGCCGTGGTTCGCCGACTGTCTATTCTTGCCGGCGGCCGCCACGGGGACTCGGGGTCGGACAAGTCCTGGGAGCACATCAGCTCGGACCCCGAGATCGACCTTACCACCGCCTTCGAGCAGACCACGGCCACCTCGTTTCTGGTCTCCGCCGACATGGCCCACTCCGTGCACCCGAATTATGTGGCCAAATACGAGTCCAACCACCAACCCGAGATTAACAAAGGTGCGTTTCACCCCTCCCCCCCGCCGTATTTCGATGTTGAACGCTGACCATGGGAAATACGTAAAACTCAGGTGTCGTCATCAAAATAAACGCCAACCAGAGATACGCCACCAACTCGCCCGGCATCGTCCTGCTGCAGGAGGCGGCCAAGAGGGCCGGCGTGCCCCTGCAGCTGTTCGTGGTCAGGAACGACTCGTCGTGCGGGAGCACCATCGGCCCCATGCTCTCCGCGAAGCTGGGGGTGCGCACCTTGGATCTGGGGAACCCCCAGCTGAGCATGCACAGCATCCGCGAGACGGGCGGGACCTACGACGTCGAGCACGCGATCAAGCTGTTCCAGGCCTACCTGTCCCACTACTCGGACCTCGAGGCCAAGATCTTTGTCGACTGAGAGGCGCGGACCGGCCGCCGGGAATCCGGGGAGTTGGGGGTGGGGGGCGGGGAGTTGCGTCGCTAGTCGTCGGCGTGTCGTCGTGGTCTGGGTACGGGGGTATATAGCCGGCTGGGCCCTATAGGTATATAGGAAGACATGGACAAATAAAGTACCGCCGCCCCGGAACGACGGGGTAGGGGGCCAACAGCATCAGTAGCCAACTCATCCCGCCGCTACCGGACAGAACAGATCGGAGAGCCCGATCGGACCGCAACGTGTAGAGAGGTAGTAGAATCCACGCGATTGCCCTAGGCATCACCATGTGTTATATACAAGACGAAGACCGACTTCAAGCTCCGGGCGCAGGGCCAACCGTTAAGACCTCGGCGCTGACATTCCCATCCCGCTGCAACCTGCTTCCCCCGCCGTCCCGCGTCCCCTGGCCGGCCAGCCGGTTTTCCACCGCAGATAGCCTGGCCTTCCGACTCGAGGGCCCTGAAGCAGCCGAGAAGGCGAGAGAACTCGGGGACCCGGAGGGCCAGAAGGGGGCCCCCCAGCCAACGCTCTTCCTTCTGCCAGGCGCGCCCAGCTAGCGGGTTAGCTAACCCACGTCTCGACACCTTTTTTTTTCTACCTATCTCTTTTTCTATTCATATTCCCGCGCCCGACGCCCCGGCACCGCGGCCTGCCGACAGTTCTTTTCTTTCCTTTCGCTTTTCTCTTATTCCACTTCGTTTCTGTCTCTGGGCCGCTCGGCCGCGCCTGCGTCCGGCGCGGAAATCAAACCTTTGCTGACCTGCCGCCACCTCCCGGAACACTGGGTAGAAGAGGATAAAACAGCGCGGCGCGAAGGGGCGGACAGGAAAAACCGCCGGCGTGCCGGCGCACGCGTCTAGCCGCGGACACGCACGCTTGCTAGCACGGCTGCCAGCGTCCCCGGAGACGATAACACCCCCCCCCCCCCCCCCCCCCCTCCTCGGGGCGGAGGCGAGCGAGCGAGAGATGTAGGTGCGAAGTCACGACCGCCCGGGCCCGAACCCGACGGACCGCGCGCTCTCGCTGCAAACCTCTATTTTCTACTCGCGGACGCCGCGCGCGGACAGACACTTTGCTGCCTAAACAGTGGTGTACTTGCGGGGGATGGGGGGTTTGGCGTCGTTAGGATAGTTTATATTATGTAGGTATATAATAGACGTAAGTATATAGATATATAGATATTGCCTACTTCTCCCCCCTGCCCATCTATCCGCCAGCCCGCCCGTCTAACCCGGCAAATTCCCCCCTTTTAGACGTAACTAACCAATCGAGCGGATGCAAACTACGGCCGTCGCGCCGCGGAGCACGCCAGCTGCGCGAGCAGTCGAGGCACCGAATGCGACAAGGGGAATTCTCTTCTCGCCGTCTTTTTTCTCCTTTTATCGATTCATCCACGCGCCGAGAGGCCGGCATCTCCGCCATTGCTAGCAGGCGACTCCTACCTTTCATCTATAGGCAATCGACGAGGGCCGTGGCCGCCTTGGTATAGTGGGTGGGGGGCCGAACTCCTATCTATGCAATTCCAGAGTACCACCATCAATGCTATCATCCCGTCTCCCCCGCCCTTTTCCCATCCTCTCCCCTGCCTCTAGGCAGGTCATCTCGCACTCTTCAGCAGATCTTGCAAGTATTTCGAGAACGTCTTCTTATCCGTCGCCGTCGTCATAGACCGCAGCAGGTCGTTTCCGTCGATGCCGAGGCCCGGGAAAAGCGTCGACTGCAGGTGCTGCAAGAACGCCTCGCCCGTCTTGAGATATATCGCCTGCTCTAACCCGGCGATCTCGTGCAGCACCAACTTAGCCTGCGCGTCCGACGACGGGTTGAACTGCGGATCACGCAGCACCTCCCAGCATACGGCGTGAAATCGGTCGATCAGGAATTGATCGAATCCGGGGATGACGGGCGACGCGGACCCGGTGGGGGCTGAGGGATTGGCTGCGATGTTAGCCACATCCGGACCGCCCCAGACGCCGGCCATCTTCGCGAGCAATCCGAACGCGAGCCGACTTGCCGGGAGGTTTCCCGAGCCGGGGCTGATGTCCCTAGCCAGGACTAGAATCGAGTTAACCAACGATTCGAAAAAGCCTTGATTCGCCTCCGAGACGAGCACGCCGGCAAGTTCGTTATTCAATATCACCCCGATGAACGTCAGGTATTCACGGCGGATTTCGGCGAGCTGGATCTCGTCGTCGGTGCCATTGATCGGCTCCGAGAGGCCGCCGAAGACCCGCTGCAGCAGAGGGGTGAGCAGCTGGTTGAGCACTTCGTAGATCTCTGCCTTGAACCCGAAGACGACTTGGTCCAGGAGGCGGAGAAACATGGCCATCTCGTCCTTTGACGAGCTTCTCGATAGGAGGCCGTCGATCCACTGCGGAAGCTGTGGGAGCATGGCAGCTCCCAAAACACCGAGCAGGCGCGAGAACGCCGACCGGCAAGCGGCTCGGATATCCGACGAGCCGTTGAGTTCCCTAAGAGCGATCAAGATGGCTTCGGCGGCGCGCGCAAACTCGTCGGACAGCGCCTTTGCCGGTGGCGGTCGCTGGTTAGGCGAATTCACCCCAGGTGCCCAGTCCGAGAATCCGTGCGCCAGCGTGCCCAGGGCCATGATGATGTGATGGATCTGGAGTACGGCTTGGGCGTCGCCGGCCTTGGCTCTCGGGAGGTGCTGTTCCATGTCGGCAAACAAGGGGTCCATGACCGAGCGAGCGTAGAGCGCTTGCTTTTCGACGGGCGTCGAAGCGGTCGACGAGATGCAGCCGATGGCTTCGAACAGGTAGAGCTGGCTCGTGAAGACGGCATCCGCAGAGTTGTCCGTCTCGTCGGACGACATATCGTCGTCGGCGTCTTCCCCGGGAACTTCTGCCTTGATTGGAAGGAGGTCTCCGATGGATTGGATGACCGTCTCGGCAACATTACCCACCTGCGCCCTCAGGTGCTTCACGAAGCGGTGGAATAGGTACCACGATCGTGTGCGGATTCTGACGTGGTCGTGATGCACGAGGCGGACGAAATTCTCGAGAACCTGGCCGATCAGCGCCGGCTGGTTCTCGAAAAAAGAGCAATATCGGACGCATATCTCCATATAATGTGATAGAATTGCCGGGTGGGGATATGTTGCGATTCCTATTCGAACGGTTCGTTAGTAGAGCACTTCGTCACGGCGAGCTTGAGCTCCTGGAACCGGGCCCACGTACCTGACTGCACCATCTTGGTCATCATCGCCATCAACCTCTCTGACGCAACTGCAGAAGGCTGGCTCTTGCCGCCCAGTCCTTGGCTGGGCATAGCCAGCTCGCCAAAGAGGTACATCTCGTGGAGAGCCAAGTCGACATCCCTCCAATCCGTCTGGGACCCCCGCTCGTCTAGCGTCTGGAAGGTGCCCGCGACGAGGTTGGTCAAAACCTCGATATAGAGGTTCTGGTCGACCGACGCCACGGTTTTCTGGAGCACCTGAAGCCTCTTCCGCAGCTCCTGGAACTCGGCCTCGTCGGTCTGTTCATCCTCGTTCCCCCAAGACGATGTCTCGTCGTACCGCATCTTCATGATGATAGCATTCAAGATCGGCGGCAGCGTTTCGGAAAAGGAGGGCGGCAATTCGGGTAATCTCCGGAAGAACGTCAGGACGTCGGTGAGCGAAGGTATGACGGTGGAACAGATTTCATCATATTCGTCGGAGAAGAATCGTAATAATAGGGGTATGAAATCGTGAAGTAGCTGGTTCGATTTGGCTCTCGTGGTGTCGTCGGTAGATCGGTCCTCTAGGACCCGGACTATATCGGCTACGACGGTATTGACCAGCTTGGCAACGGCTTCGGCCAGGTCGGTGTCGTATCGAGGGGTTCCTTGGAAAGCGTTCAAGGGCGGGCTAGCGATGAGCTGGGATATGATGTCTCGCAGGTTGAGGAAGGCTATCATCTCCGTCTTGTCGGCGGGGCGCATCTTCTTGCCGACGATTTCGGTAAAGGCGTCGACGGCAGCGTCTCGAACCTTATCCTCGCCGCCGCTGTCGTTGGAGCGGCCCACCAGCGGGAGCAGGAGGCCCAGCATGCGGTCGTTGATGACGAGGGATATATCGATCCAGCTAACCCATTTTCCGATGACCTTGAGGGTCATCTCGACGATGCCATCGTCCTGGTTCCCGTAGCTGGCAAGCAGATCCTGCCAGGACCGGGCAATCTTGGCAACGTCGCGTTCTCGCACCAGATCCTTGAGTTCGGTATGGCTGCGGGCTTGGTTATCCTGACGTACGATGATGACGTCGGCGATTTCGTCGTGGATAGAGCCGAGGATGCGTAAGTAGAGGATAACGCCGGCCGCATTGTCCCGCTGGCTGCCGCCGGAGAGTGTTGCGAGGGCAAGGAAGTCGTCAAAGAAGCTTTCCCAGCCTTGCTTATATAGCGAGACGAAGAGGGTGGTGAGGGCCTGGGTGAGCTTGTTCTGCAGGCTCGGGGAGTCTACCTGGGCCTGCGGATTGCTTCCATAGGTCAACCGTACGTAGCTGAGGAGCGCATCGCGAAGGCTGACCAGGCCCTGGGCATCCAGGGATTGGATCTGGATAGCATTGTTGATTATCTCGAGGCTAACGAGCCGGACGACTTCCGAGGTCCTGGGCGTCTTCGTGAACAGGCCGACACAGACCTGCCAGGCATGAGGGTCGGCGCGTATCTGCTGAAGGTATTCGAAGGCTTGGTTTCGAAGGGCTTGGTCGGAAGAGGGATCCCACGCAATGGCTATGGCATTCTCGATCTGCATGGGTAGACAGGACTGGAGTTAGCCGGACGGAGTTGTGGGAGAGGGAGAGGGGGGGGTTGGTGGTGTAGGTGGCGGTGGCGGTCTACCTGAGATTCCATCTCTGCTCAGATGCAGCCTCCCACTCTGTGCCCGGGTGATATCAGGTATCAACTATCTCTATACGGGCGGTAATAGTAATGGTGGGCTTCTGTGTCATGCTACTTTACCATGGCCTTGGGACGAGGGGGGGGAGGTCAGGATGGGAAGGGGGAGTGAAAGACGGGATCCCCCCTCCGAGCAAGAAAAGAGAAAAAGGAAAAAGGAGAACCAGGATCTCGGTCGGGGTGGGGAGGGAGCAGAAAGGGAGAGGAGAGGATGCGGGGAGGATTCGAAAGGGCTCGCGTATGGGGGGCAGCGAGGATATTGTGTCGAGGTGTTTCTGTGGTTGTAGCTGGCGATGTTTTTCCTGGTAGTCGTCGGCAGACGAATATGGCTTTTCTGTTCGTCACCTTCTTTCCATTTTCTTCCACTTAGTCTTGCCCACCGTTCCTGCCCGCACAGCTCACCTCCCCACTTACTCGATCAGCACAGGAAATCGTACTACATGTCAATTTTAGGCAGAATCGGGCAGGCGGTGAATCGGGCCTGGCCCAGAACCGCCAGTACATACAGGTACCCATCCGCCCCTCCCCGCAGTGTGGGCCACGTCCGCCTGTGGGTAGATACCTAGGTACCTTACCTCTTGCATCAGGTACCACGGTATTTGCTCTGTCTACCTGCGCCGGTACCTCTCCTGCGCAACTTGCCTGTACAAGTACATTGGGCACCAGATGCACTCATGCTGCCTCACCTACCTACCTAGGTACCTATACCTACAGACATAGGCACTGCAGGTATGGAGGTACTTACGTAAATAAGGCACCTATGCTACCTGATAGCTTTGCCATCAGGCACCCGTGTTGAAGAGATACCTGCCTCTACCTACCTCGATGCACAACTCGTAACGTCATAACTTCATCTATAGACCAGGCATATGCTACCTGCTTTCTCCCTGTTTCCAATCCCTTTTCGTGCCTCTCAGGCCTCGGCGTAGCATGCAAAGACTTCCCTCTACGACTCTTCCCGGTATCCGTAAGAACCCCCAAGCCATCACCACGTCCTCCAAGGTCCCGTCCTCGGCCAAGCTGTCAAAGCCCCGTATCACAGGGCACGAACAAGGTCGCCGTGCAGCGTTGCTGTGTCACATATCACGTGTTGCGTTTCCTAAATCCGGCATTATCCCTCAGCCTTACGAGACTTGCGAGAACCTGGCTCGGGTCTCCCTGCTCCGTGTACCGGGAAGGTGGGCCAAGATTCCTCTCCGTCTAGTGGTCTTGCGAGATGGCCTTGATCTTGTCATCCAACAGCATCTGCTCAGCTTGCCGTTGGCGGGAAACGCAAGATCTACCACCCCGTTGACCTACAGATGGCAGATGGGGCGATGGATCAGCGGCCCGACGCATCAACCACCGCCCAACTATGCCCCATCTGTGGTATGATTCCGACCCGCTCTCCTAGAAACCCGTGGGTTTGTCTGTTTCTGTGTAGGCTAGACATACCGCACCTACTACAGCCTGGGAGAAGCGACATGATGGTCTGAAAGGCAGGCTCCGGTGTTTTTTTTGTGAGAAACCCTCAACCTTTGCCTTGGGCGACCCTCGTTTGACCACTGCATGTTGGTATCGGCTGCTCTCGACGATCAATTCCATTGTAGGGCCGCCCGCTCGCCCCCAATTCAAAGAGACGATCTTCATCGAGGCGAGAGTACTGAAATGGGACCGTCCCGTCGGTGGTTGGGCTAGAACGTTGCGGTCTAGGCGGGTTTGTGGGCTGGCGGGTTAACTTCAGGCATGCGGCTTGCGCTCGACCTAAGGCATCGATCAATTCGTCAATTGGTACTGAAGATCTGCCAGCCGAGTTCCTTCTCCTAGTGCCAGAGACGACGGGGATAAAAACGAACCCGAAGACGGGTGTGCGTTACCAAAAACCATCAGCTACATGCAACGCCCGATGTATGAAGGTTCGGTCGTGGCTAAGCGGTAGTCCAGAGAGTTCGTGTTGGACTTTGGGTTCGCCGATGCTGAGGAGAAGGCGAAAGATGGCTGAATGTGCAGTGCAGTAGGCACTGTAAACGTCAGCCCTTCTGGTATCGTTGGTCATCGGACTTCTAGCGTGAGAGATTAGCGCAGTCAGCACCGGCTTTGCCTCATCCCCGCCGCGCCGACAACGCATGCATCGTCCAAGACGTCGCTGGCGGTCATTCTCATTGAAACATGACCGTCACCTCAAGAATGGACCACCTTCGAAGAAACAAACTACGATTGAACAAGATAATTTTACATATCGGACGACAAGATGGGGGGAAGCACGGATCATAAAGGAAGGAAGAGCATTGACAACCACCAAATTAGCAGACAAGGAGGGAGAGAGGGTGAGCAAATTCGCTCCAGAATTGGCTCCCAAATTTGATTAGATCTGGCTCTCCCCCCCTCCCCTTTTCTCCACGGAGCTACGCCCAGGGAAAGTAAGCTCTTCCAAGAACCGGGGGATCACGAGCCATCATGGGCCACCATCTGTGCAACGGCCCAGCGCTTCAAGGTAGGCTCGGACTTTTTATTGACTAGGCTCGCCACGGTGACACCAGCGCCTGTGTCCCGACACGTTCTAATTAAAACAAGGTATGAAGCGTCTGATGAGTGGAGGCTCTGTTGGTGCCAGCGCGCCGGTGGATGATACGATGACTGATCGGAAAGCATGGGACAGCCCCCCGTACGCCGGAAGTATGAGCACTTATGAATAACAGGTTGTTACCCGATACGATTAATGGCCAAGGTGGCCCCCTCGGCCGCGAAAGACGAAGATAAGAAGAAAAATTACGGAAATAGTCCGGTCCTGATCTCGCTCCCCCCCTAGCGCAAATGATGTAGACACTCGTGCCATTCCTACACGATTGGGCTAGGCCGGGTTCGTGTGAGAATATGGAAGGGAGATCAGCTCTCACGTACATATGTACAATATGCGGTGTGTTTGATAGCTACCGTTAGTCCGGTGGCTGACGCTGATGGTGAGATGAGAGATGATCGAAGGCTGGCAGGGTAATTTATGTCCGTCATTACAGTAATCAGCAATTTGCCGTTTCGCTGCGAATCGACCGGGGCGGATCGTTACCCGCGTCAAGCGGAACGTCCAACCTGAGAAGCAGGTCATCTACATAATGTACTGTTGGGGGCATACACTCGTGGCCTTGGCAGATGATCTCTGGCCCGTTTTCCGACTCCGATAGGTAAGATGGCGACCTACACCAGCGCGAGGCCGCTAGTGGTAGGTTCTCGCCTCGCTGGCACGTCGCGACTTAATATGGTATGAGTATAGACACGGACAAGATCGTCGGGGACAAGCCGTCAAGATACTTACGTACTATTTTACACCCTCCTACACTGTGAAAGGTATACCTACCTATCTAGGTAGGTATCTATCCACAAGCACTACCTGTGGCATCAGCCACGAACTTCGCCTTCTTACGCTATCTTGCCAACTGCCTAAACCAGCCCAGTCATCTCTTTAAATTCTTGCCGGCTCGACAGCCAATGGCGGGAGGCGCTCGCAAGCTCAGGCGGACCTGCAAATGCAAAAACGGGGGGACGTGAGATGGCGGCAAAGGCGGGCGTCTAGGGCACGCCCCAGCGGCTTGCTTTCACTCGAGGACCCCCCCCATAGGATCGCCATCGAAGCCCTGGGAGGAGACAGGCCCATCCTCTCGGCATCTCGCATCGTTCAATGGGCAAGACGACTTCTGAGCCGGAGATACCATGCGCCAATCCACTCGCAAGATTAGGAGGGAGGGTGAACCGGTGTCCGTTCCTGCATTAGCTCCCATTTTGCAACAGCCAGAGGCTTTCGTTCGCCGATTTGCCGCCAGCAGACGTGGCTGGAGACCGTCGGCGCCAACATGATAGGACGGGAGACCCCTGGCGGGCAAGCCCTCTAGCCTGCCCGGCCAGGGACCGAGCCAGCAAGGCGCCGCGGGGGAAGCCCACTTAGAGCGGTCCTTGTCAATGCTTGACAATCAATGCGTCCATCCCCTCTTCGCTCCCTTTGCCGGCGACGGCCTCTCCCCATTTGGCCATCCTAACCTCTATTGTCGACTTGTCAAAAGATTGCTCCTTACGCCCTCCACGCAGTTCCTATCCTATCAATCGATGCATGGAAGTACGCACATATTCTCTTTCACGCGGAAGTGAAAGAGAGGCGTGTAGAGGAAAGACGTAGGGGCGGAAAGGAATAGATAGAGTGGAGCTGTACGCGTGGTAGAACCAAGGCTTCCGGGCATTGTTCCCATCGACTTTTTGTCCTCTTCCCTCTATCCGCCACGGTGGTACCGAGATGGGTTTTTTTTAATAGCACAATCAACTTCTTCCCGTCCCCCATCCGGTACAGCAGCAACAGCGGCAAGTTCATGTATATATATACACGATAGGCTTACGGACCATTTCACTTGTCTCGAATCCGACGGGTGTTTGCTGCTACTGTGTGCCACATATGTATACAAAGACATACTCCTATAGGATGTGTCCAGAGGAAAACATCGACAACGTAGAGAGCCAATCCCTTGCGCCGAAAGACGCCTCCGTCGGTGGTACTTCGTTCGGCTATATGTACATGTTCGAATCCTAGCCAAGCGAGAGTATCTGGCCAAGATTGGCGCTTTCTGCGGAGTATGTAGTGCAACTAGGTACGTATGTTGGAATCCCTCCCCCCTCGACCCCCTGATGGAAGGACTGGAAGAGGAAACGAGAAGACGCTGCTGCAACCATCCGCCGCCGCCACGGGCCTGAGACATCGGATAATAGGACGCATGTCGGTTTGCTTGTACGGTAGGGATGTACGTAGGCTTGTGCACGCATACATTCATAGGTTACCAACCCATCTACCTGTATACGTAGCATTACCGGACAAAGGCGCCCGGTCAGGGCTCTCTACCAACTTCGCCTGTCTTGCTTGCTAACAGACCTAGGCGAAGTTGGTTCTCGCCCTCGTTCTACTACTAGGTACGTATCGACAACCAAGAGAGGCGTCTTTCCAGGTTGGCCTGGGCCTCGGCATTGTCCCCTCACCTTGCTCCCAGATGAGTAGTATCATTTCACCACGCAACAAAGACGAGGTCCTTCAATATAGCAGAACATCGACAAGGAAGATAGGCCCCGTCGTCTTGTAATTAGTCGTCAAGCTGGGTGGAGCCGATTCCCATAGTATTTTCGGCATCCCTCCCTAGTTAGCTAGGCTTTCCTTCCCCCCCCCCCCTATCCATAAGCAAACGTCGAACCGCCGATGGGTGGTGCTTCTTGATCGGCTATCCACAAACCCCCCCGGACACACTAGTTGGGAAGCCCTGGAAGATTCCTACTCAGTTAATTTCCCAAGCTGCGAGGATCGTCCCCTATTCGGGAAATTCTTTGTGCCTCTCACCCTATTAATACTCGACCGCCTCCGTCATGGTCTCCTCTCCTCCCCTCCCCTTTCTCCTCCTCAGCCAAACAGCCAACACCGCTACTCTAGTCTTTTGACTCAGCTTTGACCCTTCGGTCGTCCATTCTTTTTTAAGCAACTATCAACGCTCTAAGCTTCGTGCTTTACTTACGCTCTTTTTTTCCTCACCCTTCCAATCCTCTCTTGTTCGTTTCCGACGTTCAACTACCGATACCTTCAAGATGCGTTTCACCGGAGCTGTCTTCTTCGCTGGCGCCGCTCTGGCCGGCAGCACGGTCTACTCGACCGACTATGTCACCATCACTTCTTGCGGCCCCACCGTCACCAACTGCCCGGCCGCCTCTACCGTCACCTCGAGCACCGTCTACCCGGTCTCCAGCGGCGTCGTCTCCAGCGCCGTGATCTCGAGCAGCTCGGCCCTGAGCGGCAACGGCACCGTCCCCTCGTACCCGACCCAGAACGTGCCGGGCCAGAGCAGCTCGGTCGTCACCTCGGCCACGTCTGAGACCCTGCCCACCGGCAAGGCTACGTCCTCCGTCCCCACCGTCAAGTCCGCGTCGACGGCCCCCTACCCCACCGCCGGCGTCAGCACCAGCAAGAAGGTCCCCGAGCAGCCTCTGTACCCGACCTCCGTGATCCCCATCACCTACACCACCTGCGTGCCCACCGTGACCGTCAGCTACTCGACCATTACCGTCACCCCCTCGGTCCCCGCCGGCACTGGCAAGCCTACCACCAGCGCCCCCGGCGTCTACCCCACCGGCGGCTTCACGCCCTCGTGAGTATTCTCCCGGCTTACCCGCGTTCACGAACGGATGTACTGACCTCCCGCGCCTAGCAACCCCGTGACCAGCCCCTATCCCACCGGCAGCCCCATCCCGACTGCCGGCGCCTCTACCATGGCGGGCTCCGGCCTTCTCGCCGCTGCCGCCGGCGTTGCCGCTCTTCTCTTCGCTTAGGCGGACTCTTTTCTCCAGCCACTTGGTTTCGTGTTGATACTTTGGGTGTGAGAGGAGGACGAGGAGACCGACGCAATATCCTGCATATCGCTAGCATGTCCCTGCCGCGGATCGAGCGCTTTATGTAACCTAATACCCTAATTGCATTTTAGGGCTTCGAATGCCTGACAATTCTATTCGGCGCCCGTTGGTCTTACTTGATTGTCCTGTCTAGGCCCGGTTTGTAGCGTCACCCGGTGATGCGGGAGGTGAATATCGTGACGAGCACTATAACCCCATGATGTCTTGGTCAGAGGCCTCTTCCCCGGCCGCAGCCGGTCTCCGTAGCCCACCACTGCCGCGCCAGCAGCGCGTAGTGAATTCACTGTAGGTGTCCCGCATCTTGGCCCCTCGGGCCTATGGCAGTAGATAGGCGAAGCATCTGCGCTGGCGGGCTCGCCTCGCCTGGCCCTGTGCAGATCCCGCCTCCCCCTCCCCTCGCCGTGGATCCCAATCTGGCGACCCCTGAGTGGTGTAATTTCGGACCCCTGGCGTAGGATTGCTGGTGACTGACGAAGACGGCTGGGCATCCCCTCGCCCTTGTGCGACGGGGAAATTGAGGGCGCAGTGGCGTGTCGCAATTGGCAGCACGACGGTGCTCTGGTCGCCGGGCCCCCCTGCCCTCGGCCGGGGCATCACCTTCGCTGTCGGGCGATGGCTTTCTTGGGCTTCGCCGTAGCATCCATTCCTCCTAAAGAGCGCGCATCGCTGCCCGGTTTCGTCCGTCGCCCAATGGAGGATAGAAAGTCCGCTCCCGTTCTGGCGAGCGCGGCCCTATTGATTAGTATGGTTCTCTTATGAGGGAGGAGTTGGGATGGGCCCGTCCTCTTGTTGTGCGCTCCGAGAGCAACACGTGTATGTGTATCCGGACAGGGACATGCAGGTATCGTCAGCTCAGCCACTTACCCACGTGTTACTGTCACTCTCTCGCAGTCTCTAGTTGACAAGTTAATCAATCAATCAATCCCTCTCGTTTCATCTCATTCTAGCCGCCCCAACTCCCCTAGTAACTTGGCCTAGTTAGGTATCTCGGGCACTGGCCCGATTTGATATGTGTGGCGTGCACTGAAGTCTGGTTGGGTCAGTGATGAGTATGGTCTCTCGCCACAATAGGGTGTCTCGTGAGACTTCTCTAAGCTAGAGGAGCAGAGCAACCTCAGCTGATTCTTCTCCTCAATACCCGACACTCCCATATATACATCTATGCCCGCGGTCTCCAAACTATCAGTCGCATGTGGTGTATATGGAAAACGACGTAGGTAAGTCTTCTAATATGGTTAACCCACTAGATAAACATCCACATCCATCAGATGACGATATTCAGATAGGGGTTATCCTGTCTACTTCAGACATGCTCAAGATGACAGACAACACTGCTTCATCACATATGACTTGACGACGTTGTTGGCAAATTGCAAGTCTTGTCGTGTGTATTTCATGAGATCTGCGATAGTCGGCGTATTCTCTCTCGCGCGCGCACCTCCCAGTAACGAAGACATCCCGGTACCCGAATCGTATTTGGGATTGGGACCGGACTGGATTATATTCTTATCTCTTGTCTGTCTCTTTGTCCTTTCTCGTCCTAGACCCTTATTTTTATATTTATCCCTCACTTACTCACTTACTACTGTCGCAGGCTCTATGAATATCAGTTTGATCCAGTTCGGAACTTGTAGTGACAAGCGTACGTATCCTTCAAGACATAGACAGTTCTAGCTGGAGAAAACTAGTCTCAAACCCCACCCCCCCCCTCCCCCATAAAATACTCATCATTTGGCCAAGACTAGGAGTCAGACACACATCCTCTAGCTGATCCTCTAGCTAATCCTCTAGCTGTCGATTATGCATCAACATACTCTCACTCTTAGGTTAGTGGGGTTGAGCACGTGCGTTCCACAGAGAGAGACATACACAAACGGAGAGAGACATATACAAATGGAGAGATACATAGGTATGCAAACGGAGAGAGACGGACAGACAGACAGAGGGGGAGCGGATGTGTTACTTCTCCCCTGCCCTATACCGTGGTCATGGGTAAACATCGGCTCCCTTCGCGAATCGTATAAGCACAAATTATAGAGAACCCTATAGCCATGGCTCGTATATAGACGGATGAACTTTAGGGACGCGACGTCTTGGCCGTCACTATGTTTATCGCGTGTGCTGCGTCTCTTCGACGACCCAGCTACCTAATTAGTTAACCGGACTTAGCTCAGGATCCGAAGCACACGCAACGTTCTGCTCACGAGGATTACGCAAGCTGCCACCTGGTTCGGGACGGATCAGGGAGAGACGGTGGGGAAGAAGACCTACATACATACTAACAGAGGTCCAGTAATCCCATCCATCGTGTCCCACGCTACGAGTCTGCCTTAGGTATCAGGGCGGACAGCCTACAGCATATCGGGGAATTCCAAGAACTCGCTCCACGCACGCCAAGGCGGGTTTTCATCGGATCCCTAAGTTGGGGATCGAGCTACGCCCAGGAGGGCGTATATGCGCCAGTAGTATCCTCACTCTAGGACTTACCGCCCTCGTCCCGACCCTGCCTTCTGGGCCCCCATACTGAGAGTATACAGGATGCGACGCCTCCTTCGCACTCGCTTATCTGGGCATCGACGCGCGGAGCCGCATTCTGTTGGCCCCCCCCCCCCTGCTCCACGCCCTCGGTGCGTTAAGCGAGTGCGAAATAGCAGCCAACCAGCGGCCGGCCGGCCGACCCACCGCCGACGAGGTCGTCATCCCGGGCATCGCAAACCTCCGAGTCCTTAGGAATTCTCTCGTCCTGGACCCGCCGAGGAACGCTCCTCGTGGCAGTGCTCTATGCCTTCGCGCCGGCCCTTCGCGGGGGCCGCGGGGCGACGACGCATTCCGTGGCCCGTTCTTGTCTGGGCCTTACGTGTCGCAACGGGGGTGCGATGCACGTAGGGACCTTGCTTTGTGAGGCCTCGTAGGGCTGTAAATAGATGCCGCAGATAGATAAATCTCTGTATATATCAGCCGGTTGTGCGGCGTGGAAGGACGGCTGTAGACAACGCGTGCGTGTTTATATTCAGACGTGAGCGAGAAGCATCATCTAGTGACACCGTGACCCTTGAGGCAGCCAACCCGGATTCTCGACGTCGAATCTCATAATCTTTCTCCCTCTCCTCTCTGCGAGCTGCTTGCCGATATACCTGCCCATACAGCTACCTAGCGACGTCGACAACTCGCGCAGAGATGGACGAGCTGCCCCTCCTGCCGAACGGCCAGCCGATGATACCGTACGGCCCGGACGCCACCTGCACGCTGGAGCTGTGCCCGATCGAGTGGTCAGTCCTGCAGTACCGCCCGGACCTGGCCGCCAACATCATCTTCCTCTGCCTGTTCTTCGTCCTCCTCGTAGTCCACGTCGTTCTGGGCTTCCGATGGCGTAGCTGGTGGTTCATGGGTTGGGTGGTATGCGGCAACATCAATGAGATCATCGGCTACGGGGGCCGCATCATGCTCTACCTCAACCCGTTCAGCTTCGCCGGGTTCATGATACAAATCAGTGCGTCTTCTGTCTTCCGGTTATCTCGTTTTTCCAGCATCCCTTCCTCGAACGACTCCATCTCCTTCCCTCCCTCCTAACCCCCCCCCCCCCCCCTCTTCTATCCTTCCACCTCACAACAACAAGCGGCCACCTGTGCTTAACAAACCCCGCGAAACCACATAGTCTGCGTCGGCTGCGGCCCCGTCTTCTACTCGGCAGCCATCTACGTGACGATGAGCAAGACCGTCGAGGCCCTCGACCCGTCCCTGTCCCGGATCAAGCCGAATCTGTACTACATCGTGTTTATGGCCTGCGATACCGTGGCGCTTATCTTCCAGGCCGTTGGCGGGTACGTCCATCCGCCTTTCCCGCCCCCCCTATCTCCGTTAAACCTGTGAAACCCGTCCTAACGTGCGCGCATCCTTCCCCCCCCCGCTAGCGGTCTCTCGAGCTCGACCTCCGGAGAGAGCGAGGCCGCGGTCGACCTGAGCCTCGCGGGGCTGGTCTTCCAGGTGTTCTGCATGGCGGTGTTCGGGGTGCTGATGGGGGAGTACATCTACCGGTACGCGCGGGCGCAGGGGGGGGCGGCGGCGATCGGGGCGCGGCTGAAGCTGTTCCTGTGGGCGCTGAGCGCGGCCGTGCTGCTGATCCTCGCGCGCTGCGCGTACCGCGTCGCCGAGCTCCGCGGCGGCTACCGCGGCGGCCTCGTCAGCAACGAGCCGCTCTTCGTCACGCTCGACAGCGTCCTCGTCGTCCTCGCCGCCGCCGCCCTCGCCGTCGGCCACCCCGGCCTCGTCTTCCTCCCCACCTACACCGGCCTCAAGCCCCCCAAGGGGCCCGCCGCCGCAGAGGAAGCCGGCCAGAAAGGAGAGGCCGATAGCGCCATCGCGCTCCAGGATCGGTAAACTGGCTTGCTGGTCTGCGAAGGCCGTCACATCCCGGCTGTTTTCTTCTAGGGAGCAAGGATGCGGTATAGATGCTTGGTTATGTGAATATGTGTATATATCCTGTGCGGTCTAGTGGTTATAGCCTTCCGGGATCGTATGTTGGGGCGTGGTTTAAGCGGGGGTTTGCTCTTAGTTATCCGGGGGGGGGGGGAGAAAAGGGGGGATGGCTTTTTTTTTTCGCTATATGGTTGTGCGTTTACTGAAGCAAGGCTGTCTCGAGGTTCTGTGTTTATGGCTGTCCTAAATATCACCGATAGAGATTCTCTACAATACCATCTAAATCAGCTAGCATGCTCGAAGATGTATACAATCTTAAAATACTAAATGGAGGTATAAAGTGAGGGGGGCTGCTTCGCAGAGACGGAGCCTGTAATGCCAGTGCCCTCTCGAGAGGGCCGTCTCCAGTTCGCACTTGAGCTTCGTTCTATAGTCTTCCAGCCTCAATATACATACCTACTGTTTAGTTGAGGCGACCCAAGTAGGCACCACGATCCTCTGTAGATCCCACGTGGTATTTCTAATACTTACAGAATTTCCCCCAACGCCAGCCCATGCCTTTGACCTAAACACGCGTAGATGAGTCCGTCTATCCCATGCCGTAGCCGGCTATTAGTTAGTGCTCCGATAGAGGGGAGCCAACTAGCCCGACTCGTTTGCCCTGCTCCTCTTCTTCTCATCCTCGGCCCCGCCCTCTCCTTCTTGCTCGCCGCCGCCTGCTCCCCTCGTCGCCTCGATGACGGACGGCTCGCCGGCGTGGGCGCGCATGCGGGCCAGGACCTCGGCGGCCTCGGCGGCGAATTTGCAGCGCATGCGGATGGTGGCGCCGTAGCGGTAGAACAGGAACGGGAAGGGTAAACAGGCGAGCGACAGGAACGCCGGGATAGAGCTCGCCCAGTGGGTGCCCAGGTTGTGGTACATGGGCGTCGTGAACAGCGGGAACGCCGCCCCGAATAGCGACCGTAGCACGGAGTTTGCCGCTAACACCGACGCCGCGTAGATTACGTCTGAGGTTCGAGGTTAGCCGATGCCGCGGCGGCTGTCGAGGGAGGAGCTAGGAGAGAGAAGAAGGGCGAGGAAGCACTTACAAGAGTCGATGAGGTAGTTCATCAAACTGAGGAAGACGAGGACAAGGCCGGCGGCGAAGAAGCCGGAGGCGATGATGGGCACGACCCAGTGGATCTCGGGGCCGTTGGTCCAGGCGAACCAGAAGAGGCCGACGGGCAGCAGCACGGAGCCGATGAGGGCGGGCGGGAGGCGCGCCTCGGCGGGGGCGTGGCCGTCGCGCGCCGCCTCCGCCGTCCGCGCGTACCGCCCGTTGTCCCACACGCTGTAGCCTATCGCTGCCATCATCCCCACCGCCACCCCCAGGAACGCGAGCCCGCCGACCCCCGGCGACCATCCGCGCTGCACCTGGAACACGATCGGGAACGCGGCGAACATCATGTACAGGGTCCCGCTGGGAGTACGAATTAGCATCATTTCCTTTTCTTCTTCGTTGGCCTTCATGCTTTCCGTTTCTGTCCAATAGATCCGGGGGGAGACGGGGGGTGCTTACTATATGATGGCCATGTAGAGGGAGGTGAGGAAGACGATGGGCTCGCGGAAGAGCAGCGTCCAGGGCCGCAGCAGGGCGACCTTGAACTCCTGACCGATGGTCTTCTTCGGCCGGCCGGCGTCGAGCTTCGACACGTAGACCTTGCCGGTAATCTCGGACAGCTTCTCCGCCCGCTTGCGGAGCAGGATTGGCGCGTACGTCTCGGGTACGAGCAGCGAGCACATGATCCAGAGCAGCCCCGTGAAGGCTGCCATGAGACCCTCGACCTATTCATACGGAGAGAGAGAGAGTTAGTAGATCATACTTCTGCCAAAGGCGACGCCTTAGACGAAACACATACCCATCGCCATCCTCCACCCACGCCGAGGAAGCCTCCAGCGATAGGGCCAATCGAAGGACCGAGGAACGGCGCCTGACAAAGACTAGCGTTAGTTTCTATCGCTGCTTGCGGACTCTTGGCCTGTCATCGGCTCCGTTTTAAAGGGGAGGGAGGGGGGCATACAGCGGCAAACAGGGCGCCGGCTAAGCCTCTCTCACGGGCTGAGAACATGTCTGCGATGACTCCGCCCGCGTTCGTTAGGGGCGAGCTGCCAAAGGTCCCGGCGAAGAATCGGAGCACGATGAGCGTCTGGATGTTTTGCGCTCCCGCCGCGCCGGCGTTGAATGCCGTCAGGGCCATGTACTGTAGCGAGAAGAAGGCGTGGTCAGAAACTAAGCTCCGGGCGGGAACTCGCGGTCGCGAGGGCGGTGTCGACTTACAGTGAAGAAGAAGAGGATCTGTCTGCCGTAGAGCTCAGAGAGAGGAGCCCACATCAAAGGCCTGGTCGCTCAGGTTAGCGCGATACAACGCAGACAGAAGCAACCGGGGCCGCCTGGCTCGTCCGGTTGGCTGGACTGGTCCTCACCCTAGAGCGAAGCCGAGGACGAAGAGGGATACGCCAAGGATGGCGATCTGCGTATCGACCTGGAACTCGCGAATGATCTCGCCGATGCCGCCGGAGTAGGCAGTCGAGACGAAGGCGACGGCGAGGACGGCGATGGCCTGGAGGGCGGTGATGCCCCATTTCTTCGGCTTCGAGAAGGTCATCGGGTCCTTGGGGTCGTTAGGCAGGAAGTCGACAACGAAGGGGTCGTCGTCGGTGCCGCTACCACGGTAGCCCCATTCTAGTACGGCGGGCGTGACACCGGCCTGGTCGAACTGGCGTTGGTAGTAGGGGAGGCCGCCTCGCGATTTCTGAGACTCGACGTCGGGCTCGGGTTCGGTGGCGGTGACGGAGGACCCCGACGATGCCGAAGAGGTGATGGGAGCCGAAGACGACGCCGGTAACGACATGGTCCAACGAAGCCTCCTATGTCGCTGCGATGGTGGGCTTATCCAGGTAGAGAGGTGTCTTTGTGCTGGGTATGGACATGCGGGGAAAGGGGAACAAGACAAATTATACCTGCCTACTAAATCACCGACGGCCAGACAGGGGGGGAGGCTTCAAATATATATATAAGGGTGTATTGGGTGCCCGCCGGTATCTATCTATTTCCCGATCCCTCCTCCGGGTAAGTGATTTAGCTACGAAGTACGTAGTAGTAGGGGTGGTAGAACGTAGTAGCTGTGGTTGTGGTCTCTGCTGGGTCTTTGTCTACCAAGCCAAGAGCCCTACCACGATGGCCGAGCAGGGACTGGGCCATTCCGTCGACCTCTTAAGCAGGCCGCTGGGTTTTATTTACTTACTGCGCCGCAGAGCCGGGATATTTGTGCACGACTTATGCAATGCGACGAACGCCTCTGTCCGTGGACCGAAGCAGCTAGCCGGAGTTGAGCTGTGTGCCTCCAAGGCTGTCGCCGATATGCGCATACATATCTACATAGGCAGACAGGCGGATCGGGTTGATGCGTAGGTATCTATCTCTTCTGCGTCTGCATCTGCATCCGAGGGTGGGTGAGGACGTGTGCAAGTAGGGCAGGTGAACACGCCATGCGTATTTACCTACGCACAGGATCGCGATCGGCACAAGGGATCTCTGGTGGCAGCCAACCAATCCTTCGCCGGATTCAACCTCGGACGGCCAGGTCTGCCGCACTGATTATGTGTTGCTTGGCGCCGTGTTGCGGGAGACGGCGTGCGGCTCGAAAAGCTTCGCCCCCCTTCTGGAATGGATCCCACTGGATGAGGCGATGGGAATAGGAAATAGGAATAAGAATAGACGCCTGCTCCGAGGCGCGAGCCGGCATTGGCATTAGCCCTAACCGAAACCCGGGCCGCTGGGATGCAAGCTGATGATCAACTTAATATCGCTTCCACACCCGTGGGCAGGGGGGCGGGATTATCGTTCTGGGATAGCAACAAGACGGCGGTCTGCCACTAGAATGGGACCAGAGTCGCTTGTCGGGATCCCGTCTGAGGAGAGATTGCCTCTCGACTCTTGCCTTCCTCTCTTTTTCTCTCTGGTGAGTTGATGGGATTACCACGTGGTGAGAATCGTCTAAGACTTTGCCGGCTCGAAGACCAACGCATAAACTCTCCCGTCTCTCTACCCGTCTGTCCGTCTCTTGACACGCGCGATATCCAGTATTCAGGGGTATGATATACCTACGGCTCGTATGTATGGGTATACGTAGGGGTGCCATGTCTCGTATCTGCTTCTTCTTTTCAACCTGGGTTTCCTACACGATACTTACTCATACGCAACAGGCATGCCTTAGAGTGGAACTAGGATTGCAATAGTGTCAAGTAGCGTGTTGCCCAGACGGCAATGGAGAGACAGGACGAGCTAGGAACAGGTGGGAGCCATCGTCGGCTTAAAACCGGAATCCCAACCGGTCGGCGCCTGCTAAGACCGACTAGCCGACGGGTTAAGAATTAGTGGCATTTTTGAGTAGAGTGAGAGAGAGCGAAAGAGGGTGCGAGAGAGTGTGTGTGAGAGAGAGGAGAGTGAGAGAAGAGAAGGGGGGGAGGGAGACGGAGATAGAGAAAATAGTAATAAAAGTACCTGGTTAGTTCGGAGATGATTTCATCCGGTAATATTGCTTTGGTTGGCCCTATCCACCTGCTTGTTGCGGATAGATCTCCGTTGCTACCGAGATGCGCCGCGAAGAACAGCTGTTGTGAGTAGAAATAGGGCTACATATTTACCTGTAGAGGCACATATATAGGTATATACATACCTACTCATAGGTATATAATATATATATATATATGTCAACATGTAGGATTCTTCGCGACGCAACAGTAAGTTCTAAGCTTCGTAGCCCGCATCCATTGCTAGTCACCACCTCTTCGTCGATCCAGAACCCCCTGCTTCTCTTTCTCTCTCTATAGGTGTACCGGAATTATCATTGCACTTTGGACACGGAAACATAAACAAGTACGCGTGGCATTCAAGATTCAAAATCGGAACAGCGGCGAGATGCTACGCCGACCTAAACTAGGCCAAGCACCGAAGTAGGCGGTTAACTACCTTAGATGTTGGGAATCAACATAAGAGCCCAACCAACATTAAAGGATTCTTCCATCATGCCTAGGTATGTGTTCGGCGTTTTGACTGCATCTGACCCCCACCTAGGATGACACCAAGCGACGACCTCGGCACAGCCAAGTAAGAAAAACACGCCGAGGTCAGGGGAGATTTGGGCATAATACCGCCTAGCCTGCGCTCGCCTATCTAATCCTTCTATCATGTCATCGTTCGAATTTGATCCGGTGGAGCTTGTCGTCGGGGCTGAGGGCCGTAGGTAGTTAGCCATCCCGGCTGGTGTGCGTAGATAGACGACATATCATATCAGTCATCCCGTCCTCCCGGAGGGAGGCGTTGGGATTTATGAGTACTGGTACTACTGGGGCGCAGCCGATTCCGACACCTTGTGGGAACACATAATCCGTCGCCGCCAACGAACTCACGAGACGTGTCGTACCTAGAACAGGAATGCGGCGCCGATGCAGGAATTATCCACGTGGGAGAGGGACGGCTTACGTTAGAACCACCAAGCGAGGTGAACCGCTCGCTGGCCGAGGTAGTCAGATTTCGACCACCGAATGCGATGCTATTAATTCGAGGCGCTTCGTGTTGATATCTCACTAGTGTGGTGTGGAGAGGGCCGCCTCATAGGTAGGTAGATACTTGATGAGTAACATACCTACCTACTGAATCTCATCTTCGTATAATTCTACTCTCTTTCCTTACACAATGAATGGTTTAGCTACCCAACACACTCGGCTACGGTGCTCTTTTAAAAAAATAAAAATAAAGATACAAAAAAGGCGTAAACCGCGTTGCCATGTCGAATTAGAATCGTCAAGTAGAGTATCTCATTTTCTTTCACGTCAACGTCTGGGCACGATCGAATGCGACATGTGTCGAGCAATGTGAAGCTATCGCGAACATTATCCTGCAGCGGCGGATTTTAGGTAATACGGATTTAACAGATGCCCCTCTTGGATTCTTACGTAATGCTGGACCCTGAATTTCTATTTTTTTCTACCTAACGTTTTTTTTATTTTATCAGTCGTCGGGTAATCTTTGATATACCTACGTAACTACCTGTCATTTTCACCACCGCTCCTCACTCCTCTCGCTCCTCTTGGACATACGAGGGAGGGAGAAACGAGAACCGCCCAAATATGCGTGCGCACCCGCTACCTCTCGCCTCGTAATCGTAACCCGGCTCGAGAAGCAGACTGCCGTAGAGTACCTACCTATCTCCTCCCTTCTACCCGTATCCCCCGGGCATGTCGTGGGACACCCGTCCGCAAATACAAATATGTCTCTGTACCACGAGACGGCCGGTGTCCTGTCAGCGACGTCTTCGAATCCTGCTGCCGGCGGTAGCTTGAAGACCCGCGTCTTCGCCAACAAGGGCCTGAAATCCCCTCCGCAGCAGGTCTATGCTCTGGCCCTCGAGACCTGTAAATGGAGCGCCGTGCTCAAGGAGGTCATCGATGGCTCGGAGCTCCTGCGACAGGAGCGCAAGGTAAGCGCTGCTTCGTCGCGTTCTTTAGGACGTGTCCGTCCGATAGGTAGCATCGTTGGATAGTAGAGCCCGCCATGCGCTGACTCCCAGAGCTGTGCGCAGCTCAGCCCCGTGCTCGCCCTCCTGCTAGTTCATGACTTCCTGCTCGCTAAGAGAGGCATCGCCCTGCCCGCTACCCACGGTCTGAGGACCACCATCGAGCGCCACAAGGCCCGCCTAAATGCCGAATTCACCAAGGCCCGGCTGCGTAGGCGGGCGGCTTCGGTCGAAGCCTTGCGCCAGCAGATAGCCGCCGAGTTTCTAGCCGAGACGACCGGCTATCCGCGATGGGTGCGCGTGAACACGTTGAAGACCACCATCGAAGAGCAGCTGGCCACCACCTTCGCCGACTTCACTCGGGCCCTTAGCGTCCAAGAGGTCATATCCATCCCCGGCAAGTGCCTCTACGTCGACGACCACATCCCCAACCTGCTCGCGGTGTCGCCGAGCTTCGAGATCACCAAGACCGAGGCCTACGTCTCGGGCGCCGTCATCCTGCAGGACAAGGCCTCGTGCTTCCCGGCCTACCTGCTGGACCCGCGGGCCGAGGACGGCGACATCGTCGACTCGTGCGCCGCGCCCGGCAACAAGACGACGCACCTCGCCGCGCTCGTGCACTCGCGCGTCCCGGAGGGCGAGACCTGCGCCCAGACCGTCTTCGCGTTCGAGAAGGACCGGGGCCGCGCCCGGACCCTCGACAAGATGGTCCAGCTCGCCGGCGCCAAGGGCACCGTGCGGATCAGCTTCGGCCAGGACTTCCTGCGCGTCGACCCGCACGCCGACATGTTCCGCCGCGTCGGCTGTCTGCTGCTCGACCCGAGCTGCTCCGGCAGCGGCATCGTCGGCCGCGACGACGTGCCGCCGCTGCACCTCCCGGACGCGCCCGGCGCGCCCGGGCCCGCGCCCGCGCCGCGCCCCCACGACGCCGCCGGCCGCAAGCGCAAGCGCGACTACGACGCCGACTCCGGCCCCGACGCCGGCCCCGTCCTCGTCGACGACGACGGCCGCGAGACCCCCGTGGCGTCCGCGGCGGAGCTCCGCGCGCGCCTCGCGGCCCTGTCCGCCTTCCAGCTCGCGCTGCTGGAGCACGCGTTCCGGTTCCCGGCGGCGCGGCGCGTCACCTACTCGACGTGCTCGGTGCACGCGGCGGAGAACGAGGGCGTGGTGCGGCGCGCGCTGCGGTCGGACGTGGCGCGGGCGCGCGGGTGGCGGGTGCTCGCGCGGGCGCGGCAGCCGCGCGGGCTGCGCGAGTGGCCGGTGCGGGGCGTCGTCGAGGACGCGAAAACGGACGGGGACGAGGGCGAGGACGACGCCGTCGAGGTCGCCGACGCGTGCGTCCGGTCCTACAAGGACGACGGCCGCGGCGTCATGGGCTTCTTCGTGTGCGGGTTCGTGCGCGACGGCGGCGAGGCGGCGGCGGCGGCAGCAGGGGGCGACGGGCCGTACCTGCGCGATAGCGACGGGCGCATTGTTAGGGACTATGCGGGCATGCCGACGCTGAAGCCGGGGCTCGCGAAGAGGGCTGCCGTGGAGGAAGAAGACGAAGAAGAAGAAGATGACGACGATGACGAAGAGGAGGGGGAGGACGACGATACGGGGTCCGGCGAGGATGCGAGCAGCGACAGCGAGCCGAGCGACGAGGAGGAGGGCGACGGCGACGACGAGTGGAATGGGTTCGGCGATTGAGTCGTGTCTAAGAAGAGCGCTGCCCCGTTGGCCTAGACGGCGTCGTGTGCTGCCCGGTCTGGCATACGCACGTGATACCGCGTCATGTATAACGCGGCGAGACCAGGAGCTTTAGATATATACCACGGGCGTGCCCCTGCTTACGAGACATCGACCTGTCTACGTGGCCTTTACTACACTTCCCCTTCGTACGGTTGACTTTTTCCATTTTTCTCGTGTCTACATGCAATCCGTCGTAGTAGTGGTAGTGTAGGAGTAGGAGCAGTACGCGCACAAGCCGATTCTGCATACAAATCATCACCGCCGATCAAGCGATCAACCACTCCTCTCCATATGCAGCCTTTGGATGCTCCTCTCCTCTTACCTGCCTAGACTCGTTTGCTCACTCGCATCGCATTACATCTAAGCGTAGGGCCGGAATCAGAGGCAAATGGCCAAAAGAACTGCCTAATTCCCCGCCCGTACTCCTGCTGCCGTCGCCGCTACCACCTTCGCGCGTTCACGCGCGCATCGTCTGCTTCTTGGAAGACTTGCGCATCTCCTTCTCGCGCTCCTTCTCGAGGTACCGCTTCTGGGCCTTGGCGTCGAGCGCGTTAAGCTCGGCGTCACGCTTGGCCTTGCGCGCACGATCGCGCTCCGCCTGGCGCTCTTCGGCTTTCTCCTCCTCGGCTGCCTTCTGGATCTGCCGCACCGCCTCGTCGCGCACCGCCCGCACCTTGCGCAGCACCTCCGGTCGGAAGTGCGCCGCCGTCGCCAGCTGATCTGGCAGCCGCAGCGTGTACGCGAGTAGCGGCGCGAGCCCCTCGTAGTTGTCTGACGACGGGAGCCGGTATCGAAGCAGGATGCGCTTGCGTGGGATCGTCTCGTCCATCCTATAGCGGCGGGTTCGCAGTTAGCAAGGTTTTCGCGGGTGCACAGAATCGAGTTCTAGAGACATAAAAGGGGGGGAGAGAGGAAGAAAAACGCACTTCTTGGGCTTATCCACAGGTTGGTCGCTGATGATGAGGAAATCGAACAGGTCGCCGGCCTGCTTGATGGCATCGGCGAGCTCGTTCGTCAGGAAGGTCTCGGTGATCTCGGCGCTCTCGCTCATGACGGTGGTCCAGATTGGTAGCTTCGTGTTGTCCTTGGTAAAAGTGATGGACAGGTCGTATCGTTCTTCGCGGAGCTGCTTCATCTTGTCCTTGTTGACGATAGCCCAGACGAAGCCGTCGAATGCGCTCTTAGCGTCTTTGCTCCGCAGCTCGGCCGCACCCGGAATCGACGGCACGATCTGGGCCTCCTTGCCGTCGAAGGGGTAGATGGTGACATCGACGGAGTCCTCGGGGGCAGAAACACTATCGATAAAGAAGCCCATCGCAGTCTCGATAAAGTTCATGACCGGGTTGAAGCGCTTCTGCAGCGTCAACTTGAGGTCCATGAAGGCGACATTCTGGCGGCCGGTCGCGTATGTCGCGTACTCGAACAGGCTCTTGGCCTTGATCATCTTCTCTGGTTCCTGGTCGGGAGTCGAGGCCGCGCCGAAGCCGACGACGGCGAACTCGCTGGCGAGGATTGACCCGTGGGCCTTGATCCAGGCCCTAGCCTTCGCTCGGTTGCGCCTGGCGCCGATGAAATGCAGGGTGAATATGACGCCGATGATGATCAGGATGATGCCCTCGCCGCGGAAGTCGCTCAGGCTATACCGCTCGTGGATATTATACCATTTCGTGTAGGGGCGGCCAGTGGGCGCGGCGCCGAAGGTGGTAGCAGCTGAGGGCTCGAAAGGGACGGGTACTGGTGAGGGCGCGTCGGCGAAGTCGGCGAAATCTGCGAGGAAGGCCACGGGTGAGCTATAGAACGGTATAAATGCCACGAGCAGATGGGGGATATATCAATTGTAGCAGCGAGGCGCATGCATGGCATACACAGCAAGCAGATAACTCGGGCGTCCCCGGATTCTCAACAGCCGGGGGACGGAAGGGAGGTGGAGGCAAAGCCTCGTTGCTATCTCACGATGCCGGTGCGCGATTGGGATGTTACGTGTTAAACTGGACGAACTCACCGGAATCAGCAGATGCGGCGGGGGCAGCCGAGGAGGTAGTAGTGCTGCCGCCGCCGACAATATTCTTGAAGAAGTCAGCCATGGCCAGTTGCGCAACTCTCGCAGAGATGTGTCGGGTGCGCAACACTAGAGATGGAGGAGGAGGAGGGAGAGGAGACCGAGACGAAGACCGAGACAGGACGGCGAAGACAAATAATCGAAAAATGAATTGGTCAAGTTGGAGATCGACGAAGAAAAGATGTACCTTTGTATTCATTGGCTTAATAACCCAATTCCTGGGTCCTTGGCAGGCACTGCTCAAAAGTTGGGGTAAGACGAGGTCGAAACGGGAAGGAGTCCACTCTCCATGCTGTGGCTGACCAACCAGGTACCAGTACTTCCAGGCCAATGCGGCCAGCTAAGTATCCTTTACATAATAGCTCTATGTCTTGACTACATCTCACTACTCTTATCTACGAAGCCCATGCTATGGGGCGGAACAAGGTAGTGGTACATTGGGAAGATAAGTGCCCACAGCTATCAGTTACTCTATTGATTCTCTATGTGGCTGGTGGCGCACGTGCTGATACGGGCACATTCTACAGATAAGAAAGAGCCAGTCTGTTACTGGGCAACCCGCCTTGTCAAAGTCAACACTGAACTGGCTGGTTGCGAAGGCTACAGGATAGACAGATGAACGACAGGAACAACCGCCACACCACCACCATAGAACAAATAATGGAACACAACTAGAGCAACGAACTACAGTGGTGCTAACAGACCGACGAAACCTCACAATGCCAGAGAAGACGACAAAGCAACCCCCCATCCGGAAATACGGCAAGCAGCACACGAAGCCCAAGCGCAGCCGATTGTTCGATGCCCTACCGCAGACGCCGGCACGGAGGCAGCCAAAGGGGGGTGTGAAGCAAGAGGAGGAGGAGGACCAGAATAAACAACAGGGAAAAGAGGAGAGAGGCGGGGAGGAAGACGGGGTGGCGGTGGCCGCAGAGAACACCAGCAATGGCGGCTCCGGACATGATCAGGATCCGTCGGGGATCGCCGGCCTCGAGGATCTAACCAACAAGATCTCAGCCATCAAGCTAGGGGACGAAGAAGACGACGATGGTAGCAAGAAACCGGTACCGTCAGACCCCGTCCGCGCCACTCCCAGAAGGCGACGGAAGAAGGCCCAGCAAGAAGTCCCGCCAGAGTCACCACCCCACGTCGCGCCGGCCGAGCCGCGAACCCCGAGGGCGCAAAGCCCCCGCCGGGTGAGGCCTACGGAGGCTCCCAAAGCAGCAGCAGCAGCAGCAGAACCGGAGCCAGACCTAGAGCTAGAGCTAGACCCGGAGGGCGAGCTGCAGGTGCTGTCGTGGGACGAGATCTGCGGGGCGGGGGACACGATCGTGAAGATCGCGGAGGCGTCGTACGCGGAGGTGTACCGGGTGACGAACGGGCGGGGGACGAGCATCATCAAGGTGATCCGGATGCGGTCGGCGCTGGGGGCGCCGACGCGGGCGCAGCGGCGGGCCGGGCTGGTGGATGAGGAGCCGCACCCGGACGCGGACCTGGTCGGCGAGCTGCGCATCTCGGAGTGGCTCGCCGACGTGCCCGGCTTCGTCGTCTACAAGCAGCGCTACGTCGCCCGGGGCCGCGCCTGCCCCGCCCTGCGCGCCACCCACCGGGCCTTCCACCGCCGCCTCCGCCGCCAGGACCCCGCCCGCCTCCAGTTCTACCCCGACCCCGCCCGCTACCTCGACGCCACCCGCTTCCTCGTCGTCGAGCTCGGCGACGCCGGCGCCGCCCTCGAGGACTTCCCCCTCCGCTCCCCCGACCAGCTCTGGGACGTCTTCCTCCACGTCGCCGTCGCCCTCGCCCGCGCCGAGGCCCAGGTCGAGTTCGAGGTACGCCGCGCCCCTCCCCCTTTCCCCTCCCCTCCTTTTCTTCCCGTGTTCGTCCTGCTGCTAACTCCCCACCACCCTCGCAGCACCGCGACCTGCACGAAGGCAACCTGTGCATCCGGCGCGTGCGCGACCCGGCGCCGGCGGAGAAGCGCCGGCGGGGCCGGCCGCGCCGCGACGCGCCCGCCGCGCCGCGGTTCGGGCGCTCGGGGCTGGAGGTGACGATCCTGGACTACGGGCTGTCGCGGGCGCGGGCGGCGGGGGCGGGGCGGGCGGTGGCGTGCGACCTGGAGCGGGACCTGTCGCTGTTCGCGAGCGAGCACGCGCCGCAGTGCGCCGTGTACCGGCGGATGCGGGCGTTCCTGCTGGGGGGGCGGCCGACGGCCGCGGCCGGCGCGGCGCTGGCGAAGTGCGACGCGCTCGACTGGACGCGCCACGAGCCCTACACCAACGTCCTGTGGCTCGCGTACCTGTACGGCTGGATGGCGGCCGCGTTCGCCGGCGCCGCGGCCGACGCGGCAGCCTTCCGCCGCGACACCGCCGAGCTCTGGGCCTACCTCGACCCGGACGCCGACGACGGCGCGCCCGGGTTCGCCTGCGCCAGCGACGTCGTGCGCTTCGCCGTCGAGGCCGGCTGGATCGCCGAGGAGCAGCTCGTGGGCGCGCGCGACGCCGACGCCGAGCAGTCGATACTGTCGGTGCTGCCGGCGACGCCCGACGACGAGGAGAGAGGCCGAGATGCGGGCGGTGAGTCGGACGCGGACGCGGAGGGTCTCGCGCCGGCGCTGGCGACGCCGCTGAGGAGGTCGCCGAGGAAGCCGAGGCCGAGGGCTGCGTGAGGAGACACCCGCCGCGTGGAGTTGGGGACTCTAGTTTTGTCGGAGGACTTAGTTTTGTCGGAGCACTGTGTGGTTCGGTTGCATGGAGGGGTCTCAAGGCGGGCAGACGTCTCGAGGCACGGTTCAGCCCGGATACGACATGGTTCATTGGCCTCGTTTTGGCAAGGCGGGAGGGCAATTGTACCTAATGAGGGCATTTCTAGGTATGGCAAAATGGACTTCATAGCAACTAAGAGCGTGTATACAACATCACATTGGCGTCTTCTAGGTCTAGTGCCTACGGGAGCTGGCGAGTCGTGCTCATTGCAAGACTTCCGCCGACTTCCACGTCTCAACCAGGCTACGCTACGAAGACACCGGGATTGTTGTGCTCGCGGAAGGACTACGCGCTTGGGCCGACCCGGTCTATCTCTATAGCGGCTCACGATGGATACACGCGTATATTGGGCACGTATTAGGTGGGCGTGTGTGAGTACGAGGCCACGAATGCCGATCATCATAGGGAAATCGGCTGGTATCGAAGGCGACCCACGTTTCGCCCCCGATTCGGATCCAGCATCGACCCCGATAACAGCTAGAACATTCTAGAGGTCCTCTGAACATCTAGAGGGTTCGGAAGAGGGCCCGGCACGTATGGGAAGAGAAGGGGAGAGAGAGGGAGAGCCAGTAAGACAGAAGCAACCACTAGGTATCTTAGCTAGCCGCAACCCTGTTGTGAGCGCCACAGCGGCAGGCCGTCTTCGCGGCACCACGAGCTAATCTATGTGACGCAAGCCAGGCGGAAGAGAGCCAGGCCCGTCGCGTGCCGCTGTGTCGTACCCTCTTCTCGTTTCTCCTCCTTCTTCGCGCGCGCGACGGCGCTATTCATACAACGCGACTGAGCTGGCCGGCGGACCGCGGTGCGACGTAGGGCGGCAGCGCGCTATCGAAAGAGGCGTACCGGCCCTGTCTGTTTCTGGCGGCGCTGTAGGGTGGCAAGTCGCCGACGTAGGTATATATGTACTACATAACATGGGGATGGTGTCTGGAATTCGGCGAGAGTCGGTCCCGCTTGGCTGGTGGGCTTGGCTGGGAATAGGACTATGAGTACGATATGTATGTGCTCTCTCTGTGCGACACCCACTCTGACCTCTCTTACTAGCCTCGACTCATACATACACATACACTCATACATATGCCGCATGCATGACACGCTTATGTGTAGGAATACACGCGTGGGAATGAATAGGTATGTGTATCCGTCCATAGGCCCATCAAATCCCTCTACCAGCCCGCGACGGGTTCTATTCTTCGTATGCACGTACGGTTGGCATCATCAGCCGGCGCGTCGCTCGGGGTGGTAGACGGTTGCCTATGTAGGTATGTGGATGGTGAATATGTAGGCATAGACACAGAGACAGACAGATGCGTTTTCGCGCCAAGGAAGCCATCCGCCTTAACGAGATCTGATTCGCACCCGGCCCACGAATCAAATTCTGTTCTTTTTTCCCGCGCGCAGCCTCTTCTCGCCCTGGCGTTTCTCTCTGTCGCTAAGGGCGGTGCGGGAAGTAGCCTTCTTTAGCCACGCAGACAGGGTGATGACGCGGAACCATCTCAGCGCTCACCGTCCCGTCGGAGCGGGAACTACGTACAGATTGTCGGTGTCACCGTCGTCCCCTGTCCACCCGTCGTCCTCTCGAAGCGAGGCGACTGAGAGGCGGGGAGCAAGAACGAGTATGGAAGCATGGAACGAGCCGGTTCTCCCAACCGGGTATAAACCTGGAGACGTTGCCGTGGCGATTTCAAGACGGACCTGCATCTGCCTTGTTGTCCTTACCTTCTCCGCTTGTTGGTCTCGTCGCCTCGTGGAGCCTTATCCGGTATTCGGTAGGGGCAGTTGGCTGATTGGCACTATGCAGAATGCTAGTGCTCGAAAATTGCTAGTTCATGCTTCGATGATCTTCCGTCCTCCCGACTCGCTAAGGACGACCAGGCGATAGACGCGGGCAAGGGATATCGCAAGATAGGGACGTTCGAGAAGGGCTGACTACCCATGCTATAGTCGACGGTGGAGATGACCGGACGAAGGACGGCGGCATTTTGTGCAGCGTAGGCACTATGAGGCGGGCATGATTCGCCAATCCGTCGGTCGCTGACCTGGATATCGATGCTATGCCTAGCTGTGGAGGCCAAGGCGAGGTTACGTAATGGTTAGCTGGCTTCGTAGCGTCCGGCAGGCGGTCCCGAGAAACGTAATTGCCATACCAACTGGCCAATGGCAGCGGGTCCCGAAACGGACGCCCAATCAGCGCGAGGACGAGGTCTAGGCGGGACGCCAGGAAGCGGCGACACGCCCGGGGGTCATCTTAGCGCGTTTCGCATCTGGCCCTAGACAGCCCTAACTAACGATCTCGTACGTACCTATGTACCTACCTGTCAGGTACGCGCGTACGCATATTCGAGAGTACGCATACATTCATGACTCGTTAAGCGCGCACGCTGCCTACAGTAGGTAGTTGATATGTGTCGCATATATACATACGCGCAATATCTACCCAGATATGTCCGCATACGCGGAAGTGTTTCTCTTGATCTGCTCTCAATATAGAGTAGGCCATAGTAAAGGTACTGGTAAAATAACAGATACCTACCTGGAACCTAGGAAGGCTGGTGTCCAAGGCATCCAGGTACATGCATAACGCCAAGCTGCATACCTGTCTACCACCTCGGGTGCCTATAAATCTGCCTAGTGCATGGGCATCCATCTACCGAGGCTGCTAGCTGCCTGGGCGGCCAGGAGAGATCCCCTACGGCGGCTCTCTAAACGGGGCGCTGAAGCATTCGAGAAGGTGCCTATTCTGCTTGGGCCACCTACGCTAGGTCCTTATCACCTAAATACTAGGTAGCTACCAAATGAACCCGGTCGGTTCCCTTTTATTAAAGGGGCAACTTAACCATCTCCGTTTACTTGCCCGGAGATGAGAGTGAGTGAGAGAGAAGAGCCGAGCTCTAACCCCCTCCATGTCCCCCGCCACCCGCTAGAGTAGAGAGAGAGAGAGAGAGAGAGAGAGAGAGAGAGAGAGAGAGAGAGAGAGAGACAGGTCGGCATCCAGGCGACGGCGCCGCGGCGGCGCACCGAACAACCGTCTAAAGGCTAGGGAGACGAACCTCTCTAGCACCGCACGGGATGCATGTAATGCGCGCAATGTCGGCACCTGCTAGGCCACGGGCGAGAGGGAGCGCGATGCTAGGCCCGTCTGCCTGGGTCGCCCGCCCGCTTCTCCCACGCGTAGTCCCATTGCCTCCGTAATTAGCCGGCGCATGAGGCAATCTTAACTCTCGTCCATGTGCGCGCATGGAGGGGACAGGCAGAGAGACGAGGATGGGGGGTGGTGAGGACGGATCCCGCACGCGATGACGAGGATGACGATAGACGAGGGATGCGCATGCCTACCCACCTACCTACTTACCTATCTACATACAGAGATATGTGTGTATCGCATGCCCAACGCGGTAAGAGAGAGGCAGGCATCGAGCAGCGAATCGACCGAATCCTCCTCCTCCTCCTCTCTCTCGCGACCTGCCTATTCCGCCGTACGCACGGGGGAGATACGGAGGGCGTGGGTATAGGAAACCTTCTTTTTTGCCTACCCACCTACGCAGTCGGGGCTAGCGAGAGATCCTGTCGTCGCCGGTCCCGAGAGCTTCCCCTCTCTCTCCAGGCCGACAGGGACCCATCGCGTATACTCATACAACAACTATGGCAGCGGCCGTCGATCGGTCGGCAAATCGAGCGCGGCGCGTGCCACTGCTACTAACTGCCGCCGCTGCGATCCGACAGCGCGGTCGACAAGTTCAGCATCCATCTCCGCGTGGAGATAAACGCGTCTAGACAATCTTCCGTTGTTGGTGCCGCCGCCGCTGGCCAGCCTAGTTTCAAACTAGCCGTCTACTTTCCTTTCGTCAGTTTGGAGAGACGACTCTCTGCCTGCCTGTCTGTCTGTCTCTCGCTGGGGGGTTGTCTCCAACACTTGTCTGGCTCTACATGCATAGGCGCTGCGGGATGGGCGGAATCGAAAGGAAGAGAATAGCTACCTACCTGGCTACGTAGAGTCTCGGTGGCCCCCTCGCTCCCTCACTTCGCCCATTCGCCCTCTCTCCTCCCTCCCCAACACACATGCGATTGGCTTCGACTCACCTCGCCTTATATACACCCGCACGCGGGCCTTGTGGGTGATGGTGGTGAGAGTTTTGTTGTGCGCGTGCTTACTTGCGCGTGTTATGTGCCCGCATGCGTATCACATATACGCATGTGCCGTTGGGATGCTACGGGGAACCGGCGGTTGTCGTGCGTGTTGCGTTGGTCTGCACGTACGTGTTGTCGAGGTGTGTGCGTGGGATGAGGAGTTCCCAACTCACCACTCGCGCGCGCCGCCGTGGATTTTATCCTGCTCCTTAATAACTCTTCTTCTCGCCGTCGTCCTGATAAACGGACGAGAAATAAATGATGTAGTAATCTCTGCAAATGAACGCCTGCTACTGCCACCCCCCCATACCCCCCCTCCCCCCGGCTCGTCTGATGATGGCCCTTCCTCTCTTCCTCCCCGAATGGGCGATCCAGACCTCATCGCCAACCTCATCTCTCTCCGCCTAACTCCTCGCTGCCTCATTTCATCTCATTTCACCGTCTACGTGTGAGGGTCCCCGCCGGTGGCAACCACAGCTAATAAACCTCTCCATTTCCTTCCTGTCCGCGCCACGGTAGATCCGCACGTCTTGGCCCGTTTCCGGGTGTATGTATGCAAGTCTCTATATCGTCTACCTGTCTTCGCAGGTAGTTATGCACGGCAGAGGATCGCAATAGGTAAAATCCTACCTGCTTACACCGGCAACACATATGTTCTCTCTTCTCCTTCGCCCTTCTCGTCCTATGGGGCGCTTACTCTGCCCGCCGTGTCCACTTCCCCTGCATGACGACGACGGCGCCAGCGAATGGCCTTGCGCCAACCCGTTTCCTCTACCTAGCGCCAGCATGGCCGACGGGGAGGGTGGCGCGCCATGGGGGGGGAGCGGACCCGTCCTATCACGTCCCGTCCCCTGACTCAACTCGCCGAACCAGAACCTGAACGGCCCCCCCTTTCTGGCCCCACCCCCCCCTGGCCCTGTTTCCCGACGCTCGTCGTCCTCTTCCTCCCCCAGTGTCCGCCACGCCCACTTCGGCCCTGGCACCACACCAGGGGATTCCAAGTTTCCCTGGCGTGCGGGCTAGAGCTAGGAGGGATTCTGGCCTGCTTTGGCAGTAATTTTTTTTATCCCTCGCCATCTTTTCCGTGGGCACCGTCGGGCGTTAGGCCAAGGCCAACCACCAAGTCGCACCATGGCTGGTTCCCACAGCCAGGTAATATAACAGAGCCCCCCTGGACCTGAGCCGTGCTCTTCTCTCTCCGCCTCTTTCTCCTTTCCACACCGTCGACACCCGGGTCTCCTGTCGTGCTGGGTTTTTTCTTTAAAAAAAACCAATTCGTTCATTTCTCGACATATTTACGCTCTTTTTTCCCCTTCCTTCTTTTTCTCCGCCGGCTGAGTCCATACCCCTCGTTCATTCTGCCCTCAAAAAGCAGGTCTCCGTGACGTCCCTTCGTTCCCACAGGTCGAGAACACGAGATCACTGCGAGGCAACTCCTGTCAGGACCACTCTCTTTTACGCCGTTGAAAGGAAAGAAAAAGTTGGCTTCGGTACCAACGACTTGGAATCTTGATTCCCCCCCCAGTTCCATTCGTTTTCGAGACAAGGACTCGAAGGAGAGATATATAGAGAGAGACAGACTACTTCGGGTGTGAGACACGACAAGCAACCACAGCACATCCCTACCACCACCATGAGGATCTCGCGCGTCAGCACCCTCGCCTCGCTGGCCCCCGTGGCGGCGGCGATCAAGTCCGAGACGACATTCGCGGTGCTGCACTTCACCGGGAAGCAGTTCCTGACCGAGGGTCCGATGGACCCCGTCGTCAACCCGGGCGAGCAGGCGACCCACTATCACAGCATCATGGGCGGCAGCAACTTCGGCATCAACACCCGCGGCGACGACCTGCTCAGCTCCGAGTGCACCACCACCACCATCAAGAGGGACTTCAGCAACTACTGGGTCCCCACCCTCTTCTTCCAGGACCCCGAGAACCCCTCTAGTTTCGAGAAGGTGCCCCTGTTCTACATGAACGTCTACTACTTGTAAGCTCTCCTTTCTCCTCGCCCTCCCCTCTATATCACTAACACACACCCCCCCAGCTTCGAAGCCAGCAACAGCACCGTCGAGCCGTTCCCGGTCGGACTCAAGATGCTCAGCGGCGACTCGAGCCTGCGCGACCCGCCGGCCTTCGGCGGCGGGCGCAACCTCGACCCGACCAAGGGCCCGATCCAGCCGGTGCAGTGGACGTGCCCGCGGCAGAGCTACGACCCGCCGTCGTACCCGGCCGACTCGGACGGGACGACGGCCGGGCTGCAGGACCCGGGCAACGCGGGCGCCGGCGCGGGCTTCCCGCTCTACAACTGCGACGGCACGTACTCGCCGCTGCGGCAGGACATCCACTTCCCGTCGTGCTACAACCCGGCCGCCGGCATCGACGACTACCAGAACAACATGGCCTGGCCGACCGCCGGCGCCGGCGGCCTGCTCGAGTGCCCCGCCGGCTGGCTCCACGTGCCGCATCTCTTCTACGAGGTCTACTGGGACACGCCCGCGTTCGCCGACCGCTGGACCCCCGACGGCAAGACCCAGCCGTTCGTGCTCTCCAACGGCGACGCCACCGGCTACAGCTCCCACGCCGACTTCATCTCCGGCTGGGAGCCCGACACCCTCGCCGCCATCATCGGCTCCTGCAACGTCGGCACCATCGGCATGGAGAACTGCCCCGACATCCCCGGCGGCGTCAACGACAACCACGACTGCACCATCCCCCCCGCCATCGGCTCCATCGTCCCCGCCTCCGAGTCCCTCAGCGCCCTCCCCCTCAACCTCCCCGTCACCGGCTGGGGCCGCGGCTCCTCCGCCGACTACCCCTCCAAGGTCGCCGTCCCCGTCCCCGGCTCCGGCTCTGGCTCTGGCTCCGCGTCTAGCGCTTCCTCGCCCGAGGCTTCCCCCGAGGCCACCGCGCCCGGCAACGCCTTCATCCAGCTGCCCACGAGCCAGGCGTCCGAAGCAGCGGCCGCGGCCACGCCTTCGCCTTCGCCCGCCGTCAGCGCCGCGGCCGTGGTCCCCGCGCCCGCGCCCGTCGTCGACGAGGCCGACACCGAAGTCGACGAAGAGGTCTCCACCGTCTGGGACATCGTGACGGTGACGGTGACCACGACGGTCGTGGCGGACGCGACGCCGGCGCCTGCCCGCCGCCGCGCGCCCGCCCACGGCCACGGCCACGTGCGGCGCCACGGCCTCGGGGCCGGCCGCCGGTAGAGCCGCGGAGTTGGGGTTAGCGTTCGTGTGGGAGTCTGTTTTCTCGCCTTCGGTTTGACGTGACGTGTGGACAGAGCGTGCCTGGGGGGGCGGGGCGGATGGATAAACGTGCGGGGGCGGCGGCGATGTGTCTGGTCTATACCTGTCCGTAGCTATGTGTATATGGGTAACTTCTAACACGCGAGAAGAAGAAAGAGAGAACGCACGGCACACACACGTCTTCTATCCCCAGGGAAACAGGCGAGGATTTTTTTTTTGTCTACTATGCGCGGCGTCTACAGTTACACTTCGTGATTTTATCCCGGGGAGGATAACGGGGGCGCGTCGGACATAGACTTGGGAAGGAAAGGAAAGGAGAGAGGGAGAGAACACACTGCACCAGGAATAGGGGCATCTGGTAGCCGTTCGCTTCGCCGCCCCGGCCCAGATTTTTGTTTCTTCTACTTCCTCTTCGGTTTGGTCGTGCGTCCCCCCGCCTCCATACGGGCGCTGAGGCTGCGACTGATCGGCTTGGTTGGCTTTTTTTTCCGGGACGACGGTGGTAGAAACGAGCCACGAGCCATCCCGTCTTGCCCGTCTTCGCTTTCTTCATTTGTACATACAATTCTCTTCGGATGCAATCTCCTGGAAATCAGGCCCATTTCCACATCCTTGCGTGCTGAGTAGTCTTGCGGTGACTGTCTACATGGTACGTGCGTGTATAACCTCGTTCCCTCTTCCCGTCTCGTAGAGACATTCGGAATTCCGTCTACTTGCTTTCAATCCGAGAACAGAGTAATCCGCCAGCGCCGTGCCAAGCGGGTGCTGCCGTTCACCAAAAGTGCCTCATCCCTCCCAACCGTGATCCGCTGAGGAACCCCCCCCCCCTTTATCCCACACCCAGCATCACCTACTACGAATCAGAACTCGCGGCTAGGATGTCCTCGACCCTCTTGACCTTGTCCTGGGCCGTCTGCTTCTTGTCGGTCCTAGCACAGTTCGCCAGTCAGCTTCCGTATCCCTCGCGTAGCCTCGCACGACGTGCTGACGCGCAGCCCCTCGTATTCGAGCGAAGCGGCGGCCTCCACCCCGTCGAGGGGGGGCGGCACGGGCGAGACACGACAGCACGGGATATGCGTACCTGGTGCCAACACGCATCGAGGTCTGTATGCGGACGACGCCCTTCGCATGGACGAGGCTGTGCGCCTGGCCGATGACGCGCATCACGCTGTCCCACGACCCCTCTGTCCGTCGCCGCCGTGGCACACACATTAGTAAGGGGGACCGGCAACCGCGGAGTAAGCGAAAAGTGATCTTGCCCGCCTCGTGCGGCCGGGCCAAGCTTTTTATCTTTACGTAGACATGCGGGCAGGCAGGCAGGTAGGCAAGCAGATACGAGCGCCACCGATATCACAGCAAGGAAGAGAAGGGCATGAATGCGCGCGACTCGCGGCGCACCGCACCTGCGAGGCGGCATCAGGGCAGCGAGAGGCGCCTCGGGGCGCGACAGACGGGCCGAAGAGACGGGGCGGCGACGACTTACCGACGGTGGTGCCGGCCGAGTGCATGGTGTGGGCGAGCCCGCTGGCGCGGAGCAGGCGCTGGACGACGGCGACCTCCTCCGCGACCGAGACGTGGGCCGTGCCGACGGGGACGAGGCAGAAGTCGACGTAGCACCGCTCCGGCGTCGGGACCTGCGCGTCGGCCATGGCTAGTGGGTGCGTCCGCTCTGCCTCCTAGCAGTCGGGTACGGGATAAGAGAAGGGGAGCCGGGAAGAGAGCGTAGGTGGCAGTGGGCGCTCGCGAGCTCGGGATCTCGGGGTCGCAGTCTGAGCCGTGTGCGAGGGATACGTAGGTATATATATTTAGCGGCGCAAGCGTGCAATGGAGAACGCCGATGGTGCCAGTGATAGATGTATAAAAGAGGGTAGATGTAAAGCAGAGGCGGAGGGGCACCGAGGAGGAGAATAATGATGTAAGAACCCGTCTAGACGCCCGGTGCGACCCCGTGATGTGCATAAATGCGTTACTTGTATGCCGCTTCACATATAGACGTCAATCTACCTACTTTTATCGCAGTTACGGACCTTATCTGCCAAAGGGGGCATCCGATAGGGGATCCTCCTTGTCCTTATATACTTAGTTCCCCCCCTTCTATACCTACGAATCCTCTACGCTTCGCTCTGCATGCGCATTTAAACCTGCCATGCTTCAAGATTAGAGAGAGATATGCAATAACGCTGTATAGAAAACGCAATGCTCTATAGACGTCTCCTCGTAACAAGGCAACCCTCCCCCCTTTTCCTTCTCTCTCCTCCATGCCACCCAGAGTAAAAGCAAAGTATGTGAAAGCGAGAGCAGCGTCTCGACCTCGATCGATCGATCGATCCATCCATCCATCGATACATCCACCTAGACACTCCCCTTGGCCGTGGCTCGTTACCGCCATGTTGCTACCGCGGCGGCGCGGGTGGTATCACTGAACGCGACGACAGCAACGCACGAATCGTCAAAACCAGGCTATGCGATGCGAGACGCTATGCGAACGGGGGGCGACGAAGCGCGTTGCGGGATGCGAACGCCTGTGTTCACAGGGCGAGGAAACAGTCGGAGAAACTCCTGCAGGCAGTATGGGTGAACTCGTTAGTAACCAAAGCCCCAGACGGACGGACAGATCTGTGCAACTGGTTTAGCGTCCGAAGCAGTGTCGGTTGATACCAGACGTCCTCGCCTGCATGCGCAGGTCCCTAGAGGAGACGGTTCACGCCCCTCCTGAGTGGGTAACTTTTTTTTTTTCAATTTCTTGCTCAAAAAACCGGATTATAAGCAGTGTAATGGAGGGATCGGGCGACTGACCATGAGGTAGACGACTCCCACTCAGCGATCCACCGGCAGCAGATCTTCAGCCGCTCCCGCACGCTCGACGTGCCGAGCAGCCGGTACTTCTCCTCGTCCCGCACCGGCAGGATGCTAGCGAGCCACCAGGGGAAGATCGACGGGTCCGTCGGGCACTCGCCGTAGATGGCCAGCACCCTCGCCGTCAGCCAGTTGACGCTCTTCGCCCGCATCCTCCTCACGAAATTGACCCCCACTTCGACCAGCTCCCGCGTCGACAGCGTCTCCAAGTCGTCCGATGACGTAGATGACGGCGGCGAGTTAGCACGCTGCGTATCCTCTGGCTCGGCACCTGCGGGGTCATCATCTTGCGGCGCCGGCGGGCTCCGGGTGCCGCGAGCGCGCGTCGTCTCCGACGCTTCGATAGCCTCCTCCTCCGCTACACCGATGTCGTCGACTTTCTCGATGTTGCCGACGAGGTAGCCGTCCAGCCACCCGTGCCCGGTGACCCTAAATCGGGAAACGCCGACGGTCTCCAGGACGCTCCGCCCGTCCGAGAAGAATTCGATGTTGACGATCCGGAGTAGCGTCCCGAACTCGTTGAATTCGGGCTCGCCGGGCGCGCGAGGCATCTTGTGGAGCACCATCCCGAACGTCTTGTCGCCCTCCATCGCCCGCCGGATCATCAGGCGGTACCGCGGCTCGAAAACGTGGAGGAAGGTGGGCATGCGCGGGAAGGAGAGCGTGCAGACGAAGATGGGGATGTCGAACCCGCCGTGGTTCGCCTGCTGCTCGAGCTTGTACGCGCGCGAGCGGAGGGCGGCGAGGTCGGCCCAGAAGCCGGTGATCATCTTGCAGAGCCTCTCGTTGGGAGGATAGGACCGCCGGTTAACTTGGGCCTGTATGGACAACGGGCGTCTGCAGATGGGGCACAAGTCCGAGTGATCCAGGATGCGATGGACGCAGCCCCGACAGAACGTATGGCCGCAGGCGGTCGTCAGGGGATCCATAAACAGTGCGTAGCAGACTTGGCAGTCCATCTCCGTCCTCGCCGCCTCCTTCAGCCGACCCAGCACGGCGCTATCCACCTCGTCGACTTCGTCGTTGGTCCTGGTCTCGATAAACGAATACGACACCTCGCACTCGTAACCTAGCATGCTGAGCCTGGCTAGCGAGTGGGTCGCGACGATGCGGCCCCCTTTCAGCACCATAGATTCGTCGGCCTTCCCCGCGAGCGAAGGGACGCCGGCGACATCCCAACCGTCGTGCACAGAGATCCTCGCGGCAGCCTCGGCGAGCTCTGCCGCGTCCCGGTCCAGCTTGATGCTCGCCTCGATGACGGACAACACCTTGTTCAAGGTGACGTCGACGGCGCAGTCGCCGACGGCATGCTCCTTCTTGCAGTCTTCGAACGGACATTCGAAGCCGTGGAGTCGGTTCGCCGTCCCGGGCCACGAGATATTGGCCCTGACATGCGTCCGGGGCACGCAGCGCTTGCAGAGACTATGACCGCACGGCAGGGTCGTCGGCTCCTTCAGGATACCGGAGCATATTTGGCATTGGATGAGCCTTACGATCTGCCTGGCGTCCTTGATAGGGTCGAGGAGAGATTTGGAGGCAACCGCAAGGTCTACGGCGTCGGCGGACCCGAGAGGTGCGGCATCATCTGTCTCAGAGTAGGGGTGAGGGACCGGGCCGTCAGGGAGGTCGGGCGGCGGAGGCGAGCTCGAGGAACTCGGGTTAGCCCGTGCGGAGGACATGAACGTGCTGGTTTTCTCTAGACGCGATTACGAGGGATTATTTGCAAGGATGGGACGACCACGTGTCGGTATATGTACGGTGGGGACGCTGGCCAAGATGCGGGCTCAACGACTGCTGGCCCCGTTACGGGATCAAGCGTAGGTAGACAAGCAAGTAAGACTCCGGCTCTCAAGCTCACGCCTGGCCTGGCCTGGCCCGGGGCACGTGCAAGTCTTGACGAGGGATGGGGCGGAGAAGCGATCAATAACCACGGATATGCAGGCCAAGCAAATGCCGTTGGGCGGGGGGGATGGTTGAGACCGAGAGTGGTTGCGTAAGGCCAACAATACCAAGACGAGGTCCGGCACGTGCTGACCGGCGGCAGTTCGGAAGAGAGGAATTCTGGTTACGTAGGAACGCGACCTTTTTACGGGGGTTCACGAGCGGCCGGATCACGGACCGCAGCTCTCTCCCGAGTCGCAGATAGAAAGAGAGCGAGAGGGAGAGGAGAGGGGGAGAGGGAGACAAGAGAGGTAGGAGCCGTAGGTATGCTGGCTGTGGTATGCGGCGGACGGGGGTGGTCGGCGTACGCGATGGCAGGCAGGCTACGAAGTTCGGTCCAAGGAGAGGGAAGACCAGAGAGAGTATGGGGGATGTCAAAGAGGTGCTTCCGAGCCGGAGCTTCATACATACGTGCAGGTTTTGGGAAGACGAAGGGGGGCAGCGAGGGGAGGAAGAGGACGAGAGGAAGGAAGACCTGCCGGGACAGCAACAACGACAACGACGATAGGTGGCGCGAGAGAGCGCAGCAGGCATTCAGGACCGCGATGGAGGGGGCAAGCAGCAGTATATAGGAGGCGGCGACGACGAGAGCATATTGGGTGCGTAAGTGTAGGCGTAAGGGCATATGTAAGTGCAAGAGTGTAAGCGTAAGCGTGGGCGCGTGGTGGTTATGCGGGCGTATCAGAGGCGGACGGGGGAGCGGAAGTCATCATACATTTTGGCCTCCTCTTCTCGAGAGGGGCGGCGACGGGGGGGCAGAGAGGGGGAGAAGTGAGTAGGTATGTCTATGGGGATACGTGTATGTGCGTGTGTTTCCGTTTCGAGGGAGAGGGAGGGAGGACGGGAGCTGGGTGCTAAAGTGAGTGAGTGAGCGAGTGAGTGAGCGAGCGAGCCGAGTGCGTGGAGGAGTAGAGAAGCGAGTGAGTACCTAGTAGTAGGCGCGGGACGGGAAGCGTAGACAGGACAGTCGGTGGCAGCGCCCACCGGGAGAAAACGACAGCGACTGCTACTAAACCAAAACGAAACCAGAAATAAATAAAACGAAGTACAATAGATAAAAATAAAAAGTCCTGACGTCGTAGGGGTACTCGGGTGGTTCGTCAAAGGAGGCGACGGGCGAGGCTGATTGGGCGACGGCGACGGCGAACGTGGACTGATGATCTCGATGAGGAACAATCGAGCCACCAGCCGGGGGCGGGCTCGCAGGTACCGGGCGACCTGGCCGACAGGTACCTGTCCACCTGCCAAACCCCGAGGTTTACGGGGTACCTCCCAGCAGCCGGGACTGAGGACTGGCCTTAGGCGGGGCAGGCTTATTAGGTAGGTATAGCGTATGCCTCGGACACCTTAACCCTGCTAACCCTGCCCCCGCGGAGGTAGGCAGGTAACCTAGCAGATTAGGTACCTGAGCGGCAGGTACAGGTACATTCACCTGTCCTGGGCAACCCTGGCCAAGGACCCCTTTTCCCACCCGGATATGCCGCTGGGCACCCCGCCCATCATCGTCCCCCTCCCACACGTTGCTGGGCGCCCCGGGCCACCGCGCGCGCCGAGGTCGTCATAGACAAAGCCGCGCCAGCCTTTTCGGCGCAGAATACACTCGTCATCCGCCTGGGTCACGCCCCCCTCTGGCCGCACGTCGCGATGAATAATCGAACCTGTCTGCCGGTTCCCGCTACCTACCTAGTCGGCGGCAGATGGAACATCCGACGCTGCTGGCGTCCCCTCTTATCGAGGCAGCATGTCGTAGCCGGGGGAGGGGGGGAGGTCAGGTAACGACAGATCTGCTACACACGCAACACCACACATACTCCCTCTGCCCCAGCTGCACATACGTCGTCGACTGGGCACAGCCAGCCAGCCTGGCTAGTCCAGTCCACCAATGCCTGCCCCCGACCAGCTGGACACGGCGCGGCCACCGGGACGATCGACGGCTCGCACAGCCCTCGTGGCCCGAACAGGCAAGTTGAGCGGGCGACAGATCGGCGCGGGCGCTGCTAGCGCTCTCGATCCGGCCGCGCCGTCGTCTCCCGACCATCGACCTCTAGCGAAGAAACATTGCCCGTATATCCATGTCGACCTCATTGTTCTTATTTGCCGTCTTCTCTCCCTCCATCGCTTGCATTCCCGATGAGAAACTCAACCAACCCTCTCTTGCACTCGCCCCACGGCGCGTCGCGTCACCCCCCCCTCCTGCTGCTGTCCCCATCTGCTCCGTACCGACCAAAAAAAAAAAACCAAACGTGGCAGATCGTACCCACTGCTGTCCCGCTCGATGAACAGCCAAGTCGAGGCTAAGCAACCCTTGCGCCCCTCTCCGTCTCTCTCTCTCTCTCTCTCTCGACTTACACAGCGGTCGGCGTTCTATAGACAATTGCTGCTTACCCTATCGATACCGACGTAGGCACCGATAAGCAAGTTAGCTATAGGCACGTCCGCACTCTCGTATATTACATCCACACACGTAGAATATAAACATATCACGCAACATACCCAGCACCAACACACCACCTCTCCTCCCCTCCCCTCTGCCCCTCTACCTCGCCGCCTCACCGCACATTTTCCTCCCCCGCCCCAGCAGCCACCCCTGACTTCTGTACATCCGTATGGACGAACAATACGGCAGACCCAGGACGGGCGGGACGCGCGCGCACTAACTAACTAACCGCCCCCACCGGACCCCCCCTCCCAAACCCAGCCGGCCTCCCTCTCGGCCCGGAGTCACAGAACCTCCACGTCGCTCCCTCCCCCTCCCCTCCCCTCCCCTATGGCTGGCACACCCACCCACCCACACTTACACGCACACGCCTCGTCGCCCGGGCAGGCGATGAGATAGAGCGGTGGACGCACACGTACGTACATACGTACATACGTACAGGCCTGCACGCCCACCGCGCCCGTGGGTCCCTCCCCTCAGGCGGGGAGTTGACTGAATGAGTGAGTGAGGGAGGCGTGTGCGGCGGGGGGGCCCGGCTCCGGGGTCGAATAGGAGGAGAGAGGAGGATGGATGGATGGATGGGCAGATATCTGTCTGTCTGTCTGGGAGCGGCGCCCACACGCGCGGCACGGCGATCCCTGTCTGTGTGGGCGGACGGATAGCTAGATCTGTAGGTATGTGTCCGTGGGTCTGCACCCTGGCTGTGTGCGTAGGTAGGTAGGTAGGTAGGTAGGTAGGTAGTAAGGTGGTTATATAAATACCGGCCGGATCCTCTCTCTCGCGCGCGGGGCCTGGGGGCGAGTGATGTCCGTGATGTTTTGTCTGTGTCCGCCTTGCACATACCTGCCTTAGGCAGTAGACATCTACGCCTCGCTGCCTACCTCTACCTCCCAGTGCGCGCACGCACTGTACCTGCACATACACACGCACACGTACACTCACACGTACACGCACACGCACCGAGCATCACCCTCGGTCTCGTACCAGTACACGCCTTCGCGTTTAGGATATCACCTATCGCTCTACCTGGCGCGTTGCGCGCCGTGCCGTGCCGTGCCGTACCGTACCGTAGAACCCAACCCAACCCTTTCCCTGACCGACCAACCAACCCGACCGACCGACCGACCGACCGACCGACCGACCGACCGAATGTCCCGTTAGCCGTGTCCAAAACCCGTGCACCCCCCCCTTCTCTCTCCCGTCTCCCACATGCCATACGTACATACTCGCATACTCGCCGTCCGCCGCCTTTCACGCACTTCCGGTTCCCCTCTGCTCCGTGCAGATACGATTATACCGTAGCGAGCTTGTGGCCGCCGCGGCGTGCCTGTGTTCGAAGACGAAGCTGCCCGCGTAGACGCAGGCGAGAAACATGGGATAAAATATTAAAAAAACAAAAACAAGACAAGCAGGAAAAAGGTGCAGGCGGAACAGGCAAGCGAGCACCCCAATTAACCCCGGCCCGGATCCAAGGGATCGCCGTTGTCCTAGTTCTCACCGAGGTCCCTCGCCGATTAGACACCGCGGACTTTTCCGTCACGTGGCCTGTCACTTCCCGTTGCCGTCGTGGTTCTCGTACATTGTCACCTTAGCGCCGGTGCGGGGACCAGAACCTTTGCCCGCGTCATCGTCGTTGCGCCCACCGCCCCTTCGCGGGCGCCGACCGATTCGGCGCTAGCCAGCGCCCGATGTTGCCGAAGCACACGCAGCAGCAGAAGAGCACGCTGAGCATCCAGATGACCGTCGCCACCGTCTCCTGGCTCGCCAGCCCGCCGAACACGAGCTGGTCGACCTCGCCGCCGGTCGCGTTGCGCTGGTCGAATTCCCCGAGCACCGAAGGGCTCGTCGGGATGGGCACGATGTCCGGCTTCAGTCCCATCAGCACGGCGGCCCCGCCGACTCCGACCATCGTGGAGAAGAGGAAGCCGGGTATGGATCGGTCGAGCAGGAACCAGAGCACCGGGTTGGCGAGAGCCAGCGTCAGCGAGACCTGAAGCGTCGAGTCCCACGGGAGTCTCTTCTGCACGGTCGGTTAGCAAGAGGCGGGCATTGCGAAAGAAGACGCTATGTGACCCCCCCCACCCCCGGGGGGAAGGGGGTGCCGGGACGGGAGACCTACGATGGCAAAAGCAATCCCGACGAATGCCCCAATGCCCCGGATTGCCAGCGGCCAGTCTATCGGAGAATCCGACTTGTCCGAACCGCCTTCTCCGACCGCCATAGTCTTGGACGCGGGTTCGGCCGCTTCGCCGTCCTGCCCGAAAGCCTTCTCCCAGATGTCGTCGAACCAGGGCAGGAGGGTGCCGGTGAGGACGCTGAAGACGCCCCAGAAGGCGGTGTACTCCCAGCCGGAATAGCCGGCAGCGGCTGGGAGCACGCCCCGCACGTGGAATGCAGGCGTCGCATTATGCCTGCCCTGGAGCTGGGCGATGACGATACCGTATAGCATCCCTAGGCCGGATAGCAGCAGGATGCGGAAGCCGACGTAGAAGGCGAATTGGGACGCGGACAGCGGCTGAGATGGCGGAGACGGATGTAGAGGGGGCCGGTTGGATGTCGGCCTCAGCCTCTGCTTCTGAGTCTCGTAGGGAAGGTCGTCGGTGTTCGCCCATTTGGCCGGGGTCTCGGCGCCGGTTCCCCAGGGGGTACTGGGCTCGTCGTAGCCTAGGTAGAACTTATCCTTCCCATAGGTGGTAGGCGTGAAGATGCCCATCAGGGTCGAGCCGGTCAAGTTCAACGCCGACGGAGCGCGGCTGACGGGCGCGGGTTCGAAAGAGTTGTTCCGGCTAGAATCCAGCAAGCGGGAGTTCAGCGACTCGAGATTTAACCCCGGACCGCGGCTGGGGTCGGCGGGAGGAATATCGTCCTCCGGAGGGGTGGGCTCTGCATAGTGCCGATCGAACGGCCGGCGGGGGATAGGCCGCAATAAGGGCGGACCGTCACCTAGGGGAGTAGACATGATGAGAAAGGCAGGAATAGGTGTAGGCGTGCCGGAAGTGATGGCCGTCTCCTAGGTTCGAGGAAGGAAGGGAGAGACGGCGGTATAAATACGAGGCTGGGAGAGCCGACAGAAGCGGAGAGAGCGGGTTAGGAGGTGGAAGGGGGGGGGAGACGCAGAGCTTGCGCGGGTGCTCGGGGCACCTCGATGTTACTGGCGGACGAGTTGGATCGGAGCCCAGGGCCGAGGGGTACGAAATCCGGTTGGCGATGTTACGCTGCCAAGATCCGATGCAAGCTCGTACGAGTCGGGAGCGTAATTGGGTGGCGATGATTGGGGAGAATTGGGGATCGATCGAATAGGAAAGGAGAGCAGATGGAGAGGGAGAAAAATGCGTGTGTATGTAGATTTTGAAGGGAAGAGGGGAGGACTGCGATCAAAGGGTTTTTTTTTCTCTGGTTTTTGGTCACGGCAGTTTGTGGATTCGGATCTGATCGTCGGTTGACAAGTGTAGGCCAGTAGACAGGGGTGTTGCAGAGCTCGGCGGAGATACGAGGCCGGGTACTTAGGCGCGAGAGAGAGGGCGGAGGGTAAGATGGATCGAGACTGGAGACGGTGCGTGGCAGTCAATGGTATTGTGTGCCTGAGCGACAGCGAGGGTGGTACGTGTACGTATATGGAGGTGTGTATATAGGGACGGCGCACGGGGGTGGTGGCGCGTCGAGGTGTGCGTCTGCTTGGTAGCTATCGGTCCATCCGCCTGTCTGCGCGTGTCTTGTATGCGCGTGGCTTCATGCGCTGCGTGTCTCATACGAGAGGATGGCCAGAGGAGAGGGGGAGGTGTTGCGGAGCGGTCTCGGTGAGGATGTATGACGAGGTAGACGGGTAAAGGAGGAGGAGGTAGGTAACCTGGGCGGGAGATTGATAAAATATATTGTGCCCCCTGGAAGAGAAGACAGGGAAAGGAAGAAAAAAAAAAAGGGAGAGCAGCGACGACAACGCCGGCTCGGGATGGATGCTGGATGCCAGACGGGCCCGACTAGCTAGCTGCAGGCCAGGCTGGAGGCTATATCGGTAGGAATGCGAGGAATGCGAGGAATGACGTGGATTGCTAGTAATATCTAGTCGTCGCAGCTCGCAGCGGGTGCGAGGTCGAAGCTACGGGCTCTCTCGTGCGCGTGTGTTGCGTGTGTTGCGTGTGTGTTGAGGCATGAGGCATGGAGTGTGGGTGGAGAGGACTGGTAGGGATGGGCTGAGACGGCGGCCGGTGTGGCTCTCTGTAGAGGTACTGGCCAGAGCGCGCCGATGGCACATGCCAATGCCCTCCCTTCCCTGGGCTCATGTACGTGCAGGCATCTCGAGATACACGGTCTTTTCCCCGCGCTTAACCTGGGCTGCTCCCATTCGCCCAGCAACGCCGGAATAAGGAAAAATCGAGTATCTATAGGCATCCTGCTACCCGCTGATCTACGCTGCTACATATATAACGAAATCGTGATGCTGTCTCGGACCATGCAGGCCCGCCCACCTCAGCGCCGCCCAGCCTATCCAGCGACCTCCATTACTTACCTACCTAGTTACCTACCTACCTAGTTACCTACCTACCTACCACTGGTCCAGCCCAGCCCAGCCCAGCCGGGTTGCCGCAACCGGTTCTGTTTTGGCGTTGCGCCGTCGCCGCCTGTCTCCATCGGCCTTACTCAGGCGGTGGCACCGGCTGTATGTACTCGTCGTCCGACGCTCCCTCGGGGTCCTCTCTCGTCCTACCGAACCTGAAACATACGGCAAATAGACCCCGAATACGATTTGCATCGTGCTACGATGCGCGTAGGGGGCGTGTGTGCGTTGCGTAGGTATGTGCGCAATCCTAACTGTCGACGTGCCCATCGCCGTCGGGCTCGGCATACGCACATACACCTACCTATTATGTACCTAATGTACGTACGTCCGCCGATGCCTGCCTGACTCGGCCCAGCCTGAGCTACTCCAAGTGCATGCATACGGGTCAGTAACCAGGGGAGAGGGAGAGAGTAACATGCCTACCTCCTAAGCTATGGTCATATCACCTACCTGCCTTGGGGTACCGTTCTATTCTATCTGTGTACGATTGCCGGCCTGTGCCAACCCTCCCCCCCCCCAGCCGCGAAAAAGGCACCTGATCCTCTCGTCAGGAGACAGACCCAACCTGGTCGCAACGGACGACATATGGCAGCATGGCCATCCCAGGCCTGCGTGCGGTATGGGTGCATCGACCGGACGGGATCCCCTCTCGTGACGCGCGAGAGTGTGATGCCCGTTCCTCTTCTCCCTCCGCGTCGTTTCCGCTGCTCGGCCTGTGGGTGTAAGCGTAGGTGTAGGCGGGAAAAGGGGCGGACTAGAACAGGCATTTTTGGAAAAAAAGAGAAAAAAAGAAAAAAAGGAGGCGGCTGACATCGAACAGGATCGGCCGAATCGAAGCTGGCATATGCGCAATGCCCACCTTGTAGGTATATAGGCACGAATACTGTGCGCACGGGTGGAAGCCGTATGGGTATATCCGTGATGCTACTGCTAGGTAATTAGGAGGTAGGCAGATGGGGTCCGACGACCGTATGAATGGGAAGCCCTCGAACGTATCGCGTGCCGTACTCTAGCAATAAGCCTATGCATAGCTCGCGAGTATCGACTTACCTAGGTACGGAGGTGGAGGCAGATGCCTCAGGTACCCAGGTACCTACCTACCTCCTATTTCCATCGACTCCACCGTTTAGGAAGGTGTAGATTCGGAGGCCCCCCCCCCGTAATTTCCGACCTGTTCCTGCCCTAGCATTCTGCCCTTGCGTGCCGCCATCGTCGGCTCGCTCCGCCCGGCCGTCTCTCCATCTGCTCCGTTCTGTCCTCCGTCCTCCGAACGTGTTGCGCGCGGTGCCCGATCGCCCAGATGCGCACCCTGCCGCGTCGCTGCATGTGTGTATCGGCAGTGCGTGGAATCGCTACGTTGGCGCGGCGCAGCGCGGCGTGCATGCGAACCTCTCCATGTTGGAGAATGGCTGGCTCGCTAACTGTTGTCGCTACCCCACGGCTCGCGAATGCACCCCACCACCACCTCCCTCCCATTCCCGTCCCACCGGCACCGACTGACCTAGGCAAATCCCCCCTCCCTCCCCCTTTCTCCAGTCTTGCTCGTACACAACCCATCAAGCCTGCGTGTACGCTCTCCCGACCCCGTCTTCCTCCCGTCCTGGCCTTGTCCATCCGGACTCGACGCCGCCCTAGACACTTGTTCTACTTCGTGCACATCTTCCCGCCGTCACGCCTGCATTCGCCTTTACGTAAGTGGCCGTCGATTGCCTACTCTAGGTCACCAGGGGACCAGCTCGAGTTGGCATGACCCGATGGAAACCGATCTGTAACCAACGATCTCCTCGCCAATCTGACCGAGAGCATAAGCTCCCCCTCCCCTCCCCTCCCTCCTCGTGTCACTCTCTGACCCCGCTCGTAGCTTTCGTGAACTCGTTTCTTTCGTCACGCGGTATACGTGCTACCCCCCCAAGAAAGTTGGATGCAATTGGCGAATCGCTTATTGGGTTGTTCACGTAGACTCTCATCCTACTCCTGCGCCATTCTCTTGTTTTTTACCCCTCCTTTGGCTATGCTCCGTGCTAGCTTAGCTTGTGCTTTTTGGGAACGTGTGCTCGCCCTCGAAGCTTGTATTCTCGTCCGACATCGTCGAGTTTCTTCCCCCCCCCCCTGCTCCCCGGCTGGAAAGAAAGCTAGCTCGCCCTGCGAGATCGTATTCGCGTAGGCGGAAACGTGACAGCACGGTAGGTACATGTTAAGACGCGACCGAACCCCGTCTTAGCCCTCCTCATTCTCGCCCCCATCTTTGTCCTCGTCCTCGTCCTCGTCCTCCGAGACGTCTTCGAATTCGTCATCATCCTCGCTATCCTCCACGCCTTCGGGCCGCGGTATCATCGCGAACGCCTCCAGGCACGTGATCCTGTTCTGGGTCTCGTACGTGCCGAGCAGCTTGCCCACCGTCTTCGCCGTCGCCGATTTCTGCGCCGCCGTCAACTCTGCGACGCCGAGCTTGAAGACGCGGAGCGTGCCGTCGCTGCTGCCGGTGGCGATGATCAAGGTGTCGTCACGCCCTCCGCCGCCGCCAGCCTGTCCGACCAGCCTCACTATGGCAAAGTCTTTAATCCGCGCCGACACCCCGGCTTCTTTGCCCCCGAGCTGTGCTACTAGTTTGGCTGCGGGTAATGGCGCCGCCTTTCGTCTTCCCTCCGCTCCCGCCGTAGTAGAGGAAGAAGATGGCTCGGTCGCGGGGGCCAGGTCCTCGCTCCTCGTTGAGAAGAACAGGATCCGCCCGTCCTCGGTCGACGTGGCGATGAGCGACGACTCGCTCGTCGTGTCGAGGGTTAGGTAGCGGATCTCGTGGATCTTGCGTCGCGGGCTAGGCACGACGCGGCACTTGGGCGTGCTGTCCATGCCGAAGACGAGTGCGCCATGGTCGAACGCGACACAGAACTCGTCCCCGTCCTCGGTTGCGCCCCAGACGACGCGGCGGCCCTCGCCGGATGAAGCGCGACCCCCCTCGCCAACCTCCTGCAGCGCGTCCCGGCCGAAGTTAAGCACGCCGGCCCGCTTCGCCGTCATCAGGTTCCACAACCGCATGCACCGCTCGCCGCGGCTTACGGTGATCATAAGCTTCATGCTCGGGTGTACGGCAAAGTCGTTGACGCCGGCGGGCGTCGCGCCGAGGGCGGCAGTGTCCCCGCTCGGCCGGCCCTGGGGCTTCGGTACGGGCGCGCGGACGGTCGACAGCAGCGCCCAGTCGCGCGTGCGCGTGACGGCGACGGTCGAGTCCTCCGACGCCGACATGAGCTTCGACCGCGTCGGGAAGGCGAGCCGCGTCACCGTCGACGCGTGGTGAAGCAGCGCGCCGAGCTCGCGGTTCTTGGGGTTCTCGAGGATCCGCCGCGGCGTCGCCGACGACAGAAAGTCCTGCCCCGCCTTCCGCCGCGGCGGGTGCGCCGAGATGCTATACACGTTAACCCGCTCGTCGCTGCTGCCCGAGGCCAGCATCACCTTCTGCAGTCGGCCCGGTTCGGGCGCCGACGGTGGCGACAGCGCCAGGCAGCGTATTGCCGAGCTATGTGCGTTGAATAGGAACGTATCGGCGAATTCGACCCGGTCGTCGTCTTTGCCGCTGCCATCGTTGCCGTCGGCGGAGAGCGATATAGTAGCCGTCAACCCGTGTAGAACCCTATCGTAAGAGCCTGTGACAATCTGCAGCACAAATGGTGGGCTCGCCGTGCCGTTTGCCGGCGTCGGTGCCGGATCGTTAGCCATAGTTATCTTCGCCTTCTTCGTAGCAGTTGTCGGTTCCTGCGGCTGATGTGCTGCGGCCCGGTTAGGACAAGCGGCACCGGCGGCGCCGTCTCCTCGCTTCCGCTTGCCCATTGTCTTTTCTTCTTGGGTCCTTTCTTCTCTCTATCACTCGGTCTCTTCCTCTTGCTTCAATTCCTGGGTCGGTGATTCCAAGTCCGTATAGTTCCGTCGGGCTTCGTGTAGGATAGAGGGGGAGGGGAGGGGAGGAGGGAAGCGGGGGTATCGAGGTTCGTCTCTGTCACAGCGGCGATCAAAGGCAGAAGAATAGGCTAATACTAGGTGGATGTTATGGGAAAAATGAAGCTGTAGGAGATGCATCACAGAGACAAGGTAGGTAATATATGTAGACAGCAAAAAAATAAAGTGGACCGTAGTTTAGTGGGGCTTCCGTATTATGTAAGGCTGCCATACAGGTTTAGAGATGTTTGATGCCTCAGGCGCCCACCATACCTAGCAACTAGATACCATTACTGTGCATATCCCGCGTGGTCTACTCCTTGAGGGAATCTAATGAAAGGGCGACGGGTGAACGAGCGGTAAATACCGCGAGGGTTTTAAATACCTGCCATTAGGTCGATTACATAGCTGCCGTCTAGAAGTTGATGGGGAGACTTGAGAGCCTCCCGTCTACGTCCAAAAAGCACGAAAGCGCGCATCGCGAGACAGCTCGGGCATTGTTTCACTGGTCTTTACTGTATTGTGTATTCGACAGCCTGAGCTTTCTCGGCTGCCTCCCCTCTCGCCACCCGACCACTCCGTGATAGAGTTGGTAGGTTAGGGGGGTAGCTAGGGGTGCTTCTGTGTGGCAACTGATGCTTGTTTTCGCAGCCTGTCGTGCTAACCTCCCCCGTCCTTTTTCTAGTCAAGGGAGCCACCCCGTGTGCCATGATTAGCTGGGGTCGGTTGCCCGGGACGCGGTCGGACTATTCTATAATTATTCCTGCCAATTCCTGCCGGTTGTGCAAGACCGCCGTGTTCTCACAGAATCTCCGGCCTGTGTCATCACTCACAAATGTTGTGTGGGAAGACGCGTCCGACGGCTTGGCATCGGCCTTTAGCCGTGGCAGTCCTCAAGACGACAGACAAGGCCCCGAACAATGCCCGTGTAGGTTCACCGGGACTAGCTTCTATCCTCGTCGTCGTTGCTGATGATTACCACCCCGTCGCTCGTCAACTTGGCGCCGGAATCCTGCTTGTGGCCTTTATCGCAGTTCGAAGCAACCGTCTAACCCGCAACCGCGTTGCTGGTGCGCCGCGCTACGCCCTCTCTCTTTTTTTCCCCGTCCCCGGTATCGTCACGGTCGTACATCAGCTCATTTACCTTAACCCCCGCCTGAATCTTGTCTAGATGAAATCTTTTCACTACCTCCGAATTAAAGCTTATACCGACATCCTATTTCGGCACCGAGGGCGTCGGTGTGGCACTTCCGCTCGAATTCCGCTGATGCTGCGCTCCCCCTTGCTGGGCCTGCGCGTGCTGGGCCTGCGCTGCGGCGGCAGCGGCTGCCTGCTGCTGTTGTTGAGCCCGGAGCAGTTGCGCATATTGGTGGGGTCCGTTGGCAGCGGCAGCGTGGCCGGTCCCCCCAGCTGCGGCGTTCATTGCAGATTGTGCCATGTTGTGACTGTTCTGACGGTTATTCAGAAGCTGTCTCGCCATCTCACGGATCATGTCCTGGGGCGTGTTCGGATGCGATTGTCTGAGCTGGGTCTCGATATGCTGAAGCTGGGCAACGTATGTTTGGTGCGTCGGCTGGGGTATGGTGGTGTTGGGTCGTGGGGAGCCTGCCTGGGGCGATATACCAAGTCCGGCGGCAGGAGGCGTCGACATGCCTTGCCCATTCGCGGCGCTAAACGAGGCCATCATGGCTTGCGTCTGGGCGTTATTTATATAGCTCTTGTGGTTTAGCCCAGCCATGGCGCCGGCCCGCATAGCAGGCGGCGAACCCTGCAAAGGTATGCTCCCCTGAGGGCTTTGGTGTGACGGCTGCGCCTGATGCTGATGCTGCGCCTGATGCTGCCGCATCTGCACCGACCGGCGCTGCTGCTCCGAGATCTGATGTGCTTGTAGCAATAGCTGCATGTCCGGTTGCGGGTTGGGCATCGCCATCCGCGACTGACCGTTGACAGTGGGTATCTGCACCTGGGAAGCGCCGTTTATCGGCATAGGAGCAACGAGATTGCCGCCCATATGATTTGGAGCTCCGGTGCCGTTGGGGGTAGCGTGCATCGGCATGCGGGCGCGTCCTTGGCCGCTAACTGGCATCTGGTTGGGGACATTCACACGAGGTATGCTCGCGTGGGCGTGAGAGGCTGCAATCTGCGGGTTGTTCTGCGAGAGCTGATTGGCGTTCTGGGCGGTTGCTACCTGTGCGGCCTGCCCTTGCTGTGCTCTCTGTAGGACGGCCTAGGCATAACGGTTAGTCTTGATTGAACCAAGATGAAGATGTGTGCGTGGATGAGGGGACGGGGAGGCAGAATGTGTAGCGGAAGGTTACGGCAAGGGGAGATAGGGGTTGGGGGCACCATACTCTGCGTTGTGCCTCGTGACGTTGCTGTTGGGCCATCCTCTCCGCTAGTCTCTCAGCCATCGCCTGATCTCGCTCCCATCGCATAATGCTATATTCTCGGGGTGTTTTCGTCGCTGCCCTGGGCTGAGGCGCCTCGTTGGATTTTCTCATGGCTGCAAGCGAAGCTGCATGCTGCTGCTTTTGTATCGCCGTCTCTCGCTTCTTGGCCAGTTTCCGCATGGCGTCAATCATGGTAAGATGCTTCTGGTTTCGTCGACGTTCCACCTTGAGAGGAACAGTAAACCGCCTCCGAGGTACAGGGGTTGGGGGCCCGTTGGAGCCGGCTTGTTGCTGCTGCGCCTGTTGCTGCATCGCGCTCTGGTTCTGACGGAATATGACCTGCTGTGACGATTCTATCCTACCTTGCCACAGCTTGAAGTACTGGGTCTTCTGCATGTCGTGGGGGAGTCCCTCCAGTCCGACCCACCGCTCGAAACACTCCCACGGTGTGCGTCTCTCGGCCCCCGAGCTGAAAAGGGACCTGGAAGAGAGCATACTGGATATGAGAGACCAATTGTACGAGTACTCACGCACTAGACTCTTCAATTCGTCGTCTTCCGACTGCATCCACTGCGACGGGCTTCTGGATTCGTAGAAGGATTGGAACGGCATCGTATGCTCATTAGGCGGACGAAATTGGTGCCCAGCGTGCAATCTGTCTCTAATACTCTTGTTCTCCGGTCGGAATAGAGCCACATTGGGACTTTGTGGCTCTAGGCATGGCTCGTTGCCACTGCTCTGGCCAAAGACGACTTCGTCATCCTCGTCATCCTCCTGCGAATACCGATACCGGCTTCTTTTTTGCGGTGGGCCGGTTGAAGTAAGCTCCATCCGACCCTCCACGAACTTGGTCAGTGGCAAGGCGGGCCGTCTCCATGAGGCGTCGGGGTCGTACTCCGGTGCCGTGAGGTCGGATTTGGGGACTTTCAGCGGCGATCCGTACATAGGCAATTCCTCGAGGAGGCGGTCTGTGGTCGGCGACTGATGAAGTGCAAAGACAACGTCATCATTCTCCAAACAAAACAAAGCCGAGGGCGCTATCGTGTCGATGGCGACCTCGTGAGGCTCGTCATCCGGCTCCAACGGCGAATCGGCCTCCGTTGATGTAATGAGATCCGGAGTTGGTTGATTCTCGGCGCTGGGAGCGTGGTGCGCATCGACGACCGACGCCTCGTTTATGTCCGCTAGTTCCAGAGGGGGGATGACGGAATTCACCTGCAAAGCCTTGCGGTCTTCCAGCGAAGAAGATACCCATTCGGCACAGGCATAGGCAAGGTTACGGGCGGCAGCCATTTTCCATTTTCTTTCCTCGCGAAAGTCGGTCCTCATCCACTTCATCTCCTTCAGCAACACGTCCCAGTGACATGGCTGGCGCGTAGGCTCGGGGCAACGCTTTGGTTGACGAAGAGACCACTTATCATGGTGCTGTAACTGGTAAACCCTCCTAAGAACCTTACACGCTTGATTATCCAGTATTTGGGTGTACGAATCTGGGGTAGACAGGGTCTTGTGAGCTTGATGTAAAAGTTGATCGAGTGGCTTCATCCATTTTGAGGTGGAGGTGAAAGACTGTACGAAAAGTGGCGTGAAGTAGTCGTCGCTGGGCATCTGACCCGGCTTTGGGCGGTTCTGGACGAGTGTCCTGGCCGAGCTCGAAGCACGCCTTGGCTGTTTACCGAATATCACAGTAGACTGCTTACTCTTCTCCTTAAGCCTAGCTTTGCGGAGAATACTCTGGGGCGGCTTCCGAGACGACTGGGGGCCGGGGATTACCAGCGGTGCGCGATTAGGTTCGGATTCCCCGGAAGGGTTCGGCGGTTCGGCAAGGATTTCGGATACCGGCTTCTGCTGGGCAGCCCCTGTGGGACCACTTGTCTGTTGATGATCCAACCGAGGCGGCTGTACCGGCGTTTGCGGCGGTGTGGAAGGGGGGCGAGGGCCTTCGGAGCCGGCCTGATCGGGAGCTGCGCCAGGCTCAGATGCCACCAAGGTCTCCTTCGTCATCGCTTCGCCTGCCGCCCTGCTGGGGGCTAGGCTCCCTTTGATCTGGGGTGCTGCGCCGGGATGCACCGGTACTTCACGAACCTTCTGGTGAATTTGCTGTTGGTTGGACTGGGCATTTGCCTGGGTAGGTCCGCGGAAAGCATCGTTTGGGGTCTGTGGCGGGTCCGGGGGCTCGGGCTGCCCACTGCGACCAAAGTTGACTGGGCTGGATTCTCCATAGGGGGTGGGCAATGATACCTCTGGCAGTGCTGGTTCTGTGGGCGTCCTTATATTTTTAACACCGTTGCTCACCACTTTAGTCGTGGTGGTACTGGTTGGCTCTGGTATCGGTAAGGTTTCGACTCGGTTTTGAGTATTTTCGGGCGCAAGCACGGTGCCGGCAGAGTTCAGAGTGTGACCGGGCGTCAAACTATGCGAATCGGGCCCCAGCGTACGTACACCCCCAAACTCCACAACCTTCACCTCGACACCGGCCGTAACCGGCGCCCCGTCATGATCCGGGCTCGTGTTGGCCGACGTGTCGGGAATATATGGTGTCGTTGCTGTTTGAGTAGTCGAGCTTGGGGACGACGCCGCGTCGGCCGAGCCGGAGACGACGGGTTGAGGGCCCTGACAACATATATCCGTATTTTCTTCGTTCCTGGAAGGAGAAAATTCGACATCCATCGGCTCGCCATCGTATCGGTCTTGTCGCTGTGCATCTTCGAGGTCGGGCTCAGGCTTTACCTGCCGCTGTTCACCCACGACTGTTGGTATTATGTGCAGATGGGGAAGACTAGGGGAGCTTGTAGGTAGCCCTGCTGATACTTTGGCAGGAATAGCATTGATGGTAATGTTTTTAGCGATAGTTTCTGCGTTTTCACTGGTGGAAGGCGGCTTGGGATGGGGTTGCTCATTACTATTTATACGAGGCCCAGCGGCCCTCGTAGGATGCTCGAGAGGTTGGGTCGGCCGCGCTGGCTGAAGCTTCGGGGTAGCTCCCGAAGCTGGCAGCGCAGGAGCAATATTGGGGAGACGATCCGTCTGTCCATCGTCAACTTCTGGTCGCGACGTCACGGGTGGTGATGATGCTGGTGGCGGCGGTGCGGCGACCGGTCGCACGGCATCACGAACATCCTGCTTCTTGACAACGACAGCAACGGTATTTTCGCTTGGAGCAAGCGCTTCCCTCGCGACAGGTAGTTGGGAGTACTCGATTCGAGGTCGCGGCCGTGCCGGTATGTTCAACTCGTTTAGTTTTCTCCCTCTAGCGACCAGGTTAGCATGGCGTCTCCACAGCCAAAAGAAAGAAGAAAACACGGTCGGAGATGAGGGAAAATGAGACGGCAGGGTCAGACGAGCATACTGTAGAATGTCGCATCCCTCCAAGAAGTGCGACTCGGCGGTGTTGGCGGGCTGCGCGTCGGGGTCCGCGAAGCTACGCTGGGGGAGGCCATCCGAAGTGGTGGCGACGGCGTAGAGAACACAGAGTTTCCTCTTTCTCGACCGTGCAATTTCACTGTGGAAACCATCGTCAATACCGGAGAGAGCACGCTGGGCCCCGTCCGTCGGCCGATGGATGGAAAACTCACCTGCATTCTGCCCGCTTTGATTGCAGAAGCCTGGTGCGGTCGGCGGGCACGACCTCAGTCATAGCATCGACGACGGCGACATCCGTTTTGCATGAAAACGGATGGTTCTCCAAGCTTAATGGGGATGCCGGAGATGGATACGATGGTCTGATGCGATGGAAATGATGGCGTGGTGCTGCGGCAATTGAACTGCGTCGTCGCAGGTCGTGAGTGTGAAGTCGTCTCGGTCTCTCTTTTTTTCGAATTGAATTTTATTGATCTACTTTCCCCCTTCCCGTCTCCTGTTAACGCTGGCCTTAGGGTGTTGGAGACCACTATCGGGCAGGCGCAAGTGCAGTAAGGCGCTGCGCTGGCGACGGCGTCGGGGCGATTTAGTGGGTGGTACCTATCCCTATATTAGTGGACAGAGTACCCGAGACCCAGCGATACCTTGCTCTGGCTACCCAGCCTCCATCATCTGGGTGGGAAAGTCGCCAGAGGCGGGCTGGCAGATACATACCGAGAATGTACCTAAAAAGGCCCCGTTCAGCCGGGCAGGCATTCCACGGTCAGGTACCTTTTCTTATCTGCGATCTTGAATACCTAGATGAAAATTACATTAGGTGCCTCGCTCTACCTACCTAACGTACCTACGTAGGTGCTGAATAAACAAGGCACCGGTAGGCAGACAGATATGCAAATCTATCTCCATATGTGTTCATGCGACCGTAGAATGACGCGTGTGAAAGGCTCTGAGGGGACGGATAACCAGTGCCCTCTCCAGCTAGCGGCACGTCTTTTCCTCATAGCTGTTCACTTACTTACATAACTGTCCTCTAGTGCTAAAGCCTACCTGCCTAGACGGAGGTTACTGTAGGTAGGTACAATCCTAGGTAGGTACCTTGGAAGGTAATTCTCTTATGCGCCTAGGTAGGAGGTACCTAGGTAGACATAGGTGCCTAAGGTACCTACCTGGTAGCCCTGCCCTAGGCGCTCCGTGAGATATCCAGAGCTCTGAGTATTATGCAGTACATTCCACCGACATCCCTTCTGCAAACGTCTCTCTGCAAACAACCTATAACCTCTGTCCATCCTGGAGCCATTTTCTTAATCACCTACATCGCGGAGAATGTCTGAGCCCGCTCGGCGGATTGCCATCAAATTCGGCGCACCGTCGTCGTCGAGATCATCTAATGGCGTTAAGAAGCACGCTCGCCCACCACTACCTTCGACGTTGGGCAAGAGGCACCGATCGCACGCGCTAAACCATGACTCCGATTCTGAGAGCGACGGGCAGACGTCCGGCCGACACGAGACTGTGACAACCATAGGTGAAGATTGGTCCGAATCCAAGGCAAAGGAACACGCCACGTCCTCGGGCAAGTCCAGGAGCGCCGACGTGCCGTATGTAATCAGCGGTCACCAAAACCGCGACTGGAAGGCAGAAGTGAAGGCTCAAAGGACTGGGAAGGGCGCCGTACCGAGACATGCCCACGCAAACCCGAGCGCATCTTTAGAGCGGCACGCCGCCGACCAAGACAAGGAAATCAAATGGGGTCTAAATGTAGTCAAGAAATCGGAACGCGATGACATCAACTCCTCGAATGAGACCGTACCGTCTCTTGCTCTCGGCCCCGAAACGAGTCCTCAGGGGGGTGACCGTGGGGAGTCCAAGGACGAAGAAAGGGACGCGATGGATGCTCTCCTCGGCAGGAAGCGGAAGTCGGCGGCAGAGCTCATAATCGAAAGCACACCGAGACGTGACACGGTCGCCGCGCCATCGGAGCAAGACGTTTATCGTCGCAGGATGGAGGAGGCGGCAGAGATCTCGACGATAGACGAATACAGCCAGATACCGGAAGGGGAGTTCGGGGCGGCTATGCTGCGAGGTATGGGCTGGAATGGGGAGGAGCGTGGCTCTAAGCCCAAAGAAGCCAAGAAGAGGCCGCACCTGATGGGGCTCGGATCGAAGGAGGATGAGGAGATCCGAAAGGGTGAGCTCGCTCGGAAACACGGACATCGGGAGCGGAGACCACGTCTGGACGAGTATCGCAGAGACAAGGAGAGGGAAAGACGTGACCGCGAGGAGCGTCGTGGCGACAGCTACAAATCTGAACGCGAACGCGAACGACGAGACCCTAGTCACAGTCATGGCCACCGAGACCGAGACCGAGACCGGACCGCCGGCCACGGACGCGCCGAGCGAGGTCATAGATATTAAGCCGCGTGGGCCTATAGGTTTGGCCCGTTCGATTGAATATAATTGTCCCTTCGCCGTTTCATCGTCACATGGCATCATACGTAGTGGCCGTGGGGGAAGGATCCTGCCATCCGGGTGTCCACGATCGAAGATCGAGTCTGGTCTGGAGATGAAATGTCTGCCGAATTAATCCCCTCCAGCCAGCTGGCTACCCCCTCGCCAGCTTAGCTATGGTGCAGTAGGTTTGGCCTCGCTACCCTCGGGCCAAATTGCTAGTAAATAGAGACTCGCCGATACCCTACGCTCTACCCCGCCTGGTTTGCTGTTCAGTTCGATCGAAGAGATGCTAACTTCAATCAGAATAACTAGATACTGCTCAGGCCCGAGCGATAGTAAGTGTATATGCGCTTCGCACATTAAGGTTGCTTAAACACCAGCGTTCACTCAAAATTGCGGCAGTCGAGCGCAGTAGCTGACCCGCGGGCGCAACCGAACTCGGGGCACCGTTCGGTGCACTTACTAGCCGGGGCCAGAGCGGCTACAGGAGACAGCTCTCCTCGTACCGGCCGGCGTTTCTTTCCCGCGAGGCTGACACTAACCAACACCTTCCGGCAGAGCTCCAATTGTCGGTTTCGAGACGGTACCTCCTATTCTAAATGGAAGACGTGATGCTGTCGGGGCCCTACCGTTGCTATGCGTAGCGCAACCCGCCAAGGCACACCAAACCTGTAATGGCGACCGTACGGAGCATCTACCTGTCTTGTCCCACGTTCATTCGAGTATTCCGTGGTCTCCCCTACCTCCCGTTGCGCCGGCATCTCCACCCTTAGGCCGACCGCCTGATAAACCGCGTGCTCCTGCTGATGGTCTCGAGCTGGAGGTGTCGTGGGAGAGAGCTCTGTGTCTCTCTACCTTCTAGTGTGGTTAGGAAACGGCCCGGTCAAGATTTGACGTCTGTGTGGTGTGGCCATCTCCTCGATTGTCCAGACCGTTCCGGGTACAGGACCTGATCGGCCTGCGTACCTGGGTTACGGACGGACACCGACTTTACACGCCCAGGCCAATAGAGCCGTCGTGCCAAGGTCGTAGCCAGTCCGCGGGACGGACATGGAGAGATGATATGCGTTCGGTAGGCAGGTTGCGTTGAGCGATAATAGGGGTCTGTTGTCTTAGGGACCTGAGGCAGATCATCGCCTGAAGAGGTACCCGATCCGGTGCGCAGGTACCCCTCCATGTCGCTCCCAGCATCTCCGTTGGGAGCTGGTTATCGTCCACGGGTCCGCGTATTAGTGGAAGGAAGTGGTTATGCTGGCCATGGCCAGTGGGGTGCTGTTTACGGGGGTGTTCGAAGGCATGGGGGGAATCAAAAGGGGGTAGAGGAGGTACCCAAGGTACCTAATGAAGTTGCTGCTAGGTAGGTACATTAGGTCAAGAGGTACCCTCCCAAGGTTCTACGCCCCCCGTCCGTTCCGGTATATACATCCATACCCGTACCTCTGGCCATGCCAGGCCGGGCAGTTAGTACCTGCCCACGCCGAGGTTGCTTGCTCGATGCCATGTGTCACCTACTTTGAGTACCTCCCGTAACACACCACCCGAGGTACCTCTCTGACCTAGCCAGCCCAGGTACCTATCTGGGTATCGAGAACCGCTGCGGCCATGCCGGATGTACCTAAGAGGTAGGTTAGAGGTACTTACGGCAATACCTGCCCGCTGGCTGGCGCCCCAGGTACCAGATGTACTCATGGGGACAACGTAGCACATGAGTAATATGAAGAAGAGCTATAGGTAACAGCGCAACAACGCAACAACCCACCTCAACACATTAGGTAGCTAAGGTACCTACCTAGAGAAGCACATCCCTACCTCAGAATCCAATCCGGGTCAAGGGGCGGCACATGGCGTGGCCCTAGCTCCAGCCTCCCAGCCACTCACAGCCGCCAATCTCAACAGGCCCCCGCCCCGGGTGGCCCGGGCGAGAGGGCGGTCTGTCGAAGTGGGATGGATGGATACCGTCTCGCTCTCTGAGGGAACAAGCCCGGGGACACGAATCAACTTTTATCTCCTCGTTTTTCCCACAAATTCTCCTCTGCCCGCCAGACGGACATCCTCGACATCTCCTTTTGCAAAGTCTGCCAGCGCCCGTTGGCTTTGCGACTCTCACGATGTCGAAGCCTCACAGCGTCAACGGGAGCGAGTCCGAGTTCGAGTTCATCGAGACTCCCAAAGCTCCCACGCCCACCTTCGAGAAGTTTGAGGAGTGCGGTGTGCGGACCACCTCGGTAAGTTTCTTCCTTTGTGGCTTTTTTTTTTCTTTTGCTTTTTTTCTTTTGCTGCTTCTCCTCTGGTTGCTGCTGCTTTCGTTTGGACCTACTACCTACCGAATTCCGCCCTACATCTCGTCTCGTCTCGTCTTGCCCGTGTACAAGCTCGTTTTGTGAACTGGCAAGGGAGGCAGGAAGAAGAGGGGAGCCAATTCGCTGAGCTGACCGTTATCCTCTTCTAGTATCCCTCCATCAAGAATGCCCCCCTCCCCGCGGACTCGGCCGGTGCCGATACCTTTTCGAACACCATCCTCTTCTCCCTGATGGGCGGTGTTCCGCTATGGCTGTCTTGGAAGGTCGGAGGCGGGCTGAAAACGGCCATCTTCTTCGCTCTGTTCACGAGTCTGCCCATCCTCGCTGGCTTTTGGCTTACCATCTCCGCCATCAGCCCTCGGAAGAATGAGAAAGCCAGGTACCCCGGCCGGCCGGTTGAGCACTACCTCACTTTCAAGAAGCAATCCGACCAGCTCAAGTACCACGGCCGAAATAAAATCCCCATGGAGACCTTCTACGAGATGTACTTCGACGGAGACGTCGACTTTAATGGCGACTGCCTCGAAGTCTTGGAATACAGGCACGATTGGGCCAGCTTCCGCTTTACCTGGGGCCTATGCAAGTACTTCCTCTTCGGCATGATGCCCGAGGTTATCATGCATTCGCGAAGCCAGGGTAAGATGGGATTTCCCCTGAAACTAGCTTCCTCGCCCTTCTTCCCCTCCTCCCTCCGAGACCACGCCTCCAGACTAACGTGGCGAAGATGAGGAGCAGGTTCGTGGCCACTACGACCGCGGTGATGATTTCTACGGTTGGTTCTTGGGACCGCGCATGATCTACACCTCTGGCATCATCTCGGATATCAACACCGAGGAAAGTCTGGAGCAGCTTCAGGACAACAAGATGGCCATCGTCTGCGAGAAGATCAACCTCAAGGACGGCGAGACGTTGCTCGACATCGGCTGCGGCTGGGGTACCCTGGCACGGTTTGCCAGCGTCAACTACAATGCTCACGTCACCGGCATCACCCTCGGCCGCAACCAGACTGCTTGGGGTAACAAGGCTCTGCGCAACGTTGGTGTCCCTGAGGAGCAGAGCAAGATCCTCTGCATGGATTACCGCGATATTCCGTCGGTGGAGGGCGGATACAAGAAGATCACATGTCTGGAGATGGCCGAGCACGTGGGCGTCCGGAAGTACGGTTCCTTCTTGAAGCAATGCTACGATATGCTGGACGACGATGGAGTATTTTTCCTGCAGATTGCCGGGCTCCGAAAGCCGTGGCAGTACGATGATCTGATCTGGGGCCTGTTCATGAACAAATACGTCTTCCCCGGCGCTGATGCCTCGACTCCCCTCAACTTCTTCATCGACGGACTCGAAGGGGCCGGGTTCGAAATCAAGGGGCTCGACACGATCGGCGTGCACTACTCTGCGACGCTGTGGCGCTGGTATAGAAACTGGATGGCCAACCGCGAGAAGGTGGAGGCTAAATACGGAAAACGGTGGTTCCGCGTAAGTCCCGTCCACCCCTCCCCGTCCGCCGGTAGGCCGCGAGTATCGGCCAGGGTTGCTAACGAGGCAAACTAGATCTGGGAGTATTTCCTCGCCAGCTCCACCATCTCTTCGAGACAAGGCAGTGCTACCTGCTACCAGATCGTCTGTGTTAAGAATATAAATTCGACGCACAGGGTCGAAGGTATCCCGACTCAGTTCGGCCTCGAGGGGGCCCTAGATGCGGCAGCGGAGAAGGTAGACTTCAAGGCGTGGGCTAAGAAGAATGCTGATCAGTTCCCCATCGCATCGCACTAGTAGCAGGCGTGGTCTCGGAGAGGTTTCCCGCACAACAGAGGGTTGTAACAGGTAGACGAGGCTCACGGCTCGAGATGACGGCCGGTGTGAGCTCCTCCCTCCCTTCCCCTTCGGAGCGGGAGTTGATAGTAGCGGCGCTGGGCGTTTTGACCTCGTCCGAGCGTGGGAGTTGGAACGAACCAGGCAGTCCGCCCGCGTGGTGGTTGCTGTGGACAGGACGAAGACGGACGTGAATTAATTTGTAGGTAGTGGATATATGTAATGAAAAAACGGAGGGTGAAGTTGGCGTGAAATTGCCAGTGTCCGACTGAGATAACTAGGTGATCACGCGCGTAGATCAAGCACACGTGGTATACGTAGGCAGATGCAAATATTCTAGTTATCTCGGTGTCTGTCGTCTGGCTGGTAAAGCAGAGAGACTGCCTCCTGGTTGTGTATTTATATATACTCAATATCTATACCCGGTACAGGGTGTGTATGGCGTATAAAAAATTCCGTCAGAGCGCCCCCGGATCCTCCGCTTGTTACTGACCTGCCCGCCTGTTGCCTGTTACCTCGTGCCTGTTACCGATATGTACCTGCTCGAGGCGCCTGGGTTACCTCAGGCGGTAGTACTGACCCCTTTCAAGGAGACGGGGAAGAGATTAGGGGGTGGGTTGGGTTGAGTTATGCACGCGGGCATGTACCCGATGCTACCTAGGGCAATACGTTAGGTAGGCCTGTAACGGACCTCGATGCGCTGGATAGCTACCCGTAGGTACCCAATCCTAGGTAGTGGGCTAGGAGGAGGAGGGACCTCTAACGTACCTACATGTAGTGCAGGTTATGCATATGAGTGCTACACAGGTGGTCGAGGCCTCAGCGGTGATGCGCAAAGCCATTGGATGGGAGGACCCGTGTAAATTATGCCAAGCCACTCCTTGTCGACCAATTCAAAGGTCACCGTCCCCAAGCTGCGTCGTCATCTACAACGGAAACACCTGCATCAATTTTCTTACTACTTCCCGCTCCCTTTCTTCCACCACTATCGATACCATTGCCTGCCGCTGTCCACCGTTCCCGCCGTTTTCTGTTTTCTTGGCCTCATTTACACTGTCATCGTCGCTACCGAGGTGCCTACTCGTCTCTCCCCCCCCCTTCGGTCCGTCCTCAGGGACCTACCCAGCCCTTCGTCCCCAACGACCTTCTCTCCAAGCGCCCGTCCTGAATGCGAGCACGCGCTTAATCCCACCATGTATTCGAATACCAATTCCTTCGTCGGCGGCAACAACTTGCGCCCGGGCCAGCAGCAGTATGGCAACGCATTCGGCATGGGGGCTGGCCCGGGTCAACAACCTCAACCCACGCAGCCAGGCACGTTCGCACCGCAGCCGACCGGGTTCGCTCAGGGCCCCTTAACTCAGCAGTATACCGGCTTCCCAGGTGCGCAGGGCATGCAGCCGCAGCACACCGGCATGCCTTCTCAACAGTCGTCCATGGGCCTTCAGCCTCAGTACACCGGCTTCCCCGGCCAGGCTCTGCCGCAACAGAGCTACCAAACGACCGCGCCCCCCGTGCCTCAGATCCCCTCGCAGTTCCAGACCCAGGCCGGCCACCAACAACCGCCCCAGAACAATGCGTTCCTGGCTCCGTCTACCCAGGCTGGCCCCTCTATATCCGCGCCGGCATCGGCGGCGATCACCGCCCAGCCGACTGGTTTCAGCGCCATGGCGGCTTCCTTCAAAGCGAGCGGTGCTGCCGACCCTCAGCCGAGTGCTCAAGGCGCGCATAAGCCCGCTAACAAGATCCCCAACATCCGATTGTCCTTCATAACGGCCCAGGATCAATCCAAGTTCGAGACCCTGTTCAAGTCGGCCGTGGGTGACGGCATGACTATGTCCGGAGAGAAGGCTCGAGACTTGCTCTTGAGATCTAGGCTGGATGGCGATTCGCTATCCCACATTTGGTAGGCTACCTCCCGTCCCTTCGTTACCCCGAGTCCCGGGAGGATACATCTAATCTCTCACCCACGCCGCAGGACTCTCGCCGACACCACTCGATCAGGCGAGTTACATTTTCCCGAGTTTGCGCTAGCTATGTACCTGTGCAACCTCAAGCTCGTGGGCAAATCGCTTCCCGGCAGTTTGCCGGACCACATCAAAAACGAGGTTTCGAGCATGGTCGACATCATCAACTTTAGTATCGCCGACGATGGCCCCGGTTCCGCAGCCGCGACCAACGCGCCCGACTTCACCAGGCAGAATACTTCCACTCCGCCAGTCATACAACATCCCCAGCCCTTACCTTCGAATACCCAGTTGCTCCAGGCGCAGATGACGGGTTTTCCAGGACAGCCGACAGGATTCGCGGGTCAGACACTACAGCCTCAGCAGACCGGCTTTCCCGGCGGCCTGAACAATCCGCAGCCTACTGGTTACAATGGCCCTTTGCCTCCTTTGCCTCCGATGCCCACCGGCTTTCCGGGGGGTCTTTCTCCTACCGGTATAGCCCCTCTCAATGCGCAACCGACCGGTAAACCCGGCCAGTGGGGTCTAGTAAACGCACCTGCATCCGGCCTCCCCAACATAGACGCATTGCAAGCTCGAATGATGCCGCAGGCCGGTCGCGAGCAGCAGAGCTACACCACCGCCGGTCTGTCCGGCAATGCAGTAATCCCCTGGGCGATCACCAAGGATGAGAAGACGCGTTACGATCAACTATTCAAGGCATGGGACGGCCTGGGCAAGGGCTTTATCGGAGGAGACCAAGCGATCGAGATCTTCGGCCAGAGCGGTCTCGAGAAGGCCGATCTCGAACGAATCTGGACCCTATCTGACAACGGAAACAAGGGTAAGCTGAACCTCGACGAGTTCGCCGTAGCCATGCATCTCATCTACCGAAAACTAAACGGATACCCCATTCCCAATACCCTACCACCCGAACTTGTCCCGCCGTCTACCCGCAATCTCACCGAGTCCCTCGGCACCATCAAGTCCCTGCTAAGCCAGGAGTCCGACTTCCGAAAGTCTTCTGGCGCCGACTTGCTACCTCAAAAAACGGGAGTGAGTTACTTAAAGAGTCACTCGTTCAGAGGAACCACTGGCGGGCTCAGTGCTGGGCGTAAGGACGCGACAGTGTTCAAAAACAACGACGACGTCGGGTACAGATCGAGCGCGCGGCGTCGTATCGGCAATTCCTCACCTCGGCCCGAATCGCCAGCTTCCGTGGCGTCTAACGAGGAACTCTCTATCGATCAGCTAAAGAAGAAGATTCGGGAGAAGCAGGTCCTCTTGGATGCTATGGACTTCAAGGACGAGGCCGCGGCGGAGGAGGACGACATTCTCGACAGGCGCGACAGGCGCGAGGCCGAAGAGCTGTATCGCCGCATTCGGCGGATTCAGGATGACATTGACGCTCATCCCGACGCGGCACTGGCGAGCGGTGACTCGGAAGCCGAGCGTCGAGCTCTAAAACGCCAGCTGCAAAACCTGACCGACAAAATTCCCGAGCTGGCATCCCAGGTCCGGAAGACTGAAAAGGCTATTTCGGACGCGAAACTGGAACTCTTCCGTCTCCGGGACGCGAAAGCCCACCCCGGAAGCGCTTCTAACATAATCGGCACCGGGCCAGGTGGCTCAATTACAGAATCGGACCGCCTCAAGGCTAGAGCCAAGGCTATGATGCAGCAGAGAACTGCTGCCTTGACTGGCAAGAAGATCGACGCCGGTGGCGATGACGGGGATGCGCAGAAGCGACTGGAAGAAGAGAGTCTCAAGATCCGGACCGAGAAAGAGAACAATGAGCGCATGGTCCGCGACGTCGAGGAAAGCGTCCGAGAATTCTCCCGAGGCATCGAAGACAACCTTAAGGAAGGCGGCCAGAGTTCGGCGGACGAACACGAGAGGAGACGCTGGGAAGACGCCCTCGGCGTTGAGGATGAGGTTCGAGATTTCATCTTCGACCTTCAGCGTTCGAGCCGGGCAGCCAGAGTCAGAGCCCAGGACCGCAAGGGAGGGCGAACTAGCACAGCGGAACCTGTTAAGGCGGAGGCGCCGCCAATCCGATACGAAAGTCCTGCGTCGGCATCTCGCACTGCTACTCCCTCAACCTCTCAGTCCCCCGCACCTAGCGGCGGGTCGTACTCGGCGTATAAGACGCCAGAGGAGAGAGCCGCTTTCATTAAGCAGCAGGCAGAGCAACGCATGGCTGAGCGCCTAGCGGCTCTCGGTATCAAGGCCCCGTCCAAGCCGGGAGAGACCCCGGCCCAGCGGATAGAGCGCGAAAGGGCAGAACGGGCGGCCAAGCTTCGACAAGCGGAGGAGGAGGACGCGCGACGGGAAGCGGAGCGGCAGGCCAGAATCGCTGAGGAACAGGGCGTGCCCCCTCCTGCTCCCAAGGTAGACGCCAAGAAACCTCCCCCGCCTCCTACGCGGAAAGGTGGAAAGCATGACGATGTCGCAAAGAAGGCCGAAGAAGAGGAAGCATCCAGGAAGGCTGAGGAGGAACGTTTGTCAAGGGAGCACGAAGAACAACGACGAGCTACCCAGCAGATGGAGTAAGCGCTTATACCCCTATACCCCTTCATACCCCTATCTACATTACTCCCCCCCCCCTCCCACCCCGCCCCGACTGTGCGTTCTAACACCAATTAGGGATGCGGCTAGGAAGCAGGAAGATGCGCTTGCAAAAGAGCGTGACGCGGCTTCGGCCCGCCTGAAGGCTTTGGAAGAGCAAGTTCGACAAGGCAAATTGAAGAAGGAGGAGGAGAAGAAGAAAAAGAAGGCAGCACTGGCCGAAGCAAAAGAGAAGGAGGCTAAGCTTGCTGCCCAACGCGCCGAGATCGAGTCTGCGCGCCAACGAGAGCTAGAGCTTCAGCGACAGCTCGCAGCAATGGAAGAGGATTCGTCGTCAGAAGACGAGGAGGGCCCGCAGCAAATCACTCCCCAAGCATCCACCCCGACACTCGGTAGCAGCCAATTGGGCAGTCAGGAACTGGAACGCAAGGCCACGCCACCTCCCGCACCCGCTCCTGCGCCGCCAGCGGCGTCCACTCCTTCAGCCGTTGCCAGCCCGCCGTCCGAAACGGAAAGCCGTAATCCCTACCGGCGGATGCTGTCCCAATCTTCGGATTCTCCGGTAGCGCCTTCGACCTCGGCTCCCGCTGCTACGACCCCTGCTCCTCCACCCACCGCGCCTGCGGCGGACGTCTCTACCAACAACCCGTTCTATCGGATGACCCAAGACGCTAAGCCGGCCGTTTCGGTAGTGCCGCCTTCTCGGAGACGACCCGACACCGATGACGAGTGGGGCTCTGGCAACGAGGAAGATGACGACGACTCGGACGACGACCGCCCCGCCGCAGGTGCCGCACAGCTCGCCTCGCTGCTCTTCGGCTCTATGGGCCCTCCTCGACCACTATCAGCCACGGGCGACAAGTCTGCCCAGGCTTCCCCGGCTCTAGCCTCGGCACCCTTCAGCCCGCCCCCGCCCATAGCATCGCCTCACGAAGATGGCGCACCAGCCGCGCCCCCGCCCCCGCCGCCAATGCCGAACACCGGCTCGCCAGCTCCGCCGCCTCCGCCACCGCCAATGCCTGATTTCGGGGCAGGTGCCCCCACCTCTATGCCACCGCCCCCGCCGCCGATTCCCGGTGGGGTTCCACCTCCTCCACCACCCCCACCGCCCGCGGGTGACCCGCCGTCAAGCGGCGGCGGGGGCAGACCGTCCGGCTTCCTAAGCGAAATCCACATGGGCAAGGCGCTAAGGAAGACGCAGACGAAGGACAGGAGTGGCGCGGGCGTGGCTGGTCGGGTTTTGGGCTAGGGTGACAAAGCTAGACGGGCCTTCTCGTCTGCCGGAAGGGGGCGAAGTGCGACCGAACCGTAATGTTTAGGACGGTGGGAGGGAGAGTGGGGAGCATGGGAAAGATTTGTTGTTCGAAGCACGAAGAGGGAGATAGAGAAAGATACGTACGTCATATATGCTGTTGCTGCCGCTGTTGCTGCCGCTGCTGCTACCGCTGCTGCTAGGCTGCCAGACACAGTGGCCGGGTTGGGACGAAATGCGCTTCGGATCGAGGTAGATTGTACGTATGAGGGCGCGGTGCGAGGTGTAATGTAGGGTGTAGTCCAGTAATACTGCTGCTACTGATTCCATGGTGCGTATGTGTGTGTGTGTGTGTGTGTGTGTGTGTGTGTGTGCCCGTTGTAAACGAGGAGATGAGAAGAGAAAAGACAGAATACGAGCGTAACAATTTTGCATTGTCCACTTTGCGCGAGGCCCATTCGACTCGACAGTACCAGAGGCGGTGCTACAGCGCTGTTATTTGCTACTGGGGGTGGATAGACGGAGGCTTGTAGGTAGAAACGGGGTGGAAGTAGCGCGCTATGGTGGGCCAGTTTATAAGGCAAACAGGGCGGGACGATGGGAGATAACTCTGAGTGTGATGATGTCGTCCATCTCCATTCCGACCCTAGGATAGGGCATCACGTACGAGCAATCCAGCGACGTCCCCCTAAGTATATATATAGGTACAAGAGGGAGAGGAGGGGGGAAAGGGGTTGGGGGGTGAGCGGGAGGCATCCAAAAAAAAAAGGGTTGGTCTTGGGGCAAAGGCCGGAATCGAACCCTTCGCCCTTAAGAGCAAAGGCATACAGGACGGCAAAAGTAATGGCTGCGGGCTGACCACGCCATCACCGCCGAACGTCCGCCTTCCAGCACCCTCCGAGGGAGGGAGCTGAAAGGCAGGCGTAGCGGGTCACGCGTACCCGACGACCAGGGGTTTCCAGCGGAAGCGTACCAACATACCAACTGTTTTTGCAGTTGGTACGCTGCAGCTAACCGGTCTCACCCATTACTTGCTAAACTCGTTGTCTATTTGGCCATATAACCCCTTCGCCCTGGCCCCCGGCTGTTTGTCGGCCGACGGGGTTGCCGCGACGACCAGAGAGGCGAGGTACGTATCGTACGGTGAGGTATAGCCGAGGCGTGGTTGGATGGCTGCTGGGCCTCTGTATATTCACTGATGGTGAGTTGTTTGTCTGTCTCAGCGGAAAAGTGGAGGGTGGTGTGGCTGCGTGGTGGACTAGGCGCGGAGTATATGGGATGCTGGGGCAGTATGCTTGTCTAGGGGCGCGACGACGGCGATGTGGTGATCCTTGCCGCCCTCAAGGAAAGACCTTGGCTTCCTTGAGTTGGGTATACAGGAATCGACCTTCATAGATTATTCATCGATCTGCCCTGTCGATATCATGCCAGTACACCCCTATTGCAGACACGGGGTATTCAAGCCGAAGAGATATTCTCTACATATGCCTATCTTACTGACTACGGCCGTGCTACCAGGTACTGTCTGCCTTTGCTTCCGGAGACGACAGCCGTCCCTCTGAGATAGTTAGGAATACGTCTACAAGACACGATATGAGGCCTACTATATTAGAACTACACACATCGACGACGGCTGCCACTCCAAGAACGACAGCTCGCCGGACCCCTATTCGCATCACCACGGGACAATAATTCTAATACCTAGCTCACCAATACCTGCATAACATCTACTCTTGCGTTCCCGGGATACATACATGATCCGGTGCATATATCTCAGCACCCACGCCCAGCCTACCAGAGGACGAAGCCACCGTGAGCCAGCATAGATGTCAAGATGTTCGAATAGGAGACGGCTACACGATATGTACGGCATACCAACATATACATAGCCTTAGCTAGCTATCCCAGTCACGTTCAGATTTCACAGAGGGTATATCCATTCCCGCTCCTACCAAGCCTCCCCCGATAGCCACACCGAGAGTCCAAGCAGGCCCCCCCAGACAAGCATATGCCAACGACAACTCCCGCCTCTGCCTCCGAGCTCGTCTAGTAACGAGCCCTAGAAATACCTAGCAAGTCAGGCGACCGCGCCCCGACTCCTCCGCAGCCATCGCGACCGACTCACATCCGCCCGCGCCCCTACAGCGACTCCGTCTTCCCGTCGGCGTCAGCGAGGCCGCTCTCCTCCTCGGGCTTCGAGGCGGACGCGGCGCGGTGCACTACGGCGAGGCCGGCCTCGCGGTCGCCGTCGTGGCGATGGCGATGGCGGGGCTCGCCGGGGCGCGCGGCCGCCTGGAGCAGCCCGGGCTGCTCCTCCTTGAGCCGCGCGAAGGTGCGCTCGGCGTCCCACACCCACGGCGTCGGCGCCGCGAACAGCAGGTCCATCTCCTCCAGCGTCCGCTGGTTGCTCTCCGGGTACAGCGCCCAGACCACCGGGATCGCCAGGATGTTGCACGCGCCGAAGATGTGCAGCGTCGTCGCCCCGATGTCTGGGGTGGGGGGGGGGGGGGGGCCACGGTTAGAAATGGGTGGGATAGGGATTTTATACGAGATAGATGAAGAGAGAGGAGCATGGACGACTTACTCGAGAACATAATGGGACACAGCAGCGTGAGCCAGCCATTACCAATACTCCAGCCGAAGACGCCCCAGGCGTTGCCCTTGGCGCGGACCTGCAGCGGGAAGATCTCGGCCGGGTAGAGCCAGGGCACGGTGAGCCAGGTGGCGCCGAAGACGGAGGTGAAGACGAAGACGAAGGAGGCGGCGGCGGCGCCGAACGCGTTTGCGCGTGCCGCGTCGCCGCGCGCGCCCGCGTCCTGCCCGAGCTTCGCGAAGGCGCCGGCCAGGAACATGGCGGCGCCCTGGGCGGCGGCGCCCCAGTACAGCGTCCAGCGGCGGCCGATGCGGTCGAGAGTGAAGACGCAGACGAGCGTGGCGAACATGTAGAAGACGTTGTTGAGCCCGCTGATCCACTGGCTCTTGGTCGCGTCGAAGCCGGCGAGGCGGAAGATGGTCGGCGCGTAGACGGTCACGCCCGCGATCCCGACCCACTCCTGGATGATCTGCAGCCAGATGACGAGCTGGACGCGGCGCCCCGTGTGCAGCTCGCCCGAGCCGACGCCGAAGAGCATGTGCAGGTACGAGTTCGCGCGGGACTCCTTGGCCTCGAGCGCGACGACGCCGGCGATGTCGTGCAGCTCGGCGTCGGCGCCGCGGCGGCCGTCGCCGGCGGACCCGCGCAGCCGGCGCAGGACGAAGCGGGCCTCCTCGACGCGGCCCGCCTTGACGAGCCAGCGCGGGCTCTCGGGGAAAAACCAGACCGACGCGAGGAGCGCGAGGAGCGGGACGATCTGGAAGGCGACCGGGAGCCGCCACCGCAAGGCCGAGGCGCCGCCGTCGACGAACGCCAGCCCGAACTCGAGCCAGTACGCGACGACGACGCCGAAGATGTTCAGCGTGAACTCGATCGCGATGAACTGCCCTCGCGAGGTGTGCTCTGCCGTCTCCGTCGCCCTGCGCGAGAGGATTCGACGTTAGATCGTAGCGGTCGCTGCGTGCGATCCGCCTTGCTTCAGGACAAAGAAAAGGGGGGTAGCGCACCAGACGGGGACGATGGCGTTTAGTATGCCGGTCCCGATGCCGTTGACACCGCGCGCTATGCAACACAGTCAGCCCTACGAACCCTTTCCTGTGATACCGGCTTGAAGCTCACCGCAGATCATCCAGTTGTGGTTCATGGCCGAGCACTGCAAGCACGCTCCGACGATAGCCCAGGCCGCCCCTACGGCGATGGTCTTGATCCTGCCGACCTTGTCGCCGACCCAGCCGCCGCCCAGACATCCGAACAGGGTGCCCAGATAGTAGACGGACACGATGCCGCCTTGCAGCAGGCTGTCGGTGACGACGGGCTCCCCGGTCTCCGGGTCCACGTAGCCGAAGCCCATGCGGTCGATGTAGTCTTTGGCGTTGTTGACGCCGCCCATCATGCCTTGGTCGTAGCCGAAGAAGAAGATAGACTTGGGCACGGAACGTTAGGGATCGTAGAAGGGAATCCAGGGATCAGGGCACGCAGCCTGGGTGCCATCGTCTCTGAAGCTTACCAGCGCTGCGACGCAATTGATCGCGATGAGAAGCTGGCGCTTCTCAAGGAAGTTGGCCACGTTGAAGCCGGGTAGTCTCTCCATCTCGGCGCTATCTCGCAGCGACAAGACGGATCCGTTCACGAGTCCTTGCCCCTATATGGTCTTCGCTTTCGTGGGAAGATAGGGTGGCTCGATAAAAGGGCTTTGGGGGGGGGGGGGAAGATGTCTATATCTTCCGACAACCTCGAGAGAAAGGAAGGGGAGGGGGGAAGGGGCAAGAAAGTGGACGATGAGGAAATCACGAGACGGAAACGACCTTCATATTATAACCCTCGCCTGCAGCAAAGGGCGTCGTCTAGACCACCTGAAGTAGCTAGAGTCGACCCAGATCTATAGAGCCGTCATATCGCCAGGTCGCGAGTCGGTCTTTCGCCGTGCTTCGTACCCGACATCAGACCGAGGGTCGCCGCGGTAGAAGACGTCGCTGGGGACAAGGCCAGCCCTAGGCGCGTGACCGAGACCGGGATCCAACCGGAGCTTGTCAGGCGAAACTAGCAACGCAGAGAGCGAGGCGGGAAGAGAGGGAGCGAGGTTCTTCTTCGAAAATCTGACCCCGCTGTTCCCCGAATATGCAGGCCAGGTAGGATTCGACGGACGGGCGAAACAGGATGCGTCGTTCGAGTCCCACAGTCGTCGTACGGGGTATCGGACTCGAAGAGGGACCGCAAAACGAGGCGGGGGGGGGGGGGGGGGAGACGATCATCTCCTCATCTTCTCGCCTGCTCCTCTTCCCCCGCGGGGCCTCCGCGCGAGACTCCAAATTTCCCGAAAAATCCCACCCCGTCTGTCTCTCCTCGTTCGCTGACCCGCGCCCTTTCTCAGTGATGGGTGTGATAATATCAACACCACGCGAGAGCCGGATCGATAGGGAGCCACGGAGGGCAAAAGGGCGAACCCGCGGCCAAGCAGGGATCGCCGGTCTTCGATGCGGCAATGGGAACCGCTCCCGCTCTCCGAAGCAACGGCCGGCCAAGCCAAATTACCTAGACAACGCCCATTGCTGCGGTCACCACCCCTGACCATTCGATCCACCGGCACCTAGTCCTTACGCCCTGCTGCCGCCTAGGCAAACGCTTGTCAAGCGCTGCTCCTAGCGATGGGCCGGAGCGGAACAGAAAGCGACCTTTCCCTCTTTCTCCCTGGGACGCAGGAGCTGTGGGGTGTTGCACGTGGAGAAGTGGGCAGGGCTAGGGACAGGGCCGGCCTATCGTCTGGTATACGCGCCCCAATCAGCTTACGGGCGAGGGGCGACGACGTATAAGTACGACTAGAATGGGTGCTACACAATACCAGGAACACGCCGATCAGTAGGTAAGAAATTAGTTCGTGAAATACCACCAGGACACGTTCCCTATAGGTATACGTTCCACAGCTGGTCCGATTTAGAGAAAAGCCCACGAAATAATATCGAGGAAGTCAGCTGGAAGGCGGAATAGGCCCCTGAAGGTGGAAGAAAAGAGAGGTGAGTAGGTATTGAAAAGGGGTTTGCTGTATAGAGCCTTGAGATATATATAGGCATACCCATGTCGCGTAAAACATGGACGCCTATACATACACCTTGCGTATGCAGGCTTGTAAGGGCAGATTCTCTACTTCATAATATACAAACATACTGTCACATACCAAAATTGAACCAGCTCTTATTCTATCCGGAGGATAGTTATAATGTCGAAAAGGTGATAGATACCTACTCTATTATAATGACTACCTTGTAATGCTTATATTAGATTATGATAAAATCCGTACCATGAGTTTTACTATAAGTATCTTATACTTATAGAAAGCGTTCGTCAGTATTACATCATATGGAGGTTATGTCCATACAGTGTCAGCATTGCAGACACACGGTCGATAGACCCCCCCTCCCGCTATGGTATTTACCTACTGACGCGTCGATTTCCTACCTACTTTAATCCTATTCATATACAAAATCAATCGAGGTCAGTTTCTCCCCGTTCAATCAAGAGTCGATTGCTAATCAATCTCTTTTCGTAGTTCAATCAAGCGTCGATTCCTACTTACCCCTTTTTCTCTAGCCTTCAGAGAGGTCCTAGGTTTTCGGTACGAAAACGTGGAGAAGCGCGGAGTGCATCGACGTATTTTATGCCTATTACTGAAGAGCATGGGCCGCGGAACGATGTGCCCTGCTATCGGTGCGTAAGTAGCGCGGCATCGCACCGCTCTACAGGTAAATGCTTCCAGTCTCTAACGTCCGCCACCCCTCAAAGCTACGTGGTTAGCGCTATAAGCTAATAATAGGTTCCAGGCACCCGATGGTCGTGCGGCCCGCCCAGCGTCTCGTCGCCGCCCAGATTACTGATCCCAATTCCGATACGGTAAGTGTTCGAGCTTTCTATAGCTTTGATTACTCTTCTAACTATATTCCTCTAGACGGCCGAGCTACGGGAGGAGATGAAGGAAAGGAGCTCCTCCGGAACCACCACCCGGACCAACAGCGCCAGCCCGTCCTACCTCCAACGGCAGAATCCATTCGGGGCCAGGCTACAGCCGATGCGTTGGCCAGAGGAGAAGGTAGCTCTCCCGCCTCTCTGGGGTCACTATCACTGTTCTGGTTGCTCCCCCTGGCTCGCGCCAGGGTTCTGCTGGTTCTGTTCCTGCCAAGCCGACACGACCTGGCCTAAGCTCAAGCCCGAGAGACCCGGGTTCGTTACAGCAGGGACTGAGCTCGGGGCCGCAGTGCTCGGAACTGCAGAGCTCGTGGCGGCTCCTCTGCCCACACCGACTTGAGTGCTCTGGCGAAGACGAGCGATAGCTACCCTAACCCCGGCGCGTTGATAGCCCCAGATACGGAGCCGCACAGCTACATCTGGGAAAAACGTACCCAGAGCTAGACCAGAGCTAGCAGTAAGGCGCCGCGCCACCGAAAGGGGTTGCACCACCAGGGTTCAATTCCGCCTGTGAGCAGTTGTTACCCATCGCCGTGTCCAATAACTGGGGGGTTATGTCACGTAGCAATCGAACCAGCCCTTATATGCCTACATACCGCAAAAGCGTATCGTAGGGGTCTACGTTTTACGCGACACATACCTACGGTTATTATTTCTTCATAGATCAAGTCGAGGCGGGACAATGGAAATATAATAGATCTTAACCGAGGCGCAAGATGGATAGGCCGATGAAAGAATAAACGGCATAAACAACCCCTATAATACTCATGTAGCGTGTTAAGCGCCAATCGGATCTCTACATCAACCCCAAATGCACCGCGCCGTTACCGGTATAACGACAGAAGGATCCTCAACTGAATCAACTCCTTAACTTCTCATCCACCAGCGTATTCCTCTTGTGCTGAGGTCAGAAGGTGGCTTAGTAGCGGCGGCATCACGGCGGCGTGCGCCCCGTTTATCGCACGCACTCGACACACTCGACACACTCGACACACTCGACACTCGGCATCTCCGCGCCGTGTTCGCGGGTGGTGTTCCCGCCTCTCAGGCTGCTCTGCCCGCCCAAGGTCGGACTACTAGCAGGTATCAAGAGCGCCGGGACGAGAACGAGGACCCGTGTGCTCTTCGCTGGGGGATTAATATGGATGCTATTACCGCGTAGAAGGTTGCAAGCTTCGGGCTGGCCAGAGGGTTTTCGAACGGAAGCTCGCAGATGTGCAGGGGGAGCCGGTATTAGATCCCCGTATCGAGGTAAGGTTGTGATAAACCCGATTTTGGGTTTCTCTTCCGCTCGAGGCCTGAGTCTGGGAAAGGCGTATCTTGGGTGATCAGAGCATAAAACAGGGACAATTACGAAATCATGGCTCCTGGCTATTTAGGATAAAAACGGCATCACACGTTGAGAAAAAAAGCAAGTCTTGACTGCTGCGTTGTGGTGTTAGTAGTTCTTGTATATTGCTGCCTCGTGAGAGGCCAGTCAAGCATCTACCTACCTACCTACCTCTTCCGCCGATAATTATCCTTCTTCCGGCCGTCTTCGTTCCCCATAGACGTCTGGATTCATGCACGTCTTCATAGCACAAGAATATGCACCAATTCTAGTCTGGCAAACAAGAGGGGTATCAGCTCTTGCGACTGTGAAGCTCCGGAGGCCGTCCTGGCTCACCGAGTGGACTACCCAGTGGTCGTATACTATCCGGGGCGGAATCCCGCATCGCCTCCCTTACCGTCTCGTCTTGGCTAGTCGCCGCTGCGCGAGAGTAGCCTAGACATACATACGTACATGTGTGTGTGTGTGTGTGTGTGTGTGTGTGTGAAATGAGAGGTAGCGAAGTAAGGAAGTAAGGTATTAGGAGGAGGGTCAGGAGACTTCGTAACGAAACACGACGACGAGGGAAACTTTGATCTACAGTTACTTTTGCCAACCTTCGCTACTCATACATCCTGGACATCTCCATTTACGTTTTGGGCTTCGGGGCTGTACCTATATATTATCAGAGACGCGCGGGGCGTTGAGGGTTTGCCGAGTATCCGAACGGCGTGGCACACCGGAAACGAGCAGGGTGCTGGGCATGCTCGGGGAGAGGGTCATACTCGGCGCACCGGGCATCAGTGGGGTGTCCGGAATCATGGGCCTGCTGGGGATACCTGACAAGCCCACATTGACTTTGTTGGGAGCGATCTGACTTCCCGACCGCACCGTGAACGGCGTCGTGTATACCTACCTCGAGGGCTATCTGGTTCTCGACGTCTGGGGTCCGGCTACCCGTGATCTTCACCTCGTCATGGACTGCTTCTTCGAGACGACTGTGTTGGGCCTGCCAATCGGGCTCGGTGGCCTCGCCCGTCTCGGCGACGACCTGACGCGTCTTCCCCCAACCGAAGTTGTCCATGTAGAAGCAGGAGTAGATGGTGACGCAGACGTTGATAAAGGGGCCGCAGATCACGAAGAAAGCCAAGCCTATGAGAAACTGGGCGCGCTCGAGCCAGCTGCGACACATCCATACCACCATGGTTAGGTAATAACACAGGGGAATGATCATGAGCGAGGCGAAGATCACGATGATCCGGAGGGGCTGGTCCATACAGAGTTATGTTAGCCTGCGTGCGAGTATCGGGAGGGGGAGCGACGTGAGGAGAGCAAGGGCAGGGGGAGAAGACGTACGCATAAAGGCGAATATCATGCAGGCCAAACTCGCGATGACGAACAGGTTCAAGCACCATGTCAGGACATTGCAGAGTGCCACGATTCGCTCCCAGAGGTTGAACCGGAGCGGGGATTTGAAAAACAGCATGAGATCGTTACCCGTCGCGCCCAGGGTCCAGCGACGACGCTGGCTGAGGAAAACCGAGAGAGAGTGGGGGACGTTGGTGTAAGCGTACGCCTTCAGCGCCTGCCGCGTGCGGGCATGGGGGAACTTCATCAGCATCAAGCAGACGTGGTTACGGTCCTCAGACGCCGTGGCGCGAATACGTTTGATGATGCCGTCTGTCGGCTTGGGGTGATATCCAAACTCCTGGACGAGTATGTAGTCTCCGCACGTTTCGTCGCAGACGCGGAGCAATTGGCAGCATCCCGGTAGGCACGAGACCTTCTTGGTGACGACGCTTTGGTGGAGGCGTCGCAGACCTTGCGCGATCGTGTATTCGGCCGACTGGTAAAGCAACCAGATATTCCACTTGTGGGTTGAGAAATCCATCGTAACGTAGCCGCTGACGCCGACGGTGCCCGGGTGATGGGATTCCTCGATCAGGTGACTGATGCAATCGTTCGCGAACACGGTATCGGCGTCCATGTCGATCAAGAGCTCGACGTGGTTCATCCTGGCATCCTGGACAAGGAAGTCCGTCATCGACTTGAGGAACTCGGGACTGAAGATAACCTTGGGCCGGCTCCGGCGCAGATTGAAGTTATGGACAAACGAGCGTGCGACGATCAAGCTGTCTCTCTTGCCCTGGTTTTGCTCCTTAACAATGCACAAGTAGGGCACTTTCTTATACAACCCCCGAGCGATTTCGACGTCCATCAACTGGCCGTCCCAGGCGACGTACGCCGCGCGGATCTTTCTTCGCTCCACGCTATTCACAAATATGTCTTCGTTGAGGTAGTCGGCCGTGTTTTTTTCCATGCCCGGGCCCCGGACCCTGCCGTCGCAGACAACCAGGATTGCCTGCTGGTGATGGCCGATACCGACTTGGTTGACGAGCGAATCGAGCGACCTGGAACACTCCTCGAGTGTTTCGTTGTAGCATGGCATCAGCAGTACCATCTCCTCTGGCGTTCCGGGCACATCCTTCTTCGGCTTGATAATTTGGTTCTTCGTCTGGAATATGACAATGTTGATGACCATGATGCAATTGAGGGCTAGGGGGAAAGAAATGAAGGGAAGGTAAATGTAATAGTACTTGGGCCACCACCAAGTTGCGAAGATCATCATGAAGCTAGGTCGAGTTAGCGGTGTATACAGGGTAATATGTATAATTCTTCCATCAGCTACTACTTACTTGACGGAGAGCAGCCCACCCATTACTATATACTTTTGTACGGAAACTTTCCTTTTCCCTTTCTTAAGGAGAGCCTGGTCTATAGCGTCGTTCGCTAAAGCCGAGGTTATTACATTGGCCGTATTCCCTATTAAAACCACAGGTGACGCTAGCGAGCGCACCATAAACGGCGTTAGCATAGAGGACAGCGGATCGGGTGTTGATATCTTAGGAGGGCCGACCCGGGCCAGGTTCCGCTAGGGTAGCACCCCCACGGCATCGGTAATAATGGCCTTCCCCAGAGTAAAATTAGCCACTTTAGGAGAGCTGACGGGTTCGGTCCTTATATCTTGTAGTGGAGTAGAAGTACTACTAGACGCGCCTGGTTTATTCGGATAAGGGCTTTCTACCTCCGAATAGGTGAGATGGCCATCGAGTAAAGTCTCCTTAGACTACTCGCCACGATTAGCTACACCTATGGCATCGGTTCGTCGGACATGTAGACCTTTATGAGGTGGGTGGAATTATTGGGGAGGGACGTAGCCCCCTTCGAGGGAGTTTTAAAGCTATCGTATTTCGAAGAATAAGCCATGGTCGGGCGGCGACAGCGTGTCGAGAAGGGAGAAAACCGAACGATGTCGGCGAGTTCTAGATCTAGCAACGAGAAGGGGGTGGAACGTGGTGTTGACAACACGGGTATCCAAGCGCGGAAAGGCTGCCGGGTGACTTGATGCCCGCTGGTCTGGATCTAAGACTCCGGATTGAAAAGAGGAGAGATCTAGGAATAAAGACACCCTGTTGACAAGTAGCCACATATACCCTTTAGTAGAACCCCGCGGGCTTGCTGTGGTGGTTGTGGTGGCAATAGCTAAGGGGCTAGGACAGAAAACCCAGGTCGAGGAGATAGAACTACGGTTACCAGGGCCTAGCTGGGGGGTAAATTAGATCCTGATAAAGTTACCTAGGGAAATTATGGCTTCTGTCTTGTTCTAGTAGACGAGGGGGACCTCATGCTAGGCGCCTTTTTTTGTCATTGGGAGGGTAAGCTATGTAAACTATGGGGCCCCCCGGAAACCACAGTGAGTCGAACGAACCTATAGCGAACCCTACTGATGGTATATCCAAATAAGCTGTTAATCTTGGGCCTCTCTTTGGTACTATCTTATATTTGCGTTCTAGCCAAGGGGACGGGGCTTTCGTCGAGATCTAGTCGACAACTCGACCTCACTTGGCTCATTTAGCTTGCTTGCTAAATAAAGGATACTTCTAATAATACCAGAAGCATAATCTTGGACCAGTACACACAGACATCATGCAGTGCCTGAGAAACCAGTAATAAGTAATAACGCCTATGTGAGCCTGGAAACCCCTGTTCAAGAGCTCAGTGGAATCGCAGAGGAGCCATCTATGCAATGTAGGAAGATGAACAATGCAAGTGCTGTGCTAACTAGATATGTAGTCATGCTGGCCACACAAGTAAAGGCTCCTTACACTATATAAATAAGGCAAGTCAAGGTTTGAGGGAGCCCGCAGACGACAGACCCAGCTCTGGGTAGCTTATGAGGACATCCTACTCACTTAGCAAATTGTTGCCAACCCAAGACAACATCGAAATATCCGAACGGAATCGTTCAAGGGACCGCCCAGGATATAGGCTTCTTGGAACGACTCCCTGCGAACCTGGTGGGTAGGGGGTAGATTTTCCCCGACACAAGAAGTAAATGGTGAAAGAAGCGAACCGTGCATAACGTTAACGAGGTTTAATGTGTGATTTGTATTGCGTAGAAAGTTACTTCAGTTGTCCATGCAAATGAGTAACCATTGAGTAGCGAGGACCGGTTTTGCTTCCTCTTTGAGTCAGAGCTTATGTATCCCTTCGATTCTCTCATGCGTCTTCGACACTATATATTCAGCCCATTAACCAGTTGGGTTCTTCATCATCCTTCACATCCTGTCAAGCACACGCTCCTTACCTCGAACTTGACGTTTTCGTTCCCCAAGACTTTTCTCCTCTAGACTTGTCGTTTATATTATTTTTCTCTTTATAGAGCAAGATGCTGCCGTTTCCCTTCGACCATATTATGCAGAAAGCCAAAACCTGGACGTCGATTCCGCTCAGCCTAGCCATAGATACACCGAACCAAACCAGCAAACCAACTCAGAAGACTTCGCCACCCAACACCCCACCCAGCAGGGCCGCTTTGCCCATCCAGTTAGACCGGACGGGATATTCAACACTAACTGACTCTAGTTACGTTGGAGAGGATGATGAGCCCCTCGTGGCCGTCATAGGATGCGGATATGTCGGCGCTCATCTCATTCAAAGATTTTCCAGCCAGTACGACGTTTTAGGGTTTGATGTCTCTGAGGAGCAGATCGGGAAGTTACGAAGAGAATACGAAAGCAAAGGAAGCTAGGCAACCTTTACTCTCGATCCCCGAGAGCTCGCTCGGGTAATACACTTTCTAATCTCGGTGCCGATACTCCTTAACGCCGATAAAACAATCGACACTTCCTATATCCAAAGCGCCTTAATTCATATCAAGAAATACGCCCGGGCGGGCTCAACCGTAGTAATCGAGAGCTCCGTCGCTATAGGAATGACAAGACAGCTTCTCGGCCCCCTAGCCAGGGAAAGGGGCTTTTTCGCGGGCATGTCTCCAGAGGCACGTTAGCGGGTATAATACAACACCGACCTAGGAATTTCCGCTAACTATTCGATAGAGAGTCGACCCCGGACGAACAGACCTACCGATATAAGAAATCCCCAAGATCCTGTCTGGGCTGGACGGTGTTATCCCGGGATCGCTTGACGCCATCGCCAAGCTCTACTCGCGGGTATTCGACACAATCGTTCCCGTATCCACTCCGGAGACAGCTAAGATGACCAAATTGTATGAGAACTGTCAGAGGATGATTTACATCGCATACGCCAACGAAATGGCGGATGCGTACGTCGGCCACGGCATCGACCCATACGAGGTGTACGAAGCAGCTTCCACAAAGCCATTCGGCTATACGCCGTATACGCCTAGCCTTGGAGTCGGCGGATACTGCATTCCAGTCAACCCGTACTATCTCATGACTAACAGCTCGTTTCCCTTGCTGAAACACGCGGCGGGGGCGGTGCGGCAGGGGCCGGAGAGGATCGGACACAGAATCATCGACACCATCTTCCAGAAGACATCGGAGGCGGCGAATGGCCAAGACCAGCCTGCCCTGTCTCCCCTCGGCGGCGAGCTTTTACACATTAATAGGCCCATAGCAGATCACGTCGAGTCTGTCCAGGAACCGGGGCTGACATCATTGCCGGACATCGCTTTACCCGGGCACGATTCGGGACCGGACAGCAGCGAACGCCCCTGGGTATTGGTGGTCGGCGTCGGCTTCAAGGCTGGCCAGTCCTGCGTGAGCAATTCGCCCGGCCTGATGCTCATCCAGACACTTGCGGATTCGGGTCGAGTGGACGCCATGTTTGCCGACCCGCTGGTAGAGCAATCAGCTATCCCACACATCCACCGTCTAGGCGACAACGATTGGAACAAGGAAGTGCTCGAAGGCTTCGATAAGATCATCGTCGTGTTCCGACAAACGGGGCTCGACTTCGAGGTGCTCAAGCAGATAGATAGCGCCAAGGTCGACATGTGGTGTCCCTGGGCGCTTTAAAGTCAGCTGGCTCCAGAATCACGACGTCGCCAGCGGCTAGGAGCCAGTCTTCTTCTTCTTTTTTTTTTCCTTCTACCGGTGTAATTTGCTTACGGCATCGAGGCTCGAGAAGGACGGAAGCGTGGTGAGGCCGAGACGAGATGAAGTTGGCAGTCAACTTTAGCTAATCACGGAATAGGTTAAGATCGACGCGCGGCGGGCGGACACTACAATCTAGGTACCTTAGTGGAGGTACTATACCTAATATTTGAATAGCTAACAGGGAGGAGTGGGTTTCATGTTGTTTAATTGCATGGAATTTCTTTATCGGATATTTACCTAGGTATTGCTCATAGGTACCTAAGGTATAGGTAGGTAGGTACACCTAGCTTCCACCTCCCAACATCAAGTGGTAATAATCAACCATCTCTCTACATACTCGCTGCCCGAGCAACGCCTGGCTATTAAGAGGTACCTATGTCTATACCGAGACGTCGACTGCGTCCACATTATTAAGTAGAGATACCTAGGTATGTAGTCTCCTTCGCACCACTTCTCGTATCTACCTCATCTACCTGCCCGCACGCTTCGGAGGATCTCCCGAACGCCTACCTGGAATCCCCGCCGAATTGCCAAAACGTCAAGGTCAACAAGTACCCAGACCCGCTCAACTTTGATCCAGAACGGGTTCGAAGGCGTTGCCCGAGAGCGCCGCGTAGCTGACGTGGCCACGGGCTAGCCAGAGGGGGATTGCCGCATTTGCTGCGTTTAAAGTCGCGGGCTCGGTCGTTCTAATCGGCTGGCATGCGGGGAGACATCCTTGAGGAAACGCCACCAGTTCCGTCGCTCGGGGTATCCTGACTTCCGGAGGTCGGGCCAGATGCGAACTCGTGCTCGAAGACAAGGACAACGCCGCCTGCGATCGAGCTTAACCCAGATTCGGAGGCGATGCCACTGTCACGATACCGGTGCTTAACTCGCGTACTTCTCCGAGGGCCCCGTATAGTCCCCAATAGTCAAAAATAGTCGCAATTAAGTAACACGCATTGCCTCTTTTTTTTTCCGTCCTCGCTTAACGCCTCGCTTACCTGTTTGAATCACCCACCGCTTAATAGCATTTAGTTATATTAGAGGGAAGAGAAGCACAGAGGGCGTGCGAGTGATGAGCAGGAGGAAATCATGTCTTCAACCCCGCGTTTTGTCAACGCCGTCTACTATCCCGGCTGGAGCGTCTACAAGGGGTTTTCCCCTTCCTCGATGCAGATAGATTGCGTCGACCAAGTCTTCTACGCCTTCACTCGACTCAACCCCGACGGGTCTCTCCGCTTCCTGGACGAGTTTGGGGATAGCCAAAAGCCGGTAGACGGGGAGCAGGGCTGCCTTCGCGCGCTCGCCAAGCTGAAGCGGGCGACGCCAGGTCTGAAGACGCTGGTATCCATAGGCGGCGGCGGCGGAAGTGCCGAATTCCCCCTCGTGGCTGCCGACCCCGCATGTCTCCAAACATTTGCGAGGTCTTGCAGGATGTTCGTCGATGAGTTCGAGTTCGACGGCGTCGACGTCGACTGGGAGCACCCGACTACGCCCCGCGACGGCGCAAATTTTCTGGCCTTGATTGCTAGTCTTCGAGAAGCATTGCCTTCACCGCAGTACCTCATCACGACCGCTCTCCCCACAGGGGAGTATTGCCTTAGGAACATTGACCTGTACGTCTTGGGACAGCTCCTTGACACGTTGAATCTAATGGGCTACGACTTCACCGGCCCCTGGACAGCCGTCTCCGGCCACCACGCCCAGCTATTCCCTCAGCTAGGCCCGCAAGAGAACATCCCTCCGGCTCTGTGCAACTCGTGCCACCGCGGAGTCACCTACCTTACATCGCACAACTTCCCGCCGGGGAAAATACTCCTCGGGGTTCCTGCCTACGCCAGGTCGTTCGGTGGCGCCTGCGGCATTAACGAGCAGTTCCAGTCCGCCGAGGAAATGGAGTATAAGGAGATCCCGCGCGAGTGGACCCAGGCGGCATCCGTCCACCGCGACATCGGGGCGGCGAGTTACGTCGACTACTCGCCCGACGGCAAGGGCTTCGTTAGCTTCGACGTCCCGGACACGGTGCGGCAGAAGGCCGACTACGTCAAGCAGATGGGCCTGGCCGGGCTGTTCTACTGGACCAGCGCCGGCGACCTCCAAGGCGCCGAGAGCCTCGTCCGGGCCGGGTACGAGACGCTCAACGCGCAGGGGGGCTCCGTCGGAACCACCGGAGCGAGTACGGCAAATCGAACGTAAAACTCTCGGTGACTCAAAACCCTGTCCCCTTCACCAACTCGAACGACGCAGAGTGCGGCAGCCGGAATAGCGGGGGCAGAGTACACGGCTGTATCTCTTTCCTCTTTTATGCTTACCATCATGGCAGAACAATCCCCTGTTCCTCGCCCCCCCCCCTCCCAGCGTCGAGGAGCAGCGGTACTACTGCCATGGCTTGCCTCCCCGACCCAGAGTGGTGGCACGGAGTAACGCTACTCCCTGGGTCTCTCAACGAGGCAACTTCCCCGTACCCAAACGCGGAGAGAAGGTCCTCGCGCTAACATGCCGACATGTTGTTTTCACCGAGTCAGAGCTTAATGAAGTGTATCAGCATGCGTCACGTAGCAGTTGAACCAGCCCTTATATGCCTACATATTGCACAGCGTAAATGTGGGCGTCTACGCTTTACGACAGCATGGCAATTCGAAAGTTCCCCTGCACAGTCATCCAGTTACTCCGGACTCGGCAGATAGCGATGAGACGTTTGGCGGAGAGGCTCGACGGGTTAGATGACCCAACTACGAGGGTTTTTGGGCATGTCGCGTTCGCACCGCCATTCAGCCTCGGGCCCACCGAGGATGGTGCTGATAAGCGATTGAGAGGCTGGGCCTTGAATTGAACTGCACCAGCACAAACACGCTACGCCTTTGGCGTCCTTGTCGAGCGAGATCACGATCGGGCCAGACGCTTCAGGAGCCCTCAGAAACAGCGGCGTACGGTGACGTTCCTTGGATCGGCCTCTGACCTTTGAGGGCAACACCGTGGGCGTCATTCCCGGGAATGAGATGGAGAATTCCAACTCGAATCCATATGACGATGAAGAGGGTATCTTGGTTGTCAAGCACGGTCACTTCTCCGGCTTTACCACTGGGATCTCTAACCAAGTTAAGTCCGTCGTTCGATGGCCCTACCGCGATCTTACCTTTGAGTCGGAAGAGTGGTGCGTCTTAGGCAGCGGCTTGACTTTCTCGCAAACCGCTTTCTCGAGCCGAGGCGATTCTGAGTCTTGCATGTTCGATCTTCAAGGTCGTATTGGTGGTATGCTAGTTGGTGGGTCACAAAGCCAAGGTGGAGGGTGCTACGACGTTACGTATGTTACCCCGATGGAGTGGCTTTTGGAAGACATTAGGAGACATGGTTATGACGTGGAGTTGTTGTGAAGGTGTTTGTGTTGCTGGTGGCAGTAATATTACGACAACAAGGGGCAAAAGAGAAAAAAAAAAGGGGTTCTCATCACCGGGTCGGGGGGTTTCGCAGTTTACGTGTTAATAGCGATAAATAATTTGTCGCGAAACGAGAAAATATGAAGTATTAAAAACTTGGGTAAAAACGGAGCGAGAGAAGAGTTGCGTCGCGGGAAACCAGACTTCGTACTTAATAGGGATTGGACGCTGATGTTTCGTGAACACCGACCCGTGAAGGGGTATGTGTATAGCTCCACCAGCCTGCCCCGCCCCGTACATCGCAAGTTTAGGTATCATGCCGCGGTGCCTTCAATGCTGTACCCATCCTGCTGTGGTAAGACGGGGATCCGTGTGCGTCCTCACCAAGACCTCCATCAGGGAGGAGGTTAGATACCTACCGTTCGAACAACAACAGGAGGGAGGATACGGCTTAAAACCACAGGCTGCGAGCTGCCCTCACAGGGAGGAGGGAGGATACAGCTTGAGCCGCGCAGAAGAGCGCCACGAAAAAAATGTAAGATGCTAAATAGGGAGCTAAATGCTGTAAACATCCTAGCTTAGCACGCTCCTAGTATCCTACGGGAGGTTCCTAGATACCTACCTAGATAGGCGGTCCCCATGGCCGTTGATAACCACTAGGTATTACTACTACGTGGTAAAAGGCAGAGGAGGTAGCGTATATAGGGTGCCAAGAAACAGGGGGGAAACAGGGGGGGTACGTGTGTGTGTGTGCTCGACCTTTTAAGACTCCTATACTGTACCTGGTGGTGGTGTAGTTAACTTAAGGTGGGTATAGCTAACTGGTAGTAGCTGTAGTGGCAGCGGTAGTAGGCCCGTTTTAAGGTAAGTTACAGGAGACCTAGGCTGGTTTACAGGGGACTTAGGTTGGTTTGCTACTTTAAAAATAAGGAGTCTTAGAAGGTCGAGGATATATACCTACCTACTTACCCCCCTGTTTCCCCCCTGTTTCTTAGCACACTACCTCTTCTGCCTTTTACCACGTACTTCAATGCTGTAGGTACCTGGTAGAGCTGATTGGCCCGTTGTAAATTTCAGGCAGACCTAGGCGAACTAGATGCCTTCCTTCGACTTGCGCGGACCAACCTGTACTTATAGATAGGTATGTGACCGGCTGAGTCCACTTTGACGGGCCTGTACCCACCTCCTGCCCATCCGTTTCTCTTGTAATAGTCATCATCTGTTGGCCGCTGCTTTCTCGTCTCCTGGGGACCAGGTCCTACCAGACACTGGGTATATACGAGAGATGGCTCCTCGCACATCCATTGCCGACTTCAGGAACTTCCTGAGTTCGAGCAATCGCATCGTGGCTCTATGCGGCGCCGGCCTGTCAGCCGCCTCCGGATTGCCCACTTTTCGGGGCGCCGGGGGCCTGTGGCGCACCCACTCGCCCACCTCGCTCGCGACGCCGGACGCCTTCGAGGACGATCCAGCTCTCGTCTGGCTCTTCTACGCCTGGCGGAAGCACATGGCCATCAAGGCAAGCCCAAACCGGGGCCACTACGCCCTCGCCGAGCTGGCGAAAAGGAGAGAGAATTTTCTCTGCTTGACTCAGAACGTGGATGGTAGGTGTCCGCCCCGCGGTAATATCCAACCAACGTAAAACGCTGCTTCTAAAACGATGCCCCTTCCCTCTCGTCCGTCTTCTCTAGGTCTATCGCCGCGGGCTGGACATCCAGACGCGCAGCTGCGGGCCCTTCACGGAAGTATACTTGACGTCAAATGCTTCAATGAATGCGGCTACGTCGATAAGAACAACTTGGATGACCCGGTGTGTCCGGCTCTGGCCCCCGCAGCAGAAGACTACCCGTCCAACGAGACGCTGCCTCTCCTCGATCCCAACGTTCCCCTACCGTCAATCAACGTCGAAGACCTCCCGCATTGCCCCAACTGCAAGACGGGCCTGCTCCGACCGGGAGTCGTCTGGTTCGGGGAATCGTTGGACTTCGCGATGCTCGACGAAGTGGATAGTTGGTTTCGCCAAGCTCCTATTGACGTCATTCTAGTCATCGGGACGGCGGCTGTCGTCAACCCTGCCGCGCGCTACGTAGACAAGGCCCGTCGCATGGGCGCGATGGTCGTGGTAGTAAACCCGGACCCGAGCTCGGGGGCGGGACTAAGCCGAGGCGATTTCTTCTTCCAAGGAGACGCGTCCGCGATACTCCCACAGCTGTTCGAGGATATCATAGGGAAGATGGACGAGGCCGGGAGAATCGTATGAAGCGATTCCCTAGATACGGTGTGGGACAAGTAAATTCGCTAGGCACCTCCCCCTTATATATTACTATCTACGTGCCACGATTACTGAATGTGGAGTTAAGGTGTGCCTAGGTACCTTTAGGTGCTAGGTAGTGGGTTCTGATACTAGGGCTCAGGCATATAGCTGTAGCCTTCTCCCCGTTACTCATACCTATCTCGTTAGCTAACAGGCAAAGAAGATGTTGGGACCGGGATGGGAGGAAGGACCCGGCTGTTGTATACCTTATGATGCTCTATAGAAAGCATATATAACACGCTAACCATGCTACACGGCTCTCGGTTCCAGCAAAATGATACCTACCTTATAGGGGACTGATGTAGAGTCCAGGGGAGTTCAGCACACCGTGGGAAGTAGGTATGATGAACTACGGCCGCTCCGTCGCAGCAATGAGCCGTACTTGGCGGGTTTAGAGGTTCAAAAGCTTCCCAAGTTCTGCGCACTATTGATCTGTAGGTACTAGTAGACATGAGTAGAGACGAACTAACTAATTGACCATAGCTGTTGATATAGCACTAAGAGTATTTTTGAGGATCACCGATGAGCGTCGTCAGATCAGACGGAAGGTGTAAAGTAATTAGCTTAAACTACCTACAACCAGCTGGCCTTCGGGGTCGGGTCAAGACACTGGCTACTGGACTAGCGTACCTTATCACATCAGAAGAGCACTAAAGCGGTAGGAAGACAACAGTCGGCAATATACTGTCCTATGAACCTCTAACATGAATCTTCCTGACCCTCCTATTTAGCTCTTAGTCCTCGAAATGGGCAGTGTAGTCAACGTTCAGAGCGCCGTCGTTGTCTGCCTCGAAAATTTTGATATCCGTGCCGTCTGTTAATATCGTACTCGTGGCCTCCGCTGTAGTAACGTTCCCCGCTCCCGTGGAGGAAGCTTGTGTCGTTCCGAGTCCTCGCCGTGTAAGCCTCGCCTCGAGTTCCCGCGCGTTGCTTTCCACGGTCAGCGTAATAGTCCACTAGCCCTCCGGCGTCCCTAGGCCTTTCCCGGTATTCTCTGACATCAGCTTTTCTGTGTCCGTGTAGCATGTCTTTGGTTTTCGCTTTGGCTTCGCTGGCCCACGACTCCTTCTCGCCGTATATGATCCCTTTCGGCCAGAACTTGTTTGCCACGAGCGAGGCGGCCCCAACTGCTCCGAGAAAGAGCAGGGACCTCTTCAGGACCTTTCTCGCGTCACCGGGCCGGTCCGGTGAGAGTGAAGATCGCCGTTCTGCGTGTGGGCGGGGGGAGGGACTTCTGGACCGGGAACGGGCCGGAGATGGGTCATGTGGAGAGGATGACGTAGAGCTGGACATGCTGTAATATGACGACGAAGAGGCATAAAGGAGGGGGCGGTGCGAGTTGACGTTGAGAAGCGTTGGCGGATGAAGAAGACAATGCGACAGAAGAGAGGAATGGCAATGGCTCGGGGTCGGGTCTCGAGAGAGAGATATAAAGCTGCGACGGCCGATGCCCGTCGGGAAAGCTCCCGGCTGTAGAACCACACCGTCTGAGTTGTGGAGGTATCTGACGCTTATAGTAGCTAAAGTGAGAGCCTTACCTACCCTACTAGCCCTGGGTGTTGAGGTATGGTACGTGTAGACACTGTCGGACATGGATAGCAGAGCATGCTGTATGACGGCCAAAACAAGCCTCACGAGCAGCATTGGCGATAGTCTGTTCCGGTAGCCTATCGCAGCACCCCGTCTGGGATATGTTGATTGGATCCGAAGCATCTCACAATGCCTCTTATCATAGCGAGTGGCATGATACGCAATGCTATGCGAGACATAAGTCGGCTAGGGGAGACACTATCCGACGAGGTGGGCGGTAGGCATGTCAGAACCGCGGAGGACATGATATCATTCCCTATTCCCTGGATGAGGGATGGGGGGGGGGGTGATGCCGTGGCCTAACTTCGTCCACACGCCGCCTAGGTATGTCGGTTTCTTTCCCACCTCTTTCCTTCTGTGCTTGGCGCGAGCGAGAGGATAAGCCGGAGGACGAAGAAAGCAGGAGGCTCAGGGGAAAGGAAATTAGCAGCGATGCATGCCTACAAGGTCGGGGCGCGGGTATTTTATTTTTTTTCCTTACCTCTACCTAGGTATCCTCTAAAGACGGTATACACCCATCCCATCCACGGCCTAAAGCACTCACTATTGCCTACGGGTATCCCTCTAAGTCTACCCTTCTTCACCTGCCTGCTGCACCTAGGTAATGCTTCGCGGTTCAGCCTGGAGACAAGTGTGTATGTCGGTGGTGACGTGAACGTGCAGGGAACAGAGACGGCGGCTGGCGCACTGCATAGAAGCGATATGCGATACGTGTTGGCGGACGATCAGATGGTACGAACACAAGATCGAGATACGCAACAGCACCTAAGATAGCAAGCATATTCCCCAACGTACATACTACCTATATGTAGGCAGAATTATGCACAATAAGATAGGTACATGTACCTACCTACACGTTAGTTACTCTCGACCCCACGTTTCCATTCAATACGGGGCTTGGCCGTTTGACGCGACACGTTTTGTACTATACCTACCTATGCTCGACGCGTCCCAGCCCAGCCCGAACGCACCCACGCCCACGGACTTCTATTTGCCTCTGGCGTTTCCCCGGCGCCCACGATTTCAGCGAGACGAGGACTCGATTTCCGAGTATAGATGTACTACATGTTATGCGTCTAACCTACCTACCTCCTGATCCTGGCTTTTCCCGCAATGTCTCGCTTCTTCTAACACGATTATGGAGTCGCCGCGGTCGATACAACGGCCCTTCGACCACTCGAAGCCTTTCGATGGTCTCGTGCTCTGCTGTACTAGCATCGACGTAGACCTGCGTGTAAGCGGCACCCCCGGTTCGCATCCTGTGTCATGACGATGGCTCGCGCATAACCACTAATCAGAACCGCTCCGGCTCGTCCATATACTAGACGGAAATTGCCCAGCGGACCACCGACCTGGGCGGCAGCCACAAGTACGATCTCACTTCCGACGTCACGCACCTGATCGTCGGAGAATACGACACCGCCAAGTACCGCCATGTCGCGAGGGAGCGGCCCGACATCAAACCCATGGCCGCCGGCTGGGTGAACGCCGTGCGCCAACAATGGCTCGAAGATAAGGAGTTCGACTTCGTCGCGTTGGAGGATACCTGGAGGTTGAAGCCCTTCGAGACCGGAGGTGGCGTTCCGGACAGCCCCGTCGAGGTGCGGAGGGAGAGGACCAGGCTGGTATGCTGCTTGACCGGCTTCAAGGACGGTACGTCACCCGGTCGTGCATCCCCCCGGCTGCCGGCTGTCCCTTGCGCAGGTTTGCTACCCGTCGGTCTACCATGCTAATGGAGGCCAAAGCCCACGTCCGTAACATGATCGAAGAGAAAGTGGTAGCGAACGGCGGCGAGTACGTCTGCGATCTGTCGAAACGCGTTACCCATCTCATCGTCTGCGAACCTCACGGGAAGAAGTACCTGGCCGCCCGAAAGTGGGGGATAAGAACCGTCTCTATCGAGTGGCTACACGACAGCGCCGAGCGGGGGATGATCCTCAACGAGGATTGCTACGACCCGACCTTACCCGAAGGGGAACGGGGAAAAGGGGCGTGGACACGAAGAGATCCCTCGAGCGCCTCGTTAGGCAAGCGACCTCGGGACGGGATGGCCCCCTTACCCGCCGAGGAGAGCAGGAGAAAGCTGAGGAAGACTGCGAGCATGAAACTCATGAGCCAGAAAGACAATGTGTGGAGCGACATTCTTGTTAAGCAGTCGGCGACCGACCTATCATCTCTAGCACCGGCCCCTGACGAGCCCCCTACGAGTATACCCAGCATCCCTACGGCCGACCCGCCTGTGTCTGTGGTCGACGGACCCCATCCCCCGGAGTCGGGATCGGGTAGCCGGCTCCAGCCTGTCGGCGGGGGCGTTTTCTCCTCGTGTCGCTTCTACGTCCACGGCTTCTCTCAGAATCGGAGGGAAGTTGTCAACCAACACATATCGTCTCACGGCGGGCACGTCTCGTCGTCTATCGAGGATGCCGCCTCTCCCGCTCGCGATGAGCCGCCGGGTCCACGCTACCTAGTCGTTCCGCAGTCATCCCAGCCCAGTTCCCACCCCAAGCTCCCGGAAGGAATGCACATCGTCACCGAGTTTTACATCGAGCGCTGCGTCCATAACAAGACCCTCTTCAACCCCACCGAGCATGTACTTGGGCAACCCTTTCCACAGTTCCCCATCGATGGATTCGGCAAATTAACGATATGCACGACTGGATTCAGGAATGAGCAACTGAACCAGGTGGAGAAAGCTCTTGTCCAGCTCGGCGCCAACTATTCGGAGCGTCTCAATCCCCAGTGCTCGTTGCTGCTATGCCCCTCTCTCAATCTTGTCCGAAAACAGAAACTCGACTTTGCCGTGGTATCCAGAATCCCGGTCGTCGATGTGGAATGGCTCTGGCAATGTATCGCAACAGGCTGTCTCGTGCCGCGGGACAAGTTCCTACTCGCGAGATCCCTTTACAAGGCAGCCGAAAGGCCCGACGCTCCCGCGGCCAAGGAGAATGACCAGGCGACAAGGCCCAGGTTAGAGCCTATGCGGAAGGAATTCCCTCGGTCGAATCCTCGTCCACCCGCGGCGAAATCCGGCATCGACATGACCGCATTTGAGGACGATACACTCACACCCCAGCAGGCCGACGGGCGCCAACGGGTGACCGAGGAGGAATCCTACTACGAGACCGCACCTACCCACCAACCAGAAGGCATGGACATCGACCCCGATCTAGTCTCGGCACCGCTCTCGGGCACGGGCTCGAGCGTAGCGAACAAGTCGCAATCGCAGCCAAAGGCCGCTCCCGTGCCGCGAAAAATAAAACGCTTCCCGACGGGAGGCGAGATCGGGGACTCGCAAAGCGACCAGGATTCCGGGACGCCTCTCGAGCCGGCAGGAAAGGACGACGACATCGCCGAGGACGCGGACGAGCGGCAGAAGCAACGGGAGGGGAAGAGCAGGGTGGCGGCGGCAGAACGCGAAGAGATGGCGAAGCGCCTGGACTCTCTGGTGGGCGTCGTCGGGACAGCGCCGGGCTCCTACGACGCGAGCAAGCCGGCGTCCGCGCCGGCGCCCCGGCAGCGGCGCAAGCGCGAGATCCTCGGCCGCGCCGCGAGCAACGTGTCCGCGGCGTCGAGCGCGAGCGCGGACTCGGCGCCGCCCGCGGCCGGCGGTCCGCGACTCGCGTCTGCGCGGAAGGGGTCGCCGGCGGCGGCTCGCCCGGACGCGGCGCCGAGCGCGGCGGCCGGCGCGTTCGGGCTCCTGGACAAGATGATGATGATGGAGGAGGCGGCCGGGGACGACGCGGCCGCGAACGGCGCGAGCAGCCCGCCCCGCGCCACGCAGCTCCAGTACGACAACCCCGAGGCCCGCAGGCACCGCGCCACGGTCCTGAGCCGCATGCTGGGCGGCGACGGGCGCGACGAGCTGGGTACTAACGGCGGCAGACCAGGCCAGAAGAAGGCCGGCAGGGCGGCGCCCAAGGAAGCCGGCGCCACGCTGGGCATGGTCGCGGCTGAGTCTGCGGGCAAGAGGGTGATGAGGCGGCGGTGAGCTAGGTATTGGTAGTCGAGAAGCTATGGTGGAAGAGGGCCAGAGGGGTAGTAGTTGGTGTCAGGATAGCGGGAGGGGGTTGGAAACCGGGGGTGGGCATGTAGTGCGTAGCTCGGAAAGACGCTTGCGGCCGGGGAGTAGGGTATAGCCGTAGCCATAGCCATAGGGGCTCGCACGACGGGGTTGTTGGGTTAGTGAGGATTCGGCATTGTGTCGTTGCGCTTGACGACGTCAGGTAGGCGGCCTTAGTCAGCTATAGGCATATATAGCCTGGCCCCAACGCGCGGAATCGAATAAGTTAGTTAACTACAACGCTTGCCGGTGATAGACGGCGCAGCACTGCGCAATACGGGGAATGCGAGCCGTACGTGTACAAGAAGAGAGCCATTTGGTTTGTTTTTTTGTTTAATAACATTCCAGTCTTCGTATCCGTCTCCAGGTAGGTAGGTAGGTAGGTAGGTCGATATCCAGACGCCTCGCCGACCGCGAAGAAAATCCAAGAAAAGAAAAAAAAAATTAGCATAACTCGTCGCTTCGTGTGCCTCGTCCGTCTCGTCGCCCATTACCACCATCCCCTATCCCCCTTCCTTTCCTCGTCCTTCTCAATCTTCCCCAGGAGTATTCATACGGCTGCCCAAACCAAATCAATTTTCCCGTCCCATCCCGTCCCCCCGCTAGTCCAGCAATGCATGCATGCGCGTACCTACCTGCGCGAACCCTTTACCTAAATTAATCCCCCAACTTGTTCCCTCGCGAAAGCCCGGGGGCACCCACCGCCAGCCTTCCTCCCGCTACCTAACCTAACTTAACCTAACCTACCCATCCCTTCCCCTCCTTCATCACGACACGTTCAAGCTTGGGTAAATACTCAGAATATCTGGGTATCCCTTCTCGGATCCCGCCCTAAATCGCCTCGCTCAGCACGCTCAGCAGGCTCGCCGCCGCGCTGCCCAGCCCCACCGCGCGGAACGCGTCCGAGTGCGATTTCCGCCGCGCCGCGCGGTCCTCCTTGTGTCGGCTGCTGCTGGTGCTCCCGCCGCCGCCGTGGCGGTCGTCGTAGTACTCGCGGTCGCGGTCGCGGTCGCGTCTCGGCCCCGCGCTGCTAGGGCTGTGGTACCGCTGGCCGCGGCCGTGGCCGTGGCTGCGGTGGTAGTGCCCGTGCGCGCGCTCCTCCTCCCCCTCGCTTCTGTCCCGGCCGCCGCCCCGGTCGTGCTCGTGGTAGTACGAGTCCTTCTCCCGACGTCCGTCACCGTCGCGGTCGCGGTCCCTGTCTCTGCCCGCGTGTCGGTCTGAGCGGTACCTCTTCTCCCGGTCCCGATCCCGATCCCGCTCGTGGTCCTTCTCTCGGTCCCTGCTCCGGTCTCTGTCGTCTCCCCTCTGCCTCTCGCGCTCTCGCTCGCTCCGGCGATACGAAGGTAGGCTTTTCGGCAGCGATTTGGGCCCGTTCAAGATCTGCGGCTCGAGGTCAAATCGCACGTGGGGATCGTCGTGCTTGTTCTTGAGGATGGGCTTCGGCTTCACGGTAGCGTTGGCGCTCCCACCTTCGTTCTTGGGCGGTGGGGCCGGCACGGCGAACGGATAGGCCTTGTTATTTCTGTCGGTAGTGTTGCCTTGGAAATCGTCACGACTTGTTTCGTCTCCGTCTCTACCACCCCCTTGTGTCTTGGACCGGCCGCTCGGGAGGTTATCCTTGTCGTCATTTCTAGCCCTTGAAGCCCCCGAGACCGGGGCAGGGGTAGAGCTTCGACGCCGTGGATAAGCCTGGGAGTCTCGAAAACCCGCGTGCGCGCTCGGACGGGGATACGACTGCGAGTAGGAGGAATCGTATGGACGTCGACCGGGATTGTTGTGGCCGTCTCCCCTGGGTGACGATGATGAGGCATCATCGCTGCTAGAGTCGTACAGCTCGCTCATGGAGCTAGCCGTACTACTCGCTCGTCGACGACGGCTAGAAGCGACGATGTATTCGGCGCCATCGTGGTTCTTCTCGTCTTCGTCTTCGTCCGAGTTTCCAGAGTCTCTAGAGTCTCTCCTCCCGTGCCGCTTCCGCTGCTGCTGGGCATCGATCACATCCCAATTCCGGTACTTGTCCGGATGATACTTCTCATCGACGCCCCTCCCCTTCCCAGTCCCCGAAACGACAGTGACAGCAGGTCGCTGCCTCGCACTCCGTACCTCTGTGGTTCGCTTGGCAAAGTCAGCTACGGTTTCGCGCGACAACTCGCCGAGTACGGCTACGAAATCAGGTCGCGCCTCGTATCGGACCCCAGCCCCGGCGAGGACTTCGGGAGATACCAGCCGCCGGGGAATGCGTGTCCACTTCGCATCGAGGGGAATCTCTCGTCCCTGGCTATCCGGCGCCAGCCACGCACTCCGCTGCGTTGTCGTAGGTGCTTGGTGCGATGGCTGGCTCAGAGCAGCAGGCATCGGGGGCGGCCCGGTGTATGGTACGAAGGGTGGATGCGGTGGTGGGGCATGGTGCGGCGGAGCTACGGGTTCGCTGGGGGTCTTTTTATCGGGGCGTGATGGGGTGGAGGAAGGGAATGCGGTTTGCAGGGCCGAAAGAGGGGTAGTTGGCGGCTGCGTAGATATTTGAGACGTGTTGTTGCTCTTGCTGAAACCGCTAGCAGCTGGGTCCGGCGGTGGCAGACGTGCGTTGCCCATATAGCGAGCAAGTCCGGGAGTTCTGTTGTCGAGCGCTATCAGGTCTTGCGTAGACATGAGACCCATGGATTCTCCAGGGGCTGCATTCTCGTCACCGCCGCCGGAGGAGTGTCGGTCGTAGGAGAGGTAAGTAGGGTGGTCAGGTATGGCTGCGGGCGGTGGAGGCGGCCGCGGCGGCGGATTGTGACCCTCTTCGTCTTGGAAACGGCCCATCCTGGCCGGCGGAAACAACTGCTCCTCGTCGATTCCGTACAACCTTCCCCTCCCCGGTTCGGTATCGGTCTGGGGGGGAGGAGGGAAATAGGTCGAGCTGGGGACGATCCGGCGTCCGTTGTTATCTAGCGGGTGGTAACCCTCCAACAGCCCTCGCACAGAGGGCGCGCTGCCGCCATGGATGCTGAGTTGCTCGTCCAGCTGGCGGATGTACGCTCTTATGACGTCCTGGTATGCACGTTAACGTCACGTTGCCGCGAAAAGGGGGGAGGGGGGTGACCCTCTCCCTCTGTGATTTGAGGGACGGAGGGTGTCCGAGAAATTGGACAAAAACGGCGGCTGTCTACTAACCTGATTCTTACGCAAGACGTCTCTGCTGAAACCGGCCTGTTCTAGTTCGTCTCGGAACCGTTCCCAGAGCTCGTCTTCGTTTCCGCCCAGACTCGAATCCTTCCTCCCCAGGTATATCCGCGACGCGATGGCGTCGACTTTGTCTTTGATCGAGTCGAGGCTCGTGCTGCTCGTGTCTACCATACGCCTCGTTTTTGACGGGTTATACAGCTGGATCGTGTCAAGGAACATGTCGATGCTGAGCTTCTGGTGTACGACTTTGGTGCGTATGATCTCCATCCTGTCGAGGTCGCGGCTGTCGAGCATCGTCCAGCCCCTTTCTCCGTCCATCTTCGCCTCGAGGCTACCGTCTCTTCCCCGGGCGTGCTTCGTCCCCAAGATGGTGTCCAGCTGCTTGAGAAGGAAGTCGGAGTCCTCCAAGATTGGCCTCAGCTGCCGCGTATAGACGCCGGTAGTATCGGTGCTCAGGGGCGAGTCCGGGTCCTCGACCTCGAATTTCAGATGCTTCAACACGGTGTGTAGGTTGCGTACCGCCGTCGCGACCTCTCCTAGGTTGGCGCCCGCATCCCCCACCCGTTTGCACAACCTGCGCGCAAACGCATCGACCTCTTCGATATCCGCTGGCGAGATGCGTCTAAAGGGGACTTCCGTGTTGGTACTTGGGGATGGAGCCGTCATCGCGACGCTGCGTATATACGTGCGTGTGTGCGTGAGGGAGACGAGGAGGTATGAGAAGCTCGATGTCTCCTGTTTTCAGGTGGGTAGGCGTTTCTCGGCCTCCGGTGACTAGGTAGGTGTAAAACCTTCAGGTACCGTTCCAGGAGGGAGCAGTTGGGTGGTAGGTATGTAGGTAATATAGCTGGGTACGGCAGCGGGACGGCGAATATGTGCAGCGTTGCCCGATAATGGACCGCTGGCGAGAAGCGTGCCTAGTTGGGTAAGATGTGTCGACAGTGGTGTGGTTACTAGACTCGAGCGAGGATAGTGGTATGCTATAGGCACCACCTATGAAGAAGAATCTTGGCTGTAGGTCCGCAACAAGTCCGGCCCCATAGGACGGCGGCAGGGATCTGCTGGTGGCTAGCTCAGGTTTGCGAGGCGCCCCGTTCGTGCGCGACGGTATTACGAGGAGAGGGACGACGGGTAGCTCAGATCGTCTGAAGAGGAGAGAGCGCTAGATGCCTGATTATCCTCGCTCTATGTATGCAGTGCGAGGGCAGGTGGCGTCTCGTCCAGCAAAAGGGGAACGGGGGTGCTTCGAATCAAGAGGAAGCGTCGAGAGATGACACCAAGGGACAACATCTATCACCGGATGATTGGGTTCTGTTCCAGGCTCTAAATTACATAGCTAGTTAACTCCTGGGCACCGTGGACCTCACCACATGCGTGACGTCGGACAGACAGAAGAGCGTCGCGTCTGTCCACTGAGCAGAGAGGGGATCGTGAGGGCTGGTAGCAGGCAGGCAAATCAGGTCAGCGAAGGAGTCACTCGACAAAATCAATATAAACCCCCCCCTCCGGAAAAAAAAAAGAACACAGGCCAAGCAGCAGGAAAGGCAGGCTGTGTTCGAGTTGTCTGGTCGAGTTGTCTGGTTGTCCAATTGTCTCGTCCCAAGGGGCGACGAAGATGGGGATGAGGAAATGCTGAAAACGCTGGGTGCGTATGGTTCTTGTGACGTAGACATTGCCGTCATAGGGAATCCCTGATGCCGGGGATCTTCAAAGCTTGGTCCGATGGTGGCAGGGCTGTCCAATCGCCGCCGTCGCCGCCTTCGCTGGGGGTTTGAGTGCCACGGCGGTACCTAACATCCACTGTAGGAGGTACCTATAGTACCTCGGGTATCTCTTGCGTGTTAGGCGATGTCTGAGGTCCTTGAAAATCCAAGTCTTAGGGACTGCGCCACCCGAATTCCAGGGAACGAGTCAACCTGGGAAAACTGGCTATCTATCGGTGGCCGCCCGGGGGGGGGGGACTGCAAGTACCCCATCTCGGGCGGTACCTAGGTGCCTACCTAGGTATCTGGTGCCCCGTCTGCTCGAACAATTTCGGGCACACCCGCCCGAGATAGGTACCTATCTGCCTCTTGCCTCCCGGTGTTGACGAGGCCCGTGATACGACAAACATGGGTATCCGCAACAGGGTAACATAGGTAGTATGTTACTGTGTTCATAGCTGCCTTGCGTATGTACGCCGTCGTGTTTTCTCTCGCTTCATCTTCCATCTTCGACGCCGAGGTACGTACGTCTACGTACCTACCTATAGCAGGGCTGTCATACTCCCATTCCACAGGAGGTTGTCGACTTGTCGATGCGACGTCGATGCCCGAGCCTCGTCGATGCCGCGAACCAATCAGACCTTGTACCCTCTACGTCGAGGACCGAGGGCCAGCAGACGGGTGACACTGCGTGCACATCCACGGGAAACCGACACCTCCTAGCCTAGCTGCGCCGTCCGCGGTAGTGGTGAATGGGGTAAACATAAACGAGCGACGCGAGGCAAGCGACGCGAGGCAAGCGGCGCCCTACCGCGGGTGAGATCGACAGGACCGCCTTGCTGTCGGGGTCGTGTGCGGAGAATGCCCAAGACGGCCTTCCGCTAGGTAGGTATATCAATCGTGTGAGAGGTTTCGCCCGCGAGGCATCCATCGTAGCCGTTGGAGGTGGAAATGCCTGCCAGATCATCCGTAGCTTCACATACCAACCTACCTAATAGACCGCCTCGCCGTTCCTTGCGTCGCCGCCACCTAGGCGGTATCAAAATACTCCGCCCGTTGGCGTCACTGCCTCGTTCTAGAAGCACGAGCAAGCGTCTTCCTTCTCGGTGTGGAATCGGCTGACCGAGGCTAAGTGGAGAGGATGCTGCCAAGTGTCTGCTTTTAGCCTCCTCCATCCGATATCAGCCTAACTGATACCCGCTCGCCTCTGCTTGAGTTAAACGGGTGCCCATTAAGTACCTAAGGTACGGGGTATGCGCCTAGATACCTCCCTAGGTAAGCGAAGCTGGGAGCCTCGACTTGCGACTTGCACTATCTGCTAGCTTCCAGACTCGCCAGCCAACAGGGACGAACACCTGACCGCCGATATAAGGATGGCTTCATCCGTATCGTATCCGCGTAAGCGTTGGCACATGACGAACGCCATCCCGGCCAACCTCGGGTGGATACAGCGAAGGCTGTGGGGGAGAAGAGCGCCTTGGCAAGATGTCAGCCGCACAATCCTCCAACGAAGCACCTACTATACAGCTCCGGACAAGGACTTTTTACGTGGACGATAGCCCGCCAGCGTCGGTCTGCACCCGCGGACGGGTGGACACATTATATGAGTACTAGGAGGAGGTGAGACGTGGCCGAGCAAACAATTTGGCGAACTCGTTCCCCTCCCACGCCGTGGCCTAGTTGCCTCCCTGAACACGAGACACTTATATCCGAAGACTGCCAGGCCGAAGTCGGTACGGTCGGCGTGGATTTCAGATACTAGGTACCTAACCTAGGTCGCTAAGCGGGCCGGGGCACCTTCAAGAGCTAAGTACGTTCAAGACAGGACTCGACGAGATGGGGACCACGCAAGGCGGCGCGCGGTGTCGAATAGAATTTCCTACAACATAGTTGCGCATAGAACCCAATGCGCAACAGCTTCCCTCGTGGTTTAAATCCGACGGCAAAGAATCGGGGCGTCGAGGCCCTGCACGATAGCAATTGCAGCCATGTAAATACAAGACTCGACTCCGGGCCGGCGTGATTAGGGGTCATGCTCGTCATCACCCGCATCCCGTCGCGACCCTCCAAGTGCATATCATATCGTGATCCTTTCTAATGAATAATAACACCCGTCCTGCTGGTTCCCGCGGTAGGCTATTTCTCTCAGCGACATATTCACGATCTCGCCGTCTACCGCCACCTTCCGAGTTGGCATTCTGTTTCCGGTCTTGAGCCCGGCGGGCAGCGCTTGGGACCCCGACTCCTTTTCGTGTAACAGCGTGGTAGGCTTCGCCTTACCTGTTGTGCTTTCAGGTCTCGCCTTAGACGCTTCCTTAGAGTACTTAATTATGTCCCCCATCATGTTAGAGAGGTAGCTCGCTGCTTCCAAGCCCTCCAAGGCCGCGCTGACTTCAAGCTTGAGCGATGCGATCAGGTTTCCGAAGTCATCCCCTACTAAGGCGGCGTCGTTGAGCCAACTGTCCGGCCCGATCGAGTCGATGCAACGTCCTAGAAGGTCTGCGATAAGCTTGACGATACTATTGGGCGGCGCGTGCAGAGTGGTGTCCGTGGCCGAGTCCAGGTAGCTGGAGGTCCATGACCCTCTGACCAACTCGTCCGAGAGGAGGTTGACGAGAGACAGGATCTCCTCGAGCTTGAACGTTGCCCGTAGCGCCTTGACTGCAGAGGCGCTAGGACAGCTACTAAGTTTTGTTAATACTATGCTGATGGTAACGCTATGGACATCCGCATCTTGGCTTACGGGCCAAGCTGGCTTCCCAATAGCACCATGCCCCGTGAGGATTTCGCGAGACTCTGCCATGGTCCACTCTCCATTCACGATGGCCTTTTCCGTAGTGGGCTCCTCGATCAATAGTTTCGGGGGCGCTCGAGCTGGCTCTTTAACCTGCTCGAACCTCCTCATAATCGTCCGCAAAACAACGAGTAACTCCACTACTCCGACGTTAGTGGCAGAGACGTAGTCGACGATGAGTTTCAGTGAAGGGTCGGCTTCAACCAGTCCGTGTATAATTTGGTCGGCCAGTACCGAATCCGATGTTTCGATATCTCCAAGTTGGCCTCGGAGTGCAGATTTGATGTTCGACAGGGTGAGATGGCCTGCGCCTACGAGATATTTGACGATGCTGCTTTGTGGAAGCTGGCAGATGAGCCGTGGAATATACGAGTCCTCCGGTAAGGCGTCATTCCACCGGAAAGCCCGGCGGATGGCATATAAGATCCATCTTCTATCCGCAGGAGGATAGCCCGCTCTCGTTTTGGGCCATATCCAAATAGGGGAGGCCTTATGCTGAGCGGACCCCTCGCCGTTTGCGCCGTGGAGTGCTTGAGCGTTGTCCTGGATTTGAATGCCGAACTGTTTGGCCAACAGCGTCTCCAGGCCAGAAATGTCGTTGGCGGATAGGAGGGAATCAGCCGCGGCCTCATCTGCTATCCACGATTCCCAGTAGTTGCCTCTGATGGAGCCCGGAAGGTAATTAGTGAATATCGATGTCTTTATAGTTGCGTTCGGTACGCGGGCCGAAGATCTTTTGGTGGGCTGCACACCGCGCCCGATTGAATCGATGAGAAGACCCTCTGCGCGCCTTTTTTTAATCCTCAGGATCGGGGCCTCTAGCTGGATCGCAACCAGGCTGGAGTCGACAACTGCGACCGCAAGTTCCAACCGAGGGAAGTAAGCCGCAAGCAAGCAAGCTACCGCCGGGCGTGAACTGGGGATAGATACGTCCTGGTCGTCGAGGTCGACAGGTATGGAATTCTGTATGGAACGGTATACCGGGTTATAAATCCCGAGGCGGTTGCTGGTAGAGTAAAGGAGCGATGTCTTGCTAAGACGTAGGAAAGATGTGACCCCGGTCAATTCCACCGAGGACGTAAGTTTGGGTAAGCCGGAAGTCAAGTCATACACACTGAACGTCTGGTCGCGCAACTGTATTAAACTTCCAGATTGAAGATCGAGGTGGTAGGAGACGGTGCTAGAGTCGTCATCCTGCTCGGCGGACGACGGCGACGGAATAGGCATAACGTAGAGCTGAACGACGCCTCTCGAGCTCTCGTGGGACGGTAGCGGCATGGCCACGATATGAACGTGTCTGGTTTGCTGCCTACCGGAACCGGACGCCGAGATAAGTATTAGGACCTCAGCATCCACGTCCCTTCCCCGCGCAAAGTCGGGCTGGAGATTTGTGGTATTATCATAGCCCTTGAAGACAGCCTGAGCGACCTCTGACAGCGGTGCAGAGCAGCAGAAATCGATCCTCAGGTTGGCTTTCGAAGTTTCAGGAAGGTCCTGTTGCAGTACCGCAGATGTCGATTTCCATCTTTCCTGCAAAGTTTCGGCATCCATGCAAACTGCCGTCCCGTCTGCTCTCACAACGAGGACGCCTTCGCCTGAGGCGTGCGAACCAGCGAGTGTGGTGATAGGGGTTACATACACGGCCGGCTGGCCTGGGTCCAGAGAGACCGACTGCGAGGTGGAATGCGTACTGCCAGATGCATCCATGCGGTCCTTGAACAGAGTGATCTTGTGATTATGCGATTCCCTTGTCGCCGCGTATGTGTACCGGGAAACCTCTTGTGTTCCCTCCGCCTTGTGCCGGATCGAGCTCGCCGGGCACGAGAAGGAAGATTGAGGAGGAAGCGGATACGAGGTGATAAGTCTGAATGACGAGACCTAAAGAGAGAGGGGGGGTGAGCGGCCGCTTCTAGCTTGCGTGAGCTCAAGGTCTAACGCATTCTCACATTGTAAATATTCACAGCTTCCCCATCGATCCCTACTGCCAGCTCGTAGCGCTTCCTCTTCCTCGATCCCGGCGTGGACCCGTATACCTTGCTGACGACATAGCGGCCGGTTGCTGGATCAAGAGGTCGCGGTAATGCGTCTAGAACGTATGGCTTCTGGATCCTGAAGCTCGAGGCCATGATTGCTGGGATATCTGGCGACAAATGTTCCAGGACACGAGGCCGTCAATGTATAGCTATTGGACGGCATTACTAGAGGGGACAGGTTCAAGAAGAGAAGGAATTAAAAAAAAAAAAAGTTCTCCAATGCTCGAGGCGCGGATCTGGATCTGGTAGGTGGGGCTGTATGCGTGGAGACCCACCCTGAAGACAGGTACTTACGTTAGGTTGCGTTAGGTCCCTTTCCACAGGATACAGGTGTGGAGGTACCTTTCTTATGTACCTGAGGCAAGCCCTATGACCTTATGAGTACGCAAATCGTCATTTAGAAGTAGGTACATTAGGTACCTAGTACAATAGGGGCCTAGGTATTCTACCAAGTGGCTGCCAGCTGTTCACTAAGGTCTTTAGTGGGTGGTACCTGTTTAAAATCCATTGAGGAAGGGTGATGCAGTACATAGGTACCTATGTATGCAGTCGCGTCTTTTTACGCGACAAAGGTAAGCGCGACTCAGAACAGGCACCTCCCTCTTATCCACCCGCTCAGGCATCGGCGCCAGTTGCAAGTCGCCAGTGTCAACGAGTTGTATGCTTCAACCCCTTCTCTAACCTCTTCTTCTCTCTGCCACCCCTCCCTACCCCTTCTGCGACCATAATTTCTACTTGCCAAACCGCTCCCTCAATGGAAATATCCTAGTTATCAAATTCATCTCCTACCGCTCCTTCTGTACCTCTTCCCACGCTCTCCGCTGGACCCCGATCATGGGTGACAATGAGGGCGTCGCTATTATCAAGAGTCAAAAGATCCATCCGTTCTTTGCAGTGGCCAAGAACGTCGTGAAGGAGTCCCCATCCAGCCAGGTGACCCCCCTAACGCCCGACTCGTCACGCAATCCTCACCCCAACAACACATTTAGGGCCGCAGAGAATCGTGGCAATGTGATTGTAGCGCTTGGAAACGGCCAAAGGAAGCGCCGTAGGACAGAGTCTTTAACCAACACAAGACACCTCGCAAAGCGAGACAGAGACTGCGGGCAGGGACCTATCATGTTAGATGGAGCAAGCATTAGAGACGGAATTGGCCAGGAGGCCGGCAACGATCCCCTCCCTACCAGCGAGTTGCTTGACGCCAGCAGTCGTATTAGGCCTGTTTCCCAAGCTGCCTCGGAGGCAAATTTTACTGATGCGAAAGGGGACACAGTTGACACTAGCAAAGCATCGACACTCCCTAAACCACAGAAGCTATTGCGACTGAATCCGAAGACTGGCACGATCGGCTCTCCACCAAAGCCTAAACCAACTTATATTTCGCCAAACCTACCCATTAAGAAGAAACGGGGTCGAAAACCAAAGAAGAAACTACTTTCCATTCGATATGGGCAAGAGGATGACGCAGCTCGGCATCGTATCGGCCAACAGATCAATAGTATTCTTGCCAAGACTCCGGCGACTGGCACACTTGGGGGAACACCACCGTCAAGTAGAGAAGCAGACGATTCGTCTGTAGATGAAGCCGTTACAAACGAGGAACTGTCGCTGGAAGAGGCGACACCGGAGAAGGATCCGATGCCCTGCAAAGCCACTCATCCGTTCTTCCAAGGAAAAGGGAAATCCGGCGTTGCCGTGGAAGTTAAGCAGAAGACTCCGGCAAGGCCACCCACCAAGAGACAGACCATCTTCACCTCGACCCCGTGCTCCTCCGGCCAATTTCCACCAAAAGCCCCCAAGTTCAACATCCCAGCAATCGGCGCAGGCGCAGGCGCTCTAAGGGTCCCTGGTGCACAGTATCCAGCCTGGCCGTGGGAAGGGGCCGTCCATATCCGCGATTACCAGCCGCATCCTCTCAACTCAGAGCCAGATTCTACGTCGAAAATTTTGCCCAGAGAGCGAAAGGCAAAGGGCCATCAGGTTGAAGTTTTAGACTCTGAGTCTGTTCTGCAAAAGACACGCTCATTGTTAAACGTCAGAAACTTAACTGAGGAACTCAAGGTTCATGATACCGGCGCTTTTCAACCACCTCATCCATTATTGCGGATTCCAAGCAGACATTTCGAAGGCGGAAAGAAGCTACAAGCCCGTATTGCCAGCGAATTAAAAACCCTCAGCTGTAACAAGGACTCTAAGCAGACGCATCCTGCCATCAAGCAGGCATATGCATCTCTGCGACAAAACCTGTCAGCCTTTGACAGGTCAACATGTGAGACAAGCGCGTGGACTCAGAAGTATTCCCCATCCTCCGCAAGCCACGTACTTCAGAGCGGTCCCGAAGCTGAGTTGCTTCGTGACTGGCTCCGGACTCTCAAAGTACTATCCATAAATACCGGCACGGCCAGCTCTAGAACAACATCGAAGGGTGCTGCTGCGGCAAAGCCGAGACGCAAGCGCAAGAAGCTTCACGGGTTTGTTGTTTCTAGCGACGAGGAGATGGACGAACTGGACGAGATATCTGAAATCGATGAGGATTGGCCGCCGAGTAGAGGCCGAGGTACCACGATGAGAACGGTCATACGGTCTGGTGACGCAAGTGCTCGAACATCCCAGGACGGTGACCGCTTAACCAACGCTGTGATTCTGAGTGGGCCACATGGTTGCGGCAAGACCGCTGCTGTATATGCCATCGCTAGAGAGCTCGATTTTGAGGTCTTTGAGATCAATGCAGGTTCTCGGAGAAGTGGCAAGGATATTCTCGAAAGAGTTGGCGACATGACACGAAACCATCTCGTTCAACACCGCCGCCAGGAGGTTGCTCTTCGAGACGAGGATGCTTCCGCAGACGAGTTGAGCCAAGATATAAAGTCAGGCAGGCAAGGCATGATGACAGCATTTTTCAAGCCGAAGCAGGTTGCGGCTCAAACCCTTGTTAAGAAGTCGGCCCGCCCGTCCCCAGCAGAATCGGACAATATCAAGGAGGCGAGAAAGTCGGCCGAGGCCCCGAAACAGTCTCTGATCCTTCTCGAGGAAGTCGACGTCCTCTACGAGGAGGACAAGCAATTCTGGGCCACTGTCATCTCTATGATCTCTCAATCGAAGCGCCCTTTTGTGATGACGTGCAACGACGAGACCTTGGTCCCAATAGAGAACCTCAGTTTGCATGGAATTTTCAGGCTCTCGTGCCCGCCAGCGGATATGGCGGTTGATTTATTGCTTCTCATCGCGGCAAACGAGGGACACGCCCTCCGAAGGCGTGCGGTCGAGACGTTGTACGATTCACGTTGCCACGATTTACGTGCTTCGATAACCGAGCTCAACTACTGGTGTCAAATCGGCATTGGCGACATACAAGGCGGCTTTAATTGGTTCTATCCCAGGTGGCCGAAAGGGACCGACGTCGACGAGGACGGTGACAAGATCCGTGTTGTCAGTCAGGACGCATACCAAACCGGCATGGGCTGGCTTAGTAGAGACGCAGCTACGGGCAGTTCATTTTCTCGCTCTACCCGAGAGGAATTGCACCAACAAATTCACCACAATTGGGCCCTCGACACGTACGAGTCTCGTGTGCACGACGATCGTTTCGCCTCCTGGGCCGCGGCAAGAAGCCGGCAAATCTCATCCGCCAAAGAGCGGCTCGACCTTCTAGAATCCATCGATGCGTTTTCTAGTCTCCTAAGCGACGTAGATCTCGGCTCAACCAGCATCTCAACGACGCCCAATCTAGAGGCGATGGACGCCTCATTTCCCAGCCTACCGACGAAGGCAAAAGACGATTTCATCATCGGCCGACCGCTTCTCGAAGTATCGCCCTCCATCCACTATGATACAAGTCGGCACGATATATCAACCACCTTAAAAGATCTCGCCAGAGTACGGCTAGGAGACAGTTGGTCTACTTACGATGGCTTCGGCGAAATTTTCGGGGCTTTGGACGAGGAGGAAGCGACCGCTCAGATAGCAGACCACCTTCGCAAGTCGCTGGATGCAGCTCCAGCCATCACGAGACTAGACTATAGCCTCGCATTTGACCCCATCGCCGCCTCGGAAAAGTCTATGGCCCCGGGCTATCTAGACCCGTCCGTGTTCGACCGAACCATGAGTATGATTACCCTCGACATAGCTCCGTACGTCCGCAGCATCGTAGCCTACGATCAGAAACTTCACCAGGAGAGGATCCAACGCAGCAGTCTACTCAGCGAGGGCGGGAGGCCGGGCAAGAAGCGAATGCGCACGACGAGAAGCGCCTACTCGGCCCTCCAGGGCGGATCCCGAGCCTATGCGAGGAGGGAGAGGTATTTCTCGGCGGACGTGAATCCGCACCTGGTGATGCAAACCGGGGGCCAGGGCTGGGATGCGCTTGTAGCTTTACACATGGGGGAGCAGAATACCGCAAGCAGCAGCACGAAGGATTCTTGCGAAGATGGCAGCTCTGACTGAATATGAGCTTGGACTAGATATATTATTGGCTTAGCTTTTGCCGACGTATATAGATGCATTTACGCGGTTGCTTTAGAAAGGCGATATCGGATGTTAGAGATGTGGTTGGGCATGGCCGGAGACACGCCACAGGGGATCAACGCATGGCATCGCATATAGCGAGTGAGTAGAAAAGACCCTCGGCGGCTTTGAAGCAACGAGGCATCGAGTGGCCTGCCGATTCTACGGCATCTATAGCATAGACTACGCGGAGGCTAGTAAACTATTACATTCTGTCGTTCTTCCCAAATGATCAGTCCGCAGCCAGAGACAGTATATAGTCTTCATTAGGGCAATATAGTTAGGTCACACTCCTCCCAAAAGCGATCCTGTCGCGTAAAACGTAGCGGTATGTAGGTAGGTATATAAGGGCTGGTTCAATTGCTACGTGACATAACCCCCCAGTTGTTGGACACCTAAGGTAGGTAATAACTGCTTACTCGCGGAACTGAACCCTGGTGGTGCAACCCCTCCTCTCGTTGGCGCGCCGCCTTACTGCTAGTTCTCGTCCAGCTCTGGAGAGGCCGCGCCGGGAAACACGGCCTGGCTCGCAGCAGCGGCTCTGCCGAGCCATCTCAGCGTTGGTGCGGGGGGAGCTCCGTCACCCACTGCCGATCGTCGAGCAGTCTGGAAAGAGGAAGCGCCCACGGCTCGCGTGGATCGGATAGGGGTGGGAGCGACCGCGGTCACAACGGCAGGGGAATCGTCTTCGCTCCCGGGGGCAGCAGCCATGGATAGCTCCCGGCGTGTGCGTGGATGGGCCAGCCAGCTCTCGACGTCCACTACTGGTCTCACGAAGAGCCACTGACTCGGGGACAGCTGGAGCACTAGACACAGGAGTAACCACGGGCTCCTGGTCCGATATACCTAATGATAGGAGCTTGGCTGATGCCCGGGGCAGTTGGGACGACCTCCTCGACATCGCTCTCGGAGTCGACCTCCATCGAGCTGTAAGTGTCCTCAATCCCCTCAGGGTCGTAAGGTCAGGGTCGGCTACCTCGTCATCCACATCCACAGCTCCCTCGGCCAGTGCGACTCGTCGGGCGCGCTCCCCGAGCTCCAGCCACCACCCCGACCCAGCGCACCCGTGCTCGGAGCGCCCGAGCTGCCCGTGCTCGTGGCGGCACCGCCAACCAGAGAGCCACCCGCACACCTCGCAGATCGGCCAGAATTCGTTAGAGCAGCCAGGCCGGTGTTGGTCGAGGTATTGAGACGAGCCCGAATTCCCAGGCGTCAAGTGCTCGACGCCTTACTGCTAGTTCTGGTCTAGCTCTGGGGAGGCCGCGCTGGGGTTAGGGTAGCTGTCGAATTCGTACAACTTTGAAGGGAACCGAACCACTAAGCCAAAGCACCTTGGAGCGCTTAACTGGGCTCATAACTGTCGCGTAAAACGTAGACGCCTGCATTTACGCTTTGAGGCATGTAGGCATATAAGGGCTGGCTCAATTGCTACGTGACGGATCCCATTTTCAGCAGCGCGTTGGCAGTCGGCTGGATAGGTATATGAGCATAAGCATATGCATAACTGTTCGTTGGCAGGCTCGCAACCTTAGAACAATCCAAAATTAAGCCGGTTTGACGGCGGAATCTTAACCCCCTTCTCTAACAGCAGCGGGTTTCTGTGTGGTGGTTTTAACGAGAAAAGCCAGACATACGACCACACCTAACCCGGAGAGCCCGACGCCCATGTAGAATGAGCCGCGGTACCCCTTCAAGATGTCCACTGGATTCTCGCCACCGTTATTCACGTGTGTTTCTATAGTTCCGGCAAATCCCAGTCCTAGAGAGATGCTGTAGTTGACAACCGTGTTGACCAGACTCGCGGCAATGCCTTGGTGCCGCCGCGGCACGGCGTCGGAGAGGATCAGCGTCGCGGCCGGGAAACTCATGTCCATGCCCCAGGTCATTACGACGGTGGAGACAAAGATCTGGCCCCAGTAGGTCTGGTCGACTGGGCAAGTTGCTACGACGGTGACACCGGCCGTGAACGCGAGGAGTGACAGGGTCATGACGATCGGGGGTCTAAGCCGGTGCAGCATGTAGCCCGTGAAGATGGCGGCGCAGAACCCCGAGATGGTGACTGGGCTCATCATAGCCGTGGCCAATAAGGGGGACCTCCCCTGGAGCACGAGCAGGAATTGCCAAATGTAGAAGAACCAAATGCCAAAACAAGCCCACCCGCACGCCACGGCGCCCAGAACGAACGATACGTCGGACGAGAGCGCGTGGAAAGGGATGAGGGGGCTCTCTGCGAATTTCAGCTCGAACGCCAGGAACGCAATCAAGAGAAGCAGCCCTAGAATCAGCGTGACATAGACATAAGGCTCGGGCCAGCCGACGATCGGGGCCTGGTTCCAGGCAAAGTTCACAAGGACGAGGCCGCAGACGCCGAGGATAGTTCCGACGAGGTCGAGTTCCCTCGCGATATCCTTTAGCCCTTGCGGCCTCACATGGTACCCGTTCGAGGCATCCGGTATCGCAAAGTGTCCCACGACCAGGGATGCTGCCAGCACGAGAGCAAAGACCCAAAAGGCCCAGGGCCACCACGTGAGGGCAAGAAGAGAGGCGAACAGAGAACCCAATATCGCCCCGCTAGGGGCCATGGCGCCGAAGACGGCAAAAACCATCTCCTTACGTCGCCCCGGAGGGTAGGCCACGCCGAGGATCGCGAGTCCGTTCGGAAGAACGATGGCAGGGCCGATTCCCTGAAAGGCGCGGGCGACGACGAACAGGACGTGGTTCGAGTAGATGGCGAGTCCGCAGACCATGCTCCAAACGGAAAACCATGCCATACCGACTAGAAACAAAGTCTTGTGGCCGAAGGTGTCGCCCAGCCTGCCGGAAAATAGGATGAAGGTGCCTACGGTCAAGCTGTAACCCGCCATGAACCAACTCAGCTCGCCGGGATTCGTGATGCCGAAACTAGCGCCAATGATGTGGATGATGCTGATGGCCTGGCCGAGGCCAGCCTCTTTAAATAGGTAGGTATGAGAGTCAGCCCAGAGCTGAGACGACACGCCAGGTAATTCGCCTGCACCGAATCTAGGCTACCAGCAAAACATAGAGACCGTTACGCGCATGGTCTGGGCGTGACTTTCTTGCTTTCCTCCAACTTCCCCAGCAGCTCGGCGGGCGGTCGAGTTGATGTAACCGGACGAGAGAGTGAGGAGAGGGGAGGACAAGTCTAAGATACATGATGCACGTGATTCGGACGATGGTGGCCAGACTCGCGCCCATTGGCATGTTTTGGGCATCACACCGCCTCGACGACGACATACTACTGTAGGATTCCCGGGAGAAGAGAGTGGAGGAATAGCAGGACTCACGGGTGAAGAGTTGTCCAAAGCATATCACCGCCACAAATAAGATCTCCCTCGGCAAGGATAACGTACCGACGATGGACTTGGTCGACTCGATTCTAGCCACGTTGTCGAGGTCATCGCTTTGAGCGGCGCTGTCGGCTCGTTCTGCTTTCTCGTCGTGACTCGCGTCCCGACCGTGTCGTGTAATTCCCTCGAGAGTCTGGCTGAACATCGGTGAGCCGTCTGGGCCAACGACGGTATGACTAAGCTCTCTCCGCGTCGGGCCGTGTGTCCAAGTTTCTCGCAGCTGGCCAGGGGGTAGTCTCTCCAAACCCGCGTTTACGGCCTCGATCTCGATGGTGTTAGCACTCTCGGTGGTCGTCCTCCCTTCGTCGCCAAAGGGCGGCAGTCCGTTGGTAGTAGTCATAGGGAGTTCTCCGGTGCCACGTTTCTGACACTATGGGTGTGCCCGGTTATTCTTTGTTAGACGAACGAGCGAGCGAGCAGGGAGGCGGGCAGATATCCGAAGAGGTTTCTTTCAAACAACGGCGGAAAATGGCTAAGTAACAGCTAACTAGGTCCAGTGAGGGATAGCAAATTTATGGAGGGACCAGAACACCACTCCATACCTATCGCGTCCATGGTCGGCTGATTCGGCTCGGGGAACCATCCCGCCAAAGACAAAGAAAGAAAAGTACGGAGGCGAGGGGGGTAAAAAAAACAGACAACATCGCGCGGTAGGGATGTGATTCGTCGTCAGGGGTGATTTATGTGCAGATTAATAAGAGGCGCGCAAAGAACCCTAGCTCGCTCACTAAGCAAACAATAGGCACTCGCCCTGGTCGACCCGTGGTTGTGCGCATGGACAGATAGATGTTAGTTACTGCTGGGCATTGTTTTCGTAGGCGGTCGTAGATGATCTCGCTGATCTCGTTTAAGAACCGTAGGCAGGTTTTCATATCGTCTTCAGTCGTCGGCATGCCGGTACATACCTACCTACCAATGGCACGGCCACAACAGATCAATGTCTAATCCGTGTTGGTAATAGGAACAGTAGCGTTTTGAATGCGCTTTCGGTGTGACCTTAGACCCTAACCTATAAGCGTGTGGGTACCATTTTTACTGCCTCGTAATGCCGAGTTGGCTTTTAATCCGGCCAAGTGCCGGCAGGCATCCCAAGAAGTTCAGCCCCAGAGTCGCATCCGTGTTACGTCTCCGCTTGTCTGCCTCTCGTTCTGGAGGTCAAAGCCGTCCCCCCCTAGCCAGTCGACGGATGCCCGTGAACAAGACCACGATACATGTCAGAGCAGCTCGTAGCCCCAGGCGAGAGATAGCTGACGAGAGGGAACTGAGGAACAGCGCTAGGGAGACCGTACCACCTACCTCATGCGGAGACATCTCGTCGGTTCTCGCATCAGCTGGGATAGCTGGCACTCTTTCCCGATCGTCGATCGTCGATGCGCCTCCGACGTGTCGCGAAGCCACACCCCTACGTGTTTGGCTGCCGAACATGTCGCTACGACCGGAGCGGGTGACTAGGCAGACCGTGGCCGCCCGATTCCGAAGCTGGGCCGGCATGCCGGCATGCACAAAATTCGGCCGGCGTACGAGTCGCTGCGGAATAGTACGGGGACTGCCGTGCCACGTTCCACCGGCTTCTCGCCCCTACAGTATCAGCTCCATCGCTTACGGACTTAGTCGACGGCTCGTCGTACCTACGCAGGCAGCGTGTGTGGCTTAGGCCCACGAGCAGCCCCTGACATGCGGATGGGCTCGGAGATGTCTCTCTCTCTCTCCCTCTCTCTGCAGCCAAGTACCCGCCCCTACATGACTCCCGATCGCGATCCATCCCAGCTACAGGGCCTACACCAGGCATCGAACCCAGGCACGTGAGCAGGCATGTTTCGATGCGTGTGGTTCTCAGGCGAGGTCGGCTAAACGCAACGCAACGCAACGCAACGCAACGCAACGCAACGCAACGCAACGCACAAACAAACAAACGAAGGAATGCAGGGTGCGCCGGGTTTTGTAAGACGGGCGAGGCGGGCGGTTTGCTCGTGTGGCCTAAGACGGGAGTGTCCCGCTCCCGATGGGTCGAGGCATCGGATGCGTAACCGATCTTAATCTTATGCATGCCCTTCGCCGAAGCGTCGCAGCGTTGGGAGCATCGGTTAGGCGACACGTGGTGGTGTGCTTCCCAGCGCTCGCGGTTGTGCTTGCCTCGCCCGTGTCGTGGGGGGACGCCACCTTCCCCAAGGACCTGGCTGGACGTGACGGGATGGGGCGAGCGCGTGGTTGCTTCGCGTGGTTGCTTCGCGTAGTTGCTTCGTGCGGTCGCTTCGTGCAGTTGCTTCCCACGGCACGTCTCGGCCAGTCGAAGTTTCCGCCGCGGCTAGCGTTAGGGCTTCGATGTGGCGCGACGACGCCTGGACGGGTTGAGGCAGAACCTCCTTCCTCCTGCTCTCCCTCTTGCTCTCCTTCCTCCTCTCCCTCGTCCCCCGCCTTCCCTGCCGCCAATGGCAGACAACGAGAAGGCGCAGGGGGGGACGAGGGGAAGCGTTTGCTTGGTGGCAACCGCGGCAGCAGGAGGAGAGCGTGAAGAGGCAGGAACGGGTGAGCGAGCGCCTGCGTAGGGTGGGAAAAGGGAGGCGAGAGCTAGAGGAGGAACGAGAGACAGGAGGAACGACACACACGCACACACGCACAGAGAGAAAGAGAGAGGGGAAGGAGAGGAAGAGGAAGAAGGGGGGACGAGGGGGAGTCACCGCCTAACCACCTACTACTATCCTGATAGGAGTATTCGCAGTCGACCCGGCCGACCTGGCACGACCGCAATCCTTCTAGCCGTTACACCACAGCATCAGCTCTCACCAAACCCTTTCGACCGGGACGCGCCACAGAACACACGGGCTGGCCAGAAACCAATCAAGACCCAGACCGCCCCGGCCGTATAAATAGCCTCGCTGCTTGCCTGCTGGATTTCCCTCTGCCTCTCGTCCGGCATCCCACACGCTATCTCACACGACGTCGACCATGACTTCGCCCACCGACCCCCAAGCCAAGGTATATTCCCACATCAACGGCGGCCATGACCATCTCTTGAGTCGTCTCGCCGTCTCTGAGCTCTGCAAGGGCTGGCCCGTCTACAGGGACGCCTCCGAGTGGAAGAACTTCCGCTCCCTGTTTTGCGACGACGCCTGTGTCTGGACCAGTCAGTAACCGTCTCCCGTTCCTCTTTCCCGTCGAGCCGTGTTGGGTGCTAACCAGGAGCGTCTCGCAGCATGGAGTGGGCGTCAGACGATAGATGGCTTCATTCAGAAGTCGAAAGAAGGCAAGGCGAACGGCGACTTTATCATGCATCGCGAGTGCGGCACTATGGTAGAGCTCAATGCCTCGGCCAACCGCGCCGTCGGCAAGATGAAGGCCACCATCACCCAACGCTTCAGGGTCGCGTCGGACGCTCCAGGTATCGACCCGGTCGTGTACGATGTAGACTGTGACTGCCGCTTTCACTTCCTCTGCCTCCGTCACCCGGATTCCGACGTGTGGAAGGTCAAGTACGTCAAGCTCATATACGATAAAGACAAGCTCGTTCCCGTCAACGGCAAAGACCTACCGAGCTTCTCCAAGGAGACGCTCGACAAATATCCTGAGGGATACAAGTTCCTCGGTGCGAGCCAAAGCATGCTGGGGCATGATATCGACTCGTTCCTCCCGACCATCCAAAGCCTGGAACACGGGCACGCCAACCCATTGTGGCTCGAGCTGTATGAGCAGGTGGGGCAGTGGCTCGACGGAGTGGAAGATATTGACCTATCCACGACGCGTTACCACTACAGCCTCTGAGGAGAGCGTAAGAGGTAGGCACTGAAAGGGATCGAAGCATTTGGCATGTGGGCAGATTGAAAGATGATGGACTAGCTTAGATTGACACCAAATGAAGGGGGAGGTGAGCGAGAAGGACACTCAATAAGAGGCTGCATATGGGAAGGGCACAAATACGATGATGTTCCAAGATGCCTATAAGTATATATATATATCTACCGATAGACCCGTTCGGCGTTTATCCAGTCTGAGAAAAGCCAAACGTCATGGGATCATAGGCCTTTTTTTTTTTTTAACTCCAACCTCTGTCTCTGCATTTCCGTCAGCACTCGAGCCCCGCGACTTCATCCATGTATACGGTGAGCGAAGAAGCGGAGAACGCAGCCTATTTTAAGAGATGTCAATCTGCAGAGATGTGGCATGTAGACTGAATACGGAGAATAATACGTTCTCGAAGCCGTCAGAGCCGAAGTTAGGCATGGGTTGCTCATTAGCCCTCCGCTAAGCCAATAAGACATCTCTTCACCCCGTATTTCGGCCACTGTAGGGTCGATAGCCGTATTTCTAGCCTCGACATGTTACAGGCGCTCGAGCTTCTGTCGACCCCAACTCTCTGACGGTCCTGCTGAGCGGCCCAGGGAGAAACTTGGAGCAGAGGTTGACCAGATCATATCCCGTTACGAATCGATTGCCTCCATGCAGGGTTGCCTAGGTACCTGAGCTCGCAGGCATAAACCTACCGGAGGAAACAGGGAGGCGGTTCCTACAGAGGCTGGGCATAGTGAATGGTCATTTAAACGAGATCGTGGCGTAGTCTCACCGTAGGATTACCAGCATGCCGTTACAGATACTGGTAGGTGATCCAAGAGTTACGTCGCAATTAGCTAAATCGGTGCCTGGCGGAGATAGCTAGGTAGAGGCAAGAGGACTTAGATAGGGCTGGTTCACGGAGGGGCGAGTAGGGTTTACTCATACTGACCGACCGTCGGAAAACACAAACACGAGCAGCGAGTTTCGGTCCTCAGCCGCAGAAACATGAGAAGAGTTGTGTACGGCAAAATATAAATACGCACGCCTCCGTCACCTAGTAGTTCTCAGGGAAGACCAGGCATCCAATCTCTCCTACCAACTGCGGCCACGACGACAACCTCAACTGGCTCATCCCACCCACCTACCTTATCTCCCCACCTACCTGCCTCTCTCACTCGACACGCTTTTCCGACACAGCCCGATCGCGCGACACGATGCTGCGAGGGACCGGCGTTTCGCTATGGCTTAGGCTCCTGCTGGTGACGGCAGCGGCGGGCGCGGCCGTCGAGGCGGCGTGCGGGACGCCGACGACGACGCAGGAGGAGGCGACGGCGACGGCGTGCGAGAACCCGAACCAGACGACGGGGTACCCGGACTACAACCAGTTCTGCCAGTGCCCGCCGTACGCGGCGGACTCGCCGGCGTTCGGGAACCCGTACCTGGGGCTGGTGCGGTGCGACACGAAGTGCCGGCCGGCGAACCCGGCGCAGACGCAGGTGCGGCCCGAGAACGACAGCCTGCAGGCGTGCATGGGCGCGTGCACGGGGTCCTACGAGAAGGCGAGGAAGCGCGGCGAGCTCGCGGCGCGCCAGAACGACGACGACTACTGGTACTGCCACGGCGTCAACTTCGTCCAGGGCCAGCTCTGCGAGTTCATCGGCGCCCTCGGCGACCGCGAGTTCGTCGCCGGCAGCGGCTCCGACTGCTGGTACCTCGATTAGAGCGCACCCGGACGACGCACCGCATCCCGTGGCAGGCCGGAGGGCGAGAGAGCGCTTGCCATAATATTAGGCGCAGACAAGGCCATCGGCGCGATGGTCAGGGCTTCTCCAGTGTATGCCTCTAGGCATCATCGCGCCTAGAAAGACCAGGGCGCGTCAATGCAAGGCGTCCGCCTATGTACGTGTGGATATACATTGATGGTTTCCACATAGCTATATGTACTCTTTAATTCTCGCTTCACATCTCTCTCTATGTATAAATTTCGTTGTCAGCCAGAGTGCTGCGTCCACCTTTGCGATATGCACGGACTTAGAATTTCGCGACTGAATATACCTACCTAACTTACAAGTCTGCTTATGCTCGTGCTCGAGTGTACCTAGCTTTCGTCGGCTCACCAGTAGCCGACCTCTTCCACGAGGAGAAACCACGCAGGTAAGCGTATGCGTCGAGGGGACTCAGCTGGGGGGAAGCCCCCTCCTCCTTCTGACCTCGTAGACGCCGCGCATAGTACTTTGTGAAGGGCATATAACGGAACGTGTCGAATCGCATCTCTCGATACGTCAGCTTATGGGGGAACACATGGTTTGGTATTGTCGTTAAGAGAGCAAGCTAGGTATCCCAATTGCAACCGATGGAGTGCATAATAGGTATTTGGATGCCGACGTCTGTTCCCGCGCCGGAAAGGGGTAATAAAAATCGCTTCCTGCAACATCCGACCCAGCCCAACCTCCAACAACCGATGGGTCCGAGTCATCACGGGAATTCGCGACGGACCTAAAAGCGCGAAAGAGGCTTGAGAGCTGGGAGGGGAAGTTGTACCCTAACATGGATTGTCAGCCCAGATCCAGCGACGGAGCCAGCCAACATTACATGCGCAGAAGGCTCCCCTGGTGCCGGTGTGCGTGATGTGGCTTGCGAGATAGCTCCGATTCCCCGGAAGTACACCCTTAGACCGGAACAGGCCGATTGTAGACGCAGAAGGCCAATAGATCCGCGACGGCTCGGCGACCTCGTTCTCGAGGAGATTCCTTTCTCCTGGCCTGCTTCCGCCCAACTTTGAAAATTTCCCGCAAGTTCACAGCAGCCCGGATTCACGGCGGGTGGTACCATTCATCGTCATTTTACCACATGAATCTTCTTCCCGCCAGCGAGACGGTTGGCAAAGCAGGAGAAGTAGAGGACAGCCAGCGTCAGGGGACTCACAGACTTCGTCGCGGAGGGAGAGGGTAATTAATTAGAAGACGCTATACGACGATGTTGAGCCAGGTAAACAACGCCGCGGGATTTAGTACGAGAGGCTACTGAGTGCGTCGATGACGACGGCACTATGCTAACGGATAGCCACCGGAGGAGAATAAGAAACGAAATCGGGGCTTGGGAGATGGAAATCGTAAGATCGTCGGGCGAGGGAGGCTGGTGGACGCGGCCCTCGGTCACGTACCACCCTCGCGCGTGGGACAAGATATGTACGGATGGGCACACATAGCATCGCGTTTCGTCGACGGGGCGGAGGAGAGGGGGACAACGATAACCAACCTACTATTTGAGTAGTTATGCATGTACATATGGGAATACGCGGGCGGGTGCATCCAGGGGGGGGGAGGGATATCCGCTCTACCGATGTCTCCGCGGCGCGACGGCAACTTCGTCGACCGAGAATGTTGTTTCATTGGGCGCAGCCAGGGAGGGAGCGTGGCTGGATCGATCGTAAGCCGTGGACGAGGCCTGGCTGGCAACCCGGGGCTAGGTAGTTAGTTGGGAACGGAGAGTAGCGAGTAAGACGTAGCTCAGCTCGCCCTCTCGGCACTAAGGCCTGACGGCGCAGGCGAATCGCGAAGAGGCAAGCGACTTGTCATGAAACCGCCGACGACGACTACGAACAGGTTCAAGCGAGGGATAGCTCGCAGGGAGTAACTCCGCCCGGACCGCCCGGAGTGACAGACAGACGCAGGTTGGTATCGAAAACCACCCTCTTTTCTCCCGGCCGACTTCGCATATGGTACCTGAGCTAACAATTGCCTTGCCAACCCGACTATTCTACCTAAGAAAGCAAGGTGAGGGATATTTGCGTTGCTTCGCCGCCGCCGCCGCCGTAGCACTCGACGGATTGATGGTGTATGGCTTGGCAAATATGAATGTCTTAGGTAGATCCATATCTGCTGCGCATGGATGTGGTTCCTTTTTCTTACGCGTATTGACGACGGGCTCAGCCTCTCCCGTGCGAGACCAGGTAGAGAGCGCCCTGTCTGTCGGGATTGGGCTGTTCTACCTTTCGTCCTTGGCGTCTTAGAGTGTTGCCAGCTTGAGATCAGGAGGGGGGGGGAGAGAAAGCTCCGGATTAGATATAGGTACCTAGGTACGTTACCTAAATTTCCTGGTCGCAAAAAGCGAAAGAAGAAAAAAAAAGGAAGAACATCCCCAGATGAGAAGAGTCATAGAATCGTCGATTCGGCTACCAGTCAAGTCGAAGAAATATGTAAGTCAGCTTGGCCGTTGAATCCCTGTCGGTGATGACGACACACATAGATAGGTACGGCACGGACGTATTCCGGTGTGTGGATGTATAACACTCTGGCGGGCTAGAGGTACCTACCTACATCCCGAATCACACAATACATCTAGGTAGAACTACCTAATTTCTCGTATATACATCGGAGGTAATAGAGGTACTGTGCATGCGGCGCTTGGGGTTAGAACGAGTCGCGCCGGGACGTGCGGCACCAACGCCCTCGATAGAGCAGACGAGGTTTTGCGGGAGGAGATGGAGAGATGGATTCGAGATACATAAAACTACCTAAGTCTGGTTAGTCTATTCGTGTTAAGCCCCCAGTTGTTCCGTATTTTGTGGGGGCATCCCAACATCTGCATTGAGTCTGCGATCGGGTGCGTTCAGAAGAGAGAGAGAAAAAAAAGCTCGATAGTCCCGCGCGTCTGTTTTCGAGGATGAAAAGTGTGGCCAAGAATACCATGTAAGACACCTACACTAGGTCCCTGAGGACTTATGAGTAGGGATCGCCTCTACGTGGATACGTCATGTACCTCACACGCGGTTTCACGTCATATGACACGTCCGACGCTACGTGTGTGCCTTCGTTAGGAATTACGAGCGCACATCAATGCCTAGCATAGCAGGAGTTGGTCTGCACATCTGCACATGTATACGGGTATCTATGCTTATCTGCACCAATTAGGCATATAAAATCAATATATATCTTTACGGGATCTCTTGACGAGGACACATCCGTGGCGTGTGTATGTGCTATTATGGTATGTACACACAACCCAGGCTTGTCCATAGTATTAGTAGATGACTGAATTTGTAAAACGCAAAACCTCGCCTTACCGCACTGGGCAGTCGGACGGTGGAGCCCGGCTTATGGTGTTTAGCGTGTTCATGCGGTGTGGCTTGACAGCCGGGCTATCGACGGAAACATGGGACACATCGCCCCCATCCAATGTGTGTACGTACTACATGTATACATAGGTACCTATCATAGATCCCTTAGGTAGGAGGTATCTAAGGTACATCCGATATTGATAGTACATGTAGGCTGATCGCGTGTTTCCGCGACGATTACCTTGCTTCGCAACTATCCGTCGCATGGAGACGTTTTAGCGAGCGAGATGCTTCGGTTTCCGAAGACCGGTTCGCATGGTCGGTCTGTTTAACGTGTGACTTGGGTGTATGTATGCGGTATGTGTAGGCGTTCGTCCAACCGCTGCCGGCTCCCCCGTACTGCCCTTTCTCGTTCAAATTCCCGATCTAGATTAGCAGCTAGGGTGCCTCAGGGTATAGGTATAAGGCAGTTCTGGATCCGGGCGGGGTAAGGTCGGAGTGCGTGGCCAATAAATATCACGAGAGCTAAGGGGGGAAAAAAAAGAGGGTGGAAATAGACAAGGAGAAGAGAATTGGGAACGGGAAAAATGGAGACATTCCTTGTGGTTACATTTGATAAGTCGTCGTGTTTATGCCGCGCCGGCTGCGTCTGGGCGATTACCTCAACGTGATCTTTCTCCCTCTCCCAACCCGTCACCTCGTCCGCCAACGTGCTACGTAGTAGATAGGGCGCCTCGCTTTCATCCATCTATCTACTTGTATATGCACAGACGTGCTGCGCTGTCTTGATCGTCGCACTTAGCCTGACCCGGCGTGAATCGAGATTGATACCTACATCCTGTGGGATCTCAAATTCGAAATCTCAATCCGAGCGCCGAGCGCCTTGGCGTCCAGGGTAATATATCGGGATATTTGAGACAGGAGAGGGATCGTAGCTAGGATCCGTCTTATACACGTACACATGCCCGCTTACTTACCGACCTTACCCCCAACGCTTACTTACAACCATATGCATCCGTGCCAGATGCCGACCTCTCCCTGCTCACCTCCGAATAAACAGCGTAGGCGCCTGGATGCCGAATACAGATTCGTGAGTATAGGTAGATGTCTGGACTTAGCGCTCTACGATGGGCATAACCTAAGGCAGTGAATGAAGGGATTGCTAGCGTCGGTACCTAGCCGAGGTGTAGCGCCTGACCTACTATAATAACCGCAAAGGGTCAGCACCCACCGGCTGCGCGATACGCAACCTTATACCGCAAGGTCCGCTATGGCAAGGTCCGCTAGTGCGATATCGGGTAGTGAGAGGGTACATCATAGGATGATAATCATCTGCACCTGGTCTAGCCTATGGGCCACCCTCCTTCTTCCCCCCCCCCGTCTTATTAGTCCACTTGCGCCCTGTCACCTGCAAATTCTGCCGTCTCCAGCAACCCCGGAAGGCTGGTTAACCTCATCGACGACCATCCATCCCGTCCCATCCTATCCTATCCCGTCGATCGCGCGCCGAAGGCTAGTCGAGGAGGTGACGCAAAAACCCGCACGTCCCGGCCGTCGTCATCATCGGCGAGGCAGTCATCGCCCTCTGCCTCCTCACCGCTCTCGACAACCCGCCTCCTCCTCTACCCTAGCTAGCTACCTAGATCGGTAGCCTTAGGTTAGTTGCATTTCTCTGCCTTGGGTGCCGCCTAAGCACCGCATACAGGTAGCGGTAGCCTGCCTGCCTGCCTATACTCATACCTACATGGCATACCTGTAGTTCCCTATCTCCCGCCCTAGCCTCTACCGGACGGTACGGCAATTGAATCATGTCGCTATGCCTCAAGTATACGTGCTTCCATGCCTCCTCCTCCACTATTGCATGGGAACCTTGCGATCGCCCGCCCCCCTTCAACCACATCACCACCACCACACATCACACCCTCGTCCTTCATTCTCCCACGTCCTCCCTCTCCAGCCCTCCCCTGCCATTCACCCGCAAACGATTCCCATCGCTGTCCGCAGTCCAGACATGATACATCCTTACCCATATGCATGAATTTAACGCACACGCACACATGTATCCGTGCTTACCAACCACGTAGGTGGGGCAGAACCTGCATTCGACCGTAGTCCGGACTGCCCAGCTCGGTGTCTTCTTCTCTCCATCCACGACGGCGGTACTCCTTCGTCGCCTCTACGATCCTATCCTATCTGGTAGCCCACTGCCGGTTGTCTCGCCCTGTCCCGCCTAGCCGTGTCGTGTCGTGTCGTATCCCATCCCGCCTGCGGTGTGTCTCTAACACCTACCCGTGGAGAATTGGGTTTTCCCCGGAGTCGATCATGACTTGCTTATGATTCATGGGTCTTGCTGTACGAGTATGTACCTACTTTCCTGTTCCCCTCTCCTTCTACCTATCTTTTCCTCCTCTTCCTCCTTTTCCCTCCCACGCCTCGTCGTACTGGACTTTTCTTCTTCTTCTTCCCCCGGTTCCCCTTGCTTAGGGTGTCCTCTTCCGGCTTCTCGCGTGCTCCCCTTCTCCTAGCTTGGGTATCTAGGCTACCTGGTTCCGTCCATCTCTATCCCGTCACGCGTACCACGTACTCCCTGCATACATGAACTACATACATATCTTCTTCCACTACACCTTGTGTTCTGCTTAGCATGGGATTAGACCTTTCCGTATGACTTGGGCTGGATAGGTCTGCTGGTCGATCACTCTATATCACGTAATTCGTCACTTGGTCTAGGATGCACTCTATAGCATACTTCCATATCTCCTGAATTCATAACCCCCTTACTCCCCCACCCTCTCTCCTAGCGGTAGACGTCTCCTTCGGGTCCTCGCATTCTTTGGTTGCCGAGTATTCTTTAGCTCTTCGCCACCCTAACAACATCATCATGACAGAAGTAAGCGGTCCCGAACGCCCGGAACACCAGGCGTACCCCGTAGTCGGCAACGTCTACTATAGGCCGAGGACCCAAGAACGGAGGAACCGCGCGGCCGCGAGCCTCCCAACCCCGCATATTCGACCTCGCTCCCGACGACCCCAGTCTATCCACATCGTATCCTTTCCTCCCGGCTACACCCCTCCCGACTTGAGGCCGTCCACCATCCCCATCTCGAAGCCTAAGAAGCCCAAGAAGCCCAAGAAGCATCCTGCCGAGGTCAAGAAAGGCGACAAGTCCGGGTATAGCTCGCCGCGAAGGGTAATTAATAAGGTGCTGGGTCCTCTAAAGCTTCATTTCTCCCACAGAGTCACCGCCGACGCACTCGTGTCGCCCTCCGCCCAAAGCTGTCCGAGCGCGGACAGTGCTGGTGTACCAGCTACTCGACCATACTCGATGATCGCCCTTCCTCCGCCCGGAGCAGCCTCGATGCTGGCCCCCGTCGCCATGGCCGAGTTGCGCCGATCGCCGACGCGGACCCGCGGACCGGGCCACCCGCACAGAAATAGCGTCATGTCGGTACGCTCGGCCAAGAGCGTGATGAGCTCGGTGATGGAGGTGCCGAAGCCTATCGCGAGCGGGAGCGGCGTTTCTTGTTCCATCATCCTCGCCGAGCCGAACGTCTTCCTCACGGGGTTTGAGCACGACGGGCACCAACGGAATGATGTTGCGAATTCGACGTCCTTGCTGAGGGGCAAGCTACAGTTGAACGTTACCAAGAATGTCAAGATAAAGTCTGTCACGCTCAAGCTGCACGGCAGGGCCAGGACGGAATGGCCGGAAGGCATCCCCCCACTCAAGGTTGACCAATTTGAAGAGGAGTCTCTGCGAACGCAAGTGCTGACCTTCTTCCACGCCATGCACGAGTCATGGGAGACTGAGTATGGGAACCAATGCACTTTCTCGCTACGTGTAACCGACCCCCCTTTTGCTTCCACGGGCCGTCGTGCCGCCTCACCCACGCAGTCCACGGTGTCTCTAGCGTCGAGGAACAGGCCTTCGGGACACCTCACCGCTAGGGACTATAAGCGGCTATCTCTACAGTCGGTCCAGTCCCGCAGCTTCGGCAGAGGAGACACGCCTAACCCGAATATCCCGCAGCAGAAAACTTACAAAGTTTTCTACCCCGGCACGTACGAGTACTCGTTCGAATTGCCAATCGACCACCATCAGCTCGAGACCACGAAGCTCCAATTCGGATCGGTCAAGTGGGAGCTCGAGATGATAGTGGAGCGGGCGGGCGCCTTCAAGCCAAATCTTCACGGGTCGAAGGAGGTGAGCATCGTTCGGGTTCCCGACCAGTTATCCCTCGAGATGACGGAGCCCATCTCGATTAGCAGGCAGTGGGAAGACCAGCTACATTACGACATCATGATCTCGGGAAAATCCTTCCCTATAGGCACAAAAATACCTATTGCATTCAAACTAACCCCCCTAGCCAAGGTTCAAGTCCACAAGCTCAAGGTATTCGTGACCGAGTCCATCGAGTATTGGACAAACGACCGGAGAGTTACCCGAAAAGACCCGGGACGCAAGATCTTATTGCTTGAGAAGTCGGCAGGGAAACCTCTCGACAAGCAGTATGCGTCGTCAGATGTACGGGTGCTCAGCGGTGGCGAGCTCACCCCGGAGCAGAGGTACGAAGCGCGTATCGCGGCGCAACGGCGTCGAAGTCTGGACGCATCGAGGGCGCACACCGTCCCGGAGCCGCTACCCGCTCCTGCGGACAATTTGCTGGGCGATCTCGACCTGGGGTTGGAAGCTTACTGGGGGTCGACGGAGATCGAAATGAACGTCCAGATCCCAACCTGCGAGCAGATGGCCAAAGATAAGAACTTGCGGTTGCACCCGGACTGCAGTTGGAAAAACGTCCACGTCTACCACTGGATCAAGGTAAGTTGCTTCGGCTCATCCAGTATCGAGCGATCGACTTACACCCGTGCAGATCGTCATGCGTATCTCTCGTCTCGATCCAGACGATCCGGCGGGGAAGCGTCGGAGGCATTTCGAGATCAGTATCGACTCGCCTTTCACCGTCCTTAATTGCCGCGCCACCCAGGCCAACACTGCTCTTCCAGAGTATTCGGGGGCCGAACAGCCTATTTACCACCAGCAGGCAAGGTGCGGCTGTCCCGACGCCGAGGTTCTTGCCACAAGTCCTAGTCCCGCGTCGAGCACCGGCACGATACCCTCTGTGGGGACCGGAACGAGTGGCCCCAATGCTGAACTCCCCAATGTCGCGCCACCACCAGCCGCCCATCTGCAATGCCAAGCCAGTGGGGGTTCGCGGACAGCCCAAAGGCCAGCATATTACCCGCAAACCGTTGCGCCGCGACCCATACATCTACTGAGACATCCAAGCTTCAACCCGCCTGCATTCGACGACGACGACCCGCCGCCGCCGATGTCCACGCCGCCGCCGCAGTACGACACTGTCGTCGGAACCCCCAGCGTCGACGGGCTCGCCGACTATTTCGCCAGGCTAGCCAGCTACGATGAAGGTGACTCGGACAGCGCAGACGAGGGTATCAGCACCCCCAGCAGACTTACGGAACGGAGCGGGCGCGTTAATGTACCACACCCGAGGACACCGGGCGGTAGAAGCATACAGAGTAGGAGCTTAGAGATTCAACGTCCGTTGATGCCCGCGGCAACAGTACTCAGCATAGCCGGCGAGATATCCGGGCGTAGGAGTTGATCGGACCCGCTTGTCCCGCAGAGGGTTTCGGCGCGAAATGGATGCACGGTACCTACTATTTATCGTCTCGCAAATACTTATGCCAGAGCCCACGTCGGGGAAGTTTTGGAATTCGGATCCACTGCCACCACCATCATGATGGCCATCATCCTTGTCGTTATTAATCATCCTCGTCGTCGAGAGCGGAAGTATTAGATTGATACCCTCGGGGCTGTTACGTCGAGATTTTAGCATTCCAGGTTGTCGCTAAGGGCCTAGACCGAAAGGGGAGTGTGTGTGGGTTTCTTTTTTTTTTTCTTTCCTTCTAGCGATCAAAGGCACGAATCTTAGCACGCACGCATAGAATTCCCGGCTCCAAAACACAAGATGGTTCCTAGCATTGCGGCTCGCATAGATGGCACGAGGTCGAATTTGGATTAATACATCGTCGCGCCTTTTTTTTTTTTTACAGGAAAAAAAAGGGGCGGAATGGGGGGAGGAGAGGAGGGGGGGGGGTTTCTGGGTAGTCGTCGGCCGGCATTGTTCATTCCCTTTCATAATCCCCCCTTCCCACCCTGTCTGTCATAGGTACTCTAGTTCCGCAGGGTTGGGGAATAAAGGGTGGTGTAATCACGCAGTATTGTGTATCAGTGTCAAAAATAGGCCCTAATGGACGAGAAGTACTTATTTCGTTTACGAAGTCTTCGGACGGAGGGAGGGAGAGGGGAGCGAGGGAAGAGCGAATACCCCCCCAAGTACTATCTAACCAGGGAAAAGGTTGTACCTAGATGTCCCAGAAACGAAAACCAAGCACGTCTGCGCAGCATCTGCCAACCCTGGCCAACTCCCGTCCGCTCGGAATCCCATGCAATGTCTGCTGTCCGATCTAGCCTTGGTGGATCGGTCGCGGGCCGAGGGCTGGGTAGGTATGTTAATAGTTCACATGCGCCCGACGCTATCGAGCGAGTAGACCGAAGTTGGCCACGGACGAGCCAAGGTTTTTTTTTTTTTTAATTATTTCTCTCGCCGGTGGTTAGATGGACGGAGCTTGGTGTAAGTTGTTGTCGGCGCGGCGAGAGGCAGGTTACGTTGAGTATTAAGAGTCGATCGGATGCTGTGGCATATTAGATATCTACCCACGTCTGCCTGGGTAATGTCTCGCACTGGTGGTGGCGGCTTGCGAGGAGGAGAGAGGGCAATTTATTAGGTAGATGTCAGACTCACCTCACCCATTCTGCTACGGGAAACTTGCTCGTGGGAAGTTTGCCGCCAGGAGAGCCGCCTGCGCGGGGGCTAACCCGAATGTTAGGTATATTCCCCCCCATGTTTACCTCCGTCTCGGTAAGGTATTGCGCACCTGACTTTCCTATTCGGGCAACCGTTCGCGCTCCGTCCGCTCCGCAAGTCGTATTTCGGGAGCGAGCTCCGATTCAAGGGAACAGAATTTTCCGCGTCCATCAACGCCGCGGGGAGGGGGGGATGGCCCCTAACATAGTACAAGTAGAATCCGTCCCCGTCGCTGCTACGGCTAAGGTCCCGAAACGCGCCATGTCTTCCGCTGGACGGAAGCAACCAAAAGGGAATGCCAACCCATCCGGACCCCTGCGCAACGCCCTATTGGCGGAAACGCGACGTCGGAGCGCCGTCGTCTTTTGCCTCGGCCGTCGACTCTCGCAGCTCGCGTGCGCCTATATAGGTACGCGTATACCAATCTAGGGACGTCGTACACACCCAACGTAAGCGCCGGCGGCCCGTCCCTGCAGTTCAAATCGACGTTCTGATTGTCGTATATTACTTTGCGACCCTCCGGACCGGTCCATCGGAAGCACACAGACATACGCGGGGCACCATGCGTATCTCCACGTCGGCAGCGGCGCTCCTGGCGCTGCCCGGTGTGACAGGGCAGCTTCACCAGCTCGCTAAAGCGGCCGGGAAGCTGTATTTTGGCTCCGCCACCGACAATGGGGAGCTCTCGGACGCGACCTACGTCAGTATCCTCAAGGATGCCGACATGTTCGGCCAGATCACGCCCGGGAACGGACAGAAATGGCAGTACACCGAGCCGACTCGGGGTTCCTTCTCGTTCACCGCAGGTGACCAGATTGCGAGCTTTGCCCAGTCCAACGGCCAGCTACTGAGGTGTCACGCGCTCGTCTGGCACTCCCAGCTACCCAACTGGGGTACGTCATCTTCGCCGCCTCCTAGGTTACCGCGAATATGGGAATAACACTAACAGCGACATGATTAGTTAGCAGTGGCACCTGGACGGCCGCCGAGTTAACCTCTGTCATCAATACGCACATCGCCAATGAGGTGGGACACTACAAGGGCCAGTGCTATGCTTGGGACGTGGTGAACGAGGCTCTCAACGAGGACGGCTCGTATCGTGACTCGGTGTTCTATAGGGTCTTGGGCGACTCGTACATCCCCATCGCATTCAAGGCCGCCGCCGCCGCCGACCAGGACACGAAGCTGTACTACAACGACTATAACATCGAAGGGAGCGGTTCCAAGCAGCAAGGTACCATCAAGATCGTTAAGCTTGTCCAAGACGCCGGGGGTAAGATCGACGGAGTAGGCATGCAGGCGCACCTCATCGTCGGATCCACGCCTAGCCAGAGCACGCTCGAGAGCGTCATCAGGTCGTACATCTCGGCGGGCGTCACTGAGGTGGCCTACACGGAGCTAGACATCCGCTTCAGCAGCCTACCGCCGAGCGAGTCGGGCCTTCAGCAACAGGCGAGCGATTATGGGGCGGTTACGCGGGCGTGCCTGGCGGTCGACGCGTGCGTCGGCATAACGATCTGGGACTACACAGACAAGTACAGCTGGATCCCGTCCGTGTTTCCGGGGTCCGGGGCGGCGCTGCTCTGGGACGAGAACTTCTCGCGGAAGCCGGCGTACAGCACGGTCAGCAGCATCCTGCGTGCAGCGGCAACAGGCGGCGGCGGAAGCACCGGCATCCCGACAGCAACTTCAACGGCGCCGGAGCCGACGTCCACGTCTTGCACGGTGGTGAAGTGGGGGCAGTGCGGCGGTAGAGGTTACACGGGATGCACGGCCTGCGCGTCTGGCTCTACCTGCACCTATTCGAACGATTATTACTCGCAGTGTCTGTGAGCCGCTGGAACAGGGCCGAAACGTCGGGCTTTATCATATCCGCTACTATCATAGAGCAGAATAGAAATGGACCCGTGGCGTCGTCCTTCTTCGTATCGTGCACTCGATCGTCTAAATGAAGATTTGAGGGATCGGCCAATGCTCTGGGCGATCCGGTTTCTCAGGAGAGCATCGAGAGGGTAACCGCATGCTGTTATCGCCGGGGCCGTTCTAGCTCAGCGAGCTCTGTGCCTGCCTGGCCCATAACGTCGTCTCGAGAAATGAGAATAAGCTCGCTCGTGACTATGCTTACGCTCGTGCCTCCGCCGCTCGGTCACTGGAGGTTAGCTGTACTACCTTTCTGACCCGATATGCCTGTTCGCCTGCCTATCTCAAGGCGCTCGTAATTCGCCGAGACCCGCTCCTGTTTGGTGGATAGAGATACGTGTTCATCATGACGAGGCGCCTCTTTCCTCCCCGCTCGTAGAGGAGTGAACCGCGGCTTGCTTACCAATTCGACAGTAGAAGATGAGCTCTCCCATCAGCGCGCAAGCGAGCGACGGCGAAAATGAGCGAGCGGGCCCAGACATTTTTCGATTAGAACGTCTAACCCTCTGTGTTTCGTTAAGCACCCTCAAGGGCGATTTTCGCCCTCGGCTCTCACCTGCTTATGTATCTTGCAGCGAGATTCTCGGGTCAGGGAATTTTCGTCCTGCTGACGCCATAACGAAATGGTTAACTTAGATCCTCCGAATCCGTCCCCAACCCACAGGAGATCTCTCGAGCTAATACCGCAAGAGGAAGAAAGACGGATATGGCCAGTCCAAAGCGAAGTATGTAAACTCCCCCCGCCTCGCTGAGCAGAAGTTTGCTCGCGGGAGACATGGAAGAGCTGAGAGGAGCCCGCAGATGGAAGCTCATGCCTTTCGTGAGACGTGGAGTCTGGGGTGGGGAGGGTCAGCCGTGCTCAGGCATCTCCAGAGAACTGACAACACCCTAAACGCCGATGACCCATACGGAATGGCCTGTTGAGATTTGAAATCGCTTACATTTGCATGAGTCACGTCCTTTTCGGACCTGCGACACCCCTTCCGTTGTTTCCGAGCATGGAGCCGTAAGAGAAGATCCACGAGACGCGAGATGGTTGCTTGAGACGACGCAGATTGGCATTGTCGCCGTGCGAAGAGAGGTAGGTAGGGATTGTGCCTTGGCAAGATTGGATCTGCAGCCGGCTGCCGTCCAGCCCCGACGGGAAAGCTGGTGGTGTGAAATTGGCCAATAGGACTGGAAGCGTCATGCCTCGCGAAAGGGTCTGGGGCCATCATGTACCCACGCTGTCGAGAGCTGTACGCTGCAGCAAGGTGTCGGGGCGCATGAGAAAGATGCGCCTATTCATACGGACATGCAGACGAAGAAGTGGGCAGCAGCGGCGTACGGTCCAGGTGAGCACAGGGTCCATGCTACGAGCACAGGCGCCAACGTGCATTTCCAGGTTCCGGTGGGTTGCGTATGCGGCGATCCCGGTTCTTGGTGATCAAGCTGACGTAGGATAGGACGCGGGATGTAGATAGGTAGACGGAGAAGAGGAGAGAAGCAGAGGCGACAAGAATTATGAGGCGGGATTAATGAATTGCAGCCGTTAACTTCGTCTAGGGATGTAAGAAGGAGTTCAGTACGTAAGGTTACCTAATTCAATAAAGATATCGTAGGTGTAGGTGTCTACCAGGTAGGTACCTTAGGTACCTATGAGTGTAGACATCTACCTGCTTCAGTACCTCCTCTCCAGCAATAAATTGTACGGAAGGCTCAGTACTTGACTAATCGATCAAGGGGGTAATAGGTACCTAAGGTACTTTGGTTAGGTACCTCCTACCGGACCCAAGCCCTAAAGCCTCGATTTGTCATCAACCATCTCACAGCACCAGAACGCTGAGGGAAGCCGTCCACCAGGTCTCGATACTGGCCTGAATAGCTTCGGGGGGGCGGAATTGTTTTGACCATAGTAGTAGTTGGGCTCCTAGTATAGCGAATATACCTATGGTAAAGATACAGCGCAAAGATACGACGTGGTGATAGGCCCTCGGCTGTCACGACGTAGGTAACGACAACGCCCATCTCTGAATGGAGTCGTGGGAAGAGTCCGCGTTACAAATGTCAAGACGGCTCTCCGCTCATGCCAAGGCTAGCGTGCTGCTAGGCATGCCACTTTTTAGGTCCAAGACGCGAGCTTCGCTATGGATGGTGTGCAACGAAGTTGGGGCTCCCCGCTAGCCTTGCCCGCTCTCGTTTACCACCTCCCCCCCCAACCTAAACCAAACCTCGCTCTGGGACTACGACTATACCCTATCAGCTAAGAACTTACGCCTAGCTTAGAAATCCGACCTGACAAATCTCCTCCCTCTTACATCGTTACAGACGGGGTAGGGGTTTGGGTCGTAGGCAAGTCACCAATCGCCTAACGCGGCCACGTTTTACCTACTGATCTGGGTCCATTCTTAGTACAATTGTCTTGGCCTTTTTTTCTATCTCGGTCCATGGCGAGGCGACCGGACGGGGGGCCGAGACGTCGGTCCGACATACCCCCACGGGGACATATATATAGCGCTAAGAAGGTAGTTCTAGCGAAGAAAACGAGATAGGTAGATTATGTTCACGACTACCCACGAGCGACTTTCAACATCCACATAGACACCTAGGATATATTTATACTCCCGAAGCCTCTCTGAAGCTATTTGCCCCTCGTCCGTACGTCGCGAATAGGAACGATGGCCTCGTCGTCACGCCTCTTTCAACCGCTCAAAGTGGGCAGGGTCACCCTCCAGCACCGCCTGGCGATGGCTCCGATGACACGCTTCCGAGCTGATGCCAACCACGTCCCCCTCCCCTCCGTGAAGGAGTACTACGAACAGCGCGGCGCTGTACCGGGGTCCCTTCTTATCACGGAAGGGACCTTCATCACCAAACGGGCCGGCGGCTACAACTTCGCCCCCGGAATCTGGTCGCAGGAGCAGATTGCGGCGTGGAAAGAGGTCACGGACGCCGTCCACGCCAAGGGCTCCTTCATCTATGTACAACTGTGGGCCCTGGGCCGCACCGCCGATCCGGAGGTCACCAAGGCCGACGGCGTCGAGTTACACTCCGCGAGCGCGATCCCGTACGCCGAGGGCAAGCCGATCCCGAAACCGCTGACGATTGACGAGATCCAATCCTACGTGGCCGACTACGCGCAGGCGGCGCGCAACGCAATCGAGGCCGGCTTTGATGGCGTCGAGGTCCACGGCGCCAACGGCTACCTCCCCGACCAGTTCCTGCAGGACACGTCCAACCAGCGAGAGGACCGGTACGGCGGCAGCATCGAGAACCGCGCGCGCTTCCCGCTCGAGGTGGTGAGCGCGGTCGTGTCGGCCATCGGCGCGGACCGGACGGCGATCCGGCTGTCGCCGTGGTCTACGTTCCAGGGCATGCGCATGGAAGACCCGATCCCGCAGTTCACGTACCTGATCCGGGAGCTGCGGAAGCTGAAGCTGGCGTACCTGCACGTGACGCAGGCGTACAGCCCGGACGACAGCCCACTGGAAGGGCCGGCCGAGAAGGCGACGTTCGCGGTCGAGGCGTGGGACAGCGAGGCGCCGGTGATCATCGCGGGCGGGCTGCAGCCCGACAGCGCGCGCGCCCTCGTCGACGACGAGCAGAAGCACCGCAACGTGATCGCGGGCTTCGGCCGCTCGTGGATCTCGACGCCGGACCTGCCGTTCCGCCTCAAGCACGGGATCCCGTTCGCGCCGCACGACTACACCAAATTCTATAGCGCGGGCGCACCCGAGGGCTACATCGATTACCCGTTCAGCGAGCAGTTCGCCAAGACCCTGAAGCTGTAGGGAGGGAGGGGAGCCGCGGCGGCGGATTAGCACGACAGGATGCGCCGACTCGTGATAGAGCAAAGCGGCGGCTTCTACCCACACACTCCGTCGTCCGACAGCCGTGTTGCGACTGGTCGTAAGTGGCTGCATGGTGGAGCAGGCATAGGGCGACGCCACGGCGGGGGAGGAGGAAGAGGGGTAACACGCGTTACCGCGAAGCCGTTTCTTGGGCGTCTAAGATTGCATAGGCGCACGCGAAGGGTTCATATGCTATCGAAGGTGCGGTGGCGCAAGATGAGTGTAGATCTGTACCTATTTCCCACGCGCCCTTATCGGTATAGTCCCACCTGCTTCTGGATACCTACTTAAGTACATAGTTAGACGGATTCTTCCATCCCTGTGCATCAATTACAATAGATAGATACCTACCTCCCTAGAATATTCCTCACCGTTCGACTGCGCGGTATGAAGAGGCGTGAGAGAAGTGGGTGCTCCCTAACTAGCTCCTAATACCTACTAGGTAATAGGCAGGCATTGCGTATTATACATAGTCTGTGCTTGCTCGTAAGGCCTGGTTTCCTACGCGAGATCGACAATGAGCTTGGGTGACAGGTTCATCTACATATATCTGTTGCGTAAAACGTAGACGCCTACATTACGCTGTACGGTATGTAGGCATATAAAGGCTGGTTCAATTGCTACGTGACAATATCTAATACCTACCTTCCCGAGGTAAGGCTCTGATGATGTAGGGTGGCTTCGAGGAACGAGCCAGATGCCGTAGCCTAGAAAGGTCGTTTAATTAAAATCCGCCATCCCCTCTCGCGCATATCCACTCAGGTACCCGTCTTCCCGGCGACGTGCGCTTCCCCCCAATGCCGCCGATAAAGGGACCGCAATCCCACCAATCCTCCAAAAATGGATTCAAGGTGTGTGGCGGGGGGTATCGCTGAATGCCACTCGGGCGATCACGATCCTCCCTCTGTAGATATAGATCTATGTATGTAGGTAGGTGAATTCTCTCCTTCAACGGCTCGCCCAACGGTAGAGATGGCCTGCAGCTAGGATCGCCTGCCTTGAAAGCCTCAGTAAGCATATAGCCCTGAAACAGAGTGGTCATATACAAGTCACCTAGAACTAGGACATGGGTACCTACGTGAGGTTAGGGGCGGGTATTAATATTTGTCGGTCAACCGCAAGCGCAAAAAGGCTGGTTGCATTGTCTCGAAATCCCCTCTATTATGGGGGTCTATTGAAAACGGCGCCGCTACCGGTGCCAATGTGCTTCCCCTCGCAAACGCGATAGGTAATAATAGGCAATGATAACCATCTCACTATTCTAATCCACACCGGCATCCGGTTTACTACATTGGGCAGGTTTATGTGGCCATCGCCAAGGTTGCGGCGGAAAGGATTCCACATGTGTCGGGTTTGGCCAAGGCATGATGCATAAAGTTCCTAGGCACGCGACGTACCTATTCGGTTATTGAGTATAAATAAAAGTATGCAGAGACAGACTACCTGAACCACCTAATAGATCTAATAGCGCTCGGGGTTATCGAATTCGTTGATGTTCGTAGGCAGGTAGGCAGGTATATGTGAGGCGGAGTGGGAATGACAGGCTTTACAGGGAGTAGGCATTGCCGGTAAAGAGACTTCGAGGAGACTCGACGGCCAATTGCCTACGTACCTAAGGCGATACCTCTTATTATACGATGTTTTTAATGTTGAGTACTCAAGAGACGAACGACCATGAGGTCGCAGAGATTATACGTATACCTACCAAACTATGGCTAGGCTAGGTATGTGCATTGTGAGCAGGGATAATGCCACGGGGCTCTGAAGTTACGGGGTCCAACAATCACGGAATATGTAGGTAACCTATTCGAGACTCTACCTGTCGTGCAGGCCTTGCTCGCCAGCATATGAACCGCACTTCCAGCCCGGTCGAGTTCGAAGGATGACCTGATCACTGCATCTCTATCCTCTCTATCCCCCCGCCCCCCCTCTCTCTCTGAAATCTCCGGGATCTCTATTGTCTATGAAGCTTAATTGGAGTGTAGAGGTCTATCAAATCTCTTCGACGATGAGGAGAGACATGACAGGTCGCAAACCCCCCTCACCACCCACCCTCCAAACTCACCCTCCAAACTCACCCTCCAAACTCACCCTCACTTACATGTTGCTTAATATAGCATCACATCAGCTTGCATAGACCTGCCTACACGAGCCGGTTAGCAGCGCGCTACTCGTCACACAACCGTACCAAGAAGGCAGAATGCTCCTGGGTAAACTGGCGCATAACCCCTACCAATCCTAAGCTCGTACGATCTAAACCGGGAGGTAGCCCCTATTACGTAGAACAACTACCACGTAGTACTCTTTCAGGACGACATTCCGAGGGGAGACTCTCCAATGGGGGGCGCCTAACGCCAAGGGACAAAGCCGGATCCCCCCCGGTGCCAGAAAGCTTATCAGAGCATCGCGTCTCCACGCGTACCTGGAATGCTACTCTCCTGCCTAAAGCAGGCTAAGGGAGGTGGTGCTCGAAAGGGATGAGCGGGAGATCACCCCGGACTTGGCAAGTCGAAGGTGGCTCGGGCGGTTAAGCAACTACTTAGAGATTGTGGACAAGCCGGTATCGAGCAAATGCCCTCGATACGGCCGATGCAGTGGTGGCCCATTAATATACTTACCTACGCCGTGAAGCACGCAATCGTAATTTTGTAAGGGCGCTTCTCCTCCCTATCGTCACTATTAATTGTCTCGCTATTCCTCTTCCCCTAGAAGCAGGTCGAGGGCAGGCTTTCTCTTCGCTCGCTATTTTACACCTTCGGTTCGGCCGGGGTGTTTGGAGAAAAAAAAAGAATAGGGAGAAAAAGACGACGGTATAGGACGGCAACATCTGACCATGCGTTCGGCCCTCGTCCTCTTCGCCTCGGCCGTTTCGGCCAAGGTGATGGATAGTCTCGCTTCTGTTCCCAAGGGTTGGGCCGAACTCCGCCCAGCATCTCCGGACGATCGTGTCTCGCTGCGCGTCGGCCTCGCCCAGCAGCACGCGGCGGCGCTGGAGCAGGCCGTGCTCGAGGTCTCGACACCGGGACATCCGAACTACGGAATGCACCTGTCGCGTGAGGAGATCCGAGTCTACACAGCGCCGACTCGGAAATCGGTGTCGTCCGTCGTCAATTGGCTGGCTGGGAGCCACGTCAAGCCGTCGGTAGACAACGACTGGATCACCTTCACGACGGACGTCAAGACGGCGAATGATCTGCTCAATGCTACCTTCGCCTGGTATCAGTACGAAGCGGGCGGCAGCCCCAAGCTTCGGACGCTGTCGTACAGCATCCCTGACGCGTTGGCGACGAGCATTGACCTGATCCAGCCGACCACTCGCTTTGGCCAACTCGGTGCCAAAAAGTCGACCATCTTCGAGATGCAGGTTCTCGAGCCGGCAGAGGAGGATATCGCCACGGCCAGCGTCTCGACTAATGCGGCTCTCGCTGACTGCAATACGTCGAGAATCACGCCCGCCTGTCTCAAGTCCCTCTACAACATCAAGTACACCGCGCCCACCGGTGGAAATCTCGTCGCCTTCGGCTCGTACCTAGAGGAATATGCTCGGTACTCGGACCTCCAGTCGTTCGAGCGCCAGTATCTCCCCGAAGCCGTCGGTCACAACTTTACCGTCGAGCTAGTTAACGGAGGACTAGATGACCAGGCCAGCAGCGACGATAGCGGTATGTCATGATGTGTAGTCGTAGGTAGCTTTTTTGCAGGCTAATTCTTTAAACATCAGGAGAGGCGAATCTCGACGTTCAATACGTGGCGGCTATCAGCCATCCCATCCCGATCTTACAATACAGCACCGGCGGTCGCGGGTAAGTATCTCTTATTCTAGTGGCCCGGCTCAGACGAGACAGAGACTAACTCGCGGGCAAAGGCCACTTGTCCCTACTCATGACCAGCCTGGCCCCTCGACGAACGAGCCCTACTTGGAGTTTCTGACGTATCTACTTGACCAAGACGACTCGGCCCTGCCGCAGACGCTCACAACCTCATACGGCGAGGAGGAGCAGTCGGTGCCGGCGGAGTACGCGTTGAGAGTGTGCAACCTGTTCTTGCAGCTCGGAGCACGCGGCGTAAGCGTCTTGTTCTCGTCCGGCGACTCCGGGCCCGGAGACTCGTGCATCCGGGAATCGGACGGCGCGCCGTACTTCCAGCCGACGTTCCCGGCCGGCTGCCCGTACGTGACGGCCGTCGGCGCCACCCACAACGTCGAGCCCGAGGCGGGCGTCAGCTTCTCGAGCGGCGGCTTCAGCTCGCTCCACGCGCAGCCGGCCTGGCAGCGGGACGCCGTGAACGCGTACCTCGCATCGATCGGCGCGACCTACTCGGCCTTCTTCAACGCGTCGAACCGGGGCTTCCCCGACGTCGCGGCCCAGGGCAGCCGCTTCGTGGTCGTGGACAAGGGCCGGACGGCGCTGCTCTCGGGCACGAGCGCGTCGAGCCCCGTCTTCGCCGGCGTCGTGGCCCTGCTCAACGCCGCGCGCAGGAGCCAGAGCCAGCCGCCGCTCGGCTTCCTCAACCCGTGGCTGTACAACAACAGCGCCGCCCTGACCGACGTCACCGAGGGGTACGGGTCCGGCTGCGCGACCAACGCCGCCTTTGGGAACGGCGCGAGGTGGAACGCTACCGCGGGATGGGACCCGGTCACGGGCTTGGGCACGCCCGACTTCCCCAAGCTGCTCGCAGCGGCCGCCCCGGGGGTCGAGAACGCGTAGAGCGAGCTTTTGGACGGTTACAATAGTGGTCTTAGAGGCCTTTCATTCTTATAATCGACGCTGAGCTAGCGAGATCTAAGCTAATGCTATAACCGTCGTCGTCCCTTGTCATGAGGTGTACTACCTATCTATCCGCCGTCTAATCCCAATTCCCCGGTCCTAGCTCGACCGTCCCGTTTTCCACGCTCTCCATTATGTCGTCGATGCTCCACGGCGTGTACGTGTAGCCAGGCGGGTAGTTCGGCGGCACGCCTTCGACTTGGTCGAGAGGGGTTCCCCTTCTGACCGCGTCCGCCACCTTCCTGTAGTTCTCGTACGTGTAGACCTCCGGGTTGTGCTTCCACACCCAGCTCGGGATCTTGGGCTGCGCCAGCTTCGGGTCCACCTTCGCCCTCTTCCAGTCGGTGTGCTGGAGGCGCGCCGCGTTCGAGAAGCCCATCTTCTGGGCGCACGCGCAGCGGACGAAGCGGAGCCGCACGTGCGTGCGGACGGCCTCCGGTATGTTGGCCTTGCCGGCCAGCTGGAGGCAAGTTGCTATCGAGATGGCATCCTCTATGGCCAGTGTCGCACCGTTACCCGATGCCGGCAGGAAGGAATGGGCGGCGTCGCCGATGATAATCACGCGGCCGCCTGGGGACGCCCAGGACGGCTGCGGGTTGCGCCAGAACAGCTCAAAGTTGACGATCGTATTCGGGGGCGTCAGCTTGATCACCTCTTTGAACCGGGGATCCCACGGCGTGGAAAGCCCTCTGTCCATATTATTCAGGACGTCGTCCGACCCGACAGTATTTCTCCAGTTTTCTTCTTCCGACCCGGTGACCTGGATACCATCAGTAACCCTGGCGTGAAGCCCCTCGGGAGACACTTCCTTACATCGTGGTTCATGATCCAAACGCAGGTCTCTCGTCGAACCAGAATCAGACCGTACATCCCGGGACTTAGCAGAGAAAGAGAGATGGCATTGTTAGTCTTCCGGCGATGATAGCGTGACGGGCGGGTGTTACCTACCCAAGCCAAGACCTCACAATAGGCTCGTCGTGGTTTGGCCCGACCATGTGCAGAAACTCCTTGATCGCAGGGTTCTTGTCCAAGAGGTGGATAGGGAAGGCAGCCCGCCACATGGCTCTGCCTGAGCTCATCGCCTTGACCTGGCCGCCGACCAGCTTTTGGCACTTCGAGCCGATGCCGTCGGCGGCGATCACGACGTCGGCCTCGAACCGGTCGCCCTTGTCCGTCACGACCCCGGCCCTCTGGCGCTCCTGGTCTTCGAAGTAATCGACCACCCGGCGGCCAAACTGGATCGTGATTTTCTGCCTCTGCACTTCGTTCAAGTACATCTGGTAGATCAGAGGCCGCATCTGAAAGGCGCCCGGCGGGGTGTTGGGGTCGGCGCCTTCCTGGCGCAGGCGCTCTGAGACCTTCAACGGCGGTATCATCCGCTCGCCATCGTGCTTCAGGGTTTCGATCCAGGCGTTATTCATGGAGATGGACGCATATTCTTTGGCCAGTTCGGGCCAATGTCGAAACCACGTAGTAGCACTATGGCCCATGAAATACATGTCCCCTAAGCGAAAAAAAGGGGGAGGGGACAGTTGTCTTAGCGCCTTGCACATGGTAGAGCGTTGGGTTACTCGGCGCTGTCCTTACCTGCCGTGTTGACATTGTCATCGCGCTCAAGGACTCGCACGCTGTGTCCTTTGCGGACGCATTCTAGTGCCGCCGTCAATCCTGCCAGCCCGGTGCCGACGATGAGAACGTCGATCCCGGACGGCGAATAGGAGCCCACCGGCTTACAATCACCGTCGTGTAAGGAGCCCATGTTGGAATATCGGAGGATAGAGGCGGACGAGGCGAGGGATAGGGAGTTTCGGAACAAAATCGAGACACGAGCTGGTGGACACGAGAGGACTAAGAACATGCCCCCAGGTGGTGCGTCCTGCTTAGCTGAAATATAAAGTGCCAGGCCTCGCGGTGTTGCCGGGAAACCGAAGTCGCACGGCTGCGTGCCTCTGCATTTCGGAGGGCTCTCGACGCTCTTCACGCCACTCGATGGTCATCCGTCACATGCCATTAACCGCCATCACTGCCGTCGACCTGTCGGACCCCCCCTGCCCCCATTCCTCCTCGGGCCCGAGGGAGACGTGCTATCTGTCCACCGCAACCCCCTCCGGAAACGCAATTGGCTCGGGACACGCCTCCGTTCGCCTGTCGGCGTATCCAAAATATTACCCGCGGACTTCTAGCTACAGGCCGGGACAAGTTGGGTTTGCCGGATTGTAAAGATGGCGTCTGCCGCCTACGAAGATTGTCTTACCGAAGCAAGGGCGGTGGGATATAGGGATCATACGGGTAAGGCTTAATGGGCCTAAACCGCCTCGGGGCACAAAAGACCCTCGCACTATTTCCTCGCTACTACCTATCCGCGTCCGGTTCGTAGGCACGGGTTAATTCTACGCAGTAGGTAGGGCTCTACCTCCGGTGTGCTACGTACGGAGACGTAACCATATCGCTTCTCATTCTGCCCAACGGCGTCTCTCCTCAGCGTACGAGATAGGAAGTATAAGTGAGACACGCATGGAATGCATGGAACTGGACAGGCAACCGCCACAAGATGGACGGCTATGCGATTCCATACCCATCATACCTAACTGCAACCCTCGTATATTTTGGGGTTCTCCGTTGAGAGATCTACCACCCGGTTGCGATCTCGGCACGCGCAAGAAAAATGAAGATGGGTGGGTTAGTATTAGATGCCCATGCATGTTTGTAGGAATATTGTCTACTAGTATCTCTTTCTCCGAGACATATCTCAGCCACTGCAACAATTCGAGTCGCTAACGCTGCTCTAGTGATGAACGGCCAGACAACTAAACGTCCCCGTAGGAATGCTCGTATAGCCCACTGAAAACGTTCACGTTGCTGGCCCATGTCGTTACGTTAGTTACGTAGCTATCAACGTCCCATCTACTTACATCTGAATGTCACGTACGTGCGCCGGATGTCGATCTGGCTCGTTGAAAACGACAGTGGCTGAATCACATATCCGGAACTGGTAATGCCGCGGTGTGCTTGATAAGGGCATGGCATCTGCAGACTGCAAGTCTGGCATGCTTTCTCGGGTAGTAAGCAGTCCTATATTAGAGACTCGACTACTGCGAAGTCCAGAGGCATAGCTAGGGGCCTCTAGGGCTATGCCGTCACCATGTGTGTATTGTTTCAGGCTTCAGGCCCCGCAAGCTGCTCACGAGGGCGCCTATCGACCTTTTCCGTCTCCTCGCAGAGGGGGATACAGGGTATGAAGGGCGGAAAAAGAAATAAGTACACAAGCGTAGCTCGGGATGGTAGGACTCGTATCCGCTTCCATCTCTCGGTGCGTGCGAAGCTAGGTGAAGGGATACTTGTTCGACTAAGGCCCTAGGATGCCAACATTTCTCATGACTTCCGCTGTGGGTGATTCTAAAAAAAACGGAACGCCATTCCTGAGGCCAGATCCGGACTAGATAGCTCCAGGCGTATATCAGGCTTCGATATACATCGCATGCCCGTTACTGCTGGGCTCGTCGCTTTGTTTCTCGTGAGCCGGGCTGGTTCTATTCGTTTGACCTCGGCGTACTCGTTGTCACAGTAGCTTGAGCTTGAGCTTGACCATGCAGCTGCTCACTCTGGCGATCCTTGGGGTCGCCATCTTCGGCTTCGTCGCCTTCCACCTGTACAGTCGATTCAAGGATATTAACCATCCGGGCAAGGTCCCAGGCCCGACGCTACTACCGTACATAGGCCGCATCCATGACCTTCCGATCCAACATATGTGGCTTAAATTCAAGGAATGGGCGGAAGAGTACAGCGGAACGAATGGGTTCTACCTGACGGAGATGCTCGGTGCCAGGTTCCTAGTGGTCACGGACGAGAAAGTAGCCGAGGAGCTCCTGGTGAAGCGAGCGAAGCACAATTCGGACCGGCCGGTGATAAGGTCTTTATTCGACTCGAAGAGCACCCATGGATCCATGGAATATCTACCCTTGATGGGAAGAAACCGTAAGTCTACCCGGAGCCAACAGGTCACACAGCACAGCTTATACACAAATTAGAGTACTGGGCTCGACAGCGTCGGTTTACTCACTCTTATCTGACCGAGGCGAGTAATGCCCATTACCACGGCGTGATGTACCATGAGGCCAAGCGCTGGCTCGCCAGGCTGATCGAGAACCCCGACGACTTCGCCTTCTCGTTAGAGGATATGGCATCCAAGGTGATGTGCGAGTTGACGTGGGACGACCCGGATCTGAGCGAGTACTGCACCAAGAGCGCATGGGGCCTCTTGACCCAGATGTCGCCGGCAGGGCCTCTCACTAATGTCTTGACGCCCCTGTGGCATCTACCAACGATAGTAAACCCATGGAAGATCGCCGAGCACAAGCGGCACGACGAGCAGCAAGCGTGGTGGATGGATCGGCTCCAGACTACCCGCGCGAAGTTAGCCCGAGGCCAACAGAGGTCATGCTTCACCCGCCAGTACCTCGAGAGAGGAGAGAAGCGGTCTAACATCTCGGGCGACTACGAGGCGTCATCTGTTATCGGGATGATGGCGTTGGTGGGCATCTTTACAGTCGCCGGTCCCCTATACTACTGGTTAGTGATAATGATCCATCACCCGGAGTGGCAAGCAGCCGTGCAAAAGGAGGTCGACGAGGTTTGCGGCGAGAGGCTCCCGACCTTGGACGACACGCCGAGGCTACCTGTGCTTCGGGCCTGCATCAAAGAAACGATGCGATGGAAGCCAAATGTACCGACCGGTTCGTCAATGCCACCCGCACAATATTATAGCCATCTGAACTGACAAGGCGTTTCAGGCGTCGCACACGAGATGGAGGCCGATGATGTATTTCGGGGGTATTTCCTGGCTAAGGGGACGAGGATCCTCCCTTTAGACTTGTTGGTCTCCTTCACTATCCCAGCCCTCGTACACTACGACCTAATACTAAGAGTCACCAGGGCGTTCCTCCGAAATCCCGACAAGTACCCCGACCCGGAGAACTTCCGGCCAGAGCGCTGGCTAGAGCGCGGGTGGCCGACATACCAGGAGCCCCTGAGCACGTATCCGACAATCAAAGGGATGACTTCGTTCGGCTGGGGCCAGCGCCAGTGCTTAGGCCAGACGCTCACGCAAGACGAACTCGTGGTCGCGTGCGGCGCGCTGAGCTGGTGCTTTAACCTCAGGCCGAAGACAGATCCGGCGACGGGCGACAACCTCCCGGTTCCCCTCGACAAGTCAAATTCGCTCCTGATCATCAAGCCCGACCCGTTCGAGATGGCGTTCGAGCCGAGGAGCGAAGCTAAAAAGGAGGAGGCGCTTCGGTTATGGGCAGAGTCGGATTCGAGAGACAAGCAGGCTCGGCGGGAATTTCTTAGGGCAGCGGCTGGGAGAACAGAGAAGACCGAGGCTTTATAACAGAGAGTCGCTGGTTTGACAGGATGAGGCACGGGACACTACGTCTCCGACGCCAAGAGCAGGATGAAAGCGAAGGTCGGGTTTACATTTGGTACCTACACCCAGCTAATCCCCCGCACTCATAGCACAATGACACAGCGTCACACCTAATGGCATATCAGGTTTTCTTCATGTCATCGTCATCCTCGTCGTCATCGTTGCCGCTCTATCGGTCCAGTTTTTGGTGGTGGGTGGGCAGGCAAACAGGAGATAGGCACCGACTCGTCCAGCACCGCCCCTTTTAACCTACCTACCTACCTACCTACCTAGGTACTGAAGAGCCCGCCCGCGCTGTCGGCGGCTCGCTGAATTGAAGCAATCCGTGCGGCAACCAGACCGAACACTCCCCTATCTCGGGTTCCACGTAGGTACCTATCTACGACTCTGAGTACGACGTCTTGCCGGATCCCCGACGCCATTGCTACATGACAATTTCTGCCGACAAAGAAACTCCACGATTGCGATCCAGGGGGTTGACGGAGACTGGTCCCTCGGGGTTTCCCCAACCCTGATGCTACCGTGCTAGGTTGGGGGCTACCAGGACCCCTCCGCCGCGGCAACATGATCCTCGTGTGCCGGATGTCCTAGATGGTTTGAAGAGAATGTAAATGCACCCAGTGCTTCGGATATGAACGGCACTATCACCATCCTGCCAGAAAATATACATCTCAACGCTGCCTTCCTATCCGCTTACACCGCAACATCCTCGAACTCTGTACCTACAGGTAGGTAACGCTTCTAAATAACACGCCTGGCTTAGGCCCAGTGCCTATATAAAGAGATATAACCCTTAGTACTACTAGCCGCTCACATGGCGAGGGTAGAGAGGTAGATTCAAAAGGGTATCCGAGAAAGAATATGGCCATTTCTACTACGGCTGTTGCCGGAACCTGCATCGCATTCTCATTCACCCTATTCGGTAAGTGAGGACCAGCAGACGACGCCGTAACGGATGAGAAGCCATGCACTAACGGCCCCGTCCGTACGTGCAGGCAATGCCGTGACGCAGACATTCATGGGCGTCCCGGCCGTCATAGTCGACTTCCCGCCGCCGTCGTCGCCCGAGCACGCCGCCCGCGCTCGCCTGCTCGGCCGGCAGTGGCCCGTGTTCTGGGCCGTGGGCAACCGGTTCTTCCGCCCGATCAGCACGATCGGCCTCTTCGGCTACGCCTACACGTCGTGGGCGAGCGCGTCCCAGGGGCCCGGCGGCAGCCTGGGCGGCTGGGGGCCCTACGCGGTCTCGGCGCTGTGCCATCTCGTCACCGTCGTGCACTCGGCGCTCAACATGATGCCGCTCAACGAGAAGCTCAACGCTCTAGGCGATCCAGGGGGCAGCGCGGATCCCGAGCAGGCCGAGAGCTACGCCCGCCAGTGGATCAGGTTCAACATCGTCCGTGTCGTTATGCCGGCCGTTGCCGGGTCGGTGGCGTTGTTTCAGATATTAAGGAAGCGTTAAGCGGTAAATCCTAGAAATTGCTACGGTTCGCAACCTGCCCCCCAGGTAATTACAGCAGCCTCGGGGAAGTCTCTCTTCGTAGGTATATATCAATCGCTCCTCGTACCCGGCTCAGCGAGGCTATTTTATTCCTTTCGCCCGCTATAAATTTGTGTCTCTGGAATTGGCCCGGTTTATTTTGTCCAGATAATCACTGAGGAATAAGACTTACCTGAGCAGAACAAAATATCGCAGCCTCAAAAGCGTGCCATGGCCCGGTCTCCTAGTTTGGCAGAGGGCAACTATGACAGGAGGATATTTAAGTGAATCGATGGAGCGGACCGATCAAGGACTCACGCCTGCCTGTTCTAGTGTTCGATAGTATTAGGAATATGCTCAGAGCTCATTTTCTCTTGGGGATATCGCATCGATGCCTTCGATTTATCGTAAACCACACGCAGCAACAGTGTCAATCGGTAAGTCGTAGCTCCATTGGCCGCCTCCAACTATCCGCATACATCCGGCTGGCCATTCATCTCTCCGCCGTACCCCCCCGAAGGGTCAAGAGAACGTCGTGTGCCCGGTAATTCACAAGTGGGTTATTAAGTAGTGAGTCCGATGAGCGAAGGCTACATGTCAACGATGGTAACTGCCTACAACATCCGCTGGCACGGCCTCCATTGCAAGCAGCGTGACAGTGTTCCACGCCAGGCCGATCGCAAGTCGAGCGCCCGCGTGAGACAAATCGATCGGCAGACGCACCGACGTAGCTAACACCTGTCGCAGATCGCGCAGGTGAAACATCAACATATACATTACCTACAGCTATGTTTACGTGCTGTAAGACAACCCGCCGAGTTTATGTTCCGGGCGTACGTGGTGTATCGCTCCCTGTCGTTGCCGTTCGCCGAAAGGGACGGCACCAGACGGGGCAGCTCAGGGCCGGCACCTCTATGCCCGTCGCCCTCCCTGCGGCTCCCTCTCCTCTCTACGTCTCTAGGCGAGGCTCCGAAAAGCAGAAAACGAGAGGCAACAACGAACCGCCGCGGCTTCTCGACCTGTAGAAGCCGCCCGTGAACCCAACGAACCGCCGTGGCCAAAGCCATCCTCGTCGCCGGCGCGACCGGGAAACAGGGCGGCGCCGTGATCGCCGCGCTACTCGACCGGGCGGCGGACGAATTCACCGTCATCGCTGTGACGCGCGACGCCTCGGGGGCGGGCGCCGGCGCTCGTCGACGAGGCCGTGCGCGGCGGCGGCGAAGGCAAGGCGCTGTAGCGGGTCTCGGTGTCAGACGTCGGCGTGTTCGCGGCCCAGGCGTTCTGCGATCCGGTGCGCTGGGACGGGCGGGCGACGGGGCCGCCGGCCCCCACCGCGCACCGACTCTCCGGCAGTGCGCTGGCCTGGGGCGTGGCCGAGTTCGCGCTCGTGATCGGCTGGTTCGCAGGCGACGGGTACCGGGCCGATGTCGAGGCCCGGCGGGAGGGGCACCCCGGGATGCTGGCTATGGAGGAGTAGCTCGCGAAGAAGAACCCATTCGATACGATGGGGAGAGAATGAATGGGGACTTCCGATGCTGGCGCGTGCTAGACTTGTGCGTTACTTGGGTATATACCTAAGCAAATACCTGCATGGTTCGTTATGATAGGTATGTCTGTATAGACATCCTATCAAAATCCTCCTGTACCTGGAACGGGAGTTAGGTATAAGAATCGAAAATACGTGTCATAGGCGATGCACGGTATCAAATACCTTCCCAATGACCGGTGCCTTGTCGACATCTTGTCGATACCCTCTCCGCCCCAGCGCTTAATTTCTGTTCGGCACACAAAAGAATAGTACGCGACGAAGAAGGATAGACCTATCGCTCGAACCACGAGCGGCACTTATATTTTTACATTTAATATCTACAATAGAAAGAAGCATATGTCACCATTCAGTTGTTTACGCAAGAATCGTAAAGACTTGCGATCCATCGTTGGCACACGGCGCCGAGTCAAGCCGACCGTCTCCGGGCACGATGCAAGTGGCGTTGCGCTCGGCCACTGGCGCGATGACCAGATCCGTCCCGCCAATGAACGGAACCAATTGGCCGCTGTTGGTCTCGCCCTCTGGTGAAAATAGTTAGCGGAAGATCGCAGCGGTGGTGTACTGGCGTCGTTATACTAACCTCCCGCAGCTCGTCCTCCGCAAGAGAAGAGAGTGACGGTGTCGCCAGCTTGGCGCCGTCCGTCAAAGCTGATGCAGCCATTTGTCTGCGACATTGTCAGCACATACCGCTACGGGTTGCCGAATGGGTAAGGGGGTAGGGGGGGCACAGGCGGAGACGGGAACTACTTACGAGGCTGCTGACGAGAAGGGCCGCGTTCTGGGCGTTGTTGTGGACCCCTGAGGTGATGATATCGAATTTCTCGTTGGGAGTTCCGGCACACTCGACGAGAGAGACGGGGATCAGGTTCTGGCGGAAGTCTCCGGCGGTGGGATCGATAAAGAGGCACTGGCCGTTCGGCGCCTGGATGCTAACCGCGGTGAAGGCGCGCGTCGCTGTCTCGTCTCGCTGGTGGGCTTCCGCTGCCGCGCTCGGCTGCAGCACGCCCCCGGCGCGGGACACGGGTACCGCCTCGGTAGGGTTGGGGATCCCCCCTCCACCCGCACCGTTTGTCGGCGAGGGTGCCGCAGTGATTCCCGCGGTAGAGGATGTCGCTTCTTCGACAGGGGGCTGGCCGGCGGTTACCGTCACGGTGACCGGCGCTTGGCCGGTGGTTACTGTCACGGTTACGGTTACGGTCGCCGTGTTCCCGGGTTGGGTCGGCGCAGGCGCATCGGACGTGGCTATGGGCAGGTTGGTTGCGACGCTCGATTCGACCGGGGCGTTGCCGCTAGCTTCGCCGAACGTAAACTGCTGGTCGGCGTTTCCGGCGGCACAAGGAGCAGCGTCGACGATGTCTCCCTTTACAGTGAAGCACAACTGCGGCTCGTTTCTGGGCGAGAAGGTAACGGGCCCGCTACTACTGTCGAAGGAGAACAGCTGAGAGTCGGTAACTTCGCCGCTGCCGTCCGCTCGGCCACCACAGCTGAACAGAAGCGCTTGGTTGCCGCTAGGCCGTCGAGGATCGAAGTTGAAGCAGGCATTCGTCTAGAAAGAGGTCTTAGTGATGGCGCGGAGCTTCCGGCAGAGCGAGGAACACCAACCAGAGAGCTCACGATGAGCGCAGAGCCTTGGGCATTGTTATGCTTTCCGGCTGTGATGACATCCCACCCCTGACCGTCGGTGGCGCCGCACTCGGCGACCTGGATCGGCGTAAGGTTTGCTCGGAAATCGCCCGAGAGCTCGTCGACGAATAAGCATCTTCCGTCGGAGGTCTATAGTAAATCCTTTGTGTTAGCCGATCGCAGGCTCCCCTGGGCTAACCTAGTGTTCGGAGTAGTCTTACGCGAATCTGAGTGTTGGTGAAAGCCCTCGTCGCCGTGTTGTCGCGCTGGTGCGCCTCCTCGAACGCGGCCTGGTTGAGTTCCTTCACGAGCCTCCGGGACGAAGCCTGAGAGGCGATGGGTGTCGCAGTCACGGCCGACCGCAGGGCTAATATGACAACAAGAAGCAGATACATGGTGATCAAGGGACCGAAGACGGCAAATTGAATAGAAATACGGCCGCCTCTGTAGACCGACGAAAAGAAGAAATAGCAATGGTCACTAAGAACACGCAAGGAACGGAATGTCCTGCACGGCAGGATGTAGAAGTGAGGGAAAAAAGAGGGAAAGCGGCTCTGCCACAATAAACCCGATGACAGAAGAACGGCGATGAGTATTGAAGCTCGACATCGTGTGATTCAACAGGCGGACAGCGCCTTTATAGCAGGTTAGGTAGCTAGCTACGTGATAGATACAGACTAGGCGCAACGGCGATAACACGGCGGGATTGCATGCCTTGTCGCCTCCCCCCTTTCTAGCGCGGGTGTGGATGGCATGTAATAGTATGCGTCGATGTGTGCGAGCGCGCGAGCGCGTGCGTGCAGGAGTCGCCAACAGCGTAGGAGAAACAGCGGTTGGGAAGGAGACGCTATCGAGGAGCTCTGGTACTGGAGACCCTATTTTTAAATGAGAAGTTTCCGCGAAGTTTCACGGCGATTCCCCCCGGCGGCCGAGAAAAGTGATGGATATGAGCGTGGCGCCAAGTGCGTAGTAAGGCACGACGATAGGCTCGTGAGCATGTGAGTGTTCTGCGGGCGTCGATAGGGCAGGGTGGTCTAAGTAACGAGCTAGAAAGGGGATTTATAAAAATACAATAAAAAAGAGAAGCGATTCGGGAATAAGCATAAACGATGAAACGGCGCCTGTCGCAAGGGAGGCAGGGGGGGAGGGGGAAACAGAGAGAATGGGTTCGAAGGATGGATGAGAGGGATTGGAGATGGTGAGGATTGGCAGGGATTTGGAGACGCCGGGGCGGGTTGAGTGCAGCACCAACCCGTTGCCAGCCAGCCAGCCAGCCCGTGCCAGCGCCAACAGCGGTACGCAGCTGGCTACCGCGTACGGATTAAATCTTTACCGAGTCCGCTCCCAGTTTTCTAGCCGCTCCCCACCGTCAGCGAGATAGTGCCTCACGTACCCACCCCCGGATAGGGTCCAACATCGCTGGCGCCAATCCCTTCCTTCATACCCGTCTAGCCTAGCCTACCTCATAATAGCCACGGTCTCCCCCCCTGAGGCTAACAGCTTATTTCGGGTTGCGTAGGGACTACTCATACTCATGGCAGATACCGTTCGATTTCCTACGCCCCGTTGCACGCTTGAGATAGGTCCCTATTACGTTAGGTGGTATCCTACCCCTACTCAACTTACTCAATCCCTCTCGCTCAGCTCAGCTCAAGGTCGGCTAATCTTACCTTAGATACCTTCATACATACTTTTTGCTAGCATGATGAGCTGCTAAGCTATTAATACCATTGACATCGAGCCAACCCGCCTCCTACTTCACACACCACCTGCCTCGCTCCAGAGATACCTACCTGGAGGCAAAAGAGACCCCGGAGAGGGTCCCTCATCTCGAGATACCGACAGCACGGAACAGAACAAACTGTCGTCTACACGTACTCACTTCTATCCTGTTTATATATCTACTAACTATGCGTTCGCGGCCCAACGCCACCACAAATTCGGACTATTGGGTGCTCTTGTGCACGTGATCGCGCGACAGACAGAGGATAAGACGCGGAGTGTGCATTCTTACCCTCTTCCCCATATACCCTCTCCCGAGTCTGCAGAGGGAAAAAAAACCAGAAGGCATGCTATGCACTACCGTACTTGGAGTCACCATGCTGGTGTTATTCGGGCAACCTCCTAGCGCGGATCCCGTCGAAGCCTAGCGACCACGAGGTTCATACTAAGATCGCTGGTCTGAGAACGGACGTGCGCGCACGTCGACAATAGGGGAGAGCGGCCGACGAACGTCACATAGAATACGCGGCCGAAGATGGAGCACGGAGAAGCGGCGCATTAACAACGCCTCTGAAAGAGGTTGGAGAAATGTTTTCGAACGACACGGCCCTGGGACCCGAAAGGCACGGCGCACCGATCTCCATACTAAGAGTTTCTAGTAACATCTATGCGGCCAACCTAGGGCGCGAATACTCTAAGCCCCAGAGAGAGCCACCTTATGGTGACAAGATCGTGATCTACTCGGGATGGAGATGCTCAATATAGGGCAGGGGGTCCGACGAGGTTTCCCGAGGTCAATTTAGCAAGATCAGGCCCGTATCTAAACCCAAGGCATGACCTCGTATAGGAGGTAGGTAGGCAGCAAGTCGGATCATTCTATTGGATCCCTTCCTCTGTCTCTATAAATCACGTCGTGCACCGCGGATATGATACTTCCATGGTTGCACCGTCAATGTTACGAATTGTATTCACTCCTATACGGTCATACCGATATCTCCCGATATCCTCACTCCAACTGTGTTTTAACTCTCACATCGGGTGTACCTAACTAACGGCGCTTGGGTGTTCGCACCGCGCGTAGAGTCTTACTTGTCTAACCTCTATACTCCTCTTTCGACAGTCACATCACGTCGTCGTCACATTACATGTCGCAAGCGCTCCTATTTACACCGTGGGCTTTGAGCCTACGGGTAGCCCAATCTCCGGTCACGAAGCATGCATACGTATACTTACACGTTGGTGTGAGGCGTATCTCGACCTTAGCATCTAGGCCGACCTCTCGCGTTGGAAAGCCGCCCGTCACCCGTCTATCACGCACGGTTCCGTGGCACGATACCCGCTGCCAATGCGCCCTACGCGTACGGACCGAGTTGTTTGAGAGTCACGAATAGCGTTTTCGTTTCGTCGACAGAATCACAATGGTAGCGCTCGGCGGGGAGCAATCGTGAAGACCGGGGCGGGCGGAGGGCATGGCTGGCAATTACGCGATATTCGCATGTTATTGCATGGCGAATCCGTCGGCGTATCCCTATGGCCAGACCCCACCGCTTACAGAGCATTGTACGGCACGACACCGGCGGCATCGACCGGACCTGCGTGACACGCCCAGGTTAGGTAGGAGCTTATAAAGCCCAGCCACGCACCCACATACCATACCCATCCGCGCAACAGGGCCCCTCAGCTGTCCCGCGCCGCTCCAGCACGTAGTAGGAAGCTGGATGGGCCACGCCCCCATCCACACAACGGCATAGGCACTCCCGGATGCCGAACAGGGGTCGGCGGTGATGGTGTGAGTAATGTATACACATTCATACGGCACGTACGGTGAATAACGGACGACCTCCACGCCGTTCCCCCCCCCTCCCCCATACTTCCCAGTATGTAAACCTACCTACCTACCTACCTACCTACCTACGTAGGCATCGATGTGTAGGTAGGGTAAGTGGGTAAGGTAAGGTACCTAAGGTAGGCACAGATATGCGCACGACGTGCTAATCCCTCGACATAGAGAGGCATTCATTCCACCAACGAAACCACGCGTACGGACAGTGGATACTTGGCATAGTCGGCGCCGTCCAGCAGTCCTCACCTCCCTATTAGAGACAAGAGGTATATGTAGGCCAGTTCGGACATGTGAGCACGCACATATTAGGAGGTAGGTAGCGACGCAGATCCCACCTGGTGCCGGGGGGCGGGGGAGAGGACCAGATGCGGCATTCAGCACGCGGGCAAGCTCGAGATTGATCTGGCCCGCCTCCGTAGATCCTCACACAGCATAATTAGAGGTATCTAACTGGCACATTGCTGGGCACAGGTGTGTGCCAAATAGAGGGGGAGGGGTACTAGGTAGGTAGGTTAGGTAGGTAGGTATACGAGGCAACCCTGGCTTAGGTAGGTAGGTTGGTACCTGCACAGCTACCTAACGCATACCTACCTCTCGGGTGGGTTAGGTACCTAACGTCGGTAGGCTAAATCGGACGACCAGCCCTGACAGGTTGTTCGTACCTCCTCCTAGACCCAAGATGTCAGGTAGGTAATATGTACCTACACACGCCCGTCTCTCTCCCCTCTCTTACTATCTTCCGCCTTCGACCACGTCGCCGTGAGCCGCTGATGAGACCTTCCGATCAAGGCGATAGAAGCCGTCGACTGGGCCGGGAACGTAACCGGGTTCGGGTGCCTAAAGAAGTAGCTAGGCTCAAGCTGAGGTGCCTACTTTAGGTGGCCTAGGTAGGTAGGTACCTACAGACAGCTGTCTTGGGGAGGTACCTCGAACCAACTTGAAGCTCCCCATTCCTGTCCACGTTCCATACCAGGTACCACCCACCTAGGTCCTTATCGCCCCAGATCTACCTACTGCGTCCCCCCGCCCATACCATCTTCACTTACATGGGCTCCCCTCCCTACCACCCACCCACCTGCCTACATACCTACTCGATCGGGCAAATGTGCGCTTTCAGGTATAATGCAGAGAGCCCTGCAGCCGAGGATCTCCTTCGGCGCATGGATAGGTATCTTAGCAATGAACCGGCAATACAACATCAGTCGTGGTGATGATCAAGTATAAGGGAAGCCAGATCCCGTGTCCTTTCTGTTCTCTCTCCGCCTTCCACGCCTCCTCCCTCGTCATAGTCGTCCCCCCCTACCCGCGGCCGCCACCATGAAGCTCCTCCAGTTGCTATTGCTCATCGCCCCTTTAACTCTCTCCCTCCGCCTCGATCGGCGGGGTAAAGTCGTATATGACGGTTATAAGATCTTGCGTGTGGTGCCCGGAGGTGATGTCGCCGCTTTCGAGGCTCAGCTAGAATCACTCGAGGCCATCGACCTGACCCATAACCATGGTCATCTAGACGAGGAGCACTTTGATGTTGCCATCCCGCCCGAGAGCCTCGCTGCATTTGAAGCCCTTAACCTCACTTCCGAAGTATTGTCCGAGGACCTTGGCGCCGACATTGCCCTCGAAGGAGAGCTTGCCGAGTACCCAGGTCAGTTGATTCCCCCGCCCCTCCTCGCAGAGGGTAGACTTTAACACGTCTTAGAGCCCGAACTGGCCGCTGCCGCTGCTCTGCCTAGCCTGGACTGGTTTCAAGCATACCACGCCTACAGCGCACACTTGACCTTTCTGAGAGACCTCCAGTCGGCTTTACCCTCCAACTCGGAGCTGATCACGGCCGGGAAGTCGTTCGAAGGCCGCGACATCCAGGGCATCCACCTGTGGGGAAGCGGCGGGAAAGGCTCGAAGCCGGCTGTCTACTTCCATGGCAACGTCCATGCTCGTGAATGGATTTCGTCCAAGGTATAGGCCCAGCAGCCTCGAACGGAGCCCTGCTGGCCGCTTGACGCTAACTGAAGAGTTCAGGTTGTCGAATACATCGCGTACCAGCTGGTTGCCGGCTATGGAAATGACGCGGCCGTGAAAGCCTTCCTCGATAACTATGACTTCTATATCCTGCCCGTCGTGAACCCAGACGGTACGTCCCGAGTATTATGCCCTTCTGAGCCCCGGCTAAACTTGAGGTGTAGGTCTCATCTATACGCAATCTACGAACCGCTTGTGGCGCAAGAACCGCCAGACCCGATCCAGCACCTCCGCGGTAGGGACGGATATCAACCGGAACTGGCCGTACAAGTGGGACGGCACAGGCTCGTCCACCAGCCCCGGATCAGGTCGGTTCCCCCCCACCGCTTTTCTTCACTTATAAGGCCCCCCCGGAATCCCCTTTCGGGTCGCGGTTGAAACTCTCAAGGGATGTATTTGCTAACCAACTCTTACCGTAGAAACGTGAGTTGTCAACCAGAACTACCAAATGAAATTCAGCACGCTCCCCTTTCCTCTGCTGTGATGCATCTTTTCGGCAACCGCCCTTTTGCAGGATCCAACGGGGTTCAGTCACGCCATGATTTCCGGGTTATAGATTCTAACCTTAGCTTCATAGGTACCGTGGCGAGAGAGCCGGTGATACTCCAGAGAACACTGGAATCCGACGTACGACCCATCCATCTTCGATAATGACCGCAACTGCTAACCCGTCTATCTATAGAACTGGGCGATCAGCTGGCTGCAGGGCGTGGAATCAAACTCTATATTGACTGGCATAGTTACGGCCAATACATCCTCACGTAAGCTCCCCCTGCCACTATACCTCGTCCATACTCTCCATGTTGCGCCTTGTCTACGCGGTACTCAAGGTAGGAGGCACCCGTGGACGCGGAATATTGACCTAGATCCTACAGGCCGTACGGCTATTCCTGCTCGGCATCAGCCGAGAACCAGAGCAGGCAAAACACCCTGGCCAGGAGTACCGCCAACGCCATCACGAGTCTCTACGGCACCGCATTCACCACCGGTCCTATCTGCAGTACGCTATATGCCACGGCTGGTGGTAGTACTGATTATTTCACCGACGTAAACAAAGCCGAGTTCGGGTGAGTGGAATCACATTACTATACTCCGGTCCCAACGCCACTCCTATTAGAGTATGGATGCTAGATGCTGACTCTTATTAAACCCGAAGGTGGGCCATTGAGCTCAGGGACACCGGGCGGAACGGATTCACCCTACCCGCTACCCAGATTCTGGCGAGTGGTGAGGAGGCTTGGGTAGGAATTAAGTATCTACTAACCAACTTTTGAGCTACCGGGAGATGAGCTAGATAGCGAAGACTACTAAGTAGCGCTGTTAGGAATCGAACCTATCCTTCGTTAAGTAATAACCTACTGATCTCCGGGTCGGGTTTATAGTCCAAACTCTCCGCGAGCAAGGCGGGGGAGGGGTCTGTACAGCGACAAGGCATCGCTAACTCGGGGTGGACAGGAGACGGCCGCTCGAGGTTGTCGACGTCTCCCATGAGACGAGACTGATTATACAGGCATAAACAATGAATTCAACTCTTGTTGGGTCACCCTCTTGATTTACGTGGCTGTAGTCACTTAACAACTCACTCGCGTCGTAGGTTTGTCTGAGCGCGCATGTCTGAGCAGACCATAGGCCCAAAGGCAAGCATTTCTCGGATTGTACACTCCTCAGATATGAATAAGTATGTCTCGCGACTGCGTGTTTAGGATTCGCTATAATGTGACCCCGCGGGATTCGTTCCCTCTCTAGCTCTTATCCTGTTGCATCTCTGTCGTCGCCGGACGTTGCTCCTCTTTCACAATCCACTCGTGCTTTATCGAGATCGACCCCATTTCCAGCCCAATATCTCCTATTTGCCCTTTGAACGGCTCTGATGCCTTCGCGATGGATGCCCGGTATCCCAGCTCTTCCGGCCGGAGTCGTGTCTCGGATGAGTCGTCGTTGAGTTGCTTAAAGCGCCGGTTGCTATTCTTTCTGGACAGGGCGTCGACAGACGGGGTGTTGAAAGTGGCCGTACCATCGGGAGAGTACTGACCGCCGAAGAGAGGACGTAGGATAATCGCGCACGCTACGGTAACGGCAACACACGGTTCGAGGGCGCTGACCAAGACAGAGCTCGAGATAGACCAGGTAATATCGGTGAAGTCGACTTTAGTTATCAAGGCAACGCGTATGATGCTGACAACACATGTCCTATTGCGGAGTGATCTGTTAGTGTGCGCCGCGAACACGCAGGGCGTAACACGCCCCCAGACACGCACACGAACAGACAAGGTGAAGAGGGAGGGGGCAGTAACACTTACAATATCCCTATTCCAAAAGTAGCTGCAAGGCTTAACCGCTTAGGCAGTGCTAACTCCAATCTTAACAGGTACGGCATCGGTACGATGAGGATGATCAAGTCAGAGACCATGTTCAACGCGCCTGTTACCACCCATGACACCACCTGATTCCCGCAAACTCCTCCTTCGACCGACTTATCCCAATTATAGCTAAGCGGGCGGCAGATGAGAAAGGCACTAAGTACGGCCGCCAGCGTCCTATTCAGGTTACCGAGATTTGTCAGTGGCCGTTTCAAAAGACGGACTCGAGAGAACCACGTACCACGTGATAATTAAGACGTAGGTAGCCCTGGCTACTATAAAAAAGTTTTGGACGAGGAAGATTCTTGAGAATAGATGGAGTATGGATATTCTGCAGAGCCCCAGGCTGATTGCCCATAGCAACTGGAGAGGGATGAGATGCTGCGGGAGAGGAAGACATTAGCAAACTCTTGCTCGGCATTCATGCCGAGTATTAGAAGGACCTGCCTGGTAAAACAACGTAGGACCAGACTCGACGCCAAATCTGTTCACGATTTCATCGATATGGAAGCCCACGCCGCCCACGAGGACCGCTACACAGCACCGTCAGTATAATTACCCGCCGTCGATGCTGTAGGACGAGGTAGATACGTACCTGAGACTGAGACGCCCTGAAAGATAATAGCAAGGACCTAAAAGCATCGTCAGTCACCCGCAGCACCAGACTCGATATTCGAATAGGGGTACGACGAGCTTTCCTAACGTACACATGATACCATGACCATGTAGTCGCTCACGTCAAGCACCCGGTTGGCCTTCCGCCTCGCCAGCACCCGCAGGCCAACAAATACGGCGGGAATGACGCTGAAGACTATCCCGCATATTACGATGGCCCTCTGGTACAGGTTTTCGATAGGGAAGATAAATGTCATCACGTCCGAAGAACGTTCGAGTACGGCGGCCGGGTGAACGTAGCTTCAGATGGAACGTGAGAGTCGTCGGGGCGAATCATCAATCATCGATAGGCACAAGCAAGACCAACGACAGGAATGTGTATTCTTGCCCGTTTCGAGTACGCCGCGATCTTCATCGGAGAGCCCTGTCGGGAGTAGTTGGCTATAAAATCGGCGGTATGGCCACGCGCTTTGGTACCAGGTTCCGATGAACGCCCAGGGGCATGTATTCGCACGGCGAGCGGGTATGTATATATGTATTTACATGCTTCAAGACATGAGGCGGATGGAGATTCGGTAATAAGGAGCGACGAGCGCCTTTGAAGGAGCACAACGCTCTGTGCTGTTTTTGAATCTACGAGTTGATGGACACACACACATATACACATACGCACACAGGGGAGAGAGAGAGAGAGAAGAGGAAAAAACACTGGCTCAGGCGGGCAAAGCCGCGAGAAACGCCAACCCACCCACCACCCGTCAATAGGCAACTCATCTCTCTCGGCTTCAAAGTCATTGCATATATGCAGGCGTGGCATTCACAGGGTTACCTTTCTGCAAGCAGGCAAGTCGAGGAGCATCGGGAGAGCGATTCCAACAATACGGAAAATTTTCTCGCATTGACCTCCATGTGTCAACCAGGGACCCGTCTACAATGGGAGGTTGGAGAGCAACTTCACCAGCCGGGGGTCCGCCAATTCCCCTATGGCGGGTCCCCCCTTCAAGGGTTTACCAACCGTGCCCATGGTGATCCCGTTCCTCTCGGTCTTGTCGAACGAGCATCCCCCCGCTCGAGAGATGAGAGATGAAACGGTTTTTAGGTAGGCAACACCATACCTTTGTATATGTACTCAGGGCCGCTCACGACAAGGGGAGGGGGGGACCGCTTCGGCTCACTGCCGACCCCAGCTCGCCTCGCTTCCGACGTCACGGCCCCGGCCTAGATGGCGCTAGGCAGTGCCGCGGACCCAGGATCGCAACAGGCTCTGAAGGCTTCGCCAAGAGGATATGAGGCCAGCGGACCTGGTTCGCGCCGGCTGCCAACGTAACAGAATGCACGCACATTGCTACTGATTGATACTACGCAGTGCAACCCATGGGAGCCCGTCTTTCACCGCATCCCTTCGCCAGTCGATCCGAAGGCGGCATGCAACTCATCATTATTCTCGTCAAGGCCGTTTTCGGGTATCAGGCTTCGCATATGCTCGTACGCGGGCCTCGGGGACGAACACATAGGTATATATTTATCGCGCTATCCTCGGGGCATGCAGAGAAATACTGCAGGCTACAATACACTTACATCGACAGGGGGGGAAGCCTAGAAGACGAAGCTTTCTCCATCATGTCTAAGTACCTAGCATCTATCGTGACTTGGTACTGTATGGAGTCGTCGTTAGACCCCTACTAGCTCCGGACAGGCCCAGATGCGTATGTATGGCCATGATCGCAATGAGACATGGTTAGCAGATCCAATTCTTGTAAAGATGCCGCGTGCATTACTAAGAGGTAGGTAGCATCTACATACACACCTATGTACGAATGTATGGATGATTGGATGGATGTATGTATGGATACCTACGAGTATATCTATACGTATGTACGATGTTTATGGAACATACGAGCGAGACTCCCACGAAACACGCCTACGCATATGTACGTGCCCACATGCATAGTCTGCACACATAGTTTGTAGATATGTGTATCTCGTCGAAGTTGTCTACATACAGAACACGGCTGGCCTCTCGAAATTCGTAACCAGGTCGAGAAGGATCACACAATACATATGTGCCGTCGCGCATATCCACGTGGCGATGGCGCCGTCCTACACGCCAGGTGCGACGAGGATACGCAAGCCACCGAATCGTGCCCTTGTGCCTAACTTCCGTGCTCAGGCCGAGTCAGGAAACAGAACACACATCCACACAGTACCTATGTGCACATGCGTGTAGTAAGTAGGTGGGTATGCATGTCTTGTCTATCCACACATACGGAGCTGTGTAGGCATGTGTGGACGCGGGTCGTTGGGGGCACCGTCCGCCCGTGCAAACGCTAGGGATCGGGCAGACCCGAGTCTCATGCCCGTCGACCGGCTAGTATGGACGGCACGGCATCGCGGGACCAACCCTAAATGATGTATGTATATGTGCTTTTGTGTGTGCACCCATCACCATGTTGCTAGAGGCTTTTCGTGGCTAGCCGCCGGTTCATTTAGGGCACAATATAAAACGGCCGACTGGGCGGGACGTAGAAGCGCTACTAGGTTAGGGGTGCTGGGAGACGACTAGTCGAGATGCCCAAGTGGAGCAGGTTCGTGAGTTGGTTCCTGATGCCGGCGCCTCCTACCGATGCCAGTCAGTACTATCTAGCATCTAATGTTCCTATTTTCAACTTGCAATACATACGAACAATCATATAACACAGGCTAGTTCTCAGGGTATAGAAGCCCACGCTACGGGTTTCTTACTACCTACTATCTATCCGGCTATATAATTAGGCAACCCCACCCTCTTCCCCATCCTCCGCGCCCTCCTCCCCCCCCCAAAGGAGAGTTTATTGTATACATACGTAGACATTACCCTGTAGACCACTTCAAAGGCGGGGTTATGCTAATACTAGCAAGGGGAGATGAGCGAAAGGGGCACACTAAGCTCGCGAGGACCGTGCACATACACATACTCACTTTGGGCACCTCTTACTGCCGCGGAAACCTCACAAAGTGTACGATAACATCCTAGGTCGAGAGCGACTATCGAAATATCCCCAGCCGGCAGACGAGTCCCGAAGCGGCGAGCCCGCGCAACTCGGCAATCTGCGCTGTGTAGGTATGCACACCACTAGGACCAAGCGGTCCCAAAGAAACACATACGTACGATGGCAATATACTAGATCTGCACAGGTAGATACGTAGACATGACGAGAGGGGGGGAGAAAGAGGAGGAGAGGCGGCCTGAGCCGAGCCAAGTCGAGACTGATTCGGTGGCTTGCCAGATCTACGAGGCTCCGCGGCATAGAAGGGCATGGTATAGGTAGTTTTACGCACGTAATACACCACACGCGCATATGTAGTGTGAAAGAAAAAAAAAAAGCCTAGCGCGCCTAGGCGTCGGGACCTTGCGGCGATGCTAGCCGGCCAGCTAGCAGGGAGCGCCGTCGCCGTCGCGCACGCCAAGCGGAAGAAGCTATCGCGGTAGCGGCGTGCTCCTCTCCCATCCCAAGCCTGGCCTGCCTGCCTACAGACGCCTCGTCATTTCCGTGCGCGCCACGCAGGTGTCGGGGCTCGGGCGGCGGCGGGGAGGTTGAGTCCGCGTGCTCTCTTGTATATAGAGACGAGCGAGGGACTGCGGTCGGTGGACAGGCGACGAGGGCGTACCTTGGGATGCGGTGGCGCGGGCTCGTTCGCTCGCTCGCGCGCCCACACTTGTCCGCGCAGGCAACATGCATACCTATGTGTGTAGAGGCGCGCGGCCTGCTGGGTGTGCGGGTTGCGCGTGCTCGGGTGGGGGCTATTGGGTTGTGGTGAGGCGATCCGCGGACGAGTAGGTGATGGACGTACTATAGTCTGGGACATCTCAATCTTACGTCGAACGACCCGCGGAGGCGCGCTCGTGAGCAGGGGCTACGTATGTGTACGTTCATGGAGGGATGGTCTGGCCCTCGCGCTGGGGAAGGCAAGATATATACCTACACCCTGGGAGCCTCTCATTATGAGGTGGGAGGGAGAGAGGGGATAGGTCGCATGTAGACAAGCGCCTGGCTTGGTATAGTAGATGCTGCCTACGAATAACGGCGTAGAAGGCGTGGTCTATATCTGGTCCGTTCGGACTTCAAGCCCGGGGTACATCCGGCGTCCCTATAAGTCTTTCGCCTAAAGAGACAGGGAGCACACTCAATATAACGAGCTTAGTCCACCCGATCCCCTTTGGATGAGACATCGAGCAGTTAGTCTCTCCTTAGTGGAGATACGTACGGGTGGCAAGGCAATACGATAGAAATCCAGTCACGCAGTCGTCGAAGTCGCATCGAAAGAGGCCAATCCTCGGTCTACACATGTACACGTTGGTTCTTTCTATAGAAACCGCTATATTGACCTCTTGGTGTCGGCTCCTCGCCGCCGGAGCCATCCATCCCTTAGCACCTAGTTTCCGGGAGCCACGGTTATCCGGGGCCTCCGTGTGACACGCCTGGTGTTTGTGCGGCACTATCTTGTTCGTTCGGGGACGGGAGAGGATGCAGAAGAAAGAAGTGAGGACGCCCCCCGCCCCCCTCCCCTCCTCCCCCCTCCTTCGAGGGGAGAATGTCGAAAATGGAGAGACGCGCGCGCGCGTGCGCGATCAAATTCGAAAACCCTGGCGGTGTTGACAAAAACCCGAGTGATGGCGACGTTGGCCGTCGTGGTAGTATAAGAAGAAGAGTGACGAAGCCTCCCTTGCCTGCCTGCCTGCCCTACTTTGTATTTCCATGATGATCCCTGCCGCCGGAAAAGAAAAAAAAAACCGGATGACGACTATTACACACTGTCCATACGCCTCGATAAGAAAATGAAGGGGGAGGGAATGAAAGCCGGAAACCCTGATCTTGGTGGCGGTTGTCGTCGCAGTCAAAGTGCCACCTGGGAACGCGTTGCATAGCAGCGCAAAAACATGCACACAATTAAGCCCTGTGTCCTAGAAACGCCGATGTGATGAGCTGTAAGCTTCCACCAGCCCGTTTCGGGCTCTTCTATCCGCCCTTCTCACCCCACCAACCAACGTAGGTAGATAGGTAGGCCTGTGATCTCACTGGGCCCCCGTGGGCACCACAAAGCCTGTTATGTTTCGTTTCCGATCTATTCTTCCTAGATTGAGGTTCATTGTGAGCGATGCCCTCGGCGGCCTCGGTGTCGCTTCCGCCCGGGTGCAGCTAGACCCCGGGGCCTCTGCCAGGCTACTTGACTTGGGGCGGCGGTAGCACACTTACTACATGACGGCTGTGCCCAGCATAGTCCCTTCCATCTCCATGTTGTCCATTGGAACGTCCATGCCGGTCCCGCGAGATTCCATACCCGACATTCGCGCCTCGACGGTGTTCATGCGGGCCTCCATGGCCTCCAGCCTCTTCTCGATGCCCTCGAGCCGCTGCTCGATGCGGCCGAAGCCTTGCGACATCTCGTGGCCTAAGCGGTCCATCTTATGGGTCAGGCTGCGTATGCTCTGAGCGATCGGGGTGTTCTCCTGGCCCGGGGGCGCCGGCGGAGCTCGGGGTTCGTGGTTGTGCCGGTGCTCCTGGACCTGGAAGCGCCACTGGTTGCCGAGGTTGACCTCGCAGACGGCCTTCGCACGCCAGGGGCAGTCCACCTTGCGCGTGCTCGGGTTGCGCTTCTTGGCGGTGCTGCTGTACTTGACGCCGCCGCGGTCGCAGACGAGGTCGTACCGCGTCGGCTTGCCGTCTCGGTAGTTGCTGGCGCGCAGCTTGACGACGTTGTACCCCTGGTCCTTGCCCACGCGCTGGACGGCGAGGAGGAGGTCGTCGAAGGTGCGGTAGATGCCCTCGGGGGGAGACTTCATGGCATTGGGGTCGACTGCGGGCATGGCGGCCGGGGTCGCCGGCGTTGTCGTCGAACCCGGGCGCGGGGTGCTCAGGGCGCTCGAGTTGCCGTCGACGACAACACCCGCGGCGACCGCAGGGTGGTGGGGGGTCTGTTGGAGTGAAATCTTGCCGGTAGTGACGGGATGATCGGGGAGACGGGGGGGATGGGTGAGGCGACTGTGGTGAGGTATCTCGACCGGTGCCTCGTCGGCGGGGCGAGATCCGGGGTACGTCGTGGTGGTGTCGAGGGCTCCCACTGTGCCGAACACGCTATTGCAGCGTGTGGCCGGTCGTGCGTCGGAGGATACAGAGGGGCCGTCGGTGGGAGGAATCGCACGGTGGCCCGAGGAGGCGTAACGATGATCCGAGGGGTCTGGAGAAAGGGAGCGGGAGAGGCCCGTGGTGGTGCAGGCTGTGGTGCAGGCTGTGGTGCAGGCTGCGGTGGTGCAGGCCGTGTCGAAAGCTTGAGCTAGAGCTTCAGCTGGAGCAGCCCGTACAGCGGCAGCAGAAGCGGCCGGGTTGATGCTAGGGGGAGTGGCCGACGGATGTCCACCGTGTGAGTTTGGTGGTGGTGCGGCAGGACAGCCGTGCGAGACACGATGCAGCAGCTGGTTAGTCGGATGCGGATGGCCTGGATGAGGAGAGTTAGGAGCAGAAGCCTGCGGAGAAGCGGAAGAAGAACGGGCTGGCGTGGCTTGCGTGTGGGCGTGCACAGGGGCGTACGTACTGGCGCCTTGACCTGTACGCATACAGGCTGCCGCCACGCCGTAATCCCAGCCACAGCGGAACCCTCGCTGCGGCGGTTGGCCCTGTGGCTGGTCCAAGTACGGGTGGCTGCCCCTGGCCCCACTACTAGCCAGAGCTTCCAGTGACCACTGGCCCAGATACTTCACCGTCTTCGGGAAACCGTCGTCATTACCCAGATTAGCCTCGACGACATTGATGTGCCTGTCGCGTTCCGTGTTCGAGCCCGAGTGTATTGTTTTCAGCGACGCGTCGCTCAATGTCGGCGTGGCCTGTGACACACCCAGAGGCGCCTCCAGCAGCTTCGCTTTCGAGCGTCTACCCTGACTGAACGCCTCGAAATCCTCCCATCCGCTGAAGTCCTTCCCGCCGAAGCCGCTGAGGCTGGCACTATTGGGACCGAAGAGACCGAGGCTGTCCGACTTGAAGTCTTCCATATCGACGTCCGCCCTCGGATTGACCCACTCGAACCCAGATACCTAACCAGGGTTGGCAGTAGGGGTGTCGTCCTTGTCGCTGGCTGCGTTACCATCGTTCATCTTGATGTATGACCGCCGGGTGAAAGCTTTGAAGTTCTTGGTGGAGCAAGGCCAAGCCTGAAGCTGAGAGGATGTCAGGCAGTGCAGGCCAAATGAAGAAAGCGGGAATGGGCATTGGTGCTGGGCCCGGTGCTGGGCCCGGTGCTGGGGTGGGAGGAGCTGGCGGGTTGAGTCAGGCAAAGGAAGGGAAAGAAATTATGGATGAGGAGCAGATCGAGCTCGGCCTTCAGCAATTAAATCTCCTCCATGTCAAGGTAAGAAGAAGAATTCTCTCGTGAGCAATGGTCACCTAGGTAATCATTCGCCCATTTGCGCCCGTGTTTCCCCGTTGTCCAGGCCACTACTTGGCTGCCACAGCAACATTACTAACAGCAGATTCAAGTGCCGAGAACTGCGAACCACGATCCAGTGCATGCTCGAGTCGATACCTAGCAACTCTACTCGTAAGCACCAATTACTTTTCTGACCCAGCCGACCCCCTAGAGTGCATCGCACCTACTGACGAACGCCAGCAGCCGAGGAGCTCTATGCTAGCTTTGTGAAATCGATTGCTGTCGCCAGCGGCCAGATTAAGGACTTTGGCGCTTTATACAATAGCGAGGAGAGCCGGAAGGTCCTCGAACAGGCCAAGAAGAGCCGCGACGCGAATCCTAAAGGCATCAAGCCTTGGAGGGCAAAGGACCACCCTGATTGGTTTGACCTCGCCCGCCGGTCAAAAACTCCATCAAATTCACAATAGTTTTTGAGGCTACTTTACCAGATATTGGGCTTGCCACGGCGTCACGGTGTATTCTTGAGGCTGCGAGGAACCATTAGTATACTAATTTGGTGTGGGCAATCCGTGGGCACATAGATAGGAATTCTTCTACATATCTAGGTATATCATGGTTGATGGTGAGTATCTAGTCTGGCTAACGGGATCGTGGAGGGGCTTTCTCCCATCGTGGGCGTCTAGGTCCTCGGTAACTACCTATATGGTATCATTAAAAAGGCAGTCCCAGGGCTATATATACTGGGTTTATTTTTTATCTTTTTTAAAAAAGACTTCTTATGTGCCATCTATTTACCGGGTCTTCCATCTTCGTCGCTCTCCATTATTTGCCTGCGTGTGGCTGTCCATCGTGTTTCCTGAGCTCGTAGATATGGGGCGCCTTTGGTAAGGCGTAAAGTGTTGTAGCTGAGGTCCCTACTATGATCAAGTAATCCTGAGGGGGGGTACATAAGTACTGCGTTGATGAGTCATACGGCCCCCCACATGCACCAAAAATTCGGTGCGATATTCCACAAAAATCACACTCTTTCTTTCAATTTGCCCCTCCAATTCAACTACACCTACTTGCGTGCAATTTCTTCCACAATCATCGTGCTAGCCGCCAACCGCCTTCATACCAGTCCGGCCCGTCCTAAATTAGAGAAAGCCTGGAGCCATGTCTCGGTTTTTCCGCAGCGGTGACGACAGCTCTAGCGAGAGCAGCTCCGAGGAAGAGGAGCTCTACTCCGAGGGGGGGGAGGAAGAAGAAGAAGAGCAGGAAGCGTCCGAAGAGGAGGAAGATGAGGACGACGACGAGGATGAGTCCGATGAGGACTCTAGCGACGAAGAAGGTGCCAAGAAGTCTGGTGCAGCTCGTTTCTTGCGTGGTGATGACTCGGAGAGCGACGAGAGCGACGACGATACCCCGAAAACCCTCAAGAGCGCCAAGGACAAACAGTTAGCCGAGCTCGAGGCCATTATCGATACTATCGAGAAACGGCAGAAGATTAGCGATTGGGGCGCTGTATCTATAGGTACGTTTGTCACGTCGCTGCACACATATATGTGTCATGTCAAATGTAGTCGGTCTACCCGCGTGCGACTGACTGACTGACTGACTGGGTAACGGTGCAGAGTTCGATAAGCTCAATAGGCAGGCCATGAAGATTGCCGAACGTGGCCGGACGCCGAAGCTCTACGTCAAGGCCCTCGTTGAACTCGAAGATGCCATGAACGAGACGATTTCGAAGCAGAAGGTCACCCCCAAGAAGATGAATGCCACCAGCGCACGCGGTCTCAATGCCGTCAAGCAAAAGATCAAGAAACTCAAGCAAGACTACCAAACACAGGTCGATGCCTACAGGGAGGATCCTCTTGATTTCCTCGCCTCGGAAGAGGAAGACGAAGTCCCAGAAGTGAAGCCTAAGAAGCTCAAGGCGGAGTTGCAAACTGATTTGGTTGACGAGGACGCGGACGGGTACGCGACGGTCGGCAAAGGCGGCCGGACTCTTCAGTTTACCCCGGAGAGCATATTCAAGCACCTGCGGGGCATCTTGGAGTCTCGTGGCAAGAAGAATACCGACCGAATTGAACAGATCAAGATCATGGAGAAGCTTCACGAGGTTGCCATCACTCCGTACCAGCGAATCAAGGTTCTGCTCACTCTCATCTCCGCACGCTTCGATCTCGGCACTGGTGGGTCGACGTCCATGCCGCTTGAACACTGGAAGGCTGCGGAGAAGGAGATATCAACCCTGTTCGAGACTCTTGGGTCAGAGAAGGAGTACGTTGTGATCGAAAATGCCGAGGAATGGGAAGACGACGAAAAGCCTCCCACGCTACAGGCTGGCGAGAAGTACATCAAGATTCCCGGAAGCATAGTGTCATATGTCGAGCGACTCGACGACGAGCTTACCCGATCGCTGCAAAGCATTGACCCCCACACATCGGAGTACATTGAACGGCTAACCGACGAGGGCTCGCTGTACAACGTTATCTTCCGGGGCCTTCTCTACTATGAGACCCTCTCTAAGGACCCGTCTTTGCAGACCCCCCAAGATAGCCTGAACCGCATCGTGATGCGTAGACTCGAGCACGTGTACTTCAAGCCCGCGCAAGTCGTTAAGATTCTCGAAGAAAACGCCTGGAAACCTGTACCATCGGAAGTCGAATCTACCATCACTCCGAGGGGGACCGTAACAGATGCCACTAACCTGCTCAACGTCCTGTGCAGCTACCTGTTCACAAATAGCGAAGGGATAATTCGGGCACGGGCGATGCTGTGCCAGATCTATTTCCTCGCCCTCCACGACGAGTACTACAAGGCGCGCGATATGATGCTCATGTCGCACTTGCAGGAAACGATTGGCAGTTTCGACGTGCAGACCCAAATCCTCTACAATCGAACTTTAGTCCAGGTCGGACTGTGCGCCTTCCGGAAAGGTCTGGTCTACGAAGCGCAGAACACCCTTCAGGAGATCTGCGGTAGCGGGCGGCAGAAGGAGTTGCTTGCCCAGGGTGTCATGATCCAACGATACGCCCAGGTCTCCCCCGAGCAGGAGAGACTAGAAAAGCAGAGGCAGCTACCCTTCCACATGCATATCAACCTCGAGCTCCTTGAGTGTGTCTATCTGACCTGCAGCATGCTTCTCGAGATCCCCCTGCTTGCCCAAACCGGCTCCTCCCCCGACATTAAAAAGCGAGTCATCAGCAAGACCTACCGACGCATGCTCGAGTATCACGAGAGACAAATCTTCACCGGGCCTCCTGAGAACACCCGTGACCATGTGATGCAGGCCTCCCGCGCCCTAGCGGCCGGCGAGTGGAAGAAGGCGACTACCTTCGTCCACAACATCAAGATCTGGGACCTGATGCCTAACACCGACGAGATCAAGACTATGCTATCGAAGCAGATCCAAGAGGAAGGCCTACGGACATACCTCTTCACGTATGCGCCGTTCTACGACACCCTCGCCGTCTCTACGCTGTCGTCCATGTTTGAACTTGAGGACCGCAAGGTGTCGGCCATCGTTAGCAAGATGATCAGCCACGAGGAACTTGCAGCTGCCCTTGACCAAGTCACGTCGACCGTAATCTTCCGGAAGGGCGTGGAGCTATCCCGCCTCCAGAGCCTAGCGCTCACGCTGTCGGACAAGGCTGCCCAGCTCATCGAGACGAACGAGCGCACGCTCGAGCAACGGACGCAGGGCACAGCCAACGCGTTTGACAGGAGGGGCGGACAGAACCAGCGAGGTGGCCGAGGGGGAGGGCAACGGACTGGCCGGGGTGGTCCTAGAGGTGGCGGAACAGGCCAGAGGCAGGCCGGCGGCACGCAGTTTACTGGCGGCGTGCTAGGCGGTGCGGTGCGAGCCTAGACCCACTGGCCAGCAGCGCTGAAGCGGCGTCAACCCCACACAGACGCACAGGCTCTCTCTCTCTCTCTCTCTCTCTTACACACACACGCTCTCTCTTCGTCTCTTTTATATGTACTGCATACGGTTGGGCTCTCGAGGTTTAATGAAAAGCACGTCGGCACGGGACTGGCGGTGGGGGTTTGTGATGCGGAGGTTTACCGAAGCTCGGTCATGTAGGTAGCTGCTGCTAGGGCATCGACCTTAGCCGGCGCGGTGGAGGGATACTCATAGATAGTAGCAACTTTATGGGGAATAGCGGTCGATCACCTAGGCGGGCAATACCGTGATTGCTTATTATCGTCGCTATTATTCGGACGCATCCTTTACACTGCGAATGGTTTTGCGCGTCGTGACGGAGTAAGGATGCAGGCACCGCGTAGAACCAACGCAGACATGGACCAGACCAGTATGAGCCCTGGACCCAACATCAGGGAGTATGCGGATGAAGTGGCACGGTGTGTCATGAATGCGCGCATACATATGTCGGTATGTGTGAGCAGGCCTCGGTATCTCGATATGAGCATATTCTGCACGCATAGTGGCATGGGCAGGTCGAGGCGTCGGGTCGGAGGTGGGGAGGTGGGGAGGTCCACTGCGATGCAACCGTATAGCTTATACGGTATAGGGAAAAGACGTGGGTCCTTATGCACTTGTGAATAAATGCATAGGCTAGGCCCGATCAGGCCCAGCCGCCGGGCCAATCAGAGCAGGGATAAACGTAAAGGACACCGGCGGTCACCCCCTACTTTTTGCATATGCTGTCCGGGAGAGACGCGGGAAAGCCGTCGCTTTCTAATCGCTGACTTATTTGATACTGGGTATAGGTAGCTAGGTCGTCCTCGGCGTAGGGAGAGTTGGGAGGAGCTCGTTTTTTTTTTTCCCCCGCGAGAAAAATTTAACAACGCCCAAGATATCCACCATCTGCAGACGCCGAGGCCCGTAAACGGATATAGATATGGGTTCGCTCACCAGCAATGTCTCGACCCGCCCGGTGAAGAGGAAGAATCATCTCTCCGAGGCGGCCACGCTCACTATACGATAGTCTAAAGCATCACTTCTCGCTTTCCCGCAACCCACCCGCACCCACGACCGGCCGCCGTCTATCCGCGGCTACTGCATACCTACCGCGCCTAGGTTCGTTCCAACACCACACACATGTCGTCCGCCGCGCCCTTAACAGAGGGGGCCGCCTCCTCGACGTTCCCCCCCGCCATGCCCAGCCCAGTCGCGTCCAGAGAGTCCAAGCAACCAGGACAGAAAGGGGAAGAGTCTGAGACGCTAAAGCCTCTGACGCCTGCCGAATTCCGCGGCTTCAACAGGCTCGCGGAACACATGGACATGTTCCACGAGCATTTCCGCACAACGTGGAACACGCTGTGGGCGGCGGCGTGCGCGGGGGACGGCGTGACGGCAGGGAGGTCACCGCGGGCGCGGGCGCTCATCGACGAGGGGCTCTCGTTCGTGACAAACCTCGAGATGCACCACAGCATCGAGGAGAAACACCTTTTCCCGGTGCTGGCGCGGCGGATGCCCGATTTCCAGGACGCCGAGGACGGTGGAGGGGCGGGCGAGCTGCTGCGGCAGCACCGCGAGATCGACGAGGGCATGGAGCGCTTCCAGCAGTACCTCCGGGCGTGCCGCGACGGCGAACAGGAGCTCGACATGACGACGCTCAAGGCGCACATGGAGACCTGGGGCACGGTGCTCTGGACCCATCTCGACGAGGAAGTGCAGATGCTTGGGGCCGAGAACATGCGCAAGTATTGGACCCTCGAGGAGGTCAAGCAGATAGGCATGTAGAGGAAGAAAGGAGAGGCGAGGGGAAGACAAAGGGCCTGCCTACCTATTGTAGGCACACACAAGAGACCGGTATTCTCGAGCGGCGGCCGGGTGAGAGCAGATTCATCCCCGGTGGTCATCCGAACAGGTGATGCTAGGAGGATGCGTCGATGGCATGTATACCCACAACACCGACCTACGATGTAGGCATATTGGGACAGAGTAACGAAAAAAAACGGAGAAACTTTAGTAGACACGAAAAAAAAGGTCCTCGGTGTAGTAATTCTCCAATTTCTAGATTCAAGATGGTATTAAAGCCGGATAAGATGAGGCGCTCCGGAAGGATGGGAGAAGATGAGGAAAAGGGGCTTGCGTTACGTAAGCCGACGACGATGCCCCTCCGGAGGAATTAATAAGGATGAGCGCGAGCTGCCTCTCTCTTCCTTCCATCACATCTGACTGGAGCGGCACCACACGGTACATTTCTCATTAGGATCTTGTGAGGCGATGACTGGCCCGGCTCACAGCGCAACCCGCGCTTAAAGAGTACCTGCTTGGATACCTCACTCTCCCTCCCTCCCTATATATGTCCATCCCTCCTCTAGTCCGCCGCCGTTATGGAGAAATCATTGCCGCTCTCTGCTCAAGCAGCTCCGCCCGCGCCCCAGCCTCGATCATCATGGCCCAAGACGCTGGCTGTCATGGGCCTGGTCGTCCTGGCTGCTTTCTATCACCATCCTCACCTCCCTAGCATCGAGTACGACGGAATCCGCGAGCAGTATTACGACGCGCTCACCGGCGGCGTGATGCGATACCGCGCCGAGTTTCCCTACGGCCGGTTCCCTCTCCCCGACGACCCATTCCGCTTCGTTCCCTGCACGAACGCGACCCTACCGCCGCCGCTCGACGATGCCCACCCGGAGCGAAGCTGGGCCCGCCTCTTCGACCCCGATCCTGAGCATTGGAGCTGGGGAAAGACGACCACGACGCGTGACGCGCGAGCTGGCCATGACCCATATGCCGAGAGGGGTATCTACTTGTGCGGATATCTCGATGTTCCTCTAGACTACACCAACCAGTCCGATCTCCGCATCGTCCGACTCGCTGTCACGAAATACCAGGTTTCCGGCCTCGCAAGGGTTCACCCTGTCGTCGGTACCCGTTCCCGACTACCCGCGGGGAGCAAGAGCGAACGCACGATCGTCATTGAGCCTGGCGGGCCGGGAGGGAGCGGAACATCGTACGCCTGGAGGGCTGCGGAGGACATCACAAAAAGGCTCAGCGACGGGAAGTTCGATGTCTTAGGGTGGGATCCGCGCGGCGTCAACACGACCTCGCCCTCCGTGGCGTGCTATCCCCATGACGCCGATCGAGACCGCTGGTCGATGTTGACTGGGCAGTATCGCGAGGTGTCCGGGTCGCTCGACGGCCAACTCGAGCTCGCGGATGCCATGAACGACGCCATATTTCGGGCGTGCTGGGAGAGGCACGGCGACTTAGGGCGGTTTGTCGGCACGGCGTTCGTCGCGCGCGACATGGAGGAGATCCGCAAGGCGCTCGGCGAAGATGAACTAACCGGTTATCTCGTCAGCTACGGCACCGGTATCGGCCAGACATGGGCCAACATGTTCCCGCATAGCGTCGGTCGTGTGATACTCGACGGCACTGAGTACGTCCGAGACCACCGTCTCCTCGGCGGCTTCGGGTGGACCGCGCTTGATAACGCCACCGATGCCTGGCACGATGGATTCCTTGGAGAGTGTCTGAAAGCCGGGCCGGAGCACTGCGCATTATCGCAGCCGAGGGGACCTAATCCGGTGACCCTAGAAGGGCTCGAGGATAGAATGCACACGTTAGTATCGTCGCTCATCCAACGGCCCATCGTAGGCTACGTCGAATCGAGTGGCCCGGCAATCGTTACGTACTCTGCTCTCGTCGCTGCTATCTACGGCGCCCTGTACAATGCCCAGAGCTGGCCCGCACTCGCGCAGATGCTGTTCGAGCTAGAAGGCGGCAACTCGACCCTAGCGTCGGCATTTTTGGATCGCACGACGTGGGAGTACGATCCTGCGCTTCCATCTCTGCCTTTCCGGAGGCCGTCGACCGACGAGCTGGGCTACCTGGTCATATGCGCCGACTCCTACGACGCGCCCCTGCCGTCCGACGGCCTCGTCTGGTGGCAGTCGCTCTGGGCCAACATGACGGGCCAGGCGTGGATCTCGGGCAACTCGCGGTTCTTCAACGTGTTTCCCTGCCGGCACTTCCAGACCTACTGGCCGCGGCCGGCTGAGGTGTACCGGGGGGACCTGAACCACACGCTCCGGAACCCGGTGCTGCTGATCGCGGAGACGTACGACCCGGCGACGCCACTGCGCAACGGGCGGCGGCTCGCAGCGGAGATGGGCCGCAACGCGCGGCTCATCGTGCACCACGGCTACGGGCACTCGTCGCGGGACAAGTCCGCGTGCACGGATGCGGCCGCTCGGGCCTTCATCTTGGAGGGCACCCTACCCGAGGACCCAGAGACGGCGTGTTACGCCGACGAGAAACCCTACCTCTACGGCGTGACTGCGACGGAAACCGGCGCCGGGTCCGCCGCCCAAGATCCCGTCGAGGCCTGGCGCGAACATGTCCGGGAGCTGGCGTTGTGGAATCTTCGCCTGCTCCCTAACTGAACTGTTTTGACTCGATTAGAGAAAGAGAGGGGAGTCCGAATCTAGTGTTTTTTTTTTCTCAACATCTAAGATACCATTTTCGGTTATGTCACCATACCATCTCTGTGAAGTACGTCTTAATTCATAACGTGTGCGTAGGTCAAATCACGTATATCCAGGAGCCTAATTACTTCAGAGCGGCGATCTTTATAACCTCTCTACGGAACATTTCCACCTGACTCTTACGGAGCCCCCTTTAGTCTCACACAAGTCGGTTTCCTCTTGTCTCCCCCAATCCCCCCGCTACGGTATCACGATCTCCTGCTCGCCGGCGAATATGTAACGCGCGCTCGCGACGACAAACTCGCGCCAGATGCGCATCTCGTCGTCGTCGCCTTCGCGCGGCGCGTAGATCATAATGTAGCCCCAGGGCAGCATGGAGCGCCCCCGGCGGATGCTGACCCCGCTCATCGGATGCCGCTCTCCCCAGCCAGCGGCGATAGCGGCCGCCGCGTCCGCCGGGCTCAGCACGAGGTGGGTGCTGCCCTCGCCGTGCACGTGCGCGAACTCGCCGCTGAGTCGCCGCAGCTCAGCGCGGTGCTGCGGCGGCCCCTCCCCTCCTTTTCCCTCTCCCTCCTCGGTCGCGGGCGTCGGCGTCGTGGTCACCCACAGCGCGTCGAAGAGCGGGCCCTCGAGCCGCGACGGCCGCACGCAGAGCAGCGCCGGGTTGGCCGCGGCCAGCGCGCGCAGAAAGTCGTTCTGGCGCGCGCGGGTGGCGGCGCTGCCGCGCTGGCTCGTCTGGCGGTGGGGCGCGACGAAGCGCGGGATGTCGGGGCGGGCGCGGGCGCGGGGGGGCACGGCGCCAGCGGCGAAGAAGGAGCGGCGGCTCAGGGGCCCGTAGGGCGGCGAGCGCGCGAGCGCGACGGGGTCGTAGGGCGCGGGCACGCACGTGTCGGCGCGCGCGAGCGGCGTCAGCAGCACCTGGAAGAGGTACCCGCCCGGGTTGCTGGACAGGCCGTTGGGGCCGAGGGCGTACCAGGCGCGGTAGTCGGCCACGAGGCGCCAGAGCAGCGGGATCGCGACGGCGGCGCCGACGGCGGCCGCCGCGGTGAGGGAGGCCGGTCGGTTCTGGCGCAGGGTCGTGGCGGCTGTGCGGGCGGTCGCGGCCAGGGCCTGGAGGTCGAGGGTGTTGAGGCTCATTGCGTCTGTCTGTTTGTCTGTCTGTCTGCGCTCGATAGGTGGATAGCTGGGTCGGGTAGTCCTAGGCGTCTGTTGTTCTTCGCTTCGGTGTGACGGCGAGTTATAACTAGGTGGGCGGATGGATACAAAGGCATAAAATGATGAGCGAGAGAGCTATATCGCTGCCATAGGCTTATACGACGACGACCGAGGGGTCGTCCAGCTCGGTGGCTAAATATAAGCAAGGGATGAGTTGCACGGCTCGATGGTTCTACGACGTCCCTCTCTCTATGAGTATATTACACCCAGGCCTCGACCTGGCCGCCCGCACCCGCAAAGCTCGGACAGCGAGCCGGCTCCGCCAAGCCCCGACCACGCTCTACGTAACGCCGCCCAGAGAACGTGCTGCGCTACCGCGTGCTTCTCCGCGAGGGCCCAGCGCGCATATGTATAGCGAGGAGATCGTGACCGTCGTTATTAGCGGGAGGGGCGGTGGCAATAACTCGGCTCCGAGGCTCGGACACATCGGATGCCGCCCAGAAGAAAGGAGGGAGAAGAAGAGGGGGGAGGGAGGAGGTGGTGTTTGTACCCGTGACGAGGGGATATCTTATCAATCTGATCGGAAATGTCGTCTCTCATCTCCATGCGCGTCGTCGAATCTGGGCATCTCCTGCTTTCCCGCGGCATAATCCCGGAGACGAGCTCAGGGATGGGGGGGGGGCTTCTTCAGATTGGGCATGAATTCCATCGCTGTGCTGAGTACGATCCCAACGTTGTTTGTGCTAACTCCATTTTCCAACAAACAGCTTTCGTCCCACATCCAGAGCACGACGGATATCCGCCTTTAATATACGTGATGTGATCAAAACCCCCCTCTCCCTGCCTCTGGCATATCTCCCCTATCCGCCCACATCCTTGCAGGCATGTAATGTGTGTAATAAGCAAGTCCATGTTCGACATTGATGAAACTCTTGCCGGGGTCGATCTCCGGGTGCCAGGGCCCAGTCTTCACTGCAAACAAGGCCGGCGGCCCGAAGCGGTGTCTTCGAACTATTCAGCATTCGGTTCCTATGGCCCTCGCCGTTTCGAGAGGGGAGGGGGGAAGGAGAGAGAAGGCTCTAGCGGTGCCTAAATAGCGTAGGCGGCCGGGATCCTAACAGATGACTTAGATATATATGAGCTCTAAGACATTACTTCCACCATAGAACATTGCATGCCAGCCGCGCGCTGCTCATGTCGTTAGGTTCTCTCGTAAGCCGCCACACGGTAGTCGAGCGCCCGCACGACTCACAGCTCACATACTATTTGGCATAGTGAGCGAGTATCCGGACACGTAGGGACTCGGAGCGCGTATGCCCCGGGTTAGCTTACGCACGTACTGGGAATAATACCTCATCTGGATCATCGACAGCCCAGTCGGCGATGGCCCAGACAAGGCTAATGATGTAGGTATCTAGATAGTCGGTTATTTATAGGTGTATACCTACGCCATTGGACCTTAAAAGGACCGACTCACTCTCGTATTGCACGCACCGGAACTTCGTCGAGTGGCACGGCCACGGCGCAAACAGAGCAGCACACCGGGCGAACCGTCGCGGGTATAACATCAGTCGTTGATAGCAAACAGCTCTGCGACCAGCCCGTCGCCACCGGTGCCGTGACATCTCTCGTGCCCACTTGTAGAACTCGACGCTTACCCGTCTCGACCATCGCACGCTACACCAGCTCACTGTCACTGACCCATTGCTAACCCGGCTCACGAATACACCCAGCGTGCGTAATCCCCAGCCCCCCAGCTCGACTCGTCTCGAGTCTAAACCGATAACTTGGTACTCTACCTGATTCACGCCCGTTCCAACTCCCACTCCAGACCTCTCTCTAGAAGACAGCATCGACAGAGTCGTCTCATCGCCTTCTACCAGAGGCCAACGCCAATCTTCCTCGAAAGCCAACACACACCACAGTCGAAGGCCGAGTCATCTCCCCGTCTCGCAGCCCCTATAAATACCCGTCTCGTCCTCCCCTCAAGAGAGACCCCCCCCCCTCCTGGTCCCAGCCGCCATGGGCACCAACGCCAGCGACCCGATATCGCACCTGGGGCTGTCGTGCCCGTCCGGCGGGGCCGTCTACGTCTGCCGGGACAGCGCGGTGCGCTTCGTCGGGTGCTGCGCCGCGGACCCGTGCGCGGACGGGTCCGGGGACTGCCCGGTCGGCGCCGTGCGGCCGGCCAGCTTCGACGCCGCGCGCTACTTCGACATCCCGGCGCAGGCGTGCGCCGCCGCCGCCGCCGCCGCCCGCAGCGCCTGGTACACCTGCGCCGTCGCCGGCGGCGTCAGCTTCCTCGGCTGCTGCAACTCCGACCCCTGCGCGCAGCGCGCCTGCCCGCTGCCCGACCTCGTCCCCGCCGTCCTGTCCGACGACCGCGAGGCCGCCGCGCCCTTCCTCGCGCCGGCGGCGTCGGCCCGGCCCGTGCCCGAGGACGGCGGCAGCGGTGGTGGTGGCGATGGTGGCGGCGGCGGCGCGCACGTCAGCAAGATCATCGCCGGCGTCGTCGCCGGCGCCGCCGCGCTGCTGCTGGTGTCCTGCTTCGTCTGGCTGTGCTGGCGGTGGCGGCGGCGCCGGCCCGTCCAGAGCAGGGCCCGCGACGACGGCAGCCGCGTCGAGGCGCGGCCGGGCACGCCCTGCGGCCCTAGCAAGGGTAAGTCGAGCCGCCTCCCACCGACAGGGGCGGGAGCCCTTCCCGGAGCCGAGCTGCTGACGGCACATCCGCACACAGGGCACCTTTCGACCAGCACTGCGGCCACGGGGGCGGCCTGCGCCGAAGTCGGCGGCAAGCACCACCTGCTGCAGCCGCTGCTGCCGGTGTGGCGGGCCCCTGACGCTCCGACGGAGGGCGGCAAGAAGCCGTCGCTAGCGGCGGCAGCGGCGACAGTCCCGGACGGCGTTCTGGAGCTCGAGGGCTCTGGCCCTGGCGCCCGCGGTTAACGGCGGCGGCGACACGGACGGGGAGGGGGGGAGGGAGCGGGCGCGGCGAGCCGCTGGCAGCGCGGCTAGCCCGCCTGGAGACGTGTCGCTCTGCCGCCCCTCGCCCTCTCCAAGCACCGCAGGTACCTGCGGGCACGGCGGCGCACACGGTGTCGCGCTCCCTGCGTGCGCACCCTCGACAACGGGAGCGAGACACCGTCCGCGCCGCCCTGCGGCACTGGAGCGCCGGGACGTCGAGGCGCTGTCGTCAGGCGAAGCCACGGACCCCGGGAGGGCGGCAAGTTTTGTCCCAGCCGTGCCAGCGGCGCACCTCCCGACGACGGGGGACCTAGGGAGGATGGCTGGCGCGGAATTTATAGGGACGGGTGGCGCGCGGTGTGCGTCGGATGAATTCGTGCAGTGACTGAGGGAGAGAGAGACACAGGTGAAGATCTCACGGTATAGGTAACCGTGTCTAGTCAGATACGGGGGGGATTCTAAGTAAGTGACGCTGCGAGGACAGGAGAGGCAAAGCGAGGAAAGGCAGCTAGGGCCGACCGAGATTGGGTGACTCCGGCAAGGAGCGTAATCATGACATTTAGCTGCTACATGTCCTAATATGGCGGATCGAAGAGGTTAGACAGGCATATATATACCCAGCTTTTGAATAGGAGAGAGCCGTGCGACGAAGAAGCGTCATCCGCTCTCTCTCGCGAACCGAGCCTCATACCATCGTTCACACCATCGCCTATCGATCAACGTGACTACGTCCCCTTGTGATTTAAATTATAAAAAAAAAAAGATAACATGGACAGGCCCCGACAGAGGGAGGGGTGGTAGTCACTCAGCAAGCCGGTTGATTCAGCATGTTCCTGATCCTATCCCGCATGCGGCTGGCCCCTCCTCCCGACGCGGCGCTGCTCCGGCGGCGCTGCGGCCCGTAGACGTTGTTGACGGCCTGGCAATCGCCGCTCGAAGGGTAGCGCGTGGCGCCGATGCGGTTCGTCCGACCTAGCCAGCAAAGAAGAGGTCAGCGCGGTGGCCAGTTTCGGCCAAGAGGGTCTGCTTCTCCTCTCCCCTCCTCGTCCTCGTCCTCGCTCCCCGTGCCATCTGGGGAGGGGGTGCTTACACACGAAGTCGCCCCTCCCGGCGTCGCCGATGACAGCCTGGTACTTTTCCTTGGCCGTGAGCGTCTCCTTGGTCGTGGGTGTCTCCTTTGACATCTTGAAGCTTTGTTATTCGTCTACTGGTTATTGGTGGCCTATGGTTCGGCGTAGTGATGCCTGCACGACAGTAAGAGTAGATACGCTGTGTATTTATGTGAATTTCTCCTCTAGGACCGACGATGGCGGACAGCTATCTATAGGCTGAAAGGCCAAACTTCCCCTCAGGAAAATTGACCAGCTCCAACCTACCATCTATGCATGCCGGAGAGGGCCGGACCCCCTCCTCCCAGTGTGACCCGCCAGGTCGACCCCTCACGGCGATATCAGCAGATGGGAGGTCGAGATGATCGGCATTTCTCACCTGCTACGAGTAGCCGAGACTGGAGATTGGCCGCCATTAGTGGGAGGTGAGCACGCGATGACGGTTAGTAGGTATAATGCTCCCGCTACTGAATCATGACAATAGCTCGACCCACGATAACGCCAATATACGTGCTGCCCCGTTCCTATCGAACTTTTGAGGGATGGCATCTCTCCAAGCTAGAGGGAGCCGCAGACGCCGGAGGCGTGGCATGCGCTCTAGGGCAGCCTTCAACTCTGATTGGAAATGGACGAACTCTTCTTGACTGGCAATAGATTTGATGCGGCCGTCGCCGTGGATTTCGAGGGCACGCAGGTTGCCGCATCCCATGAGAGCCGACGGTAACTCTGCGGGTGTGGGCAAGCTGCAGTGAAAGTAAAATTCCTCTAAGGGTTTCTCGCTATTCTGGTCATCGGAGATAACGCCAGGGCATTGGAGGCTAGCTTCGACCCGCAGGAGATCGGGAAACCCGGCGAGCCAGACGAACCCGCCGTCGTTGAGGACGGAATGCGACATCATGCTCCAATGGTCCGAGTTTAGTCGTAACGTAGTAGTTCCAGAGTATTGGAAGCGACTGTGGCGGTCCAAAACCGTCTCGTACGCCCCGGGCGGTCGGCGGCCAATGTACTAGAGAGGCCGCTCGACCGCAGGACGCCGTACAAGCGCGGTCTCAACGGTGGTGGCTAGAGAGACGAGGACACTCGATATTCTCTTCACGTCATCAATCTGAACGCTCATGCACTCGCGAGGGTCGCCTATCGGCGGACAGAAAAATTTAGGCTCGGTAGGACCTATCCAGTTCCGGAATCCCCAGTCCAGATGGGCGGCAGCGAGAAGGTCCCTTGACCCATCTGGTAGGCTACCCAGGTCGACGCAGGGCTGGAGGGAGCGTTGCCAGGCGCAAGCGACGTCTCGGACAACAGGGTGGTGGTTCGTGGAGAAGGCGATAGAGATCTGAGAGATGGGCGTGCAAAGGGATGGAGCCTGGAGCAGGGTACGAAGGAGAAGCACCATAGACGATCCCGTCCGCAAGACGATATTCTCGTACAGTACGGGCTTAGCTATCTCGTAGGTCCAGGAACTCACCAGGCAGAGGGCGCGAAGAGCGGTAGCACATAGCCTCGAATCGGGATCGTCGGGACGGATGTCGTACGAGCGGGTGGACAGCTGTTTATGGTCGACGTTGGCAATGAGATGCCGCTCCGTGGTGGCCTCCGGGAGCGAGGGCGCGCCCGGGCTCAAGCACTGGGTAATGAGCGACCAGATCTCGACGGGGAAAGTGACGGGCAGGTAGGCGCTCGACGGGGCGGGACAGCGGACGGCGGAGAGGGAGGCCATGCCCGGGGGAGGCGGCGGCGACAGCGGGAGGAAGAGGGGCGGCGAGGATGGCGAGGGAAGAGAAGAGGTGCCAGGATGTTGGTGTAGCAGGGGTCAGCCTTTTTACAGGAAATGGGGGAGCGATGACGGCGAGGCGAATAGGATGAGAGTGATTGTCAATTACGGACGGCCACAATCAAAGGTGGCAGCTTGTGCTGGACGTCATCATAGGCATTTATGCGCGGGTGATGCACAAGCTGGAGGGGCCATGCACAGCCAATACTTCCCATGTGCAGCCGTGCATACGTACATGATATATACCTAATATAAGCGAGACATTGGGTTAGGTACTTGGTAGGAGCTAAGTGGGAGCCCTCCTGATTATGTAATACGTATTATATAAGCAGCCCTTAAGAGTTAAAGTATATTTCTTAATAAGGATGCTCTAGATAAGAGGTTTTAGGAATTAAGTACGTTTTATAAGCCATCTAACTAGTAATCGAACCTAGGTACTAAAGAGGTATTTAGACTACGGATACGTTTAGTTATTTTCTCGTTATTTTTACCCCGTTTTAACCTTTTCGTATGGAAGGTCTTAGAAAACTCGTTCTACTCGTATAAGAGTACCCCCTGTTTCGTTATTATCTACTAAAAGGTAATACTTTAATTCGTCGTTTTCCATTAAAAAGAGGCATTCCTAGTTCGTTTTCGGGCCTTATCTTAAGATATATTAGTCCCTTCGTTACCGATACCATTTACCGGCGTAACATACCGAAGGAAGGAGAAGGTAGTTCCCCTTTTCTTATATCCGACGAGCTATATATCGCTATTATCTATAGCCGAAACCTAAAGCTTCTTAAAGCTTTAGCCGATTCTTTCCTTGTTATAAGGTACCCTTACCTAGCGAGGGTAATTAGGTTTTTATTAAATTCCGGAAGTCCCGAATTAAACGACCTTTTATAGGACCTTAAGAACCTAGGCGAGGTTCCTCGCGGAATATTCCCTTAATCTTAATTAACGTTAGAAATAGAGGTATTAGGATCTTTAGATTAAAATTAATTAAGTTTAATAATAGATCTAGTATAGCTAGAATAGCTTTTTTCGGCTTAGCTATTATTATTAGTATCGTTATCTTCGTCTTCCTTAAAGGAGAACGTATTATTATTCCTTCGCTTATCGAGTTCGTCGTCCTTTTCGTTATTCTCCGTAGCTTTATTATTATCCGTAGTAATAGCCGACCCTTAGGAACCGATCCTTCCGTAAGCCTTACCCGACTTAACTATATATAGTCGTTTTAACGGTAGTAAGGTAGCGTTTAGATAACTTATATTACTTACGTAGGCCTTTAGATTAGCTAGCTACCTAGTTTTACTAGCTTTTAATAAGCTTTAAGCTATAGATACTTTATATAAAGGAAAGGTAGCGGCCTTTCTGGATCGTAATTTTTATATCCGGCGTACTTTAGACCTCGCTAGGTAAGGAATAGTTACTTAGAACGATTTACTTATAGTTTAATAGCTTTTAAGGGAAAGATTCCTATTTAAAACGGCTAATTAATCGGACCTACGAAATAAGATCGTTAATATCTCCTAAGGCTTAGAAGAATCTCTCGCTTCTTACTATACTAAGGTATAAGAGCTATTAAGACGCACGGGATCGAAAGATTTCCCTTAAGTTCTACGCCTAGACGGTACCGATAACTTAACTATCCTCGAAACCTATATACTTAAGTCGGTAATTATACGCTTTATAAACGGTTTAAGGGATCCGGACCTAAAAAGGGAAGCCCTCGAAAAGGCCGCTTACGTATTTAAAGCCCTTTAAGAGGTATATAGTATAATATAAGGTTATTAAAAGGTCGTAAACCTTAAGAAAGAATAGCTTAAGGAATAATAGCTAAAGGAGCGGGAGAACTTAATCGAACGCTTTATTATAGAAAAGATAGGTTTATTAGTCGAATAAGCTATCGCTAACGAATATCCTAACTAGGTATTAGCTCTTAAGGTTACTACTACGACGCTACCTTAGCTCCTAGCGGCTCCGCCTTTATACGTACGGGTATAATAAACCATACCTTATCCGATTCCTACGTTTTATTCGCCATATCCTCCTTATCTATATCCGAATTAAGGCCCGATATAATGGTCTTAATAAGTTCCGGGACTAGCTTTACCTTAGACCTTAAATAGTTAATAATAATAGCCTTAGTAGTATCCATAAGGATAGTAATCGTATAGTAATAATAATAACTAAGGCTCTGGAAATATATCCCGGGTAGTTCCTAATAAAAAGACGTCGAAGTATCCGATTATTAATAATTTACGAGTCTTATAACGAAAAGAAAGAATATACTTTAAGTACGGAAGCTTTAATTACGTATAGCCTTATAAGGCTCCCCGGAAGTAGTAATTAACCTATTAAGAATAATTAGTCCTTAAGTTGTTAACTTACCTAACCCTAAAGTAGGTAGCTAAAATAGGTAGGAATCTCGACGTAAAATCGGTATAGTTCTTTTACGAGTAATCTTAGGAATAAGAGGCGTTAAACTAGGATATAGCTAAGTATAGATAGGTAGCTAACGAGTTATAGCCGACCTTCGCTATACCGGACATTATTTTATTAGGTATTACTTTTTTAAATACCTAGTTATTACTTCTTATAGTTAAACCGATAGGCATAATAAAGTTAAAAACCGCTAGCGTCGATATTTAAGATAACTTAGCTATAGAGGTATTAAAGTTCGCCTTCTTCTTAGGTAAGCGCCGATATAACGGTACCGTCGTAGAAGAAGACGATAACGAGATTAAGAAGAAGAAGAAGAAGCCTCGTAAGGGCCTTTAAACTATCTACGGAAAGAAGAAAGACCTCTCCTTTAACTTTAATATACTAACTCGTTAAATCGAGGTAAAGTTAAACTTAATAAACTTATTCTAAGTATCTCCCGAATATACCCGGTAATTTAGGTACTTTTCCATACGTAAGAACGTAAAGGTAGAAGCTAGAGCTATTCGTAAGATCGTAGCCCTTAAGCTTTTAATATCGTTTTAGCCTCGCCCTTATATCCTATTTAATCCTCTACCTCCGAAAAGGAGGAAGTTAGTATATTTCGTTAAACTAGTTACCGAATTAATAGTAAAGAAGGAGGATAAACCTATTAAGATAAGTAATATACCTAAGTACCTACTTAGTTCCTGAAACGTAATACCCTAAGTATTAAACGTTATCTCTTATAACCTAGCTACTTACCTAGACGTTTAAATAAATATAAATAAAGCTACCCTAGCTTCGAGAGCTATACCGGTTCTAATTAACTTATTCTTATTAAAACCGGTTAAATCCTTTTATATAAATGCTATTCTTCGCTTTAAATAAAATGGAGAATCACTTATGTTTTATACTTTACCCGAGAATATTACTTAAGTTAACTAGGGTAGTAATATTAATCTTATATCCGGTAAGTTAATAAATTAGCTCCGTATTAAACGAAAACTCTTATACTACTTAAGCGCTAGGCGTTTATTCTTACTAACCTTAAATAGTCGTCGTTTAGAGGTTACGAAATTCGTCTTATTTAACGTCGGAATATAAGGCATCTAGAGATTAGTCTAGGTTATTATACGACCCGAATCTACGAATAACGATACCCTTTTATTACTTAGTATTCCTTAGCTATAGGACGTTATAATTAAGTTCGATATTAAGGCTAGTTTCTTTACTATCGGCGACGAAGTAGCCGGTAAAGAGGTAGTATTTCTTTAGGGTTCCCTTTTATAACCTTCTATTACTTATAAGATAGCCCTTAAGGCCGCTAGACCTATCGTTAACCCCGTAAAGTACTTACGAGTACCTATTACTTATAAGTTATTAACCGTAAACGACGACGACGATAGTAATAATAATTTCTTTAATAAAAGCGATTTAAATAATAACGAAACGAGAAATTAAATCATTAGCTTAGACCTAAGTAAGTCCTTAAACTATATATTAAACCCGAGTATATCCTTAAACTACGAATAATAAAACCCGAGTATATCCTTAAACTACGAGCGAACTAGACCCTTACCTCCTTTAAAGCTTATATATTAGACATTCCTTAGGAGCTTTTAAACTTACTTTATCGATCCTCCTTCCCTAGCGTTAACTAGTTAAACTTCTACGCTTTACGAATTATAGTAACGTCGGAAAGACGCCTAGCCTTTCGTTAGATAGCTTATTTCGTATCTATATTATTACCAAGAGACTTATTCCCTTTAGTAATTAACGAATTTTACCTATCTACGTCTTAAGTAGCTAAATTACCGAGTACCCGACTAATTAGAGCCGTTATTTTTAGAGATAATTTAGTATTAGGTTTACGCTAGCTAATTAAATCGATCGCATTTAGAAATAATTTAGTATTTAGTCCATACCGGCTAATTAAATCGACCGTATTTAGAGATAATTTAATAGTTTACTACCTAATTAAAAGCGCCGTAATTAAAGATAATTTAATATCCTATATTAGTTCCGTATACTTATTCCTAACTACTAAACGAGTTAAACGCCTCTTATTAGTTACTATTAATAAATTACTTAAATAGGAAGCTCTTTATTAGCTTAATGAAGTAGGAGTAAAGTTAGGTCCTTTTATTTCCTATAAACTAAAGCTAAAGATAGCCTACGGACTATATACTTACCGCGAATTAGTAGCTATATCGGTTTTAGATATACCAGCGACCGATTTTTACTAATATAAAGTTAGGTTACGGCCCGGCATACCTCTATGGAATAGATCTAAAAGGAAGAGCTAAACCTCTCCCTAGAAATATTAATTAGACCGTCTTATTTAGGAGGGAGTCGAGGTAGGATAATTTAAATTAATTAAGGTCGTTAACGGGCGCCTTTTAAACTAGGCGGCTTAATCCGTATTAATACCTAAGGATAGAGATTTACTAGATCCGGATCCCTAGGCCGAGCCTCGTTTAACCTTTAACTATAGTTAGGTCGAAGAAGAGGTACTAAGAATAAACGTTACCTTATTA